GCTATGAGTGGTGTATAAGAAGCTACAATAAGCTTTCTAAACTTTCTTCTGTCTGCTGTACCAACAGTCAGAGACTTAGACATTGATGGAGCAAGACTTTCAAAGTCACTTTGTTGATCAGCCTCTTGCGTATATGGTGATGATTGCAATCCACGACCACATGTCTGCCAAATATCCCGATGAGAAAAGCAATCCCCAGATTTCACATCATATAGAAAGATCAAACCAGAAACGCTGAGGCAGATAACAAATTTATCAGATAGCCGGAAATCTGCCCACTCATTTGTAGGTCCGATACTTGTTTCCCCAAATTTCACAAGGGAGAGCCATTCCATCCCCCAGCTAAACACCTGAGCGACAAATACAACGCTCTTAGTCTTGCTTCTTTCGCTTTCATCTGTAGGTTTAGATGCACAGTCCGATAACTCCATAACAAATCCAATCAGAAAATGAGAATCGCTGGAGAAAACTTTGGTGCACCTGTACAAACTGCTTACTCTGGCATTACCATCCTCCGGACTATTACCCTTCTGAAGTATGGAATTGTCTTGGAAAAGAAGATTCGAGAAAGGTAGATCACTATTCAATAAACTGAATGAAACAACCTCTGCAGAACCAGGAAACGCTGACTTCTCAGGGAACCTTGACTGACTTCTACCCTCAATTTCAATAGTTTCCACATCAACTAAAAACGATTTCATCCACTGCTTTGAACCATCCAAAGAAGAGACTCTTTCGTGTTCCGATTCCTGATTTAGTCTAGAAGGTCCCCATTCAACCCACTGACCATGTGAGAGCGCACCATTTGGTTTGCCTTTGGCTCCTTCACTTGATTCTTTGAAACAGCAAAAAGCATGGACCGTAACACCATGATTTCCAGATACAAACAACAATTCCCTAAACAAAGGATCTTTGTGCCGATTATAGGTGTCCCCACAACTACCCCAAGCAACAGACTTTGCATCGATGATAAAAGGAAAACTATCGCTACTAGAACTGCAAGATTCTACAAAACCTGGCTCGCCAGAACCAACTCTTTGATCAGACCCACCAGATGCAGTAGGACTATTCGACTCTTCATTATGACAGCTTACCGAAACCTCACTGCCAATAGAGCTCCCTAATAACAGCCAAAAGATAATTGAACATCGTTTTTAACAATGAAACGCATACGCATACTCATATGAATAGAAAACAAGGTATTACCTGAAACCAGAGGAAGCAGTAAAGCTTCAGAGTGGTGAGAGAGCAATAGTAACAGCTGCCTCGACGGCGAAATAAAAGCCTCTCGAAACTCTGATAGCTTGATTTGCAATTGAGAAGGTTCCCACTTGTGCAACTGCAGCAGAGTTGGGCCTTCATTCAACAACCTTTCCATCTTCTTCTTCTTCTTAACACTAGACAGAAGCACGCACAAATCAGAATTCTATAAGAGAGAAGTTCTATCATAGTATTCTAGAATCCGAGCTCAAAACCAATCAAAGCATCAACGAACGCAATAACGTGAAAGAACAGATGATAAAACAGCGAGCAACGGAAGGCGGATTTCGAGCCTAAAAACTCCATAATTCACTAGAACCTTAAAACCCCAGCTCTAATTCGATACAGGAGAACAGTTCAGAGAAAGCCTATAATACCTTGAGAGAGACCTCAATCAAGGGGTTGAGATCAGAGACGAGATGAAGCAGAGCTTATCAAGAGGGCATCGCGACTTCAATTGGAAAATGAAAATAAAATTCCCACAAATTGAAGTCGTAGGAAAGATGATGATGATGAAGAAGACATATGAGATTTGACAAGGTGAGGTGACGAAATCGTTGGTGGTTTCCTTTCCTCCGTCGATGATTCGGCTCACTCCACGCCTGCACGGACCACCGTGTCAGTCGTCTGTTCCCGTGCTTACGTGGATTTTTCTATATTTGTTTTTTTATAAAATGTAATTCATCACAGAACAAGCTGACTGGGCTTTCTGGGCTTTATTTAAGCAAAATACCTCTTTGAGATTTCTTATATGGGCCAACATATATGTACGAGTCCATAGGCCTATTTATGGCTTGCAGATTCGTTGAGTATTGTATTTTTTAGGTTTTAGCATTTGATTTGTGTGAAAATTAGTAATAAAAAAATGTTTATAATCAATAATTGGGTATTATGGATGGAGATGGTCTTAATTGTAGGTTCTTGGAGGGAAGAGTTTGTAATATTATAATGGACTGCTATGTAACATGGGTTCCACATTAAAATTTACTGAAAGTATTGGGCGAATAAAAAGAAAAGTTTCAAGGCGATAAAAAGATAAATTATGTATGTTTACAAAACAAAGTCAGATTAAAAGTTTAATATAAAAATAGAGATGGAATTAGACTTTTAATTTGATGACTTGCTTGAGTTATAAGTACTCCCTCCGTTTCTTATTACTTGTCGTTCTAAGAAATTTCACGCAGATTAATAAAATAGATTAAATACTCTATTATACCCTTAAAAAACAAATTGACTATTAGTATTCTTCATTAGATCAAGGTTAAATTATATATTTAATATTAAATTTTGCATTGGAAAGTGAAAACGACAACTATTTTGAATAAAAAAAATAATGCTAAAATGACAAGTATTTTGAAACGGAGGGAGTAATAGAAAAGGCAGATTTTCAAATGTTCTTTGATAGTACTCGATTTCTGCACATCATAAATAAACAACCATTAATATAAATAAATTAATAAAAAATAAATATAGTATAAATAAATAAACAAAGAGAATAATTGCTACTAACCTTGTCATCCTTTTCATCATCATCATAAACATCATTTCGCAAAAAAAAAACTCAACAATCACTATAACTAGAGCACCATTTTGGACAATGCCGTAAGGACGATCAAACGTTGGAAAAAGATGAAACCAAATCCCAAGGAGGATCCTGATTATGGATTGGCTGGAAGAAACACATTTTGGACAGTGCCATAAGATGAGAACTAGCTTTGCAGATTTTCCTTCGACCTATATATACCGACAAATAATTTAATATCGTAGATCAAAATAAATGTTTTAATCAACTTTGTGCCCTTTTAATTCGTATACGAATTTTATTCAGAGATTCTTGGTCCACATTTTTACTCACGTGTATTATATATGTGTAGGATTAGATGCACAGTCCGATAACTCCATAACAAATCCAATCAGAAAATGAGAATCGCTGGAGAAAACTTTGGTGCACGTAGTGTACAAACTGTTTAGTTTTACTCTGGCATTATCTTCCTCTGGGATGTTACCCATCTGAAATATGGAATTGTCTTGAAAAGGAAGATTCGAGAAAGGTGGTAGATCACTATTTAATAAGCTGAATGAAACAAACTCCGCAGAACCAGGAAATGCTGACTTCTCAAGGAACCTTGACTGTCTTATTCCGTTTCCACATCAACTAAAAGAGACTCTTACTTGTTCCGAATTCTTATTTAGTAGAATATACTTATCAAGAGAGGGCATCGCGACTTCTTGAAGAGAACAAAATATTTATGGGAAATCATCCTTTTTGCATATATTATTTCGGGGTACCCTTATTTCGGTCATGAAAGGGTAACGTAACTTCTTGGCCGTTGAAAAAAAAAGATTTTTTTATCCCCCATGAAATAAAGGAAATAGATAACTTGTAATGGCAAACATAAGTAACGAATGACATTTATGGTAAGTTGTGAACCTTTGGGTTTGTTTCGTGATATGATACGTCAATAAGTGAAAAGAAAGAGAGAGGGCCCACCGATTATGAGGCTTCAATCACAATATCGTGAGTCTAGGGTTTAGTCATTACACGAAAACCTAACAGTCGCTCTCCGTACTCTGCTCTTTGTTCTTTCTCCGCAGCCTTAACTTCCCGACGGCAACGCTTTGAAACGCCGCCCTGAAATGGATTCTGATAAGGTTTTATATTTCTGTCTCTCTCTCTCTGTATTTTTGTCAATCGCTTTTACGTCTGTCCATCTGAAATTCTGCTGTTTCTAGAACTACACGCATCTAGCTCATCTGTTCCATGTTAGATGTTCGATGTTCATCTAGCTCATCTTTTCTTTGTTTGGTGTTCTGTGTGCCCTTGTTTGTTCTAGCTCATTTTGCTCTTTGTTGTCTTGCCTCGTGACTTTGTTTCTCTTCTCTAAATTTTAGGTTGTAACATGCGCGAATCTTTTGAAGAGAGACGCTGATGACTCAGAGGCCTTGGCAAAGCCTACGTTGAAGAAGCACAAGGTCAGCTAGAGTTTGATTTTGTCTAACATTTTGTCCTGATAGTCTGCTTAGCTCTTATAGCTGCTAATTAACAAGATCTATGAATATGAAAACCATCCATGAACTCATCAGATTTAGGCTGCTTTGACATAACGTGATTTGACTCGTGCTTTTTCAACCTTATAAATATCGTTGAATCTACTTTTCTGTTTATGACTATGTTTCATTCATTGACATTTAGCCATATATTCTTCCAAGAAAGTGATAAAAACGAAATAACAAGGTTAGCAACCATTTGGTTTATCGTTAGAAGAATTTTTATGTCAGTCTCACAAATATCTTATGAGCTTTATCGTTAGAAGAATTTTTATGAGGAAAGCGTATCATTAGTGTTTTCTTCTGTTTTTTTACTCTCTTTTTTTTTGCTAATTCTATCGCAGGAAATAGATGTATCAAGAAATAATGTAGACATAAAGAACGAAATCATCAAAAATCAACAGGTGAATTCAGATATATTGGAGATTTTATTGAAGGTATGTTTTCTTTTCTTTTTCTAAAATTGGACTTGTGTTGTGCATTTGTGTACAACGGATCTCACAAACCTCTCAGCAATATGTTTTATGAAAATGAAAATTTTATACTAAAAAGCTGCGTCCACTTTAGATTCGATTACCTTATGCTTTCTTCTTCTAATTTTTCTTCTCGGCAGTTGCAAAGCAATTCTTTCCAAAACAAAGAAAGATTATGACTAGTTTTTGTTGTGTGTTTTACTCATTCTATGACAGAAAATGGATGATATGAGTAATCGTCTGAACGTGGTCACTGATTTTGTTGAAAAACAACAACAGAAGGAGTCAGATCTACCCGTGACTTCATTGAAGGTACTTGTTTTTTTCCTTCTAAATGCCATAGCTGTTGTATTTGTTTTGTATGTAGAGGAAATGGAATGATAATTTTACCCTCTGTAACAGTAATCTATTTTTTGTCTATGTAGGAGAAAAAAACTCCAAAGAAGAAAAAAAAGGTGGTGAAATACAAGTGCTCTTACGAATCTAATGATTATAAAATGATGAACCGGCAAACCCTTTTCGTGACGGGGTTCCGTTGTTCCTTTCCTTCGGCTGTTATCAAGCGCAAACTGACAGAACACTTCAGTTCTTATGGAAAGGTCGCAATGGTTTATCTTCCCCTTCATTGTAAAACCGATTCTTCCATAGGGTTTGTGACTTGTTCCTTCAATTTTCTGACATCTTGAGTTTAAATGCAAACGAGAAGATTAACTCTCATCTGTTTTCTTTCAGATATGCTTTCATTAATATGAGAGATGATGAAAAGGAGGCGTTAAAGCTCGATGGCACTCGGTTCGATGGGATGTATCTCGAGGTTACGATGGCTTATGGGAGAAGCGAATACCATGTATCTACTAATCGTCGTGGTTGTAAAAGTTGCCTTCGTAATCTGATGAAGCGCCGTAGGGAAGATGTCAATCCTCGTGTCAGAAGACTCCCAAAACTCCCAGGTACATAACTTTGTTTCATTTATTTCATAAGAACTTGTTTTTAACTCGTCTTTTTTTTTTTTTTTTTTTTATATTGCAGACAACCTTCCTAGTCCTGATTTCGTTGATTTCGTCTAGGTTGAGGCTTATGTATGTAAAAGATTATGCAGACAACACTTCGTTGCTTGCTACTTTCTTATTACACCAAACTTGTCTAAATTTGTTATGTTCTGTGAGAACTTGTATTATGTTATTTATGCTTTTAAGGTTAATTATCTAAACGACTAAACCCACTATCCTCTCTTCCGTCGTTGTATTCGAACATCCTTTTTACCCTTTCGGTTTTCTCCTTTTTAATATCATTACGCCCATCATTGAAAAACAAAATATTCTAGCCAAACAGCTTTAGCCATTGCTTCGTTAGTCCGATAACTCCATAACAAATTCCAATCAGAAAATCCATAATGCTCTAATTCGATACAGCAAAACAGTTCGGAGATGATTCGGTTCACTCCAGGCCTGCATGGACCACCGTGCAAGTCGTCTGTTTCCGTGCTTACGTGGATTCTTCTATATTTGTTTAATGTAATTCATTACACAACTAGCTGATTGGGCTTTCTGGGCTTTATTTAATACCTCTTATTGATTTCTTAAATGGGCCAACATATTTGTTCAAGTCCATCGGCCCAAGTGGCTTGCAGCTTCCTTAAGTATTGTATTTTTCAACTATTTTTTGGCACCTGATTATTGTATACTCCTGTATGTTAAGAAGATAACAAGATATTTAAGGGAAATCATCCTTTTTGTATCAATTTTTTCGGTCATTTAAGGGTAACGTAACTTCTTGGCCGTTGAAAAAAAAAAAAAATTTCGATCCCCCAAAAAGTAAAGGAAATAGATAACTTGTAATGGCAAACATAAGTAATAATAACGAATGACTTTTATGGTAAGGTCTATTTCATATATTCATACAATTTGCCCTGAATTATGTCATATTAAGATGGGGCCCGGTTGCATATCACAAAACTAATTTATGCCAAAACAAACTCAGAGTTAAGTTTTTGATTGGGGCAGTTACGTCCAATCATTTGATGGTCCCTCCATGTTAGGGTTTTCAGTATCACTTGATTGTGGATTAATTAGTGTTGCAATTCCTTTCTCATGTTTTGACATTTGTCACTTGTTTTTATCCCTTTTTGATACCTGATGTTTTAGTTTCAAGTTACTTGCTTCATCAGTGCCAAATAAAAACAAAAAGTTAATTACTTCCTTGGCTAAATTACCATTATGCCATATATGACTATATTTTTCTTATCCATGCGCACGTTATATGTTGAATTACGAACCCATTCTAACTATGAAAAGAGCATTTTCTCTGAAATTTACACAAGTTTACTTAATCGATTCAAACTTGGTTACTGTTAAATTGCTAGTATTAACATCGTATAGTATCTTGTAATGATACGAACATGACAAAGTAGCTAGCAATGTCTTATAACTCAAACGGCATACAAAATAATTAGCAAGGTAACCGCGGAAAGAATCTGAAAAAAAAATACTACGGAAAGCAACAAATAGTGATCTACGTATACTCAATTAGCTAAACGAGTTCAGACTTAAGACGGATCATTTGAGTGCTGGAAATTTGAATATGATATTATGCTAAAAAATAAACAATGCGAGTTTTGTTAAATTCTTTTATAGATATTTTCGAACATAAAATGAACCAAAAATCTATAGTTTTTTTGTGTGGATATGACAAAAGAAAGTGCAAAGAGAGAGATAGGAGTAGAGAAATAAGCAAAAAGGGGTCGCATAAAGTGACAGAGGAAGGACATACAAGACAGCTTTGGATCAATATAATGTTGTCAAATTATAACACTAACAGACGCAGAGTCCCCGCATGGTGTCATCATTTCTCTTCATGCCCCGCTTTATCATTTCTTTCCCAAAAAAAAAAAATCTTCTTCCATTTCTTAGTTGTTCTCTTTATTTTAAATTAGTCTTTATAAGTTGTTATCAACATATATTTATGTGTGTTGTAAGATGTACGATAAAGATTATATTGTTGCCTTTTTGGTGGGTTTCATTAATTAGTTGTTGGCTTAACCTGAAGTCAACTTTATATGTTCCGCGAATTATCTAAAGTCAATGAGAGTAATGCCTCTGGAATTTGATACATGCGTGTTTCGAATGAGCTCTACTGAATTGTGTTTCCAACCCGTTTTAAAATTTGGTATGCCTTTTGTTTTCTTATAAGAAAGAAAGAAAACTGGTGTATGTTGTATTATATATACAGAATAAAAAGAGTCGGAGCTTTTTGTTCAATAGTCAAGAGTAAAAAAGATTGTGTTTCTGATTTCATGTCTGAACGCGATCTCCGTTAACCGTTATACTACTAGTCTACTATATATATAGATTGACGAAACAAAACAAGATATAGAAGTAATAATAATTTTCGCGGTTTTGATATCTGACGGGTTTTCGCTCAATGTTTATATCCGCACAAAACATTGAAACTTGACATCCAAACTACCGCTAGTTCAAATTAGATTTAAGACTAATGTTTTTAATCCGGTGATGTTAAACTTATATCAAAATTGAAATATGAAACTTGACCCACACCAAAAAACCGTTCGCTAAATTAGATTACAACTGATATGGGAGGCTCCTTAAACCTTAATGGTCGATATTTAAACTTGTAGTATGAAATTTGACTCGCATCAACACCTTTCATAGTTCAAATCATATTATTTATTATTTTTAACTTGTTCAAAAACCACCGATCAAATTGTTAACATCCACAAGTTTGTTTGTTTACCCGATCCAATATTCCGATCATCGGGTCTGATCGGACCGGACTATTCCAGTCGTAGTTAACAGCCAGTTAGATACAATGCTTGAAATGAAACTACCAGTTGCACAGAGAATACTGAAAATGTAATTATTGAAGAGGTAAAGAGAGAGGAAGAAAAGTGATGGATGTGAATACAAATAGTGTAAGTTTTCAAATACATACGAACCAAAAAGCAAAGTAAAATACAATAGAAAACGAAATGATTACTTTCGCCAACCCACACTCCAGTCTCTTCCCCACTTCTGAGAAGGCCCATTAATCAGATTCATATTATTACTCATAATTATGATTTTTGTCCCCAAACAATATAATTTTTTTACCCTTTCCCTCTTTTTTGCCAGATGTATAAAAATGAATCATAAAATATTAAACACCCCCACACACACGAACATAAGTGTGTAAAAAGAAACCGATCTCATTACGAGTTACGTGTATGTTCGTTAGACTATTATTCCCACGGGCCGATGTCATAGTGACGTTGTCCTTACGACATGAGGAAGCTAAACTGCTAGTAACTACACAAGAAGAAATATGATGGATATCCCAAAAGAAAAAGAGTTTGTTATTTATAGAAAAATACGATAATAAAGTTTATGATAGATGTCATATGCGTTCCGTAATTTATCATAGTTTTCTTGCCAAAAAAAAAGTATCACATAATTGTTTGTTACTATAAGAAATCACATCATTATTACAAGTGTTTTTCGCCCTAATAAACAAACGTACGGCGCGAACTACGATACCTAATGATTTCACTGATGCTACTATTATTGACGAGAATCTGATTTAATTACCGACTAATAAACCATCACGACGAATGATGTAAACTAGTTGTTGTTTTTTTTTGTTTTGTTAAACAAAAAGTTGTTACTATTATCTTCGGATCTTTATCAAGAAAAATTATTATCTTCGGATCGTCTTTGTTACTTTGATTCTCGCTCAAACTAAGTTGGATGCACGTGATTAATCTGAGATGTTGGAACCGTGTTTCAGCCAAATTTTGTTTATATGGTGACGTGAGCTGTGTTTCGAATGTGTTGCCGACTTGCCGGACAAGTACGTTATATGGGTTACTGCAAAGCAAATTGACCATAAATTAAATTCTTGTAGCGCAAATTCCAGCTCATAATATGCTTAAACTATACACTAAATGTATATTAAACATAATTTAATGAAAAGTCATACTTTGTCCAATGGTTATATGAACCAAAGTACTTTGATGTATGCATTTCTTCAACTATATATAGGAATATATGCGTTGTCATAACTAAAAACGTGTGGTTAACCTAAAACAGTATATAAAAGGCAAAACGCACTTTAATATATAAACCGATATGAGGTATATATATACATGCATACATAAAGGAAAAGAAAATAAGTGGGCTTGGAATTTGATAAACGGTGGGGTTTCTAAACTTGATGAAACAATTACAAAATGCAATCTTGCAAAAGGTAAAACGAGAAAAAGGTAAGAAACTTTTCTCTCTTGCATGATTAATACAATTTTATTTTATTTATCTTGCTTTAGGTGCAAATTTGCTAACGAAAAAATGTCAAATAGGAGCCTAATTCATCAAATCATAATCATGATATCCTCACACAGCGTACAGAGGAATAGATTTGCACCTAAGATTTTTCATCATTGCTCCTCATAATCTATATATTCCTTTTTGGATTCCCGAAACAATAGAAATCGCATAAATTATTTGAGTACTACATCATTTTGTAAGAAAATTTGAAATCCTAGCTATAAGAAAGTGATAGATGTGTTTATATTCCCATCACATCTCCAGCCATTTTTTTCCATGGAAAATGATTTCAGTATAAATAAATATATTGTTGTAAAGAACATATTTTTGAAAAACGCCAATAGAGAATCTGGATTTCTTTTCCGGAAACAATGATTACAAAACGGTGCAACTATCCCTCTCAATTCGTTCGAATTCTTCAAATATCAGCAATTTTGTCAAAACGCAAAAATGTTCGACAAGTAATCTTCAGTTCATAGATTTTCAAAACCTGAACATTATAAAAAACGCAAAAATCACAAAACTATGAAAATACATTAGGCATTATATTTATAAACGGATGACACAACCCATGAACGCCGTTTACGGGCGGTAACGGGGCGCCGTAACAAAAGCTGACTGCCGTTTAAGCGACAGGACGTTAACTCCCACTACCTCTTCATCTTTCTCTCGAGTGCCCTGACGCGTTTTCTTCTTCTCTATTTTTTTTGTTTTTCTATCACTCTTTCTTTCTCTCTGGATTTTTCTTTTCCTTATTACATTCATCATCAAATATATTCCTTTATTGTCTATACAATATTTATAGCTACCTTTGTAATTTGGCAAAAATAACAAAAAAAAAACTTTTAATAATCGGTGTTTTTTCTTTCTTTTTTCCCACATCACTATTATTATTTTTCAAAATCAGGAGAATGAAAAAAAATGGCATTTTAGTCACATGTAAATCTTCAAACAAAGACAATCCAACTGGACCCACCTGCAACTTTCTTTTTCGAACATTATATATTTATCGAAGCACTCACATGGATGGATTAGATTGTCTCAGCCCAAAATCAAACAAAATATCCACCAATCTCTCTCATACACACACCACTCTCATCTTCTGCAAGCTTTCGCGTAAAAGAAAGACAGATGGGCACGATAAACCAAGGAATCAGTTTGTTCGATGAACCTCAAAACATCATAAACCCTAATAGTACTAACCATCTAGGTTTTTTCTTCTCTTTCCCTAATCACACATTATCTTCAGCATCTTCTTCCCTTTCCTCTTCGTCTTCTCCTTCTTCTCTCGTGTCTCCATTTCTAGGTCATCACTCCTTAAACTCTTTCCTTCACAACAACTCCTCCTCCTTCGTAACTTATCCCCAAGACTCCATCAATTTCATGGCGAATCTCCCTGAAACCCTGATCTCGTCTTTGTCCTCATCAAAGCAAAGAGAGGATCATGATGGTATTGTTAATCTTGATCGTCATCGTCTTACCAGTGGTATATCATCCCAAAGTCCACCTACAAATCCATGGTAGGTTACTTTGGAGAATATACTTTAATTAATTTAAAGTCTTTGGGGATTTATTCGACTCAATTAAAACCAAAGTTTATAAGGATCTATCTCTAGACTCTCTAAACTACAACTACGTATATATGATCTCCAATCCCCCATTTCTTCTCTTTACATACATAAACTATTGATACCCTTTATGAGATATTCAATCAATTTATCTCATCTTCATTCAGTTTATCTAATGCTTTTCCTAAAGATAAATAGCATTTCTCCTAATTTATATGCACACGCTTACATATACATACCGTCATTTAAAGTCCTATATTTTCCTACAAATTACCTTTATATTAATATTTTGAACAAAGTTTTAAATTCGCTTGAGGCGACCCTTCACACATGACCCAGCTACTTATGCAAAAAAACGTTGTGTTAATGTGTTTTAGGGCATGGAGTAGTCAAACAGGATACGGTTACAGCAAGAAAAACAACCGTGGAAGCGAGATTGATGTAGATGATAATGATGATGATGGTGGTGATGATGGTGGTATTAATGATGAGGATCATCATCAACATCATGATACTCCGCGTCATAAACATAACACGACGTCGTTAGGAGTGGTGTCTACCCTGAAGATGAAGAAGCTTAAGACAAGAAGAAAAGTGAGGGAGCCTCGGTTTTGCTTCAAGACACTTAGTGATGTTGATGTCTTAGATGATGGATATAGATGGAGAAAATATGGCCAGAAAGTTGTCAAGAACACTCAACATCCCAGGTATAGTTTTTCTTATCTTACTTAGCATTGATTAGTTTTCACTCTATTTCAGTATTTGCTTAGTTGATATGATTTATGTATCAGTTGTCATCTCTTTGTCGTTCATAGTTGATTGGGGTTAATGATGACTTATCATAGGAACTTTACTGCCTTGAATCAGTAGATATTTTCGAGTTGTTAACGTTAACTACTATGATGAGAGTATAGCCTCGTAAGAGTTAATTATAAGCCGTCATGTAAAGACTAAAAAAATGCTTTACGATTTTGCTAACGAATTGAAAATTATAAGTAGAAGAATCCTGTTGCTGTTTCGTCTTATATAATAAGATAATTATCAGTTTTGTTATAACAACTAAAAACTCTTGGCCCGGCGGGACTATTAGCTAGCTATACGAAGTCAAAACAAAAAAAAGCTAGCTATACCACAAAGTTTTTCCTTAAGAAAGAAAAACAAAGATAACCGTTAAAATTAAAAAGGAAAATTAGTTTAAAATTCATGTAGAAAGCATTTGAGTATTATGTGAGAATCGTGCGACACATGGGGTTTTTTAAGATTCTCTCTCTCAAGTTGACATTTGACATTTACCCACAATGATTTGTTTGAGTAATTGATATAGTTCTTCATTCTTCAAGATTATACTTTCGTTATTTTGTAAAGTTTTATCATGAACACAGTAATAAAGTCCCATTGCCTTACTAACTGTTTAAATGATATATTCATAATAAAACTGATAGAAAAGTTAACTTATAAAGTAATATTTTTAAAATTCTACTTTTGGTAAATGGCAGGAGCTATTACAGATGCACACAAGACAAGTGTAGGGTAAAAAAGAGAGTGGAGAGATTAGCAGAAGATCCAAGAATGGTAATCACTACTTATGAAGGAAGACACCTTCACTCTCCTTCTAATCATCTGGACGACGACTCTCTCTCCTCCCATCACTCTCCTCTCTCCAACTTCTTCTGGTGATTTTAATTTTTTTCATCAAATGAAGATTACCCAACTCTGCCTCGAACTAATCATCGTGAGATTAGTTAATACCTTAATAAAAAAAAAAGCAATAGCTATAGATATGTTCTCGTTAGGAAATAGGTATATATGCTGTTTTTATTATGTGTAATGTGTTTTTCTGGTGGTTTAGGTCTGTTTTTTGTAAGATGATATTATTTTGTGTACCGTTTTCAATCTGACTATTCTGTGAACCCAGTGTTCGGAGACGACTCTTTTTGTTACAGAATTTGATTGGCAAAGTTTAAGCTCTCTATGGTAAAAAGTGAGCACTAGAACAAATAAACGTCATTTATGAAAGTCTGAAAATAGCTTTCAAAATTAAAATGGCGAAAAGGAAATTTGATTTCTTTCATGCTGCTGACACCGATAACACATCGCAAACTTTGCGTCGGCCAATATTTTATTGGTCACAGAGAAATAGCGTGCTGACTGCTGAGCATAGTTGAATCCTCAATTTTAAACAACTTAATTCTTAACGTATTCAAGTCAATAAGAATGCTGAATCGTAATGGGCCAGTAAATAACTTTAAGGCCCCTAGATCATAACTAACGGGCTTCTCAAAGACTGATGCACTTGTCTTGTGTATCAAACACAAGTATCTCAGTGGCCCTATAAACCATTCTAAGTTCACGAACACTACAACCACGTGACGAACAAACAAAGTTGACAAACGGTTAAGTATTTAGGCACGTGAGCGTCTCGATACCCAAAGTTTAGTTTTAAGTTTTTAGCACGTTGCTCAACTTATTACGTAGTTGAATATAAAAATCAACTTATATAACGAAACCTTATTACAAATAGTTAACTGTAGTTGGATTGGATAACTAGTTTTCAATTAAAATCATAAAACTAGTTACGAGGACATGAAAAGTCGTGACACCCGCTTGCTCCGCCGAGTTCGAGGGAGACTCCCACGTGATTCCTTCGTGGACCGCACGTTCGTCCCCTTCACTCAAGGTCTTATCAAGATAATTTAATTTAGGATAAGTAGGATAAGTACTAATTGTGTTACATCATCCGATTTTTAATCCTAAGTACTAATTGTGTTACATCATCCGATTTTTCCAACAAACTAAGTATAATCATTGTTTATTTATTAACTTAATGACACTCTCTTTAAGAAATTCAAAGTTTCAAACCATTGAAAAAGCTAAAGCAAGCGTAATACTGACTGACTCCCGGACGTTAAAGAAACAACTTGAATTTCAATAATAGTATCAAAAATGGTGATAAATACATTAAAAATTGTTCAAATGAGACTGGGAATCAAAACCGAGAAAGCTGGGGGAAGCTGCGAGGAGATAAATACTATAAATACTCATTTGAAGTTTCACTAAACATGACGAAATCTGACCCGTCGCTTTTTGCTTCTTTGTCTCTTCGTCGTGAAAAAAAGGAAGATTCCTAGGTGATATGAATCTACCAATTTATTTAAACTATCGTTTACAATATATATATATCAGTTTTTTTTTATCAAGCAGGAAGAGAGTTCTTACGCCAAAGTTTAAAGAGATTATATTATAAACATATAAAAGCGTGAAATAACTGCTAAAATAGCAAACAGAATTGTTAATAACAAAGTTGGTTTTAATTATACATCTATACTCTCTTTTTTTGTTTGGCGACGAGACCTTAGTTATGAGTGTCGTTTTCAGAAGTGTTAGACGCATATATATGGCAGAGAGCTCACACGCGTGGAAATGGGGTTTGTCTCAATGTTTACGTACAAAAGTTTGTTCTTAGTTATTTTCTTTGTTTGTAGCTTTCTGTAGTTCGTACATCGTCGAAACCTCAAATTTCTAAACAATTTATTAGAGAACAAGCATTCGCACGTGCGGGGAAGTTTTGTTCACGAGAAGAAACCTCGATAATGAACAAGAAGACTACAACTAATTGCTTCAACTTTTGCTATATATATATTGTTGTGTATGTATTACTATTACGTACACATCGCAATCCTCCCCTTATATACGTTTGGTTACAAAGATATATCTAAATGAAGAGACCGTCTTGCACTTGACCCAAATTTATGATATTTTTATATGTACATAATTATCATGCAGTTACACGACGACGTTTCAACGTGAATTATTGGGAATTTTTTTTTTGTTGGCTCAACAGAATTATTGGTTTGGACAGAAGAAAAACTATTGTAAAATGATAGAACGATTTAAAATGCATAATTATATGGAATCGCTACAAATGTCAGCAGTTCAGGTATGTAATTCTACCAACTCTATGATGGGAAACATAATCTTATACGGTTTTGCAAATTAATTCTTTTTTTAGTTACTTGCAAGGTTACCACTCAGAATTTTTGTGCTAGACAAGATTTCTCTGGGTGGTAGTTTTTTTTTACTGTGCCTATATATGTCTTGATTTCTTGATATCAGACAAAGAGCAATGAAACCACCACGTACGTACCCAATAATATGGCGTAACTAATAGTATTGACAAGTTGTCAAAAAAAACATTTAAAAAATCTTGGCATATGAGAAAAAATGTATTCAGAATTTCTATTAGGAAGATAATAGTTTAGTTAAGAAAAATTGTATGGATGAGAAGGAAACACACGTGGGAGAGAGAGAGAGGAGGAAGAGGTCAATTCGGCGGAGACAGGAAAGGGACGGCGGCCCACGGCGGAAGGAGACGTTGTTAGGGGAAGTTTCCGACAAGAACAGCTTGCATGCACGGTGGCCCACGTGCTCCGTACCCACCACCGTCGCGCGTGTTCACGCTTGATAGCTACTCATCTCTCTCCCTCCCTCTCCCTTCTCCGCAATTTCATTAGTTAAAGCGCGTGTATTTTCTACACACTTACATGCGCGTGTGTCAGTATGTTGTCTATATACTATGCATAATACATGAAGCATATAGGTATGGATGTATGCATCAATATGCATGTATGATGTGTTTGTGCACGTATCCGTCGTTTTAAATATATTTTTCTAAACGATTCTTGGAATTACATGGGTAGTTTACTTATTTATTTATATAAGAAGGCGTATTATTATTCGTATAACATTTAAATACGACAATTTAAGACGGTTTGCAGTTTGCAGTTTGCACTTTGCAGTGTTGTTGTTTTTTTCTGTTCTTTTTTTTTATTAAGTGGTTTGCAGTATTGTTTCATATTGATCCACTTGTCAAGTATAGCTTCCGAGAAAGACACAGATGAATTATTAATATCTAGGTTTCGATTTGCAAGCTATGAAATCGTGGAATGATGAGATCAGATGATACTGCAATTTTGATTGATAGCAGGTGATTTCGCTATTTAATCATTTAAAGAGAGGTTATTGTGGTTTTAGAACAGAGCTAATCGATTTATTTTCTCTTATAACAATCAGTATTGTGTAAGATTGTCTTTCTATATGTTGCGAGTGTAACATACTGGTAATAACTCTGCATAGTCTTAACTCTTAAGATGCGTGTAAAGCTACATATCACATTGATAAACCTTTCTTTAAGTTTCATTAAAAGTCCAAACTCATGATTTGTTTTAAGTTTGGGTAGTAGTGGAAAAGAAAGAAAAAAAATCTATAAAGCAAACGGACACGAACTCCGATGACTGAGGGTGAGGGGAGTGAAGAGAGCCCACGTAGCCAGAGAAAGAGATGAGCACGTGAGACGCACGTTCCTTGTGTAAGATTTGTTGTGCTAATGTTGGTGCAGTGTCACAGAAACATGAAACCTACACTTTGTTATAATTTCAGGCGAAGGTCCATTTCTCCATGTTATATATCAGTCTCCTATTTATTAGCATATAAGTTTAAATTTAAAATTCTATTGATCACCCTATCATTTTCAAAGTATTTATTCATCTTCTAGAGTTTATCTTAAGGACCTTTCTCTTAATTTATGCCAATAGTACCATCCCGTTTGTAAATTGAAAATTTCTGGCGTCAAAATACTATAATCTAGTAATCACAGAATTAACATTATCATTTACACACAAAAGAAAATAAAAACATCCCGGTCTATAGCAACATAAAAAGTTGCACTGAATAAGTTAGATGATCATATAAATATGGTCCAACGGATCAATTCACATATAGTAAATATAGAACGAAAATGAAAAAACGTTTAATTCACCATATGTCAAAAGGGACCACATTTGATATAAAAATAATCAAATATTACACATGCGAGTCTCATCTATTCTCACTTTCCCGTTCCCGTGCACCGTGAATTCCCCAATTAAATCCGACAATAATGAAATAGAATAATAGGTCACGTGAACATGATCGGTTGAAATTTATTTCTTGTTCGTCATTCATTTCATCTGCTAAAACCACTTCAGGAATTCGGAAGGAAAATGAATTGGTCAGTAAGATAGAAATTTCATAGAACTAAATACGCAAACACTACAAATTCCAAGAGAACAAAAAGAAACTGTATATTTACATCTTTCAACAAAGTTATTACTTTTTTCTCTTCTCCAACCCCCAATTCGACCAAATAAAAAAAAAGAAGAAGAAAGAACATCCGTCTTATGTATAAATAACATAGATACATACATACATTTAGAATACAGCAGAAAATACAAAAAAAAATAGACCCGAGGAAAATTGGACTGACCCCTTAGATGATTGATGTTCAAAAGAATCTGCTTCGTCTCTGTTCCTAACTCTCATAATTTTCCTTCAGGAACTTCTTTAATACTCATATCAACCATCTCTATTGTACTGAATCCTCCATCCTCTATTGATCCGATCGTCGACTGTGAATCTAGCCCTGACCCTGCTTGTATCTCCTTAAACATGGCCATGACTTGTATCATAGTCGGTCTCCTCCAAGCCCGATCATCCAAACACGCAACCGCAACTTTCAAATGCTGTAAAAGCTCAATCTCTAGCGCTGGATCTTCCTTCATCAGCTCCGGATCAAACACGTCGCTGATCCGCAGCTTCGCGTGCTGCTTCACCCATCCAACAAGGTTATTATCTCCAAAATCCGGCGAATCGGTCGGCCGTTTACCGGTAAGCAGCTCGAGTAAGACCACACCGTAACTATAAACGTCTCCTTTCGTTGAACACCTGAAACTTTGGTAATACTCAGGAGGAACGTAACCAGGTGTACCGGCTAACGTACTGACGCTCAAATGCGTGTCCATCGCACTCATCAGCCGCGCCATACCGAAATCCGAAACCCTAGCTTCCAAGTTCTCATCGAGCAACACATTGCTTGACTTCATGTCTCTGTGGATGATATGAGGAATGCAGTTGTGGTGAAGAAACGCAAGTCCTCTAGCCGATCCAATCGCGATTTTCCGTCGCATGGACCAGTTTAGTTTCACGCCGGCTTTCTTCGGGTCGTGCAACACATCTTCCAAGCTCCCGTACTTCATGAACTCATACACAAGAAGCCTCTCTTCTCCGACTTTGCAGTAACCGAGAAGCGGAACAAGGTTCCGGTGTTTGATCTTCCCGATCGTTTCCATCTCCGCCGTGAACTCTCTATCTCCCTGACCACTAACGTGGATCAGCTTCTTGATCGCAACCGCGCTTCCATCTTTCAAAATCGCCTTGTAAACATCTCCGAACCCACCGGAACCAATCATACTATCGTTGTGGAATCCGTTTGTGGCCTCGAGAAGATCCGCGAACGTGAGTTTCCGCAATGGCTTCTCGAAAGCTGCGAGATTGATACTCAAGGCCTCTTTAGCTCCGGTGAGCTTCCAGTTCGTGTTGTTAGCGGTTCTCTCACCGGAGTTTCCATTCCCTTCCGCGTACATCTCCAACGCCGCCTCTTTCTTCCTCCGTCTCTTCCTCATCTCTCTGCCAACGAGGATAAGCCCGAAGATGCATACGAAAGAGAACAACAACCCCATCGCCACGCTACCGGCGAGAGACGCCGGTTTCCTCCCGTGAGACCTCGAACGACGAGCGTCACCGACTCCGTTTGCCGGACCACACTGCGGAAGCGGATAGCCACAAAGACCGGAATTGTTCAAGAACTTAACCGGAGGGAAAGTCTCGAACTGACCCATCGCAGGAATCGGACCGGATAACAAATTGTTGGACAAGTCGATCTCCGTGAGCATAGTAAGCGCTGACATGGCTTGAGGAATCCTCCCGTCTAGCTTATTGCTTGAAAGATCCAGAATGTTTAACCCTCTCAGCTCACCGACCTCGTCAGGAATCGAACCGGAGAGAAAGTTGTGACCCAAGTTGAGGATAAACAGATAAGGCATCGAACCGATCTCCTTCGGTATGTATCCCGACAACATGTTGTAAGACATGTCGAGGAACATCATCGAGCCGTTGTTATCAAACGTCGGCGAAGTGTGACCTCCGTAGACTCTGGTGAAATTACAAGGGTTCCTCGTGGAAACCCGGTTAAGCAGCTCCGGTCTGATCCCTTGAAACTCGAGCAAGTTACCAGCGCCGTGACACTGTTTCTTCATCCCGTCGTTTTTGATGTAAACGTACCTCTTCCCGGCGATGAAATTCGCTGCGATTTTCCCGGACTGTTTGAACATTTCCGCCGGAATCGTTCCGTTGAAATTGTTCGTGTTGAGGTCGAGCCAGATTAAGCTCCTGCAGTCCCCGAGCTCAGCTGGAATGTTTCCGTAGAAAGAATTGTTGCTCAGCTTGAGGATGGCGAGATTCTCTAACCGGCCGATCCACCTTGGAATCTGACCGGTTAACCGGTTATTCGACAGTGAAATCCAGTTCAGATTGACACAGTTGCTTAAACCGGAAGGGATTTCACCGGTCAGGTCGTTGAAGTCGAGAATCAGAGTCTCCAAGGTCTTGACATTCATGAGCTCCTGAGGGATCTCTCCTTCAAGCATATTCAGCCATAGTTTCAGATCCCGGAGCTTCGATAGAGAGCCAAAGCTCGACGGGATTGTCCCGGTGAGGTAGTTGAAGCTCAGGTGAAGCGAAACGAGCTCGGTACAGTTACTTAAAGTCGGTGGAATCTTCCCGGTGAAGCCATTGTTCTGAAGGTAAAGCTCCTGGAGAGTATTTTTCGGGTTCCGGCAGAGATTAGGGAGAATCGGGCCGGAGATATTGTTGGAGCTGAGATCTAGCGTTAGCAGCGAAGCGGAGAGATTCGTCAGAGACTCCGGCAACTCGCCGGAAAATTCGTTGAACGACAGATCGAGTACCTTGAGTCCTCTCATCTTCAGTAACGTATCCATCGGCAACTCGCCGGAGAAGTTGTTACCCGACAACGCGAGTGATTCCAAAAGTGAACAAGAGCCGAGGAAAGGAGGAACTGTACCGTACAAGTCGTTCCCGGAGAGATCGAGTCCGGTGAGTGTATCACACGCGCCGGAGAGAAACTCCGGGATCTCGCCGGTGAATTTATTCTCGGCTAGAGAGAGGTACTCGAGGCTTTTCAGAGGAAGCGACGGGATGGGTCCGCCGAATTGGTTACCGGAGACGTTCAACGACCTGAGCTCCGTGCAAGAGGAGATAGCACGGGAGAAATCGCCGGACAATTTGTTCCCGGAGATGTCGAGATGCTGCAGAGCAGAGCAATCTCCGAGAGATGGAATCCCGGAGGAGAAATTGTTCGAGGAAACATCGAGAAACTCGAGATTCGCGCAACGAGAAACATCCACGTCGCCGCTGATTTTGTTTCCGCTAATCGCAAAGTGCTTCAACTCTCCGCAGCCATCGGAGAGAACCCAACCGACGACGTTAGCACCGGAGAGCGTATTCGCGGAGAGATCCAGAACTTCCAAGCTATTAAGCTTCAAACCACCTGAAACTTTCCCCGGAAAATCAAGGGTATTGGAGGAGACGTTGAGAGACTTCAGTGCGATGCAAGAGCCAAGGTTCGACAGAGAGGATACAGGGCCCGAAATAGAGTTCTTCGATAGATCCAAGCTGGTGAGAGAAGCAGAGCACTTGAAACCAGAAATGGTGCCGTTGATGTTGCAGTTTGAGAGAAACAGTGATTCCAATCCGGTGAGAGACAAGAGAGAGGAAGCCACGGCGCTGAATCCGACGTTGAGAGGCTTGTAGCTGAGATCAATCGAAGAAACCTTGTCGTCTCTGCAAGTGACGCCGTCGAAAGTACAGGGGTTTTTGTTGGGAGACCAGTCCGGGAGAAGATTCTTGTCGGGAAGAACGTTTTTGAAGCTTATGAGCTGATGGATTTCTCTGTATAGAGACTGAGATGGTGAAGCTTGGAAGGAAAGAGAGAAGAAAAAGAAGAGAGTAGATACAGAGAGAAAGAAGCTTGAAAAAGTCTTCATTCTCAGAGTTTTTGAGAGAGATAGATGTGGGGGAAGTAGAGAAGATGATAGAAGGAATCTAGGGTTTTGGTTCCACCATTAGAGATGAAGTGGAAGCTCTAGAGAGAGAGATTTGGAAAAGCTAAGAGAGAGAGAGAGAGGAGAGTCAAAAGACAGAAGAAGGAAGATGGAAGAAGGTATTTATCAAATGGTGAAGGGAAGAGTGGTCACAGCTGTGCACTCACATGCCATGTTACCTCTTCTTCTGATTATTATCATTATTAAAAAATATATTAATTTCAATTTCGATATCAGATACAAACAAATAATACTACTTTTAATTATTGTATGTGTTAAAAAATAATTAATGCAAGAGGATATAAAATATAAATAAAATAATAGCATCACAAAATCCTTAATCTCAAAGCTTTTGTAGTTAAGTTAAAGAAATATGGTCTTTGTCTGTACATGAGAGGTGTTTAATTAACGTGAGATTAGGGAATGGGATCAAGTCTTCCACAAGCTATATCCTATTTACACTTTTTAAACTCACCTTAGACTTTATTGAACTATTTGTAATTATTCTATCCCAACCACATCTCTTCACAAAAATTTGAATGACAAATCTAATCCAATTATTGGTTTAGTAGTTTCATTTTTCCTTAAAAAATAGAGGAAGTGTGAATTTGTTTCCGTTCTACCTTGAATTCAAATATTATTTTCTTCTGAATAGCCATACATTCAAGATGGTTCATTTTTCTTTACCAGACTCGAATGAGTTTTTATCTGAGAATTATTGTCGTATCATTGTCACCCAATATGCAAAACTTTTGATACCGCCATATTAAGATCCCAGCAGCTAACTAATCGCTCATTTATTGGCTAATGGTTAAGTATTTATATCAGTAAATTTGGAACATATTATAAGAGTCTTTTTTTTATTGATACCTATATACAGCAAGATATGTGGCATTGAATGTGATTGTTAGAAAAGGTTAATATTTACTTCAATACTAAGGTAAATTGTGCTATTGATAGTTTTTACATGAATCTCACACCAACCACGAACACTTCACATTAACACTCGTCTCTTGTTCACTCGCACTTGTGTCTGAAAAAAAAAAAAAGCGGAGGAGAGATTGTCTCTCTAGCTTTTTACAAAAGAGAAAGAGAAAGGAAAAGAAAAACGAGCGTACGTGTGAGCGACGATTGGGACATGAGTGTCAATTAATGGTAGATTCCATCTCTTTTCATAAATTATTTTTCTTATAACTACAGAGGACTATTATTTGTCTGCTAATTATTTTCTCACTAAATTAATCTCTCTCGCTCTCTCGTTTTGCTTTTAGACGCCTTTCCTTTTCTCTAGCACTTACATAGACGGATAGACCAAACCTTTCTTAAGCCTTTTTCTATTATTATTTTTTCTGTGTCGCAGTTTTATAGATAATTCGTAATTAGGTATGAATCCCTTCGTGCAGCTGTATTTTGTGTATACGTGACATATAAAAAGATAATACAATCATCTATGTATCTAACTTATATAATCACTCGGGTATATGAAAATGATACTCTTTTGTATGGTAGATGTAAAAATATAGTAATTATAGTTCAATGATTCAGATGGATTGGCTGGTCTAATTTTATAACATCTGATGTATACTCGATTTGCTTATAGCTCTTCGTTATTTTAGCAAAACTCAACTTGCAAAATTACTATATATACACATGTTTGGGTAATAGAAAGTTAGGAGCTTAAGTAGATAACATTACTTAATCTCGAGATATGATGCTGTCACTTCAAATTTAGTAAGAAAAAACGTCGTATGAAATTTGGTCAATGGTTTCAAGTTTAAACCAGTACTACGATACCACTTAGTATTGTAAAGAAGGAAATGTATAGAGAATGATACTTTTTGTAGCTTTCTATTGTAATTGAAACACTTTTTTGGAAGGTTTGTACAAATACACTGAAAGAAAAGAAAAATAAACGACGTGATATTAGATACTATATTGGTACAAATAACTTTTACAATCTGAAAGGAAAAGTGTGTTTAGTGATGTATTTAATCCATATATATCACATAATAGAACATTGTATTCTATAATGTCATCATAATTAAGCAAAACGCCAAGAGAGCAATGATTCCAACTTCCAAAAGGGACGAAACTGTCCTCCCCACACTGATTAAGCGTTCGTGTGACATTACACCCACGCTCTGTCTTTGTGCGTCATGCACACGCGTGGACAAAAATGGCGTCGTTTTCGTGCACCGAGCTGCTACCTCGACGTGTGTTACACGCGCTGTATGGGGATGAGTGTGATTGGTGGAGAGTGTGTGTCTATCTAAAGTGTGACTAACACAGATGTTCGTAAATGTTTGCAGTGTAGTACACTGTACGAGATGGACCCCACCATATGATACCAATCCCAGCCATTGATGTCATCTCAACGGTCAGGATTTAACCTGGTAAATAAATGCTGATTTGCTCTTTTCATTCTTCTTCTTCGGTAAATCTAATGTAGCAAACCGTATCTGTATCTAACAGTAAATCTAGTGACGAAGTTTCTCTTCCTCAAACGCAAATACGAAAAAGCCCTTGGATTTTTGTTGGCGGTCTGTGGGACCCAAAAGAGGGTGTATAAGTCATTTCCATTATTTTCTCGATTTATTTACCACACAATTCTTCTTTTCTTTTTCATTTAACTTTTTACTGACAAAATGCCTCTCTTTTTTTTGTTACCACTGACAAATGCATCTTATTGTTTCGGAGAAAGTCACTGAAGTTACTTCTAATGTTGAAGCTAAATTTATTTTGTTAGAACAAATGTATACGGTATCTATGTTCTATCTCATTTTCAAAATATTCTGCTTATACAAATTTTTATATATGACGACTAAAATATTAAAAATGCAACTGACATTCAAAGAAATTTCCCCCAAAACAAAAAAAAAAAGGAAAGAAAGAAATACTGATTAGACAGACAGCCGATTACATCTATTCTTACAGAAATATATGGGACCTACTTGACGATAATTTTCTTGAATGGGCCCTACTCTTGATGGGCTTCATCTCTTCTTTATTATTTTGTTTTTATAAAAAGATCAGACTTCTTTCATCATCTCCTAAAAACGATTAAAATTAAAACCGGTACACAAAGAAATAAAATTGGTCGATTATCGTGATAGATATCAGTGTAGTGGGTCCCACCAGAATTGAGAAACTGCACGTGCTCATGTCCAGGTTGATGACGTGGCCCAATTTCACACGTTGATATGTCGTCTTTTGACCATCACTCTCTCCCAACTCCTGGTTTAATTATATTTTTCTCGTTATGCGAAATATTTGTTAGCCTTTTTGTGGCGGGTTGATTTTCTTTTTAATTGTACAAGGAGATTTGAATAAAATAATTTTCTGAAGAGAAGTATTTTTGTGTGTGTGTGTGTGCATATAGCTGCAAATACATACTATTTAATACTCTCTCCTTTTTTTTAAGATGAATTTTCTAGAGTTTTCACACATATTAAGAAAAAGTTGATTTTCAATCATTAATGTATAGATTTTGGCAATAAAACAACTTTCTATAAACTTAGACCAATAAAAATCTAACAAATTCAATTATTGTTTCTTGAAAACTGAAAAAATACTTCAAAAAGCTAAAATTTTTATCTTTGTGAAACAACAAAAAATGTCCAGAAAATTCATCTTAAAAAAACGGAGGGAGTATTTATTAAATATAATGTTTGTCCTGTAATTTGAAAGCCAGCTTTGTTGAGAGTACTTTCAATGGTTTCCAGATCCTCCAGAAACGCGTGACAACACGAAACATCGCATATTTGTTTGTTCGGAATTATTGAACATTTTCAGTTTTAAATATCCTTCGTTTTGGATTTTCGTCTTTGTTTTCTAGATAAAGTCCATGGTTTGTAAAAAATAAAAATACGTATGTTCTTCTATTTAAACAAAAAAAAAAACAGTGTATTTGTAGGGTTCCAAGATTCGAAATTATTGATATCAATTACCAACGAATAATAACTTTTTCGTATATCTTATTTGTTCAGAAAAAAACTGATAAACTCTAAGACAGTTACTGAAACCTTTGTTGATAAATTTAAGTAAAGTCCACATGTTTTTCAATTATCATATCTTTATATGTTTTCCTTTCCCTTCCCACTACAGAATACCTTTGGGAAAAAATAATTAAAATGAAATTAACTAAAAGCTAAATCCAAATAGTTGTGTGGAGAGAGCTAATGAGTGGTTGTTGTCTTGTTGATTAGATAACAACAATAATAAGAAAGAATGCAAGTTATAATATGATTCAATGGAAGTGAGAGAGAAGCGGGTGGCTTTATGCGGCCATCTCTTGCTTTTTTACCTTCTTCTTCTTCTTTTTGTTTTGGTTTTACCTTCTTCTTCTTTCTTTTACATAGTAGCTTTTAAACTGATAAAGATAATTTGCCACCACTTACGACTAGTAATATATTATGAACTCGATACTAATATATGTTCGAATACATAGAAGGAATTGTCCACAAAAATTGCGTGAGTTTGTACTGGTAAATCATATAACAATACAAAACCAACGAAAACTCATAAATCAGTATACAGTATGTATGATAATATGCGTAATGATGGTAAACAATAATAGCATTTTTCATTGAGTGCAATCTCAATACATCGTATGCAGTTGTATTTGGACCATGTTACAAATTATTGATCAATCATTGTAATAAAATCGCCGTACAAGCACAAATTTGAAATACATCAACTGTCGTTTATGTGGTATGAGATTTAAGAATTAAACTAACCTTTTGAGGCTTTGACCACCAATCATAAATATATACTATATTTTTAGCATCCTTTTGTTTGTTTTTTAATATTAAACCTAAAATCTGTTACATGATAAATTAAGAGAAATTGAATTCTAAACATTTTTTTACTAACTCGTACGCCTCGTACGTGAACACTGCTAGTTTTGATAATTTTTTTTGTTAAATATAAATGAAATTCACAAATATTTTTGTAGAAATTACAAATTAATATTAGGTTAAAAAAGAAGTTGAGAGGACTAATGTAACGTGATTATCTACACGCTCGATTATAGTTCAATACACATGCATTAACAAAAAGGTCTTGTAATCATTCAGTTATATAGTCTATTGAACATGGCTTATTATACAAGCTGTTACAAAGAGGGCGTCTTTCTGCACGCAGTTATCCAATCCTTCTTATCTCTTAAGCTGGATGTATTAATTAAAATCTCGTAGTTGTTTTTTTTTGTTGTAAAAGAATCTCGTAGTTAGTTACGCTCTATCTACTTTGTTTTATATAGTATATATTTTTGTATTTTACTAATGTATAAACGAGTTGAGTGATGATCCACCAAGAGACCCCACGAAAGATCCACGTTGTTGGTCTTAACAAGGCAGCGATGCATTAAACGAACTACGTAACATAGTCGAAGCTTCGGCCATTGCTATGTGATGTTATAAGTTGTTCAAATGAAAATAATTTAAACTTCTTTTTTTTTTGGTTTAGGATCAATATTTGCTTAGCTGATTGGAAGTATTTAAAAGGTTTGTGTTTTTGTGGTCAATGGAGTGTCCTTTCAAATCAATTTTTTTTTAGCTGTTTCCAGCAAAAACAACTATCTAACACCTAATTGCTAGGCCAGTTAAGAATTTTGTATGAAATATATAGAGGATCCCAAACCCATATAATACCAACATGTTATTGAATATATAAGACTTTCTTATACATTTAAAATAAAATAAAATTGTGTCTTTGTATTTCAACACCAAATAACATAGAAAATTATAGATGAACATAAGCATCCATAAAAGATAGCTCAATACTGGTTGACTTTTGTTTTTATGTGTGTGTGTTTTGTATTAAAAATTGTTATTTTCTTATCAAGCATTATTTAAAATCTTCAAACACGAATAGAGAAACTTTCGTAGGATTAAGAGGAAAATTATGTTTTAATATTAGTAGTTGCAGTTACAAATACTTGTGTTAAAATTCGTTAAAATTCTTATACCGAATGAATTTCAACTAATTTGATAATAAAAACAGTTTTAACCGGATAATTCATGTGGGAATTTTATTTTTCTCTAAAGAAATAAATAAAAGTGTCACACATTCTGTCCTTCAAACAATCAAACGTCAAATAACAGACGCACGTGCGACGAGAGATCCCGTTTAACACTACACGCACACGTAAGCAGCCTCTTTTAAGTTGGACTTTCCCGTTTCGGTTATATCTCCACACGCAACGACCTGTTAAACTAAGCTTTACACGTGTGCAGCCCCCGTTCCCTTCGGTCTTTGTCTCAAAATGTTAAAAGAGACGTCAAAAGAAAAAGCTTATAACCCGGCGATTAACGGGGTGAGTCCATGTGCTTGATGTAGAATAATTAATTATCTTTTAAGAACTTCGTATTTATATGGTTAATGACATTACAAATTAGATTACGTAAACACCATGATATCTTCAGTAATAAATGCAAAAGATAGCATTCAATGAACCACTACTATACAATTCCGTTCATTATGAATGCAGATATTTCTCTTACTATGATAAACCCATGGACCCAAGAATAAATATTCACGTTACAAAAGATAAAACCTACAAAAGCGGATATTGCAGGTGACGATAATAAATAATAAGAGGACAAAATTTAGCTTAAAAAATGAGAGATTTTATTATCAGTCGTATGGATGATATTTCTTCTTTCGGGAGTATTAGGCAAAAAAAAAAAAAATGCAAGGTGCAAAGGTCAAAAAAGGATTAACCAAAAGAACAAAAAGCTTTGTAAGAAAAGAAAATTATAATTCTGGAAATTAAATAATTAAAACCCTTTTTGTTTATAAAGATCCCATTTGATACTCCTCTACCTGTCTTGTATCTGAGTTTCTTGTTTATGTTTCTATGTCAATGAGATCACTTGTCTCTTTTAGACCTTTTCATCAGATTCGCTCGTTTCGAGTTTCTGTGTCTTGGTTATGGGAATAGAGAGGCTACGACGCTCTTTACCGCCCGGTTTAGAAGATGCGTTACCGTACCAGATCATACCGAGGATCGCAATGAGCATCCCAACTACTACTTGTACGTTTAAACCTTCTTTCCCGAAGAAAGTGAATCCCAAAACCAAAACCAGAATCGTCTTCATGTGACCAAGTACTTGAAATGACACCGCCGTGAATCTCCCTATACAGATGAATTGGCTCAGATTCGTTCCCACCGCGATACTGCACGAGAGTATCAAGAAGAACTGCCCAACAAAATCGGTTTAAACAGAGCTTAGGAAACACAAGTCTATCATTAGTTCTTGAAATTAGATAAATGAAGAAGAAAGAGAGGAGAAACTTTTACCAGAGAGATAAAAGAGAAGTTGTATGCATCCACTCGTTGGTTAGTCAACCAATAGTCTAGAAATGGACCGACCAACAACAATGATGCAGCTTGTACCGGAGCCGTATGCGCCAGTAAATTGAAAGAACCGAGTGAATATTTCCGTTGTAGATAATGTACATACTGTAAAAAAAAAAAACGTTAGTGAGAAAATTCAGTTTCAGTTTTACAAGCCAAACCAAGATGATCAAAACAATGTGTATATATATATACACTTACGTATTGCTGAAGCGCAGTGCTCCAGACAGCGATAGCGGCGGCGAGAAACCCGTTGAGGTTGACACTAACATCGGTTACAGTACAGACGGCAACACCAGCAAGAACTAACAAAATGCTAAGCTTTGTGTCTCTTGAATACCTGACGTTGTCAAGAACAACTTCTAGAAGACAAGAAACCGGGATCATACTCAGCTTCGCTATCTGCATTTCCAAACAAAGTCTCGTTTCTTAGATTTTCTGTGAAAGAGCTGATTACACTATTAAAGAAACGAAATTCGGAATCAGGACCGACCTGGTAGAATCCGACAGAGTTCCACATGAGGCTGACGTTCATCCCAACGATTGAGAAGTTTGCGAACAAAACGAATTTCAAAAGATCGGGCCACGGAAGCTGAGAAGGCTGGATGTAACCAAGCCATGTCAAGAACGTTGTGAGCAATGTGGTTGTCCCGAAATGCAAACCGGTTAATGTTGTAGCTGTGTCACCATAATTTTGAAAACAGATGTTAATAATCAGTTTTAGTGTTGAATCAAAGTCAATCTCGCTTGACTAGTCTTCAAATAAGAAAGGCTCACCGAAACTAAAGCCATAAGTAGCCATTAAGGCTTTGTTTACGAGGATGATTCCAACCGAAGTTACAACATTGAATAGCCATGATGCTATGTCCAATGCCGCTTTCTGATCCGTCTTGCTTGTTCCAGTCATCTTTTAGAGAAAACCAGATCTCTGCGGATTTCAATATTCAAATTAGTGCTAATTTATCGAGCAAACAACAAATGAAGAGAGTAGAATCAAAGTAGATCTTATGATCAATCATGAACAATGTCAATTGAAAATCGGAATAAAAAAAATGAACTTTAAGCTGTTTCTAGATTGATTTTCACAATTCCACGATCTATAATGATTTAGATCCAGAGGAAACGGAAATGATCGAAGGAATTGCCGTTGTCCAAAACTCCAACATGAACAAAGCTATAACTATAGAATTCAAATCAGATCCAGTACTCGTACGACCTCAGACAAAGGATTGCACATTCCTAGCGAATTCTAATCGGGAACAAATCCAGAAACTTGTCAAGTAGAGCACAAATCAGAACAAATAACCAAACAATTTTTGAAAAAATGTTAGTAAAACGAAAAATAATTTTACCAGATAGCGGAGAGAAATGAGACGACCAACACCACGGCGTCGTCTTACGGCGGCGCGGAGGCGGAGGAAGACGATGAAGTCAAATGAAGGGCTTAATCAACATGAATTGAGAGAGAGAGAGAGAGAGAGAAAAACTGTGGAATTTCGGCTGATATTATTATTTTCTTCCTTCGGTTATTTTCTTTCCCTTTTTTTTTTCTTTTTCTTTTTCCTTTCAGTTATCGACTTCTTTGAGAGTCTCCTTCTTGCCGTTTAAGAGAGAGAACAGAGTGACGAATCTTTTCTCTTTTAATTTTTAAAACAATTATTAAAATTTTCCCTCACTTTTTCTTTTTTAAGCAAAACAACTTATAATATATCTTCTGTAAATTTTGACCCATAGCTTTACAAAACGTTTAATTCACGAAAATACAGCCAAACAAATTACTTGACAGTCTTATGTAATATTTTGATTCTTCGGTCATCATTTGTTTTGTATATCATTTGTTGTGTTAAGGCGAAAAAATTCATTTGCTTTTTATAATTTTCAAGAATGGCTAGGGGTTTTGGAGAAATAGAGAAATGGATGCCTTGAAGACTTTCTTACGGAATACTTGTTTTCTTACGGTCGTTTTTGTCTCGGTTTAGTCATTAGTTATAAATTGAATGTCCAAAATTCATGCACTTCGGATGGGTAGTGTTAGGCACAACTAAATGGATCTAAAGGTCGACGAATAAATGAACATGAATTTTGAAATACTTTTATTTGTTAATTTAATGTATTTATATTATGTGGCTTATTAATGTGAATCTAACCCATATGTTTCGTGGCTATGTAACACCCGTGGAATATTCGTTAGGAAACTCGAGCTTCTTAACGTAAGAAAAAACAAATGTTTTAAAGTCGTGTGTAAACGTTAAAGAAAACACTGTCTAGAAGTCTGTTTTCTAAACGAGTTGTTTTTGTTTCCCTTTTATATATTTACCCTTTACAATGTTCTCTTTTTTTTTTTTAATGCGATATGTAATTCTGTCTACATCTGTTTCCCGTATGATGTTCTCCTAGTCGTAATTACTGTATCTACACAAAATCTATTATCTGCCAATTGCCATCATAAAACATTTAATCAAAACAATTATTATTTGGATAACAAAAACAATAAGTTAAAGAGAAGTGTGGAACTAAAAAAGGCGTGACCAAATTTCTAATCGACAAAAGGACAAGGGGGGACAAACGAAAAAAAAAAAAGACAGAGGTTCCGTTTGGTTAAAGATCCAAAAAACATTACTTTTCTTGTGAGTGTCTGTATACTATATAACTATTTAATTTTAAAATTATTTTGTTGCCTAGCTCCGCTAAGTATCTCACTCTTATTGTCGTTATTCGATGCTTTTCATGTGAACTGTTTTTCTTTTCATGGTAAGTTTCAGTTAGATATCAGGCGATAATATCATAGATTCATGACGCAAGTTATATAATTTTACTGGGACACTACATGTTTTATATCTGATTCGAGTGTGGTCTAACATTGGTCTGACATACATTGTTATATCATATTCAAAATTTCATTTACAAAATAAATTAGAGTGGATTAGGTATAATATTAATGACTAAGCTGGTGAGAAACTAATGAAATATTGCTGATCTAAAACCTTGCCTTATGGCGAAAGAACTTAAAAGGATAAAGCTAATGGGCCACGCGTTTAGGCCTATACACAAGCCAAACGCATATATCTTTTGAATGTCGGTTTTACCCCTGAGATAACGACGGTATATGGAAAAGCCGATGGAGGGAGAAATTTATTTTTCAACATTTTCATCAAAAACATTCCCGCCTTGCTATTTCGCTCTCTGCTCCCGATGATATTCGTTGATCCCCTTCTCGAAGATTTCGTCTGATAGCTCCATCTTCTCTCCTTCAGAGCTTAGATTAACCTCTTCTCTCGCCTTTCGGAGTCGATAACAGACGAGATCTGCGATTATTTTCCGTGAGATTACTAATTCCGCGATTCTTTCTTATTTTGACTTTTCTCCGCCGATCGTTTATCTGCTGCTTGATTTGAGATGTTACCGTAAGATCTATGATGTTGATTGTAAATCTGACTGTGATTTTTGGTCCCAATTTGAATTTAATCGTGTGAGATTGATTTTTTTCTTCATGTTTAAGGATTTTTATTCGGTTGGATCATCGAGTCTGGAAGCTAGGCTGGATTTCTAGGGTTCCGATCAGTATGATTAAGCGATTTTGTTTTTGAATCTTCACTAATTCTTCTGAAGAGCTTACTGACTTGACTGTAGCTGTTTAGCTGATCTCATTCTCGAATCTAATTATCTCCGAGTTTCGTCCGGTAGTGGATTCATATAGGCTGGTATTTGAGTCGCGTTTGGGTTTTTCTAGGGGTTTGATCTGGAGAATCGGAGGTTTTGTTTCAAATCTCTACGAAATATTCCGAAGAACAGAATGATTTGATCGTAATTGTGTGTTGCGTAAGAAATATGAATTGATTTGTCTCATTATTTGAATATGCTCACAAGTTTCCTTCTGCTGTGTATAGATCTAGATCAGCGAGGCACTTGGATTTCTAGAGTCTGATTCTGTATAGTTTGAGGTTTTGTTAATAATCTCGGTTAAATGTTATGAAGAACGGAATGATTTAGCTTAAGAGTTTTCATACCGAATTGTTATTTTTCAGAATGGCTAGAAGGAGAAGTGAAACTGCTGCAGAAACCTCAAAGGAGATCAAAACGATAGGAAAATTTAGCAGACCCAAGAAGTGTATGAAGACAAGTGCTAAGAAATTTCATGAATCTGGTAAAAAGCTTATCAAATCTTATCAATAATCAGATACAATATCGTTTTATGTTCTTATCAAGGATTACTTGGCATTGTAATTGGAACTTTTTTCATCTATCAGGGAAACATAATAGTAAAAGAGAGGAGAAGTCCCCTTCTACATGTTCAGACGAGTCACCATCTTCTCAAGTTCTAAGGTCGATAATAACCAAAGATGGAGCTCAAGAAGTACCTGTCCTGGATCTCCATTCGGGTAAAGAGGTTCGACTTTCTGGAAAAATGAAGTTGCAGCTCTTTCCTCTGGATGCTCACACCCGTGAAGGATTGGAAAAGGTAAAGCCTAAGATCTCTCACCACATGGACTAAGTCTACATTCCTGTGAATATTTTTCAACTTGTTTATCTTTGTTAAACTTTGTAAGGACGGCTTTCACCCGTATTTGGAACTCACGCTTAGCTCTCGGAAGAAGGTTTCATCAGTGCTTCAACACATTCACAGTAAGTGGGGCAGCTCAGAGATTGCTCGGGGAGATCCCACGTTGTACCCATATGACAAATCGGTACTCGCTTCTGGTCATAAATGGATAGCAAACAGCAACATCACTATAAAGGATGTCTATATGGCTATAGGAGCTCCATCTCTGTTCCGCTTAAGGTTTGCATCTGTATACACCTTTCAAAGCAACTTTATAAGCATAGCCGCCGCATCTTATGAGTCTTTATCTCGTTTAGGTATGGATGGTCCTCTGAGACTTGTAATAAAACAGATGAACCGCTTTCTCCATCAACTCCAGGTATCACTTGTTTTCCAAATGACGAACCTCAGAACAACACAGAGAGAGCCAGTTTTGGAGGAAATCAGATGTTTCGTTTGGATAATCCATTTACAATGGCGTCCTCTTCAAATCAAGTGACTGAGCCGCCTCCTTTTGAAAACGCACCTCCTGTTGGACAAGTCGAGTCAGCGGTAAGCTTAGTAAAATTAGTTATATGCTTCCTCTTCTTTTGGACTCATGCCTTATATCACTGTATACTAGTAATCTTGACTAGTTTGGTTTAACCAGGAGAAGAAGATCAACGATGGATCTGGCCCAACGTTTTTTTCATGGGATGATGGTTTAACAAGCTTAAGCATTGGAGGCTTACTTTCAGAAGTATCTTTGAAGGGAAACTTTGGGAATCATGGCAAAAATTCAAACGCAACTCTCTGGGTGGACAATCTCACAAACATAAGCATCGGAGGTCTGTTTTCCGAGGCATCTTTACAAGCCATTAACCGTGAACAAGTATCAACTCGGAACAACAATAATGATCAGCCAAGTATGCTTTGTGAAGCATCGGATCTATCGAGAAACAAAACATGGGAGACAAGGAGAGCTATCTCACAGCAACCATTTCCTATAATCTCTGATTCTTTAGATGCTTTCCTCGTGAACCAAACAGATCAGCCTCGAGCTCCATCTCCCGCACCTCCTCCTTCCGCGGTGTCACATTCGTCTATACTCGATGCAGAAGACACATGCCATGCGTTTTCATTTCGAAAACGTACTACAACCTCACAGAAGGTTCTTGAGCAGGTTAAGCGTTTCCCCTTGTTATGCCTTGCCCTTATTTTGTTTTTTTCACTGTGCATTTGTGATAAGTTTAGAACTTGCAACTCGTGGTTACGGAGTTTGAGTTTTGGCAGGTGAGTGAAGAAGCTGAGGAGCAGCGACAGAAAGATGAATCGAAACCCGCGAAAGGGTTGTTTAACCAGGACAGCAGCCTTGGATTTTCAGGAATCAAGTGGGTATGTGAGATTTCTAACTACTCCACATATTTTCTTTTGCTGTACAATTAATACTTCATGGATCCCTCACGTTCTATCTACACGAACACGAGTGTGGTTCAACAAGTTACACGAGTGTTATATTTACCGTGAATACTTGATGTCATGTCTGATTTCTTAAACGCAGGCCGACTCACGGGGACCATTTGATTTCGGATTATCTTCTTCTCGAAAGTTTACAAATGGTGACAGCGTAAGCTTCGGCGCTCTGCTGAAAGATTTGTAGGAAATGGAGTCTTCCGAAGAGATAATAAAGCCTCAAACCATTGAAGCTCCATGAACAATAAATCCACAGGTAAACCCCATAAAAATCCCGAAAGATTAACCTCTTAAAATCTAGAACCATTTTTCACATTTTATTTATAGCAGATTGTATAGTACATATCTACTATATACAAAACTATCCAACAAGTTGTTACTTAAACTCATGCTGCTTTTTCATTTTTTTCTTATAGGAAACGTAATTACATGTTCCATAGGACCTGAAGATCAACCAGAAGTATCTATTTCTCTCCAAAAGAGGACAAAGCATAACCAAAAAGATTTCTTAATAAATCTGCAGAGTACATACGCACTTTAATTTTTCTCTATAATCCTTTCCTGCCTTCAAATCTGGCAGGGAGCAAGTCTTTCACATGCAAACCTGTGTTTGTGCCCTGCAAATTGCAATATGCGAGAGAGCTTCGTTCGTTAAAGACTATTCAGTTTCAAACTTGTAACAAATTTTTTTTGTCTATAATAATACCTATGGAAATTCCAGTCAAAAATGAGATTTTGTACAAAAGCAAATTATTTAATATACTCTAGTACGGATAAACCGATTTGTAATGGCATGACTGGCACCTAAATGGAGTATGATCAACTAACTATTGGGATGTTCTTCTATATAACCAAAAGAAAACGAAACTAGAAAACCGAAACATTTGATTTCAAACTAATATGTACTCCCTCCGTTTCAAATTAGTTGTCGTTTTGGGAAAATGTATCTGCAATTATTTGGATGTATCTGCAATACAAAACACGTCCAGATACATCCAAATATTTACAGATACATTTTGCCAAAACGACAACTAATTTGAAACGGAGGGAGTACATTATTTTCCTGACTATTGGACTTCAATAACAATATCCAAACCACTAACCGGAAACGAAATTTGACCAACGATCCCTAATCTGTAACAACACTGATGATGCCAAGAGCGTGGATATGAAAGGTTTCAAATGCAAGTTACTTTCACGATGTTAGATTGGTTCTATTGACCCATTAAGGCTTCTATGTATACCTTCTCGAAAGTATTTGGAGAAAAATCCCAAAGCTGAGGTATAAAAGTAAGATACTGTTAGATAGAACCTGATTTGTTTGGCAAGATGGTCAAGACTTGCTTGTTGAATCCGACTTCAAACGTGCAGTCTTTTCTCTACACTGTGCATGTATGTATTCTTAGCATTAATAAGTGTTCAATTTTCCAAGTACTCGAAATACACAAAAATGACCTCAACGACACATTTTTGCCAATTTTAGATACTGTACGTAGTACATACCTTGGTGCTGCAATATTCTGGGTTCTTGCTTCTCCTTCTTTTTTCCTTAAAGGAACAATGTAAACAACTTTAGAATCAATGACATCATTAATGCAACACAAACTTTACTATTAGCTCAATTTTTTGTTCAAACCATCCACTAGTTTATTGTTCAGATAACATAACACACTGTATAAGATTAAGAACGATATTGATCCTGAACGTTGAGACATGTAAAATATGATAAGTAGATTCTTCAGCGTAAAGTAAAATATATAATTGCAGCAAAAAAAACCTAAAACATATGAAATCTTGGGGCATTGGAGCCAAAAACTGCAGAATCTGCTTCCTTCCTTCACACAATATATTTTCTCGACTTTTACTTTTTCTTTTTCAATGCTTGTATTTTGTTATTTCTCTGGTCAGAATTGACATAACATTTGCAAGTAAACCAAAATAACAACATCTAGCATAATTTCAGACCATGCACCGAAAAAAGCAATAAACAATTCGTTATACCATAAGCTAAATAATCAAGTGACACACTATGCAAATCCAAGTATTGCATCATCTTGAAAGAGAGTTTTCAGAAATCACATATCAGAGAAATGGTTAATCTGTTTCAGTGAGGGAGTATACGGTTTCAGTACCTTGATAGCATTGTCTGACAGCCAATATCGGAAACTAGCTCCATGCATCCAATACGTTTGATCATCAGAAAGAAACTGCAACAACCAAGTGACAAGATACTTTTATTTGAAGTTTCTCATTATGCATATACCGTATGAAAAAATTGGCTAGTATACAGAGATACAGTGTACAATAACCTCTTCAGCGTACGCAAGTTTGGCTCCAGAGTTCATTTCACAGTCTGCCTCCCCAAACCAGAATCAGATCAAGTTTTTTTTGAAGTTCCAGAGCTATAAGCCGTTTTCCTGTTCATTCTTCGAAAAGAAACAAGGGAATTCCCGTTAGGCAGATAATTCGAGTAGCAAACTTCAAGCATAATGGAACGAACTATCAGATCTGAAACTCACCAAGTCAAAAATCATCAAACAAAAGCTCCGTAAATGTTCACTGAAGCGATTCGTCGCACTTCAGCAGAAGAAAAGCGATCTAGTACAGAAAACAGCGAAACCGATCTACAGAAATGAAAATTCGCCTCAGGAATAGCAAAAATAACACACTACCTAGATAATTTGTTCATCTCGATATCGATTTCCTCGAAAACGAACCTTACCTCGATAATTTGTTCGAGAAATGTCAGATACGGAAAGTCCAATCAAGCAGAGAACTCTTCGTCGCGTTAACGAGAAGATCGAAGCATCGATGCTCCGTTGTTCATAGTGAAGCGCGACGGGAAGCAGGAAACTGTACGAGAAGATCGAAGCAACGGAAAATCTGAAGACGGAGACGTCGTCGGAACAAAGGCATCTAAGCCACGACTGAAGGAGTAAAAGCAGATCCCGGCGGTTGCTTATCAGATCCGGCGATTGCTTCTCCGTCGGAGATGAGGATGGAAACATTCTGAATCTGAATTTGAAATTTTGAATTTAGACCAGAGAGAGAAATGAATATGCGAGCGAGCGAGTATTCGTAATATATCGAGGAAGCTAAAGGACTGTTTGGATTCACTTATAACACAATTCGGGTACTTTCTGTTTATTAAAGGCGTGTTTGGCAACAAGTGTATCATTAAAACATTTCAAAAACCTCTCCACTCATCTACTCTTGTCAAGTTCACAAAACAAATAACTTGGGAACACAAGAATCAATAATTAATCTAAACGAATAACCAAAACTCTGAAACGTTTTATTTTCTTCTTTGTCAAAGCCTCTCATAGAAGAGCAAGCTAGCTTCGGCACCAAGAACATCACTCTCTGAAACTCGAGAAACTTCAGAATCAGATATACTAAACCAGCTCACATCCTCACAATCTTCTTCCCCTTCCTCTGATTCTGACGCTACTCTCACACTTCTATAAACAGTATAATGTCCGCTTCCGGTTCTACCAAAATGTTCAACCACCGTCACAAGCCTATAATACATGCCGCTGTTACTTGATGTTTCTGGCTTTTGGTACTCTGACATCTGAATATTTTCTATGTTCAATCCTATCGAAGACGGTGTGAACAAGGAGAGGTCCAGGACAAGCGGGAATGCGATATGTCCCTATATCAATATACTGAGATTAGAACGAATAGTAACTAACTAGAATCCGGATATGAAAAAAGGTAGAGAGGAAAGAGAAGGTAAAAGTCTCTACCGTTAGCTTGACAGATTCTCCAAACATGTCTAACGAAGCACGTTGCACTTGAATACATAGAAGCTGTAACAATTTAGCTAGAGAGTGTCAAATGAAAAGAAAAAAGAGATTACTAGTTTCAACGAGTGAGTAAATACCTTTGGGAAACGGGCAATGATTAATTGCTTCAGTATATGGGAATAGCTATTTGACCATGGCATTCTTTCAAGATGAAGAGATGTTTTACAGTCACATTGGTCTTCTCCGCTACAGCTCTTGAGTTTTTCGATATCTGTCTGATCAAACCATTTGAGGCAAGCACAGGTCAGTTAGAGTTTTGAAGAATGTTGAAATGCACAACAATGATTAAAACTGAGAGATTAAATTACCTCAGCTGCTCCTGTCACAGTTAAATATTTGAGTGCAGCACCATGCCAGCATCTATGGCAGAAGTAGTTTTCCACTTTCTCGGCGTCAAGGAACTTCTTCAAGCAGTTCTCCAATGTGCATCCGAACATCTAAGATCATCCCAAAAAGTCAAAAATATTGAGGAATGTTTTTTTCCTGAAGAAGTTTTATATTCACAAAAGTAAAAACAATGAAGCAATAAGAGAATAAACCTTCCGTAACGTACAATGTTGGAACCACCACCAGGATGGAGTAAAGGAGAAAGAGACAAAGTATGAAAAAACTGAAACTCCAACGATATCTGCAAATGGGTAAAAAGCATTTTAACATAACCAAGAGCAGGTTTATAAAGATAAGAAGGAGAAACCTAAGGCTGATTACCTGAGACGAACAAATTCGACACATCAATGTACTACCAAGAATCCCATCGAACGGTCCACGCAAATGTTTATGCCACCTCTTGAGCTCTATCAATCCATGGAGACCTTCACTAGGCGCAACCATTCTCAAGTTTCGAGAAAACATTATATCCGATAGATTGCTACTATTTGTGGGACGATAACAACCTACAATCTCTTCTTGCAAAGAAGAAATCAGATGAAGAAGAGCCTCTGCTGCATCCTATGTTCCAACAAGATCATTAGCTCCTGTAATTGACCATGATAAAACTCAAGTATAGATCTCAAAATTGAAATACTAACCTGTTGGCTTGTCAAATTGAAATTTCTGACATAATCAGTCAATGCCGACATGACATTACGAGGGTTAGATACTGATTGTCTTCTTCCAACTTTGGAGAGCTCTGGCAGTAACAATTCACCCAAAAAAGATTAAGCCTAATTGACTTTCATCATCATCCCAAATTCAGCTCAAGATACAGGGAAGCGAGCAAAGAGGAAACTCCTTATTTATACCTTTTAATAAACTAGACAAAGCGAAAGTAAGAGGAAGCTGTTCATCGTCTTCTTCTCTCGCATCCTCCAAAACCCATTGAAGAAAACTCCGAAAATCTTTGCAGCTCGCGAGAGCCTGAAAGTCAAAATTCAAAATCCAAATGTGCAGCAAAAAGGGAATTACAACAAGCAAGCTCAATTGGAATTTAACCGATACCGTTCAAAAAGGGGATAAACTCGATTATGATTGAATCACACAGCATTACCTGAAGGATGACGTTGAGGAAACAATTGTTGCCGAGATTTTGAAGGCCAGGTACGAGAAACGAATCATCTCCGGCGTCTTCGTTTCTACCGGAGAAGAGATTTAGGTTGCGGAATCTGCCGTCTTTGAGGGCGAAGGCGAAACCAGCTACTCCAAGTAGACTTGCGACAGATAAACTTGATACCATAAATCTCTCGGTGAGGATACGGACTATCGCCTTTGCATCGGAACCTCTACAGGAGACCATAGTCAAAATGAGAGGAGAGTTTCAAAATCGATTCGCTCGAGAAACCTCAAAACCTTCCAAAAGAGTTCGAAACTGGTGACGCGACGAAGCTCATTCGCCGTACTAAAACGAGTTTCTACTAAAACCCGATCGATCAATCGGTCAACCAAGAGTCGGACCAAAATTAGGTTCGGTTTAGATTGAGTGAGTAAGCGAGTGAATCGTTAATTTACGGAGAGAAATGGGTCCGGGATTAATTCGAGTGTTACATTATGGATTAGAATTATGGATGTTACATAATGAATGATTTTAAAATAGACCCAATTATCACAAGATAATATAACTCGATCAAGTTTAGTGTGTTAAAGTCGGTTAAATATCAAGGGTCAGTTTCAGAGATTATTTATCTTCTAAACAAAAACTTAATGTTAGAAGCTCATCAGCTATGAATTAAGAAAAGATTTTCATTATACCAAAATCGTATTACAATAACATGATCTTACATCATGTAAGAGAAACAAAAATTACAGTATCTTCTACTAATGGCTAAATTAGAATCAACAGAAACCATGAAGAAACTTGTCCACTTTAGCCAGCAACGCAATGAATGAAGCATAGAAACCCTGCAAAATTCAACAACACAAAAAGAGAACATACAAGAACAAAAAAATAAGCCAAACAATTGATCAAATATTAGAGTGAATAAAGATCTCAGACATCCAAGGAAGGATAAAAGCTGCATTAGCTCTCAAGCCCGGCGAAAGGCGAAAGCTTTAGACGGCAACTGCGAATGTTTTGAGAAACAAGCCTTACTTTTATCATCATTGATCTTATCCACAAAGAAATGCAACAAAACTAAATGCAACTGCGAATGTTTTGAGAAACATGAATCAGTTTCAGACATCCAAGGAAGGATAAAGCTGCATTAGCTCTCAAGCCTGGCGAAAGGCGAAAGCTTTAGGCGGCAACTGCGAATGTTTGAGAAACAAGCCTTAATGTTTTTCATCATCAACCGATTAACAAAACCATAACTAAAAATCCCAATAAAACAAAAATAAAACCGAAGTGGTCTCAGACATCCAAGGAAGGATAAAAACATCATAAGCTCTCAAGCCCGGCGAAAGGCGAAAGCCTTAGGCGGCAACTGCGAATGATTTGAGAAACAAGCCTTACTGTTTATCCTCATCGACCAAACACTAAACTATCAAATCTAAATAAAGTATTTCCCATCCTAAAATGATCAGCGAGAAACCAATTGAGACTGCTGACAAAGTGAAACAGATGGATTATGATGTGAGGGACTACGTTCAATCCTATTAGCACTAACGAAATCTAATTCTGCTCATGGGACATCATCAACTCAGTCCCAAATATACAAAACTATAAAAACAATGGAAGTTAAGATTGAAAAGATCGAATTAAGAGTTTCAGACATCCAAGGAAGGATAAAAGCAGCATTTACTCTCAAGCCTGGCGAAAGGCGAAAGCTCTTAGGCGGCAACTGCGAATGTTTGAGAAACAAGCCTTTGGATTTATCATCATCAACCTTATCCTAACGATTTCACTAAGATCTGATTACCGAAAACTAAAACTAAGTGGACGGATAGAAATTCAGACAGACTAAATAAGAGAGAAACGGCACACTGATTTCGAAGTGTATGGTGGTGGTCTGGAGGAGTTTGAGAAAATGAGGTATTTATATAAGAAGAGAGGAGGCGTACGATTATTAGGGTTTTGTTCCTGCTAACACGATCAACGGCGGAGATATACCCTTTTTGCATCGAGATAATAATTATGGGCTTTGTCGATTTTAGTTAAAGCCCAGAAATATTGTGTAGTTATGGATGCTATTACGGGCTGAAAACCCACGGCCATTTCTGAATTTGTGTTTTGCCAGCCAAAGACTGCGTTGACTTGTTGAGTGACTTGCTCGCATTCGTTGTTTATGTAGGAGTGTTTGAAAACTGGACAAACATGGAACAGAGACCACGGCGAGGAGGTAAATACTCTCGTAGCTAGCAAGTCTGCAAACGAATTTGAAGGTCGTCGATTCCTATAACTAAATCTAATTGAGCTAAACATGGGAATAAAGCGATCAACAATATTCGAGAAGAAAGAGATTTGTTAACTTCAACACACACATCACGAGACAATCTTTACGACGTAGACTGCATCAATACTTATTCGTACTTAACACTACAGAACAACAGACACGAACGCAAAAGAGACTCTCGCTTTTAAATTAACTCTCAACTGTTGCCTTGGTTTCCTTCTTTCGTTTGTGATTTAACTTCCACAGGAGAGACACTCCTCAGGGTTTGTCAAGGAGCAAACCATCTGCGCCATCTTCGCCTCGCTGTCTTCTTCTTCTCCTTCTTCTGTTCCTTCTCCGTCTTCAGATGCATTAGGCTTCAACTGAGTCACAAGCAAATGTCAGTTTCGCAGTACAAGTAACTACAGAATCACAGTGCGACACAAAACTGGTGTTTACCTTTAGCATTCCAGTGTCTACTGTGAACTTTATCGCATCTGCTGCAGCACGTGATCGCAGGTAGTACATTCCCGTTTTCAATCCCTTTTGGTTTTCACAACAATAACAATCGTGAGACCGGGTCACAACACAAATCAAGACTAACCATTTTGAGAGTTTTAAGTAGAGTTTTAAGATAAGGTTTTACCTTTTTCCAAGTGTGGAAGTGTAAAGAAGTGAGTTTTGCAAAGTTGGGTTTGTCCATGTGTATATTCAGACTTTGACTTTGATCTATAAAGCAACCACGATCAACGGCCATGTCAACCACTGTTCTCTGTTTTATCTCCCAGACAGTCCTGAGCCATTTTGCAACAAAGTACACAGGTTAGATAACATCAAAAACAGAGTAATCAGAGCATAAATAAGGACAAGTTTTATACCTGTAAATTGCTTTCAGGTCATCGGGTATCTCCGGGGCGTTTACAATAGAACCATTCTCGTATATTATCTTGTTCTTCAGCGTAGGAGACCAGAGTCCCATATCAGTCAAATCGTGAAGAAGATGCTTGTTCACTACTACGAATTCACCACTGAAAATATAACCAAGAACAATGATTAAACATATGAAGGAAATCAGAAACATTCACTTTGTGGAGCAATTTTATTTGCTTAAAGAACATACCTCAAGACTCTACGACTATAAATGTTTGAGGTATACGGTTCAAAACATTCATTATTCCCAAGGATCTGGCTGGTGGAAGCAGTTGGCATTGGTGCCACCAAAAGAGAATTTCTGATACCATTCTTTGAAATCATATCCCTGAGTGCAGCCCAGTCCCAGCGGTCCGAAGGAACTACATTCCACATATCAGGTTGAAGAATTCCCTAAACGAATCATCCAATACGCCAACCAAACAATTAGCAACGAGAGTTTATGACAATGTTGTTAAGAATTTAGAAGAATTGCTGGTTGTGACGCATACCTTGCTCACGGGACTTCCTTGGTATGTCTCATATGTACCTTCCCTGGTAGCAATCTCTGAAGATGACTTGAGAGCATGGTAGTACATGGTTTCAAATATGTCTTTGTTCAGTTGTTGAGCCTGAAATTATTGCCAAAATTGTTTAGAACAGAGAACAAAATCACTTTTCAAAAGGTTGATCAACTTATTCTGAGCAAGTTTACCTCAGGAGAATCAAACGGCATTCCAAGAAGGATAAATGCATCGGCAAGTCCTTGCACACCAATACCGATAGGCCTATGACGCATGTTTGAAGTTTTGGCAGTCTCCACAGGATAGTAATTCACATCTATTATCTTATTAAGATTAACAGTAACTGTTGCAGTCACCTGACAAAATAGCAAAATGATTTTGTTTTAAAAGTCAATATCAGATTGCACAGACATTACCAGTTATCGAAATGTGAACCAAGTAGTTAAGAACTGACCTCTGCTAGCTTATCGAAATCAAAATAACGATTCTTTGAGCCCAAACTGCCTACAATCTTAGATGGATGTGAGGCCAAGGGAACATCCTGTTGTGAGATGTAAAAATGTCAAGAGTTATGCACAAAGTGACAGAACAAAATCAAATTCTGAGACAGCTTTTTCCACTCACCTTCTCTCTTACGAATCGGGGTAAAGCGATAGAGGCGAGATTGCACACAGCAGTTTCTGTTGGACTAGTGTATTCGATGATTTCAGTGCATAAATTGGAAGACTTTATGGTACCAAGATTTTGCTGATTGCTTTTCCTGTTACATGAATCCTACGAAAGAGTTTCAAAATTTAATGTGAGAAACAGAAGTTATATATTTGATACCGAGTGGCTATTGAATTATGACTCTTTCTTACCTTGAAAAGCATATAAGGTGTCCCTGTTTCTACTTGGGATGTCAAAATCTCGTACCAAAGCTGCTGTGCCTGGACAACCTTCTTAGCCTTACCCTAGAGACAGGAACAAACAGAATTAGATCACATCCATAGAAAAAAGAGAGTAGCTGGTGATTCTGATTGAATGTAGTAGTAAATCCATAGATATTAATCATTTACCTCCTTCTCGTACTTAGTGTACAAGTTCTCAAATTCTGCACCCCAACAATCAGCCAAACCTGGAGCTTCGTTGGGACAAAACAGTGACCAATGTCCATCACTCTGGACTCTCTCCATAAAAAGATCCGGTATCCAAAGACCATAAAACAAGTCTCTAGCCCTGTGTTCCTCCTGAAATGGAAACAAAAATGTGTATTGTGAGCTGATTAGTAATTTATATTATTATAAAGCAAGTGAGTGGTATATTCTTGGTGCCGCTGTACCTTTCCATGATTCTTACGGAGTTCCAGAAAGTCAAAAATGTCAGCATGCCATGGCTCCAGGTATACAGCAAAGGCTCCTTCACCGATTGCAAAAAAAAACACATAAGAAAAACTAAACAAAGATAGTTCACAAACAATCACGAGAATGGTATTAAAGTATATACTGAAATTGATACCTTTCCTCTTGCCACCTCCTTGATCTACATAACGAGCAGTATCATTGAACACCCGCAGCATTGGAACAATACCATTAGATGCTCCATTTGTGCCACGAATGTAACTTCCAGTAGCGCGGATATTGTGAACAGAAACACCAATACCCCCAGCTGATTTACTTATAACAGCACACTCTTTCAACGTGTCATATATTCCCTCGATACTATCATCCTTCATGCAGATGAGAAAGCAGCTGCTCAACTGCAAATTTAAACATTTTCAAGCAGCACATCAGTGAAAAGCCTAACACAGATGCAAGTAAGGGTTCCGGTTAAACAAAAGTATAGGCAAATTACTTGAGCTCGTGGCGTTCCTGAGTTGAATAGAGTAGGAGATGCATGAGTGAACCATCGCTGAGACATCAAATGGTAAGTTTGGATTGCGGAATCAATATCCTCCTTGTGAATGCCAACAGAAACCCTCATGAGCATATGTTGTGGCCTCTCAACCACTTTTCCATGGACCTTCAAGAGGTATGATCTCTCAAGCGTTTTGAATCCGAAGTAATCATACTCAAAATCGCGATCATAGATGATCTCACTGTCCAGACGACTAGCATTCTGAAGGAAAAACACAAATTCACAAGATATGAGAGATATTCAAAGCACAATTTCCACCATTAGACTGAGAGCATAACACAAGGTATTTACCTTCGTAATGATCTGATATACATCGTCTGCAATTAGAGGAGCCTTAAGTCCAGATCTCTCGTTGACATGTCTGTACATGTCCTCAATCCTGAAGATACCCAAAATCAATCCAAGTCAAACACATAAGAATACGTAATCACTGACAAAAAAAACTTATAGATCAGGGGAAGAACACTCACGTCTCGGAAAATGATTTCTTAGTGTTCTTGTGGAGATTGGAGACAGCAATCCTTGCAGCCAGCTGAAATATAATCATCGCAATAAAAAAGTTTGAGCATCGCAATCGAGAAGGTCGTGCATAAGAGACTGATAGACAGATCAAGCAACAATCACATCACTAAGAACGCAATTCAGTGTAATTCGAGAAGGGGACATTTTGAAATCCGAATTTGATGAATCGAATCAGAAAAAAAAAAAAGGGAAATGGAAAACTCACGGAGGCGTAATCAGGGTGGTTAGCGGTCATAGCAGCAGCAGTCTCGGCGGCTAACTCGTCGAGTTGGCTGGTGGTGACGCCTTTGTAAACACCGGCACAGACTTTCTGAGCGACGAGGACAGGGTCGCAGTGATCGCTGCTAAGCCCATAGCTAAGCTTCTTCAGCCGCGCTGTGATTTTGTCGAAGTGAACAGTTTCCTGCTTCCCGTCGCGCTTCACTACGTACATTTTCTCAGAAGAATTCTGTCGAACAGTTGGTAGGCGTGTAGTCAAATGATCAGAGAACACTGTGACGCACAATCTTAAATAAGATTGGTTGGTTGAAAGGACGGCACTTATCGGGATTCTAATTTCTAGGGCTTCTTGTCACTTTTTTTTTTTTGTTACTTTTTTTCTCGACCCGCGCGCGAAAGTTTTGGATTTTCCCGCCAGCTTCCGAGAGAAGAAACATAGGGCTTGTTCGTCAAGTGGCGGGTAAATTACTCGAACAAATTTGGAGCGTTTCCCTCGTTGAGTGTGGGCCCAGTTCATGAGGCATCCGTGATTTTTAACCAATTGTTCGCATGGGCCCAAAATTAGAAGTTGACGTTTAAGAAATAGAGTGATTTATATCTATAGGCTCTTTTTTTTTATATTTATAGGCACTTTCTACTCTTCATGGACTTTGATCTATTGTAAAAACAAAATACTCTTTACTTCTCTTTTTTAATTACAACTTTATTTTTTACTTTACTCTTTATTTTTTATTTCCACCTTTCACAAATCAACAACTCCGCTTCACACTCCGTCGACACCACCGCCGCTGTTTCTCTCTCTGTTCTTGTTTCTGAATTTTGCCTCTCACTCCATTGTTTATAACCATAAAATCCTAAATCCCATCGCCGTTCAATTGTAAAGACGTTGTTATTCAATTTTCACGGTTCAGTTTCACCTTTTTCTGGATTTCTTTTCTTGAAATGAGGAGAAGATGAATATAGCTGATTTTAGATTCGCTGAAGTTCAGAGTAGATGAATTTGGGTTAACTCGCGATCATGTCCACATCTAGATGTCCACGCAATCTACTTATGGTCTATTCAAGAATCTCAAATATTTTGGTACATGTGTACAGAAGATGTGGATGATGTGCATGACTCCGACAGACAACAATCCATGGATGAGGATATCGAACCACCCATGGTTACCTGCACGTAGAAACTAGCCAGTATAAAGTTGCCCATCCAAGGAGCATAAGAGGTGGGAGGCGTACATGCTGCAATGCCGGCGGTAGATAGTATCGTATCTGACAGCTGTGACACGAACATGAGCAGTGGTGGACCGAATGGTGTGGATGGGAACTGTGACTCTGATAGACAGCAGTCCATGGACGGCGAACTCCAACTACCTAAGGTTTATGTTGTTGGAACAGTCTAGGCGATAAACAATAGCTCAACAAACACTCACCCGGTTGTTAATTATCTTTGTGTTCATAAAATCATGAACACGGAAACATGTCCACACACATATCTCATTTAAATTCCAAAAATTTAATTATCTAAACAAAGACGTTCAAATGGGTGCATCATGATGTGTACACGACTGCATGGACATGTAGATGTGGACAAGATCGCCTACAATTGTAATATGTGTATATATCAATGCATGGCCTACGATGTATTAGTCATATGTGTATGTATCCAACATTATTTGTTTTTATCTAGTACCACTTGTCCATTGGCCTACGATGTATTAGTCATATACACCGCCTCATCCTTCCGGGTAAATATTCATGCGTATCCATGCTGACCGATCCAGATGTATCCGATCATAAAGTCAAGCCTTTGTAACTACGTTGACCCATCCATGAAACTGAATCGAAACGTGACAAGCCGAGAAAAGAGTCTCCAACATCATTTTTTTGTGTCCACTATCAACCATCCATATATTGTTGACCCCGTTTCTTACGTATTAGTCATATATCTTGCCCATTCTTCCATGAAGGGAAAATATTTAGGCGTGTGTGCACCGTATCCACGCTGACCAGTCCATGAAACTGAATCTAAATATGTCCTTCCGGAAAAAGAGTATACAACATCATTTGTTTGTGTCTACTGCCATCTGTCCATATGTTGTTGATTACATGTATCTCTAACATTTTAGTCATGTACACTGCCCATCCCTTCATGAAGGGGTAATCATCGAGGCATTTGTATTCCGTATCCACGCAAACCAGTCCATGTAACATAATCCATGTGTCCATCCGAGGGAAGAGTCTCCAACATCATTTGTTTCTGTTCGCTAGAACAGCGCTTCGGCGAACGAAAACCCAATTCATTTGTTGTTTCAAATTTCGATGGCACACCAATTTTACAAAAATTGCAGAAGAAAAGCTTTTTTCAACTGAAGTAATGTTTCCAGATCTACCAGCTTCTCCAGATCCGTCAACTAATTTCTCCAGATACACCAATTTCTCTAGATCCATTGTATTCACTTTTATTCTTAACCTCAATAGAGCAAGGTTACTTCAGCCTATCTCATGGTTTGTTATCGGAGAAGAAAGGAAAGAGATGATGTTGATGGCAAAAAGCAAAATTTATCAAAAGGATAGATGTGGAATTTCGCTAGTGGTTTTTTGAACAAAGTCCCTCTAGAGTGCAAAGTGCCTTTGTTTGATATTTGTAAGTGTCAAAGTACCTTTACGTGTAAAATTCTCTAAGAAATATTGTTGCAATTCAAAAATGTAAATATTGTAATTTCAAAAATAAAACAAAAATTAGACAAAAATACATGTAACTAGTGTATGTAAGTACTTGACAATCATAGCTTAAATGTATTATATATTATGTTTTGGAGTGCGTACTTATGTAGTTGTGATTCCTTATTCTTTGACAATATTTCCAAAGGCGTTATAGGCCGTCGTTTATGCGCTAAGTCTGATAAATCTAGAAGGAGAAGGCGGATGTTCATAACTTGGAGAAGTTGTGCTTTAGCCGTTCTTTGTACATCATCAAGAAGTTAAAAGAGGTTTATGAATCCTTTGATGAGCGAGCAAAAAATATGGCATATTTAGTTAATTATTACTGTACAAGTGAATTTTGGTAGCACATGCATGAATTGGTCAGTGTCGAATTAGGTTTGCAACATCGTGTATTTCTGATCAAACAAATATGTAAATATTTTGTTAGAGGAAGTCTAATAAAGCAAACGGTATTTGTAGACGAGTTCCTTGCTTCTTACACCTAAATGTGTTGTTTTGATGTAATTAAACCTGAGCTGACAATAATTTCTTATCGTCTCCTTTACCTGCAAGGAGAAGAACCATGCAGTTTGTGCGCTCTTGCCTTATTTTAATATTGTTCTTGAAACCTAAATAATATATTAAGTATTTGCATATTGAAAGTTTTATTTTGATATGTATACTATCTTTATTAATTTGTTACATATTTTGTTGAAAATAGATTGTTCCATTTTTTTTATTCTAATATGTTAGTAAAAGTAGTTTTTAATGTCTATCTATCAATAGAAAAACATATTAAAAGTACATGTATAAAAAAATATTTTAAACATAAGAAATATTTGCTCAATTTTTGCTAAATTAATGATAAATATTTGCTTATCTTTTGCTAAACTAGATATAAACTAATGCTAAATTTAATAAACATTGTATAAGAAAATTTAGTTATGTTTTTATCAATTAATATTTCTTTATACTTCTTTTATCTTATTAGGACTACAATACGTTATATATTATACGTGGAACGAAGGTAGGCAGCGGAAGCAGCCACTGGTCCGGAATTCAGGCACAACTACGTGGATCATGCGCAGCAGGCGGTGCAGCGGCAGCAGCAAGATGAGCTGGCCCGTCAGCGTGCAGCGGAGGCGGCGAACCGACGTTAGTAGGAAAAAAAATGAAGGTTACGTTGATGAATTAATAAGCTAGCCTGTGTTTTTTTTTTTACTTTTTATTGTTAAGTTGTAACGTGTGCCCAGCTACGTAGTGAAATGCGGCGGAATGAATAATAAATTTGTGTTGAAAAAATTTGGTGTTCTATATATCGCTTAAAATGTGTTGAACGTTTGGCTAATATCAGAAAACTGACATTAACATCATAAATAGAGCACATGTGTTATATGTGAGATCTGCTAACGAATTATAAGTTTAACTGTGAAAAAAACACACACGAAATATCAAACAAATAACTTTTTTTAGACGAACAATGTCACTTTCATATCATTAAAGAATTGTTAAGGTTTAATCATATCTCAAACTTGATTCTGTCCCATGTTTAAGAAATATTTAAGACGGACAAGGGTGTACGTATGTGCCAACTAAGCAGAGACAAGAAAGATACCTAGAAAGAAAAGAAAAAAAAAATTCCACATTCAAAAATCAAACTGTAAAATTTGATGCTTTTGGAGTACACGTTATTTCCTGGTCTTCTCTGTTTCTGTAGCTATTTTTTGCAAAAATAATAGTGGTGAATGTGCCTTGCAAGTGGGCTTTCACTCTCAGCTTTTAAATTTTCAGAAAAGAAAAGAAAAAAAAATAGATGGATTTTTATTTTCATTTTCATTTTCATTTTCATGATGAGAAAATGAATTAGCGTTTAGGAATTTGGAAAACACTCAAATCTATTTATTAACAGAAGAGTAGTATATATGAATCATATGATTCTTATCGTATTATACAATATCTGGGGAAAATAACTAGAAGTACATAAAAAAAAAAAAAGAGAGAAACAAACAACTCTATCAGTATAACATTATAAAAAAGAATTAATTTAGGAGGAACAAAAAAGATTTAAAAACTCGTAAAAACTGCACATCTTTGTCTACAACACACTTGCACCCAACAACCACAAAGAGAGTACACGTCATCATCATTAACAATTTAACATTTGCAATCGAAAGCTCCAACACAAACTCCTTCACTCTTTCTTGTCTTCGTATCTTCGCCATGACAAAGTCTGAAGCCTGTTTTCTTACAACAGAGCTTAGTTTCCACAATTCAGACCACAAATCTCCAACACTGGTCCACCTTTAGCGACGAACGGATTCACTCTAACCCACAAGAGCGTCAGGATCGAAGCAAGAAGAATAGACCAAACCACAATAATCGTAGGCATTCTATCTTGCTTCCCAAGCAACCCCTTGAGGAATGGATATAAATGAACAATGACCCAAAGAGCGAAGAACAGTCTCCCAAAGAGAGGTCCCCAAGAGTCGTAACCATTGCTAATTGCGTCTGAAACACCGACAATAACTCCGATGATGTTTATGATCAGGAGCGTTGTCGGAGGAATCAACAAGGTTGTCCATTTGAATAAGTAAAGCTCAGAGAAAGCTCCATCGTCTCCTGCTTTTGACGTGACTGTGAAGTTAGTGTCAACTCCAGCTAGTACTTTGAGCAAACCTTGAAACAGAGCAAACAGATGCGAAGAAGCTCCTCCGATCACCCAGAATTGCTCGTTTCTCCACCAATCGTCGATTCCGACACCTCCCCATTGCATTTCGAGAATTCCAGTCACTGCTATGGATATGAACATGAGCATGAAGAGAACGCCTGCGTAGTTGCTTATCTGTCAAGGTAAAACACAAAACAGTTTTAAGAAAAAAGAACAAGTAACATTTAGTGTTATGAAATGCAGAGGTTATGATTGTAGTACCTCTGGGACGATGAATTTTCCGGTGAGTAAACAGACAGCAGGGAGAGAACAGTAGACGATCAGTGGAAGAGAGGTCCATGGATAGACAACAGAGTTGATGTAAGAGAATCTCTCCAACCATTTTAAACCACCACCATAACCATACCATATGGGACAATGTCTGCTCAAGAAAATCTCCACAGAGCCAAGAGCCCAACGCAGGACCTGATTAAGACGATCCGACAAGTTGATTGGAGCAGATCCTTTGAAAGCTGCACGCTTTGGCATACAGTAGACAGATCTCCATCCATGGCAATGCATTTTGAAACCAGTCAAGATATCTTCCGTCACTGATCCATAAATCCACCCAATCTGCGTGAAAGTTATAAGCAAAAATGAGATCACAAGAAACTATTGTATTTTTTCTTTACAAGTCGAAATGTTTTTACCTCTTTTCCCCATTCGGTTTTATCTTCGTATCCGCAGCTAATGACTTGAATGGCTTCTCTCAACAAACACGCAGGGCTTGCGTTACGAGGAACTCCACCTTCTTGTAGAACAGCAGAGGCGACAAAAACCGGAGACTGTCCAAATTTCTTCTCCAGTTTCAGTTGTGTTGCTTCAGATCTCTTCACAACATTTGTCACTGACAATCAAAAGCAGCTATTTAGTCTTATAGGCTTTCAAAACAAAAAAGAAACGAAAAAACAAACAAGAAATGTTTCTTTTTGATTACCTGGAACGACGGCACCTTCTTCAATGTTCTCTAAAGCATGAATCTGCTTTGAAGTCTCTTTAGGGTTCTTTTTGTTGTCTTTAGCCTTAGCTCTACTCTTCTTTCTTAACCCACAGAGCAAACAACACCATTTAGGCCAACAGTTACAGGTTTTGCCAGGTGGTTTCTTCTTCTTTGGTGCATCAAAACCGTAAAGAGCTTGTCTTCTAAAGACACAACCTGTCCCAACGTATATCGGTCCTTGTATCCCATCAAGACCTTTCATGTTAATCTGTTTCCACACACACAGAAAAACGAATCAAATGAGAAAGGTGGTAAAAAAAAGAAGAAGCAAAAGACATAAGAAGGACACATACATCGAAGAAGACCACATTGCGATTCGAGTATCGATCATGTCTATCAATCCCATCGAATCTCTGAGGAAACTGGACATAACAAACTTTCTTTCCGGATTGCGGATCCATCATGAAACACATAGCTTCTCTAATCGCCTTGCTGTTGTTGATGTAGTGATCACAGTCCACATTAAGAAGGTAAGGAGCATTTGACAGAACAGCTGAGACTCGAATCTTCAAGAAAATGTAGAAAAAATACTCTTGTTAGTTTAAGAAAGTTCGAGAAAGCTAAAAAAGAAAGAAAAAGATACATCATCCTTACCAAAGAATTCATAGCTCCAGCTTTCTTATGGTGCTCAAAACCAGGCCGCTTCTCACGAGACACATACACAAGACGAGGCAACTCATTCCCATCGGTATCACGAACTCCGCTGTGTCCCAAGAAGACCTGAATCATTCCGGGATGGTCTCTGACATTGTTTCCAGGCCAAGGAGTTCCATCTTGCATCGTCCAACCTTCCTCAGGCACTTTCTGTGCTGTTGCAACCAACGCATTTATCTTCACCTTAAACTCCTCATACTCTCTCTACAACAAACAAAACAAACAAAAAGGTAAGTTCCATAAACTTAGACTCTTGAAACAAAACTCTTAAAGATCATATGTATATTCAAACCTTCATAGCTCGACGTTCCCTGACAAAAGCAGGATGGACTTTATTCTTCAAATAGTCCATCTTCTGGCAGAAATACCACTCTGGAGCTCGCGGCTCGATGTTAAACTTCTTGCAAAAAGGAACCCATTTTCTTGCAAACTCTGCTGTATCAGAAAGAGCTTCAAACGTTAGCATCGCAGCTCCATCGTCCGATACATAGCAAGCGACCTTATCCACAGGATAATCAACGGCTAGGATCGAAAGAACAGTGTTTGCTGTGATCAACGGTGGCTCTTTCAACGGATCCACTGTACTTACAAAAACATCAACTGATGCTAATCCCGACGGTTTTCCTTCCTTCTCGTACCTAACGTAAGAGAAAAGAGAGTTTTCATTAAAAAGACATTTTTCAGATAAGAAGAAGAAGAGTTTTATGTACATAAGAATGTTACCTTAGAGAGAGTCTGTCGAGGTATGTTTCACGTTGAATAGGATACCATTTGGGGAACTGATCAAGAATCCAAGAAACGGCGAACCATATTTCACATATAACCGATGTTAACCACAATCCATACGCATCATTTACTGGATGTAGAATTCTATAATGGAAGAAAAGACAGAGAATAGCGAGCCGACACAGAATCAACATCCTGTAAGGATTTATTCTGCTTGAACGAATCGGTAGCTTTCTTGACAGTGGTTGTCTTCCTTCATCCATCCTGATTTGATTCACCACCAAAATGTTCCAACATCATCAATAAGATTTCAAGAATGTCACAAGATTTGGCAACTCCTAGTTATAACTTACATAGGCAAGTCAGGATCATCTTGTTCGTCGTCATCGTTAAAACCTCGGCCATCGTTTCCTCCTCCTTCGTGCTTAATGACCTGAAGCTTTTCGCCTTGTCGTTTCTTCCACACTTCCATCCGATCCTTCCAAGCAACACTTCCATATCCATACTCTGCTATATCTTTCTGTGGAACCATTGACCTTGCTTGTGCTGTAAACAACAAACATAACCATTTCAGAAGGTAAATAAATTCATATACAAAAACAAAAATGATAAATGAAGCAAACACATACCAGGCACAGAAGAATCTGTAAACGGCGCAGGATGGACTCGACTCCCATATCCGGTCGAAGGAGGCACGATAAGAGCATGTCGATCAGAATACATATCATCATCCTGAAAAGAAACAAATCAAAATCAACATTTTGTCATTTTCAATGAAGATGAAGCCATTTTTGGATTCCTCACCTCATCACAATAAGTCAAGAGAGGAATCTGAGACTCAGGTGGAGCTGAATCCGAGCCACCACGGCCAGTGTTGAGGCGTGAAGAGAGTGCAGCTTCAGCGACATGCTCAGGGTCCATCATACCATGATCAAACTCGTATTCGAGATCATCGATGTCGTCTTCTTCTTCGTCGTCTCCATCAACTCTTGGACTACCTTTGATCCGTTTGAACCGGGTTTTGCACTGAGGACAAGCTTGGTTTCCTTCTCTACGTTCATACTCGTAGCATGGTCTACAAACCGGGAATGCGCATTCGTTGCACGCAACGAATAGTTCACCGTTAACCGTTAACTCGATCTCATCTCCACATATTTGACATGAATGCCCACTCAGTTCTTGTACTGATCGTATCTACAGCAAAAAGAAAACAGATCAGTCTTCTTATCATCAAACTGTATCTGAAATCAAATCCTTATAATTGAAATAGACTCGAAAGAGCATCTGCCAACTACAAATTACGTAACTGTGAATCTGAACTTCGTAAAGTTCTCATTTTTAGTAAGATTTACGTAACTGAGAGTTTGAGACAGTTATTAAAGTAGTTAGCATCCTACTTGAATCAGGTGAGAGCTCAGATAAATCAAGAACGAAATAAAAAATTCGACTTTCTCTGAACTTATTGCTACGGGGAAGACATTAAACTCAATTCTCAGGACAGCTTAATTCCAGCTGACAACATCTTCAATCTCTGCCGACACGTATGAATCATGCAACATTTCGAGAAAGGAAAAAAAACAGAGCATGTGGGATGTGGCATTACTCCACAGAAAGTAAGAAACTTTTAATTTTCAGAAATCTCAGATCAGAAAACAAAAAATTCCATCTAGAATCTCATAATCTAGATCCAACACACGAATAGAAATTCCCTTTTTGGTTACAAATTCAGACAAAACAGAGTAAAATGAAAATTCTATTGAGGGTATTTGTTATTTTTACCCTTACATTCTCATCGGCGTTAATCAGCACGAATTCGTTTCTCTTGTGAGAACCAGCGATGAGCCGACCACCGGTATTCATGGCTTCACCGCCGAATCAAGAACAAAAACGAATTTTTCTCTCTTACAGTATCCAGCTCAGAGACATTGACCCGACCCGGATAATGGATCCAGACTGTTGAGCTTCCATCACACAGATTCAGAGCATGCAGTAGAGAGACGGAGAAGAAGAAGAAAATAAACCGAATCGACGACAAATGAGTGTTGTTGGCTCGGGGATTTTATTTATTATTTCTTGTAATTAAATAAAACGAAAAAAAGAAGAGATCCCAAAGGAAACCCAAAAAAAAAAAACGAATTTTCCCGAGTCTCACGTTCCCAGAGACAGCTATTGATTCCACAACCAGCTAAAACCAAAAAAAAAAAAAAAAAAAAAACTCTTTGGATTTAAGTGAGGGAATGAGAGAATTTTGCAAGCTGACACAGAAGCAAGTGTGATATCAGAGGGTTTGTGATAAACTGAGAGAAAGAGGAAAGAGAGAGAAGGGAAGAGATTCAGACACAACTCAGATAGTGTTGTGTTGAAAATATGGACAGCAAATTGAGATCAAATCTCTTTTTATACAAAAACTAATTTCATAAATCAAACAAAAAAAATTGAGATGGAAACAAATTATATACAGAGAGAGACGTCACAGAATAAGTGGGTCCCGGAGAAAACGACGATGGCCGTGGTGGTGGTGGAGCTGGACTGTGCTCCACCTACAAGAGTTGGTAGGAGAAACAAAAAAAACGGAGTTTTGGTTTTCTAGCGAGTCAGTGAGTGGGAGATAATTTTAGACTGAAACGATGATATTTTGAGGGGTGTTTCTGGGAAAATGGGAGAGTGAAAGCTTAACTGTTTACCGATACGGATCCGGGTCCTCGTGATCGGGTCCAAATAAATGTCGTTGGTTTTTACTGCGCTGTAATTTCATATATAGTCCCTCAGTGTTTTGTTGTATTTTATTTACAACTGTATCTATTGTTCTATACCAACCAGTCCACATTTTTTATAAAAATGTACATTCGCACCAGATATGAAAGGAATCTTTTTTAGGAAAACTGGAAAGACAAGTAATTATTGTTTTGTACGATTAACTTTAATTTTTATGATTAGACGATCGGAAATTAATCTGTTAATTATTATACCATTTATTAGAAACATCCAAAGTTATTATGTAACACGTGAATATTGCAATGGTGCAAAAAGAAAACTAAAGTTGAAAAGCTTCTTTTCTCCTTTTGTGAAGTTTATAAGAATAAATAATTTGGTTATCTTGATTAATTGATGCTATTCAAAGCCGTGACCGTTAGATCAGTATCTTTTCCGGAGCCAACTATGAATAAACAATTTGTAACTTTGTGGTTTTAAAACATTTTAGTAATGGAAGATAAATATCTTGTCGGTGGCATAACCTTTTTTATAGTTGTTTTGTATTTTTTTTTTGTACCGTATAAATATAACTTTCTTTTGTTAATTATATCAATTACTAAACTATACAACTATACAAGCAGCCGACAAATTATATTACCTTACACAAGCAGATAGACCAAAATGGAATTATCAAGGGGGTCATCCTTAGGTTTATGTCAATACAATTATGAATGTCATGATGCTCTTACTAAGTATTCAAAGTTTAATAAGCACCGACGATGTTATCAATGTATCAACTACTATATTGTACCGAAATATCGTTGATAGTATTGTTAAAAGGGCTTGTTAAAATGTCTCCGTCTTTGCAGTATTAGGTTTGGATTGATTTATTTGATGGCGAAATGATAACCAATTCATTATTTGGATGGTACGAACTTATTCTTTCTATCAAGTTAATATACGATGGCCACAAGTGAACTACAAATAAAATACGTTCAATGCGGTCGTGTATTGGGAGTAGCTGTTACAGAAAAACGCATTATTTTACCAGCCAGTGGCAAACAAAACAAAAGGATAAAAACAACAATTCCATTAATTTAAATACAAATACGGTTAATTTAAGGGGAATCGGTTGGATAACGAGAGTATATGTAACATGAATACTGGTTGCGTGTAGTTTTTAGAAATCTACTACAATAATTTGAATACGTGTTGCAGAGAAACAATATAGTTGTACATTCGGTATTCTCACAATTTGGATTTTAGTTTAATCTGGCTCGTCGTATTTACTGTTAACTTCAAAAGCGTTATGGCATTTTTTAATTGGAGTACAAATATTCGTCGGTCGATACGTGCCATTATTGATTCAAAAGCATTTGATGGCCCTCAAGGCTCCACCAAATCGGACAATATATAATTTTGTTGTTGTTGTGAATGTCGATTTCTATAATTGCCATAGAAATTCATAATTAATTAACAGCGTAAACATAATATCACCGACGGAAACTTATATTGTGCTTGAATTAGGTTTGGACGTATGTTACATATTGTTTTAGGCTAGCGAATAATAGACAAGCATCTCTCGCTATTATTGTTTAAAACGAACAATCGTGTTATCACTTATCGTAAAGAACGTAGTTAAATTTTATCGTTAAAAAAGTTATCACTTCTTCGTGTTTTTCGCTATTCGAGATGATATTTGATTTGAAGATACCAACCCTTCTGTCTATAATATTATAGCTATATGTGTCAATTACTCGTGTCTTTGTCGTGTTAAATTTGGCTCAGATAAATAAAACAACTATTTTAACTACTTTTTCTATTTGTGCACTGTGTTCTGTGATGGTACTCACAATATGTCGGTTGCTATTTGCCTATTTTCACTTTTATAAATTATAGTTTTGAAATACAAACAAAAATTTCATGTTATATCCCTAATAAACTACATATAGTCAGTTTAAACAAGTATAATGTTGTTAGGAACATAATTTATCCTGGGGTTTTTTCCATACCAAGCTCGTTTTGTTTGTATTTAGGATAGTAAAATCAAACACGTGGTTCGATAAGCCCCGGCTTTACCCTCCTAATCCGGTTATAATATTGACTACCGCTTCATAATTGTTATGATTCGTAAATCCGAAGGAAGAACTTGTATTAGATGTATTCGAAGGAAGAACTTGTAAATTCGTAAATCCGCCAGATCCGCCAGATCCACCAGATCTTGACCCGCCTGACTTTCGTCGATCTCTGCTTCCGGATCTAGTCGTCTTACCACAATCTTTGGATCTATCCTCTGCTCCACGGTTTGAACCCTCTTTCCCATCCGCCAAAGCTTCAAGAAAGTGTTTTACTCTCTCAGCCTATGCCGAGTTTGCTTCCGCCGGCCAGGTTATCGTCGGAAGCGCCAACCGTCATCCCTTCTCCTCCATTGTGTCACCCGTTCGTCTCGCCGGAAAACCTCTTCCGCTCCTCAACCATCATGCGTCCCCAACCGTCATGCATCCCCAATCGTTCATTCAAAACTTCCAATTTTTGGGTCTTACATGCCCATTAATCTTCAGATAACATTCTCCCAATTCAAAGAAAGCGCTCAAAAAGTCAAATCTTACGGAACCAAAAGCCGTTTACCATAAATTAAGCTTATCAACCTTCTCTCTTGGTGAATCTACGGTACAGACTGGATTACCTCACGGAATATCATCGGACTTTGCCGACTTGCCCCTCTCCTTTAGAGAGATGTTTCTAAACGCTCACCATCAGCCGCCTTGAAGGCGCCTCGAGCTACTCGTCCTGTTTGCTTGTTTGTAATAGCAAAAGAACTCCAGAATGTTTTCAAAACAATTATCTTTGAAGCCCTTTTGAAGAAGTTTCCAGTTTTCATCTTTGATCTAAACTGTTTAATCTATCTTATTGCTTTGTCTTTCGTTTCTGCATTGAACTGTTATTACTCATTGGCAAAGAGTCATCAGCAGCTTCCTACTCCTGTAATCGCCGTTTAAGTTTATGAATCCGAGAAGTTGTCCAAAAAAAAAAAAAATGGAACTAACGTATACATATATACACGATTACGCTTCGTGAATTGCAAGTAATATAATAATAGCTTTGCGTATGTAAAAGGTGCTAATACACAATAGACTCACGCAGCTATTAAAATTCACATGATAAAAAGTGCATTCTGATTAGTTAATTCAATCATCGGACTAAATAATGAAGATTAAGCCTCCTAAATCCTAAGATTGAGCCGTTATAAGTCAAATCCCAAAAGAAAAGAAAAAATAATTGCCACGTGTTAGACAGATAAAATCAGTAAAAAAAAGAAATGTGGCTGCTGGGATTCGAGCCCAGGTCTCCACGGCCACAACGTGGAATTCTTACCACTAAACTACAGCCACTTTTGGGTGACCAGGGTGGACCAAATATTTATTTATCGAACATATAAAAACCTTTCGTCTGCATTATCCGTAACTCCTAAACGCTTCACTAATCCCGTATTAACTACTCTTCATCACCCACCATTCACCACTTTTACTTTCGATCCTTCAGCTTCTCCACTTCCCACTACTCATAAACCTTATAATTACTCTTAATCACCCATTAACCCAAAAACATCAGTATAAATTAAAGCCATCGCAAGCCAATCTATTCACACAACACACAAAGAATCAAAACCAAAGCAATTATACAAAAATGGCTTCAAACTCCACTTTCGTTTTCGCCACGGTCCTCCTCCTCTGCCTCCTAAACACCACCGTCTCCGGCAGAGATCCCCTGGTGGAATCAACCAACATAGCGGCAAGGCTCCAAAGTGGAGGACTAATGGAGTGTTGGAACGCATTGTACGAGCTGAAATCATGCACTAACGAGATCGTTCTCTTCTTCCTCAACGGAGAAACCAAACTCGGTGCTAGTTGTTGCGACGCCGTCGACGTCATCACGACCAATTGTTGGCCGGCGATGCTCACTTCCTTAGGATTTACGTCTGAAGAAACTAATGTCCTCCGCGGCTTTTGCCAGAATCCAAACCCCGGCGGCTCTTCTCCGGCTCCTTCTCCTAATAAAGCTTGATTGCGATTACCATATTAATACACGCATATGGTTTATTAATAAATTAATGTTCTAAGTTTGTAGTCTCGTTCCAGTGATCATTTGACGCATTACAAGCTATTAAAATTTTAATCTTAGATCAATGATTGTGTTTTTGTTTTACATCCTTTTATTCTATTACCAAATGAAAGAAAGACTTTTGAAGCCAGAGCTTGATACGAAAAAACAGAGAAGACAAATTCAGTGACTTGTTACAGAAGAAACCGATTCACAAACATGAAGTAGAAAACAAAGTTAAACTCGAGAGACAGAAACACAACGAAAACACAAGATCATGACATAGCTTTTAGAATCCTCCTTGGTCAAATCTTTGATTCGGCTAAATCATGGAGGGCTCAAGGAGTTCGCCACGTCGATCACAAACCTATACCTAACATCAGACTTAGCAAGCCTCTCCATTGCAGAGTTGATCTCATCCATCTTAATCAATTCAATATCAGCCGTGATGTTGTGCTTAGCGCAGAAATCAAGCATCTCTTGCGTCTCCTTCATACCTCCCACGTCACTTCCTCCCACCATTTTCCTTCCTGTATAAATAGTAAGTCGTGTTAACTTGTGTTACACGCAATAAGATTCTGCAGAGAAAGTTTTCTAGGGTTATTTTGTTTGTTTGTACCGAGAACTAGTGGAAAGATTGGTAACTCGAGAGGCTTCTCAGGTAAACCTAAAGTAATGAGTTTTCCGTTGACTTTAAGTAATCCAAGCAGTGGATACAGAGCATGCACTGCTGATACCGTATCGATAATGTAATCCATAGTTCCAAGTGCAGCCTACATTACATAAACAGAGACATTCTTGTTTCAATTCCATGTTCATTCAGCTCACAAACCGGATTAAACCGGGTCGGAACCACCACATAGTTTAAAGAGAAACGTCTTTTGTTACCTTCATCTTCCGAGGATCAGACGAGACAAGAAACGAATCAGCACCAAGTCGATTAATGGCCTCGTCTTCTTTGTTGGAAGAAGTACTAATGACAGTGACTTTCAGACCAAAAGCTTTAGCAATCTTAACAGCAACATGACCAAGACCGCCAAGACCAGCCACACCCAAATGCTTCCCTGGCTCAGTCATACCATAATACTTCATTGGACTGTACACAGTGATTCCAGCACACAGCAACGGCGCACCCGCATCGCTCGGTAAACCCTCGGGGAACCGCAAAACAAACCGTTGGTCTACCACAATGGTCTCAGAATATCCACCGTAGTTCTTGGTTCCATCGGATCCAATGGCGTTGTACGTGAAAGACATTTGTGGACAGTAGTTTTCAAGATCTTGGTCACACGATTCGCAAGACTGGCAAGAGCCAGTGATCACTCCTACTCCTACACGGTCTCCTTCCTTGAATTTAGTCACGTTTTTACCGACTTTTGTAGCGATCCCAACGATCTCATGCCTGGTTTACATAAAAAGGTTTGTTATATAATTGATTTTTTTTGTTAAATGTAAGATATTTGTATGATTTGTTGTTTGAAATTACCCGGGAACTACAGGGTAATACGAGAATCCCCAGTCGTTTTTGACGGTATGTAAATCAGTGTGGCAAACTCCACAATACAAGATCTTCACTGTCACATCATTTTCACCGTTTTCTCTGTAGAGAACATAAAAAATCGGACCGATTAAAATGTAAGACTTTGTAACAGATCTAAATCGGATGATATAAACTAACTAGAGCATTTGTTGAATCTAGTTCGGAGTTAATGATCTAACTAACTGTACGGGCATAATCCAAAACAGAGAAACAGAGTACGAGGAAGATCTTGGATTTTTGGTCGGAGAGTAATATAATTAAAGAAGAGATTGATGAGAGTATTGGAACCTTCTAGAGAAATGGAAAGGAGAGAGGACACCGGATTTGTCTCTAGCAGCCCAACCGAAGGCTTTGTTCGGATGCTCTGTTTCTGGAGTTTTCGCCATTGTTTCTGTCTCTGTCTTTGTCTGAGTGAGAGTTTGGGTTTCTGTTATTGGATTCTCTCAAGGGAGTGGTGCATATATGGGCAGTTGCAGAGGAGAGAAAGTAGCTCGAGCCATTAATAACCCTTTATTGCTCTCACAGTAAACTACGAAACTATACAGTTAAAAATTTAAATCAAAACTATATAGTATTTATCTCCTCTCTAATTGCTCATCTATGATTATGATGTGGACACAACTTGAAGCAACAATCTCGACATATAACAGTTAATGCTTTCTTCCTCGTTTCCCATTGTTTACGTAATCAGTTTTATACGAAGAAAAATAGTAACGTGCTTCAACAAGGATTTTTCTCAAATTCACACTCTAAACGAAGTTATTTCTTTCATTAATGCCGTCCATGAACCGGTGGTGGTTAGTAGTGGCCGCGTTTATAACTACAACAAACTATTGAGACGTGTCTGAATGGCATTGGCTGTTTACTACTTGAATAATTGAGAAGTCGGGGCTCGAGAGTTTGGTGGCCTCTTAAATTTGCTGCAATTAGTTGTCCTCACCATTTAATGCTCCAATTCCAGATCCGTCTTCGTATCCAGTTCTTTACCCGAACGTTAAATATCTTAAAGCCCATTAAAGCCTCCCATATTTTTCCAATGTTTGATGCTATGGCCCATCTCTGCCTATTTGAATCGAAAAAAGACGCATGCGCTTTTTAAAACGCAAACGCAGACAATAGCGCTTCAAATGCGGAAATCGGAAATCTGACGTTTTAATAAGTCCAGCGTTTGCATTTTGGTGTAACAAACATATTCTAAACAAAAAAAAATCCGGAACAAGCGAATTGATGTCAGGAAACGTAAACGTAAACGCAGAAAGTAGCTTTTGAAGCCTCTTTCATTGTGCTGCTTCTCTTTCGACTTCCTCTGGTTTCGCCTCTGCTTCCGTCTCTTTCGCAGTCGCGTTGGCGATCACTTCCTCGCCACGAACGGCCTCTTCGTTCATAACATTCTGATCACCAGCCGGAGCTGTTGTCTCTATTACCGTTATTTTTGTCTCTGTTTCCGGAATTTTTGTCTCTTTTGCCGGAGATTTTGCCTCATTGTTCGGAGATTCTTCCACCTTCAAAGCTGTTTTCAAATCTTCAGTTACCGGCATCTTTTCCGGTGTTGTCTTCTCATCTTCTTTCACTTTCTTCTCTGCCTTGTCCTGATAACCAAAAAACAAACGATATACAAACTACAAAGATTAGTATAATTAAGAATATAACATCCCAAGAATGTTACATTGTGCTTGTGTTTGATTCGTAACGACTTACTTGAAGGAATAAGTTGCTAAGACATTTTGCAGCGTCGTTCTTATGATCTTCAAGAAGTGAGTCTTTAAGCTCCTCCGGCACGGGAGCACCGACTTCCGACAAAACTTTTGGCTTAAGTGCACAATTCCCCATTTAGCCTTTGAATTCTCTTTCTATTTCTTGTTCGATTCACCCATTAAGAATACGAGCTATTTTATAGGCATGCACACACACACACACACATGTATGTGATGTATGTTCTGTATATAATTGTGCCCGTCCATCTCGTTACGCGGTTAGCTAGATGACGAGGTGGGGATACAGAGAGGCCCATGCAAGAAAATACATTGATTTTTTAATTAAACATTTTATATCATAACATTATCAGATTGTTGCGTCTTTTACTCTCCACAGTCCACACTTGTCACTTAACATAAGATTGTTTATTTATAGAGCTTTAACTTTTTTTTCTTCCCCGATGGTAATCTAAACACAAAGTCTGGCGAAATTGGCGTTGGACGATTTGTCTGGTGAGCATAACCAACATTATGGTTGCATATAGTTGGCGACAAAAAAAAGAAAGCAGAGAGTGTTACCAATAAACGGGTTTAAGAGTAGAGTGCAAGAAAGTTTGGATTCACAAATTATTAGTTGGTTGGGTTTTAAGTTTGATTGTGTTCGTCAGAATACGGATAAGATGATGATGAATAACAATTTGAGATATATGATATATCCCAATCCATGCTTCTTCAAAAAGTCTAAAATCAAGAAAACACGAACCAAATTGGGAAAAACAACATGGTCCTAAACCGATCATATAACTTGAAAAGAGCAAGTAGCCTTAAACAGAGCAATATCAGTATTAAGTATCAACCCATGGACGCTTCAAGATCAAGACCAATGCTAATGATGGTGTCACCGAGGAACTCCCAGCTCTAAGAGACGATGAGAAATAAGAAGAAAATAAGCAAAATTTTAGAAAATGAATTGCCTTTAAATTTGCATGAACAATCAAAGACGAACACGGAACTTGACATCATGACTAAAAGAAAGGAGTGTGCAGAAAAAGATCTCAAACAGCGATAGAAAATCGCAAGAGTTTTGAGGCAACAAGTCTTTGTGAAACCATAACAATACATGATTAGAAACAACTATTCTTGTTCATTCATTGGATCCGGGCAAGTCCTAATATTTCGATTATTTTCGCCTTAGAAAAGATCCAGCAGACCGGGGTCACAAAGGCGTGGCAAGTCCTATCGCGTTGAGTAGAAGAACCACAAGTCAGAGAAGCAAAGCTTTAGCACATAACACAATCACGTAAAGAAAGTAAGACAAACCATGTATCTCAACTAAACATGTGTAAGAGTAGGAACAAATGTCTTCCTTAAAATTTTTGATCTCTATCATTCTTTGTTCCAAACCATATCGAGTCAAAGTTTTGATCTTTTCACAAAAATGATTTTAGTTAGTGAAAACCCTCTTGCCACAGTTATGCTTATAATCAAGAATATCATCTAGAGTATAGAAGCGTTTTAAGCCCTTTTCAAAAGCGAGATTCTAGCTTACTAAACAATAAATCTTCAGGTTCATTTGATATCCTCAAAACTCTCCAGATGCCATAAAAACCACAGAAAACAGGTAACAACTAGCGCAAAGGCAACATATTTGAGGAAAATTAAGCGAAAGGATGAAATTTTACCCTGGGAAAGCAAGCTCCAACAGGAGGAATCAGCAGCAATGCTTGAGCGGAGCCGAGCTGAAGCAACCGCACTGTGAAGCGGAATCATTGTTTCAACGCTTCCCAAAGCCGAGAGAACCCTTCACATCGCATTGAGAGAGTTTCTGATTAAACACCACGAATTCTAGAACAAAAAACTGTGTTTAATTTCTTAAATCAGCTGAAAATGAGAGCTCACCTAGAAGCGCGAGGGATGGATTGGGACACAGAAGGGAAAGGGGATGAAGTCGTTGTTGGTTTAAGATTGAGGGATTTTTGAGTTACGGTTCTGGATCTAGATACTAAGTTTCTGGAACCTGCCATTAACGCTGATCTGCAAAACGATGCCATCTTTGATTTTGTTTTTCTTGAACGGAATCTGCTGAAGGAGAGGAGGAGAGGAGGAGACACTGTGGAATGGACGAATGTGATCACTAAACCCTACAACCAAAACGCCGCCGTATCTGAATTTTTAATAAATAACATTAATTCGTCCCTCACTTTTAATTTATTCATATACACCCTCTTTAATTATAAAAGAGGTTAAAAAGTACATCTACAAATGATTCTATGGATTAAATCATTAAATAGGGTAAACCGAATCATTTTAGTAAATTTTGGGCCTATGATGTAAATTTTGGGACTATACATTGAAACCCTTATTTTCCAAATTTATGCACTTTTATCGTGTGGCGTTTTACTCTGGTCGAGACCGGAGAGTAATAGACTACAGTAGCCAAAAATTGAAATTGAAATTGGAAGAATCAGTTTGAGGGTGAAGAGAATCGAAGGATTATGGCAGAAGAGGCGATACTAAGGTTTCTTCACAACAACAGTGAAGAGATCACTGACTCGGGTCAATTTTCTGCTGAGCACAACCTTGACCACAACGAAGTCGTCAATGTCATCAAAAGCCTCCACGGTTTCCGTTACATCGATGTTCAGGTATTCCTTCTTCGCCGTCTAATCTGAAATCTTGTATCCATTTCCATGCGTAGGGAATTTCGTTTGTTGGCTTAATCTCTGTTTGTTGGATTAATCGATAGGGTTTTGGTTAAGGGCATACTGTGTTAGATGTAAAATCTAATTGCATTTTTGGCGTTTTTCATGAATGCCACTGAAGAATCACATTTATACTTGCGAGATCTGGGTTTATACATTTTGCCATAAGTCTCAGTCACTAACAAGGTTTAGTTGACTATTATTGAACAGGACATTAAAAGGGAGACATGGGTTTTGACTGATGAAGGGAAGAAATATGCAGCAGAAGGAGCACCAGAGGTACAGCTTTTCTTAGCTGTGCCAGAAGAAGGTAGCATTTCAAAAGATGAGCTCCAGGTGATTACAATGGATATGGTGTATGTATATATATGTATATATATGGTGGAATTTGGGATTTGTTAGTCATGCTTGAAATAAGCTATTTGATATTTCAGAAAAAGCTAGCTCCTTCGGTCTTCAAGATTGGCTGTTCACAAGCTGGGAAGAACAAGTGGGTGGAAATGGGAAAGCAAGTCTCGAGGAAGGTAATGCTAGATTGTTCTCTGTAATGGTTTACTATCTGTCTGTCTGCAATGGCGTTTCAATGCTTTGGTTCATTGTTCCCTTTTGTACTGTGTTTGAATCAGTTGAAACCTTTGTCACATTACCATTTTATTGTAGGTCCAACATGTTGAAGATAAAGTGAAATCGCTGCTTTTACAAATACAAGAAGGGAAGGTTTGTGCCTGTCATGTTATATCAGTAGGGAGCTTTTTATTTTTACTCAAAAGTTCATATTGATTTAAGTATCCCCTTTTGCTCCTTTCAGGACGTTGATAAAGACGGTATCAGTTCTCTCAAAGCCAGAAAACTCATAGCACCACAGTAATTGAGTCACACTTTTCCTTTGTGTTCTGTTTCTTTTTGTAGACATTATCAATATCTTATATTCGTTCTTCTACTTGTCAGGATATGGAAGGGATATTCCGTAAAGAAAGGTCCTAATTTCGCTCCTGAGAGAAAGAAAGTGGCCACTGATTTGACTCGAGAAAATTTACAAAAGTATGTCCGATACCTTGCCTTTTTCTTCTTTATTAATGTTATTATAGGTGGTATATGCAATTAATATGGGGAATTGTCTACTTACCTGCAGCTGGAAAGAGTTAGAGTTTAAAGAGTATAACTTCAATGCCAAAGGAGCGCCTGTTGAGGCTGGTCATCTTCACCCCCTTCTCAAGGTAAGCTAACACAAAAACATTGTTGTGTCCCTCTTGTGTAAGCTTGCGTTTTGTATAGCTCAATTGAGTGTATCAGTGGTTATCGTTTCTACTGTTGTGAATGTTTTGAGTAACCTTTTTTATAACAAACTTCTTAAGTTTTTTCTCTCTCTCTTTTTTGGTGTATTAGGTGCGGAAGCAGTTCAAAGACATATTTGTTCAGATGGGGTGAGATAGACTCTTGGCATATATTGTAATTTCTCCATTTTTCTGTTATTGGCAAAACTAATGGTGAGCCTTATGTGATCACAGGTTTGAGGAGATGCCAACAAACAACTTTGTGGAGAGCAGGTATCGTCTACTTATTGCAGAATCATATTTAATGGCCATTAGTTATTCCATGGAGGCTTAGTGAGATCTTATTAGACACTTGTTCTTGATATACGTTGACTGATATTAAATAAACGGTTTCCTATACAATGTAGCTTCTGGAATTTTGATGCATTGTTCCAGCCTCAGCAGCACCCTGCTCGTGATTCTCACGACACCTTCTTTCTAAAAGGTTCAAATCTTCAATGCCTAGTCACTGAATCTGTTGTTTGAGACAGCTTTTTCTCGGTTGCTTGAAGATTTTGAAGTTGTAAATCTTTGAATGTAGATCCTTCTACTACAAGAACACTGCCGGAAGATTACGTTGAAAGGGTGAAACGTGTTCATGAGTCTGGTGGATATGGATCAAGAGGGTAAACGACTTGTAATTAAGCTTACTACCTCGTATAAGTTGTAACTACTTTGTAATCACTCTGACATGGCCTTTTGCACTGAAGGTATAATTATGTTTGGAAAAGAGAAGAAGCAAATAAGAATCTTCTCCGTACTCACACAACTGCTGTTTCTTCTAGAATGCTTTATGCACTAGCACAGGTCTGACTAGACTTTAACTTAGCTTTTCAATTCTCAATCCATAACTGTCTTATGTTTCTAAGTGATTCTCTGTACTGCCTAGCCACTTACAGACTGTGGAAAGTTTATTTCCGAATCTCAGTAGTATAATTAGATTTCGAACTTGCTGCAGAAACCTTTTGTGCCCAAGAAGTACTTTTCGATTGACCGTGTCTTCAGAAACGAGGCTGTTGATCGGACCCACCTGGCAGAGTTCCATCAAATTGAAGGTATAGTAGTAATTTATTAGATTATGTCACATTTTGGGAATTATTTAAAAGTTGGCATCATGTTCTATGGAACTTTGTTATCTCATTTTCAATCAGTTAAATAGTCTCATGTTTTGATCAGGTTTGATATGTGATCGTGGCCTTACATTGGGAAACCTGATTGGTGTTTTAAATGACTTCTTCTCACGCTTAGGTAAACTCTTCCTTAAGTCTCCCATTGATCTTAGCTTTGGTTTGCTTATAAACAAAAACTATTTACGCGATCATGCTTTGCAGGGATGTCAAAATTGAAGTTCAAGCCAGCTTACAACCCTTACACTGAGCCGAGCATGGAGATTTTCAGGTAATTTGTTGAACAGTTACTATCTTCTAAAATGCATAAAACAGAGACAAAAGGTAAAACGTTGTCTGTTGCTGGAATTCAGCTACCATGAAGGATTAGGGAAGTGGGTGGAGATTGGGAACTCTGGAATGTTCAGACCCGAAATGCTTCTACCAATGGGTCTCCCTGAGGATGTTCGAGTCATCGCTTGGGGTCTTTCGCTTGAAAGGTACCATTTCCTTTTTTTGTTTCCCTTCAACATCTAAGGACCATTTCTGACTCTTTCTTGATTTTTGTTCATAAACCAGGCCGACGATGATATTATACGGTATCGACAACATCAGAGATTTGTTCGGACACAAGGTAACCACCAGATATTTCTTTCTTCTGTAGACAATCTTAATCTTTAGGTATACATTCCATTGGCAATTATGCTCAATCCGTGTTTTGTTCTTGGTCGCAGGTGGATCTTGATCTCATTAAACGGAATCCAATCTGCCGAGTTGGAATCTGAGCTATGTTTTTTACTGTCTTCTTGATTCCAAGATGCTCTCCTTTGTTTGTTAGTCTTTTTGTTCTTCTCTTTAGACTTCCGAATCAATTGCAATCATGACTTTTTTGGGGATATTGACATTTAAGTTTGTGTTTTACTTGTGACAAGATGTTATACCTTGCAAACAATTTGCATCTATAAGAAGAATGAAACGATTTATGGAACTAAATAATTTTAGCTCTAAAATAAAATCTGAAACAAAATAATACAAGAGTAGTGATAATCAAGAGTCAAGGGCTCAAGGCACAAGAGGCAAGCAAAGCAAGCAGCCCAGTGGGCTTCACTCATCATTACAGAAACTTTATTTTTAGATTATTGCCCCAAAGGTATTACAACTTTTGGATTCCCACCTCGCACAAAACAAATATAAAATATTAACCCCAATGACAAAGATTATCAAATCAAAATTCGTCGGGTTTGAACTTATAAATTTATGGGACCCTTTTATCAACAATGGAGCAAATCACAACCACAAAAATAAATTTAAAAAATTGAAAACAAAAAAGAAAGTAAAAAATTATTGATCGTGTATTCTGTTCTGTCTATACATCTTTCATACTTCGTCGGCTTGATGCGCCACGGCTACTTTCCCTCGCCGACGATCCCATCGCACCACTGGTTCTCCCTAAACCCTCCGCTTGAGACAGAAGGCTACTCGTTCCCGCCGCAACTGGATCAGACACGCTTTGTCTCCAGCTCCCGAACACTCGTCCACTACTCGACGATCCTCTCGAAGATCCCGTCGTACGGAATCTCTCAGACTCGCTGCTGTCTTCTCTGACGACTCTCAGAGGATTCTCCAAAGCTTGCACTATGTGTCTCATAAGTGGTCGTTTCGCTGGTTTTGGGTTAAGGCAAGATCTAGCGACGATTGCCATTGCCCAAACTTCTTCTAAAAGGTCTTCGTCGACGAGAAGAGACTGGTCTAGAATGTTGATCACTGGCTCTTTCTCTTGTGATGAAATATGTGGCAAAATCTCGGTCAACATTTTTTTGAATTGGGGTTCTTCGCATGAGCTGAGTCCGAGTTTCCCTGTGATTAGCTCCAACAGTACCTTCCCGAAACAGAACACATCGTATGCACATGTCGCTGTTGCTGGAGAGCCCGGAACAATTTCTTGAGAAGACCTGAAGAGAGAACATAATCAGAATTGACTAAACTTATTATTACAACTCTGTTTCTGAATTGGAGACACTTACTGGGATAATCTGCTGAGCAGTCGGGCGATTTTCCGAGGACGGCCATTGTTTTCTTGATGACAAGCTTTGATAAAGCTTCCAAGCCTCACTTCAAACTTGTCATCCAGGAGAATGCTGCTTGCCTGGACATCTCTTTAAACATTGCAAAACTCAACATCACTAGTACTAACAAATGGTGTGGATTCAATGTAAAAAGGGATGATTTTTAGATACCTGTGGACGATAGATGGTGAGCAGTCGTGATGCAGATAAGAAAGTCCCTCTGCCGCTCCCAACGCGATTTTCAATCTGGTGATCCAATCGAGAGACTTCAATCCATCGTCAACAATGGAGTTTGATTTATAGAAGAGTGAGCTTGGTAAATCCCTGTTTGGCATGTACTTATACACCAAGAACTTAAGAGTTGTCCCCTCCAAGCATTTCCCTAAAAACGGGACTATTCTCGGATGAGCAAACCGGCTGAAGAAATCCAACTCGGTTAGATACGCTTCGCTGTTCTTTGTCGATTCCAAGCTGATTCTTTTCACAACAATCTGGACTCCGCTCTCTAAAACCCCCTTGAAAACATCCCCTGATTGTCCTTTCTTGATCAGGTTCGAATCACGGAACTCCTTTGTGGCATTGAGCAGCTGTTGATAGGTGAAAGAGGATCCAAGGCTTGCAAAGTTGATAGTAGAAGGAAGTGCTGCTTCGTCTGGAGGCAATGGACCAACACCGTTGTGTCTCCCACTAGTTGATGATCTGTTTCTTCGTCGACGGACACATAAACTCACTGTGATTGGTAACAATATGAGAATGAGCATGACCAGAATAGACCCTCCAACCGCAGCGATTATTACTATAGCCCTGTGGCTTAACCAGGGAGATTTACGAGTCTTGTTCTGTTGTCCGTAATTGTCGAAAGTTAGTCCCTTTTCGGAGTAAAACAAAGAGCAATCCGACAGTTTCCTCTGTTCCACTGGTCCCTGAAGACAGTTGTTGCTCAAGGAAGAAGAAGCACTGATGGGTATAAAGTCTGGAACTTTACCTTGGAAGTAGTTACTTGACAGATCAACAACTTTAAACCTTTTCAGTAAAAGTGTGAGATTGCCGTAAAACATGTTTCCGGATATGTTTAGGAACGAGACTGTAGAGTCAAAACTGTCAGTGGCATTAGGCAGCTCGTCGGAGAATTGATTTCCGGAAAGATCTAGCATCGTCAGGTCTGGTAACGACAATAGCCTGAAAGGTAAAACTCCGGTGAGACCACTGTCTCGGAAGTCAACGATCCGTAGTTTACTCAGAGAGCTAAACAGATCAGGAGGTAGTGATCCTGAGAGGCGGTTTCCGGCGATTACAAGTGTCTGCAAGTCTCTTAGCTCTTTCAGTTGTGATGGAACCGAACCGGAGAGGTCGTTGAAGCTGAGATCAAGGTCGGTTAAAGCAGAGAGGTCTCCGAGTGAGAGAGGTGTTGAAGAGGACAAGGCGTTACGCGAAAGATTCAGACGTTGGAGCTTTGAGAGTGCACCGAGACTAGCGGGAATCGAACCGGTTAACGAGTTTGAGGAGAGATCAAGAACCGTGAGGCGTGATAACCGAGACAGACTTGTGGGAACTGTTCCGGTGATTGAACAAGAACTGAGGTCCAACACCTCCAAAGTCAACAGACTCGATCCGAACAAAACCGGGATTGGACCTGGAAGAGAGAAGCTTGAGGCGTTGAAGGACGTTAACCGGGTGAGATTGACGAGCGAACCGACTGAGAATTCCGGGTTTTGATTCCCAATCCTTGTTCTTCTGAACCCTGAAATGTTGATCTCAGTTACAGTGCCGTTATCACATTTTACGCCGTTCCAATTCAGGCAAGGATCGCCTTTTACAGGCCAATCCTTGCCTCTTAGCCCTAGAGAAGACCGAAGTGCCAAAAGCGCCGATTTCTCAGCCGAGGAACTTGTCTGTTGCTCAAACGTTGACTCTAACAACAAGAGGAAGAAGAAGAAGAAGACCGGTAATGTTGTTGTCTTCTTCTGATCCACCATGGTTTTGATAAGCTCCGATGAATAAATCGGAAAACCCTTAAAAGTTAAAAAAAACCTTCATTTCTCAGATTCAATTGGAAAGAATCTTTGCGATTTATGGAAAAATCCATCACTCAAAATCAAATCTTTTTTTTTTTATGTTCCTTCGATTGGATCAAAAAAGGAAACTTTCTGTTTGTGACTTTCTAATAAAGATAAAAAAATTTCTCTTTGTACCTCTGCGACTTTCTATTACTTCAGAATCAAAACCATTGTTGGTTACCAATCATTTTCTGCTCCCTCTCTCTCTAACTCTTCCATCTTTCGTTGATTTTCTAGATTTAGAGAGAGAAAGTCTAAAGTAATACGAAACCAAAATTGAATATTTTAATTTTTGATGTAATTTTTATCAGAACTGTTCTGGACAGAGAAAGCTTCATACTGGTCAAGAACAACGGCCGATTCAAATAAAAAGAGTGTTAACAATTTTTTATTTATTTAAGTGAGAGATGGGATCTTTTGTTATATACGCGCACGTTCCCAAAATTTATGGTTCGTTCGATTTAGTCCTACTTAATTAGAAGATATTTTTTTGATACGATGCCGTTTGATGAGTTTGACTATCATCAACGATCCCGCCCAAGACAGCTTAACGAACTCTTAGCTTAACGAATCATTTCAAAAATAATACTTGATTTTCTGCTGATGTTAGCTCTGTATCGTACTGTATATATGATATAAATGATATAAAGAAATGATATAGTTCCTATGAGCGATAATCATTAGTTTTAATTTTAATTTCTACATTTTTTCTCGTATTGAAACGTAGACTCCAGTTATGAGTGAAATGAAAAGTCTACGATCATATCATAGTATCATACTACGTGCATATATTGCCTTTTTGTTTCTTTTGTTCTCTTCTACACGCCTCTCGAAACTCTGAGTCAAACTATATATCTCAAGTACGATTTGATTTATGATAATATTCTAAAAACATCATAGATTCATGTTCCGATATTAAATCGAACTCAAACGATCAAACGTGCATTAACGAAACCCTTGTTCCAAAATTCCAAAAAACAAAAGACAAAAAAACAAAAACATGCATTAACGTGACAACTCTTCAGCCTGAGACCATCTTTGGTCTAAATGATCAGCTTTCCCCCAATGCTCCTTTCCAGCTCAAAAACAGAAAAAAAATTGATATCAGCTCCATTGTTTTTGTTTGTTGGTAACAAAATATCGACCATAAGCTCTATTGTTCAATCTTAAAAACTAATATTCATGGAAAGACACTAAAAAAGAATCTCACTTTGCATAGTTTGATGTAGAAGAAAATACTGCAAAAACATTTGCGCATTTTCCCCAACTATATAAGATCCAAAAGATATCTCTTAATTCTCAAGCTACAATGTCAAGAGGCCAATTTGTTACATCCACCGAATTCAGGCTTGAAGTTGCAACATTAAAAGATGAACAAATGCATAGGTATAATGAGAGTCGTAAAAAAAAAAAAAGGCTAAGAGAACTAATTAAGATAAAACATAGCATGATCAACAAATCCACATCCATTCATGTTATGACATTTCTATATAACCAAATAGGTAATTTGAACATCAAAACGTTTAAAAGAGGAACATACCCCACATCAAATGGTTACGGTAAGACATTTGACAATCTTGGATGAAACGTCTAAAGCAAGCGCACGATTAGACGACAAAATCTTTCCCCAAAACTCTCCTTCTTGGCGCCTTTCCAATTCAATCACCGTACTGATAATCTCCGTAACCCCCTTATCACCAACGTTAATCAAAACCGCGAGTTTACCGCCATAATTCGCCAGCCTAGACCATAAATACTTCTCATGTAGATCTTCCACACCTTTCAAAACACTCCAAACCTTTGTACTCGGATCATACACGTAAATATGATTCTTCTCTCCAAAAGAGTACAACATGTCGTCGATCACGCATGAAGCAACCCTCCATCCTCTATTCAACGCAGTTTCAATCTCCCATCTCTTCTCTCTAGGATCATAAACAAAGCTATTGTCTCGATCCATGACGTATTTTTTTCTCATGCATCACAAAACTCTTGATCGTTCTCTCATACAACTCCACATTCCATGGACCAGAAACACTCTCCCAAGTCTTCGTCTCGAGATCGAACACTTCGATCCAATCAACGGAACGCGCCTCGCACCCTCCCATCACATACACCTTCCCGTCTATAATACCCGTAGCCGCGCAGCCACGTGCCACACGCATGCTCGGGAGAGAACGAGACGTGTGACACGGAAACCGACAGTCGACTACGAAGGCATTAGAGGTAAGCTCTCCATCGACGCATCCACCAAAAACGTACATCTCGTAACCGACAGCGATCACGGAAGATCCCCAAAAAGGAATACGAGGGAAAGAAGGTATAGGAACCAAAACAGATTCGTCTTTGAAAGGCTTTTGGTTGAGAGAGTACCAACAATGGGTTTCTTCGAGGCGGAGTCTCAAGGCGACGTAAATAACTTTTTCAGCGCCTTGTTCGAGTGAGCGTGCGACGCAAAGCTCACGGGAAGAGATGAGATCACAGAAGGGCTTGGAGACAAGAGATAGTGCTGGATAGTAGCGTCTTGGAACCAAGGCAAAACAGCTGATTGAGATTTCATTTGGTATTGGAAGATCCGAAGACAATGATGAATCGTCGGAATTCTCCATTGGAAACAGCTGATAGTTCCTTATGTGTGAAGTAAGTATGAGGTATCAACTCGTTACTCGACTTGAGTTTATATAGTCAGAAGAAAGTAATCTCGTTTTAGCATTTATGGCTGTTTTTATTACTTTTATATATTAATTGGGTCGTCAATACTAACGTTTCGAGTGTATAAACTTTAATCACATTCAATGTCAAGGTAGTGGTAGGGACTAGGGGGTGGTGAATTCGGGTAAACTGAACCGTTTTGGTCTAAACTAAACCTAAAATTTGATCATACCGAAGCTAACGATCTCGATGTTGTAAATGTATATTTTTATATAATCTTCTCCAAACCATATTCAAACTATCTAGACTTAAACATGTCTCCTCTTGTTTACCAAAAAAATAAAAACTATCTTAGACTTAAAAAGGATAAACTGAAACTAGCTACAATGTATCACACTGAAATCGATTCACCTTTTCTTGTTTGCTGGTAACTTGTGTTTTAGAAAATAAAATAGAAAACCGAAAAGTCCAAACCAATATCGCTCGAGAACCAATCAGCCGGAAACATCACTCGTAGTTCTAACCTAGTTAGTGGAGTATAGAAACGTAAAAAACGCAAATTACGGAAAAGAATCTAATGCACGAAACATTATGGTCATAAAGTCATAGTTAATGGCAAAAGAAATAGAGATTGCATAATTTGTATTCAACGCCATTCACATCATTGCATGCATAATCGGTGATGTTTCGAGTTTACTTGATAATTTTCACTCAAGTGAAGAGTTTGAAAGAAAAGAAAGATAAAGCGGTTTTAGAAGACTAAGAGAAAAATGTTACAAATTAATTTTTGCAACATTAAATTACTGTATAGCAAGAAGTAACATTTTAATACAAACTTAGATCTCGCAACTTGTTGAACCGCCCTCCTAAGTCCTAACCCCTGAGAGTTGCCACATACTGACGTACACAACAGTCTGTGGTTAGTGTCGTCACTTGCAGTTGCTGTCAGATTCACTGGGCCAAAAGTTGAATTAACTTACGTAGGCCTAAACATGAGGCCCAATAATTATCAAACACGGACGAGACAAGACGAAGGATATACATGTCATTTCGGGAATAAAGATATTTTAAACGCAGATATTTTTGCTCGGAACGAGGAGAAAAAATCTTTGTTTTCCAAAAACCTCACATGATGTGGGCCTATCCACTAACCATTTAACCGCACATCTTAATCAGAGTTAAATTGGATCGGACTTGAAAACACACCAATCTTTCAGCAGACCCTAGGAAATATCTAACCCTAGTTATTACGTCAGCTCCTCTATAAATTAAGGTTGCGTCTTATCATCTCAAATCACAAGTCTTTGATACCTATCATCTTTCAGTCCCTAAATTCTCCTCTTAGCAACCAAAAAAAAAAAATGTCGGGAGAAGTTGAGTACCGGTGCTTCGTCGGCGGCCTTGCCTGGGCCACGCAAGACCAGGATCTCGAAAGAGAGTTCTCACAGTTCGGCAAAGTTACCGATTTTAAGGTCCGTTACACGAGAGATCGGACTCCCGGATCCCGGATTCAATCGAGCCGATGATTCCGATGGTTCTGATCCTCGACGGATCTGATTCCGATCTATGTTTCTCTGTTACTTGATTCGATTACTGTTACTATGTTCTCTTTGTTACTGTTACTTAATTTTTCCCATCGGTACGTTAATCTTCCTGCTTTTATGAGCCCGGGGATACGTTCGATATTTTGGGTTATTTAATTGCTTTGCTCAGTCATTTGTGTGATTGCTTTTGCTGATCTGTGGTTTGTTTGATTTTGATTTTGACAGATCATTAACGATCGCGAGACCGGACGATCCAGGGGATTCGGATTCGTGACCTTCGAGGACGAGAAGTCCATGAGGGATGCGATTGAGCAGATGAACGGAAAAGAGCTCGATGGCCGTAGCATCACCGTGAACGAGGCTCAGTCTAGAGGAAGCGGCGGTGGAGGAGGCCGTGGTGGCGGTGGATACGAAAGACGTAGCGGAGGTGGAGGATATGGAGGTGGTGGTGGTGGATACGGAGGTGGCGGCGGCGGTGGATACGAAAGACGTAGCGGAGGTTATGGAGGCGGTGGTGGCCGTGGAGGAGGTGGTTACGGTGGTGGTGGTCGCCGTGAAGACGGTGGCTACGGAGGAAATGGTGGAGGAGGCGGTGGTTACGGAGGAAGCGGTGGTGGTGGCGGCGGCGGCTGGTAATCGAAGAAAAGTAGTTGATACTGCTCTGTTTTCGGTTTAGATTTGGTTCTGCGTCCTTGTTTCTCCGATATTGTTCTGGTTATTGTGGTTTACTTTTTTGATCTTAACAGATCGTTTATGGTCTTGTTTGCTTGAAATGAAATGTTAATTCGCGTGTTGTTCACTAAACTCCCAAGATCTTCCATTATCTGATTTGAGATTTTCAATAACTCACAAATTATTATGCTCGTTCACTATCATGAGCTTGTGTTCTTCGAAGATTCAATTGATGTTCGGTCCCCCATATTATAAAATTCAAATTAAATATTTACTTGTTAATTGTGTCAGTACCACTCACTCTTTATTTGTGTAGAATTTGACCAAATTTGTTAATTGCACGATCTTTTCATTTAGATGTCTCACTATAATTGCGCTCAACGGCGAATTAATGTGACCCGAGTGATTTATTCCAGATTTTTTTGCTAAGATGAGCTACGAACGACAAATAATATACTTCGAATATTCTCTTTACGATTTTCCGTATTAGTTTATAGCATCTTTATACCGTCAAAGTTTTTGGCCCAGTAATTACGCGGCCGGCAAAGTCAAAGAGCCCAATGCACTCTCGCCAAATTTTGAAGGAACGAGGTTATCCCAAATCCAACGATCATATAACAACAATTAAAAAACATATCAAGTAATTTAGTTTTATGATTATGTCTACTCTTCACTGTACTAAAACTTAGAAACGTGTGGGCTGGTAGAGTAATGCTCTGCTTATTCAGTCTGCACCGTCTTGAAAAGGAAGTAAGCTTTGAGTTTACATTATTTGTGCACAGAGATTAAAGAGTGTGAGTTCTTATGATGAAAAACTGTATAAAAGACTAAAAGAATCAGATCAGCCCTCGAACCCTGTATCACGCGAGAAATGAACGAAGCCCTTATAGCATCACCCACAGCTCAAGAAATCAAATCAGCCCTCTTCTCAATCAACCCGGACAAAGCCCCACGGCCAGATGGATTCTCTGCGAGTTTTTTCCAATCAAACTGGTTAGTCATGGGACCAAAGATAATAAAAAAGATCAAAGAGATTTTTGAAGCCGAAAGCATCCCAAATTCTGTCAATTCAACCTATGTGAGACTAATCCCAAAGGTGCATAGCCCAAAGACAGTAGCGGAGTATCGACCTATAGCCCTATGCAATGTCTACTACAAGATTATCTCGAAAATCCTAACAAGCAGACTCCAACCAATCCTACCTACCATAATATCCGAGAATCAAACGGCGTTTGTGCCCAAGAGGGCTATCTCGGATAATGTCCTCATAACCCACGAAAACCTACATTACCTCAAAACTTCCGGAGCAACGAAGCACTGCTCCATGACCATCAAGACGGACATGAGCAAAGCGTACGATCGACTTGAATGGGACTTCATAGTGGCGGTGATGGAACGGATGAGCTTCCATCCGAAATGGATTAACTGGATTCTCCAGTGTATCTCCACAGTCTCCTATTCCTTCCTCATTAATGGAGCTGCCCAAGGACGCGTCTTACCCCAAAGAGGCATCAGACAGGGCGATCCCTTATCACCGTTCATCTTCATCTTATGCAATGAAGTCTAAAAATGCTTTCATCTTATCTTCATCTTATCAAAAGTGCTTTCAGGCCTCTGCAAGAATGCACAAACGAACGGATCATTACCAGGAATCACTTACTGTTTGCCGACGACACCATGTTCTTCAATAAAACAAGTCCAAAAAGTTGTGAATCACTACGAGCGATCCTACAAAAATATGAAGAAGCGTCAGGACAACAAATCAACCTCTCAAAATCCTCGGTTACATTTTCCAGGAAGACACCACAAGAGATAAGAACACGAGTTAAAGCTACCCTAGGAATTGAAAAGGAGGGAGGGCAAGGAAAATACCTTGGTTTACCTGAGAGCTTCGGACGCAGGAAAAAGGACTTGTTCACCGTGATAGTAGACCGTATTCGCCAACGAGCTATAAAGTATTCCTCAAGATTCCTCTCAGCGGCAGGGAAGATGACAATGATCAAATCTGTATTATCAGCCATCCCCACATACGCAATGTCCTGCTTCAAGCTCCCAGCAGGACTCTGCAAACGTATACAATCCGCTATTACCCGATTCTGGTGGGATACAACGATAGGAAAGAAGAAGATGTGTTGGTTATCATGGACCAAACTCACCAGATCAAAGAAGCAAGGGGGTCTCGGTTTTAGGGAAATTCAAAGCTTCAATGACTCGCTCTTGGAAAAGATAAGCTGGCGAATCCTTCAAAACCCGTCCTGCCTCCTTAGCAAAGTCCTTCTCGGCAAGTATTGCAAGCACAAAGTTTTTCTCGACGTTCCCATCACCTCCTCCACATCCCATGGTTGGCGTGGGATTCTCATTGGAAGAGATCTCCTTAAAACCCGGTTGGGTCGAGCTATTGGTGATGGACTCTCCACGTCGCTGTGGAACGACCAATTGCTTTCCTTTAAAATGCCTTCCCGACCAATGGGACCACCCAGAGCCATGGACCAGAACCTGAAAGTATCAGATATTATTAATGAGCAAACAAGAGAGTGGAACCATGAGAAGATCGGAGAGCTCTTACCGACCCATATGGAGGAAATCCGAGCCCTAAGACCGAGCAAAAGAGGTGCCTCTGACTCCTATTTATGGCTCCCAACAAAATCTGGTGAGTATACGGCTAAAACAGGTTACTACGCGGCGATGGAAAGGGAGGCAGAACCACACCTACATCAAACCCCAAACCATCTAAATTGGGACACTGACATTTGGCAAACGAAGGTCTCACCTAAACTAAAGGTCTTCCAATGGAAAATAGTGCAAGAAGCCTTACCCATAGGAGAGAATCTACTTAACCGTGGAATCCTTGACAATGCCTGCTGTGTGTACTGCGGAGAGCTGGAGACGACTGAACACCTCTTCCTCCACTGTGAATTTGTGCAAAAGGTATGGAACCTAGCCCCTTTCTCGATTAACATCGAACCACCCACTCTCCGATCTTTCACCAATACCCTAGTTTCATCCAAAGACTGGATCTGTCTCCTACCAATCGGAATTGGAGCTGGACCGCTCTTCCCATGGATTTGCTGGACACTTTGGAAAGCACGAAACTATCTTATCTTTGAGGAAAGACCATTCTCACCCACAGAGACCATGAACAATGCGATTGTGGAAGCAAAGGAGTGGCAGCAAGCGCAATCGGAGCCCCAAAAGAAAACCCTGAGACATGCACAATTGAATCAAAACGCGACCCCACCAAACTCGATCCTCTGCTTCACCGATGGAGCATGGAGCGAGATAAATGGAATCGGAGGCCTGGGGTGGGTGTTCGTAGACGGTGAAGGCACAAATATTGACTCGGGTCAGGGAGCCGAACAATTCATTTCCTCCCCGCTCATGGCCGAAGCTCTCGCGATCCGATCGGCGCTCCAACATGCATTGGAGAAGGGTTTCTCACAAATCCACATCAAATCTGACGCTCAGGAAGTCATCCGAGCTATCACAAAGCAAGAGCTAGTTAAAGAACTCTACGGAGTCCTCTTTGACATCAAAACTCTTGCATCTCTGTTTGATTCGATATCATTCAGCTCTATCCCGCGATCGGAAAACACCATCGCCGATACAATGGCAAAAATCGCAAAAAATCGTTTAGTCTCTTTACTTTCCTTCTGGGACCCATTCGATGTAATTGCCAACTAAGTTTAATAAAATGAAGTATTTGCTGTTAAAAAAAAAAAAAAAACTAAAAGAATCAGAAACAAGACCAAGTGTTAACTCGAGAAATTAGTTCGTCAAGTTGCAGAAGGACCAAAACCACTTGGTGGGGACTGTGGAATATAATAATTAAAAGTGTTTTTTCTCCTACATTTTATTCTTGGAAAGCTACAGTGACAATTTAGACCAATCATCAACGTCTAGGCAACGTGTTGCATATTTGGCCTTGGTTTCTTCATTATAAGAAAAATGCAACTTGAAGCTGGAGATATGGAACAAAATCCATCAGATCTTACCCCAAATGCAACTGTTCGTATCACCAAAGTAAGATGCAGGGTATCCATATTGCGTAACAATAAGTTCAGACTTTTCTGAAAACTATTCATTTTACAGCTATAGAGATTGCACAAATTTAAGCTGAAACTTTTATGTGAGGATGTGTATGTGTATGTTGTTCAAAAAAAAAAAAAAAAAAAGGATGTGTATGTTCTAACCGATGATGAAAATTTAATATATATGTCGTGAGCTGCCTACTTGGAGAATCCTACAGCAAATATATCACCGCCTAGAATCAGATGCAAAATGTGTAAGTAAATGAACTTAGAACCAAATATCAGTGATTACTTTGGGATCTTTAGATACTGATCTCTCTCCACAATATTTTCTGATATTATCTCTCTTTTTGTTCACAAAAGCGATTTATATAGAGACAAGGACTTAAAAATTCTCATCGTTCTTGCAAACTCATCTTTCTTTATAAATAGGAAGCCTTCTGCAACATCATCAGTGCACATATCATCCCTCTTGACTTGTAATCTTCCCATCCACTAATCAGCTATATTATTAGTATAGCTATACACAATGGCCTCAAGCACAATGTCTTCTCAAAGATCTGGCTCGTGGACGGCTAAGCAGAACAAAGCCTTTGAACTGGCCCTATCAACCTATGACCAGGATACTCCTAACCGTTGGCAAAATGTTGCCAGTGTTGTTGGTGGAAAAACAACAGAAGAGGTAAAGAGACACTATGAACTTCTTGTTCGAGATATCAACAGCATTGAGAACGGTTATGTTCCATTCCCAAACTACAAGACTAGTGGAGGCTGCACCAATGGCAGGCTGATTCATGAGGAAAATAGGTATAAGACACTATATTCTTTTCATAATCTCTAAGTCTTAATTTTAACTAAGATGTACACCTATATTGAGATTATATAATCAACATCTCGACTCTAAGTCTGTAATTATTCCCATTTTGTTTATGCAGAGTGAGAAATATGAGACTGCAGTGAAAAAAAGACCAAACTACGTGAATAAAAAAGGATACACTTATCGATTCTTCTCTCAACCATCTATGCCATATGTTAATGGCTTATTGTTTTTGTCTATCTCCATATTTCCCATTTTTAATGAAAATTCCAAATCCATTATAAACCATTGTCGTAGTTTTAACCAAAATTTAGCACGAAAATCTGCCATTTCTGATCACAAATTTGTTTCTATAGACTCACGCAGACATGGCGGGAAGTTTGATTCCTTGAAAAAAAAATATAACAATGAAGTGTTTTGTGGGGAGATATGGGCCTAAGCCCATTTGTATGACTAAAATATAAACGTTAAGCTAAGCCCTTTCTTCTCCTGTCATTTCTGGTTGACGATAAGCCATTTCACAACCGACGACGGTTATGCCTCCTCTTTCCGCCGGCTCGATCGCCGATGAACCGCCGCATAAAAAACTGGTAGTACCGGCGCCGTATTCTCTTTCACAACTCCCATCGGAAATCGTTGTCAGTTGCTTAGCACGCGTGCCTAGATGCTACTTCCCGTCGATCTCGCTCGTCTCCACGATCTTCAGGCGTCTCATCGCTTCGCCGCAGATCTACGTCGAACGGTCAGTAATTCGCCGAACTGAACAAGTCCTTTACGTAGTGCTTAGATCTCACGCCGCAGAAACCCCTCGATGGTACACTCTCAATCTCAAGCCCTTCGGAAATGACTCCGAATCGACGGGAATCACCCATAAATTGGTTCCGATCCCGTCGTTCCCTTCGATTCCTTGCTGGGGAATGTCAATCGTCGCCGCCGGTTCTGAGATATACGTAATCGGCGGATGCATCAATAACAATTTGGTCTCCACTGTGTTTGTCATCCAATGCCCATCTCACACCTCTCGCTTCCTCCCTAGCATGAAGCAGGCACGTGGCTGCGCCGCCGCGGGAATCGTCGACGGGAAATTGTATGTGATCGGTGGTTGCAATCCGCTGTCGTTGAATTGGGTCGAAGCTTTTGACCTCAGGACTCAAACCTGGGAGACGGTGACGGGTATGTATAATGTGGAGGTGCACGAGAAAACCATCAGAAGCTTTGTGATAAACGATGAGATTTACATAATGGATCGGAAGAACAGCTTTGTGTACGATCCTAAGGAAGGTAGATTGGAGAGTGACAATATGCTGGACAGTAAATGGAGTGTGGGATCTTGTGTTATCGATAGCAAGGTGTACACTTTTGGCAGCAAGAACAAGATATGGGTGTTTGATCCGGTGGCGAGGGATTGGAGTCGCGTGAATGGTCTCGAAGAGCTTCCTAATAAGCGTGATGGTTCTAGAATGGCGAACCATGGTGGGAAGCTTGCAATTTTGTTCAGCCTTAGAAAGGGTTCGACGGAAATTTGGTGTACAGAGATCGGATTGGAGATGAGAGAAGGAGGAGAGATTTGGGGGACGATCTTGTGGTCTAGTCTTGTGGTTGATTTGAATGCTCCTTCCACCATTGTGCAATCTCTAGCTGTAACGATTTGAGGGATTGTAAAGGTATGCCTCTGACTCATATAATAACCTTGGCTTTGTTATATTATCGAATGTTGATTTCTGTGAAATTGCGTTTTGTTCTTCTCTTGAGGATTTGATTAAAGCTTTTGCTCCAATGTCAAATAACCATATTTGTAACAATAGCAATTTTATACTGCTTTCATGAGTTTGCCAGTTCTATTGGTTTATTCATCAACTTGACCTTTCATTAACAGTATCGTGTTCATGTATGTTGCAGCCTTAAGCTCTGAAAAACTTGTGAAGCAGCTTGGTCTGATCAAGGATGCAAGATGAAGCAACACACCAGGGTTCAAGCAGTAAGATGTGGAAACCAGAGCCAATACAGATGTCTTTTGGATCTTTGGGATAAATGCTGAGTATTTGTGCTATTTCTTGGCCTTGTTTCTATGTTGTACAATATATGTATGTGATTTTGTTGTTTGATGAATACATTATGTTACCTGTCGTTTAAACAGAATAAACCAAGCGCTTTTGAAATGTGTGACCGCTTGAGTCATGTACTATAGGTTAATACTTGGGTAACCTTGAAATTGTAAATGGAAATGTTAGAAACTTAGAATAAGTAAAGTTGATATAAGAGCAATCTCAAAAGTTATCTAATACCTTGATAAAGTTGATTTACATTTTTTTTTTTGAAAGTTTGATATGATGCTAAACAAGAAACACATGGTGATCCTTAAAGATCTAACTCCGTTAATCCGACACTGTTGTTTGGAGAGGCAAATGACTCTCGACTCCCTTGGCTTCCTCGGCTTGCTTCTCTGCCACGGCCTTGGATAATCCAAACATCTGAAATCAGCAAACTTTAAGTTAGGAGATAGATGGTCTCCAAATCAGAAGAGACTTGTCACATATATAATGTCAAGCTCAACGTTTAATCATAAAGCACAAACTGTATTGGCAATTTCACGTCTGAAACTGTGATTTCTACTAAACACACAACTAGACCAAAAAGAGAGTTGAGAAAGAACCTTGGTGATGGTCTTTTGGAAACAAGTCTTGTGTTCATCCATAGAGGCATGTATGAACTCATCGATGTGATCTCTCACGTCCTCAAAGAATGTGGCATCATCCTTTACTTTCTTCCTACATGAAGTCATAACCGGTTTCGGTGGGATCTCGGTTTGATTTTTCTGGGTCTCCATTTGTGTTGGTGCCCTGCAAACAAAACACAGAACAAGAATGATTAAACAAAATACAAAAATCAACAAGGGTTATGCCCTTTCGCAAAGTCTTCACATATCTAAGTATTTTATGGTGAAGCAATATCTCTGATTGAATTCCACAATCTAAGTAAAGCTCTCAAAGCGATAAGCCCAAAGATTGATCCTTGGCGTTGGGTGTTGCTCAAAATCAAAGCAAAATCACATCCAAAACAACAAATTCCACGACGATTACTAGAATAAGCAAACATATCCCCACAAAAAAATCGATCGCGAAGAACCCTAAACGAAAACTCCACGATTCAAAATATAATAACTGGAAAATTACATGTCCAGTAAGAGATGATTGTATCAATTCCTAAACATCACTCTCCGTTATCCGCAATCAATTAGTTTTAACTTAACCACAAACAAGGCAAGGAATCGAAGAGAAAGAGCTTCGTGATAAAAATCATTTACCTCACACTCTTGCTTCTAGAGTTTTCTTCGTTTCTCCTGCTAATAATCAGCTGCAGCTAGAAGACGCTACAAACAAACACAAACACAGTTAGTTTTGTCTGGGCGTTAAACTAAATGGGCTTAAATAATAGGGCCTCATTAAAAGCTTTCTTGTCTACTCGGACCGTGATGAAACGGCCCATTTTTACTTTCCTTGCAATTAAATCAGACTCTCTTTTTCCTTTTTATTCCCTTCATCCAAAATCGAATCGGAATTGGAAATTCATGCCTATATAAGAAATCTGTTCGATCTCCCCTATCCTCCTGACCTCCTTGATTCAAATTCATTCACTCTTTTTCCCAATAAAATCAGAAAACGCTGAGAATGGACGCCGGCAGGGATTGGAAGAAGAAGAACGGCGCGGCGGGGGCGGCGTTTGAGCAGAGTCTGAGAGAAGCTCGAGAGAGGCGAGAGGCTGAGATGGAGCCAGAGACGGCGGAGCTTGCGGCCTACAGACTGGCGCGGCGGAGGGAGTTTGAGGAGAGGGCCCGCCGCCGACCATTCAGTATCCGAGGGTGGTTGGAGTATGCGCGGTGGGAAGAGTCGCAGAATGATTACGATCGTGCAAGGAACGTGTGGGCACGAGCCTTTGAAGTCAGTATGAGTATGATGGACCATACGGTCTGGATCGAGTATGCAGAATTTGAGATGAAGAACATATCTGTGGACAGCGGGAGACTAGCTTGGCTTCAAGCCGTCAGTTGTGTCCCCGACGTGGACGAGCTCTGGCACAAGTCCATCGAGATGGAGGAGAAGCTTGGGAATATCGCCGGAGCTAGAAAGGTATTGGACCGGTGGATCAACAGGTTGCCGCGTGCGGGTGAACAAGCGTGGCTCTCGTATATCGAATTCGAGCTCAGGTATAACGAAATCGAGCGCGCGAGATCCATGTACAACGCATTTGTGTTTCACCATCCAAAAGCTTCTGCCTTTATCCGATATGCTTGCTTCGAGATGAAGTGTGGTGAGGTTGAGCGTGCCAGGAATGTGTACCAACGCGCCACCGAGAAGTTGGCATTGGTGGCAAACTCTGCACTCGCATCAGAGGCTGCTAAAGAGGATGCTGCGTTGCTCTCTCTCGCCTTTGCTGAATTCGAACATCGGGCTACCTGCATCCACGACTTTGCCAATCTACAAGTTTGCGAATGATCACATCCCTAGCTTCATCTTCTCTTTTAAGGTTTTTTTTTTTTTTAATTCTCGTCACTGTTTGCTTTGCTTTTCGCATAAAATTGTATACTTTTAAGCTAACTATTTAATTTATATGACTTTAACGCAGGGCGCTTCATAGGGCGCTAAGGTAAAGTTGGGATTTAAATAAATCAAAACAAAAATAAAACAGAAAAGCCTACGCTTTACATTGGCGTTACAAGCGTCGACGCCAACGGGTCACGTGGCAGAAGATGATTGGCTGTCATTTTTCTTCTTCATTATTCTGTTTTGTTTCTCTCTCCTCCCTCTCTCTTCGCCGTTGCTCTCCTATGGCGGATTCGCGATTCCACGGTAATTCGAATGATTCATCGATTTCGCACAAAAAATCGGTCCAATTATCATGCCTTCGGTGGTGGGTCTTTCCTAATCTCCGTGAAACGGTGCGAATCGGCGAAGAACACCGGAAGATCAACAGTTCTCAATCAGCGATTGTTTCTCCTCTATGCATGGTAACTTTTTCTTCCACAATCGGCCTTATATGGTGGTCAATTAGGGTTTAGGAGTTTATTCAAGTTCATGTCTGATTCGAATTGATCTTCTTTTCATTCGTTCCTTTTACTTATTAGCTCATGTTTTGTCCTAAAATTTTGGCTTGTGTTGTTGTTTATTTTGGTTTCTGGTGGGCACAGAGATGGAGCTGTTGACAACGACAACAACAACAAGGACGTGTTTACAGCTGTTGACCAAGCTGAGATTACAAAAGATGTTTGCTTGATGTATGATTTTGTGAATCAGCATTTACAGGAGGCCACAAGGTCGTTACATCAGCTTGAAAGAGAAGTGAGAATTTCTTGTGATCAAGTGATCTTTTGTTAAAACCTTTCTCTGTCCATATCTTGTTTTGAATCCAGGGTTTCCGACCTAAGCTTGGAGGAAGATGATGTTCTGAAGCTAGTAAGTGAAAAGAGTGAGAACAGAGTTGTAAGGAATATAAAGGCTTCAATGAAATGCAGTGATAGAGAAGTTTCCAAGCCTGCAACCGAGAGCTTCTCTTTCAGAATTCCTCCATCAGAAAACATTGAATCTCAAGGAAGGTCGGATCTTCCGGGAATAGATGTGTTGGTCTCAGCTGCAAAGAGAAAGAGCCGCCTCTGGTCACAGCCAACTGTCAGATTGATGTTAAGATAGAAACTGTGTTTTGTTTTGCAGGTTTGTTTCATGTCTCAACCGTTGATGCTACCTCATCGATCTTAATCAGCAAGCAAATAAAGGACACCAGAGCATTGTCAAGGCAAGCCATATGCTCTCAGATGCAATAAAAGCATTGTGCTTATTACCAATCGATCATACATATATAAGTATGTAACATACCACAAGCAGCTGAAAATTGTAACAAAAGTTTCCTCTCTTGATACGCATTTCTCCTCCTCTTTTTTTGTTTGTTTTGTTTTGGTTTGACAAACATACACATCTATCTCCCTCCACTAATAGATTAATCAAAACACATCTCTTGTTTCTCTAAGCAAGAACTGTGTTTTTTTTACTTGGAAATTGCAGTGGTGGATGATAAGTTTGTCAAGGAACCAGTGAAAATGCAGATGCATATTGAAAATGCTAACAGGTGCAGGAGACTCTATAAGCACCCCTATAAGCACTCTCCATTAGAGGAGAGAAAACAGAGAATTTTTAATAGTGTTGCTTAACCCAATTTTAATAATAAAAAATCTTGTAAGCACTTTTATAAGCTCCGTGCGTTAAGCATGCTCTAATTGTCGTTTTAATTGTCGTTCAAACTATTGATAAAGCAACGGATTAAAAAGTCCGATTTTTTGGGATCATTTCTCATTTGCATCTCTCTCTCTCTGTCTGGACAAATCTGAGTTTTCAATCTCCGCATCGAAAATGGCGAATAAGAGCAAGATTCTGTTCATCGGAGGAACGGGTTACATCGGGAAATATATAGTGGAAGCGAGCGCGAGATCTGGCCACCCAACCCTTGTTCTCGTTAGAAACTCGACGCTCACTAGCCCCTCCCGATCCATCACCATCGAGAATTTCAAGACTCTCGGCGTTCAGTTTCTTCTCGTTAGTGCTCCTCTTCTTTTCCAGTTTCATTTCATAGTGTATTTTTAATTTGGTTTAACCAATAGTTGGCTGCTTCTGTTTTTACGAAAACTGGATAGGGAGATCTTGAGGATCATACGAGTCTCGTGAATTCGATCAAGCAAGCAGATGTTGTGATATCTACGGTTGGTCACTCGCTCTTGGGACATCAAGACAAGATCATATCTGCCATTAAAGAAGCTGGTAACGTTAAGGTAACAAAGACAGACAAACAAAAGAAAACATGTCTAATGTACTTTTGCCTTGTTACTGTCATGTGAAAATCTTGTCCCATAAGAAGAATTGAAAAAGATATAGACAACATTCATCTTCATTTTGAAAAGATTGACACTTGAGCCCATCCCTAATTGAATGTGCTACTTTCATTATTGATTGAAATGCACCGTTTTCAACATCTCCAGAGATTCTTTCCCTCGGAGTTTGGAAATGACGTGGATCGTGCTCACAGTGTTGAGCCTGCTAAATCAGCCTACGCTACAAAGGCAAGAATCCGCAGGAAAATTGAAGCGGAAGGGATCCCATACACTTATGTCTCTTGCAACTTCTTTGCTGGCTACTTCCTCCCGACTTTAGCACAGCCAGGGGCTACTTCTGCTCCCAGGGACAAAGTCATCATTTTGGGCGATGGAACCCCCAAAGGTCAGAGATTTTTGGTATGATCCTCTTACCAATTTTACTCTGTTTTGTGTTTTTGAATTCTTGGCGGTATTTGCAGCTGTGTTCAACAAGGAAGAAGACATAGGGACTTACACAATCAACGCTATAGATGATCCAAGAACCTTGAACAAGATCTTATACGTTAGGCCACCGATGAACACTTACTCGTTCAACGACCTCGTCTCGCTTTGGGAGAAAAAGATTGGAAAAACACTCGAAAGAATCTATGTTCCAGAAGAACAAGTCCTCAACCAGATCACAGGTTTTCATCTGAAAACCTTTCTTCTTCCAGTTTTGTTTATCTATTGTTATGTCCACTGGTGGGGTTTAATGTTTTTCTTCTCTTTTTTCATCCCGCAGAAGCTTCGCCTCCAGTCAGCGTGATGCTATCACTTTGTCACTGCGTTTTCGTGAAAGGAGGACAGACAAGCTTCCAAATCGAACCTTCGTTTGGAGTAGAAGCTTCTGAGCTTTACCCTGATGTCAAATACACTAGTGTTGATGAAATCCTCAACAACTACGTCTAAAGCTTAGTAGCTTAACCCAAGTCACTCCATGAACTGTTTCCAGTATGGTGTCAAAATCCTTTTGTTTTTTTCTTAATAATCTTTAGTTTTGGTTTTCAGGCTTATTAACTTGTCTGTTTCTCCTGTATGATAAATCCAAAATCCAATCAACCGAACTGGTGGTTTTATGATGATGGCTTTGGAACCGGTTTGAGATAGTTATGAATCTCTTTTTGTATATTGATTGGTATTCCGACGAATTCACATGGTCATGCGAGTTAAGTCAAAACGAATCATATTTACAGAAGAGGTATACCATTGCAACTCGTTGATAAAACTAACAGTCTAAGACGAACAATTATCATCCGAGCTAAAACAAATTTAATTTTCATCCTGTTTTCTCTTGTTCTTCCTCTAAATTGTAGGAGAGCTGCATAGTTTTGTCAATACAAAAATAATCTAAAAGACAAATTTCATTTCCTTGCAAAGACAAAAGTGGCCAGGTCATTCCGCACGTGAGCCTCCGGTGCTCCGTCCACCATATTTCTACCACACAAACCAAGAAAAGTCGTCAATATAACCAAGAAAACAACAAAGGCTTTTGGAATCAACAAAGCATAAGTAGAGACGTTAACAAGACTCTCAACATTGATGAACTAACCTGTTTCCCCAAGCTGAAAGGTATGTACTTGTACTTGATCATGTGGGAGATCTGTCGTCTCATGGTGAGCACAAAGAGAACGACCCAATAGCAAAGCAGAATCGGCCAGAACACAGGCACATCAAACACCGAAAAGAATGTCATGACAAAGGCGATGCAAAAAGCCTTTGTCATCGAGTACCTGACATCACAATGCAAGTCATTGAAACTCTATATAGTAAACCATCACTGATAAGCAACAAGTATCGAGTTGCATGTTCATGTTATAAGTTAATACCAGAATTTGAACTCGGGGAGTCGGCGAATAAAAGGCTTGAACTCATCAGAGCCTCTAGTAGGAAGAGTAGGCCCATCCGAGACCCCAGTGGCCTCAGGATCAACGAGAGGGGACAAGAAGCCGATAAGCAGATTCAGAAGGTAGATTCCAAGACCGTAGGCGATGATGTAGAAACCCTGAAGATAGAAAACCCTCAAGCAGTAGATAAGCGCGACGACAAGAGTTCCGATCCACCTATACGTTGCGTGAGGCGTAGTCTTGTCAAGATAATGTTGGTAAATCCTCCATGCCTCGTGTGCTCGCTGCTGCACAGGCGTCGCCGCGGAGCCACTATCATCCCCTCCGCTTCCGTCCATCTAATGAGATATTCGAAACCTATAGCATTGACAAAACAGTTTTGTTTGCTGGTCAATTCCACTCTTGTTATTGAGCAAATTCAGATAAACCAGAGCTTAAATTGCTTCTCGCTGTATAACTTGAATGACTGACTAGCTTTAACTTGATCTACAATAAATTACATTCCGAATAGCTTTTAACTTGTCAGATAATCACATTTTTTCCAGCAATTAATGTAAACCATAAGACTCTAAGAAGATGAGTGAACCTAGAAACATAGTCGCTGCTCGAAATCGAATCTGAAAAGTAACAAGGAAACATGATATCTGCAGCTGTAACGGAGCATTGACTATCGCTTAGCTAATCCATCTCAAGAGATTCAATCAAACCAATTTCAGATCTCGGTCAATTCTAAAACGATTCCAACTAAGGCACCAAAAATCAATCAAATGATAAAACCCCTAAGAATCGATCGAAACACGGATAACCAAATTCTCAGATGACTGCTTTGAAACGAAAGATTGAAACACTTACGGAAGAGGGTGAGCTACACTTATGAGAGCTGTTTATCCGAATGGAGCGAAGAACAAGCAGATCTGAGAACGATTGACGCAACTCCAAATGAAGGACAAGGATTTGATATCGGACGTTTTTTTTTTTTTTTTACGTTTTTCGTTTTTTTTTTTAATTTTATTGTTTTCCTTTCCTTTCCTCGTTGGTTTATTTATTTACGAAATAAGGCAGCGTTAAATTATATTTTTGACCCCAACCTTTTTATCAGTATCAAATCAGCCCTTTATTAAAACAAAGGATAAGTCGTAACCTTTTTATCAGTATCAAATCAGCACTAAATATAACCTTTTTCTTCTTACTTGAATCAGCACTAAAGATTCTTAAGATTTCATTGTAAAGAGAAGGGACAAACTATAAATTAAGATTATTTGAATTTTCATCGCTACTTCGCTAGATGACTAAGGTGTATTGATTCGACGGATTCGACGGTCTATTGCTTCTTCTTCACGCAAAAGCTGATTCTCCTTGCGACTGCGGCAATGCTCGCAGCATTCAGCGGTGAACAGGCTCTTCCACATGACAATCAGCGTCGCAATTGGAATTTGCAGAAGATCCCAAGGCTTTGCATCGAAGTCAGGATGATTACCGAGGCCGCCCCATTAATCATACCTAATCAGAGAAGAGAAAAATAATTAGATTTATACTCCTTCTCGTAAGAAATAGTTTACATCACAAAAGTTTACAGCGTTAGTTTGTTAATTGTTTTACCTCGGTCTTTAATACGGAGCAGCTCTGAGTTTGCGGAGATGCAAAAGTAGAGAGAGACGGCGGCGAGTATGAGACGCCAGAATCCTCCTCCCTTGTCCGTAGGCAAATCGGACTTCAGAACCGTGTAGCCATAAACGACGATCATGTCCAGAAAGTGGCCGGCGAGCGTCCGTACATGACGCATCTTCTCAAAGAGGTTGGTTATGGGCCTCCACCTCGTCGGACGCAGGTCGGACAGTGGCACGATCAAAAAGACCAGTTGTATCGTAAAGATATACACGAGGTTCTCTACGTTCACGTCATCATCTGCGAAGAAGAAGGTTTCGAGGAAAAGCCCCGCCAGGAGGGACCATGCCATTGCTTGAAAAGCCAACGCATACTTGTTGTTTAGGAACTTGGAAAGATTTTGGTGGGCGGTGTATCCTAACATAGTTACTGGTTTTCAAAGCTCTCTGTTTTTTTCTTGTTTCTTACTCTGTCTCAACAAGCTCAGCTCTGTTCTGTTTATATAGAGACAGATAGCTGTTTGAACCGACCGGTTCACATTTCTCTACACCGACGTTACAATGTTTTATTAACCTAGTTGTTCACATGTCCACATCGGACTAATTCCATTCTGAAAAAGTTCTACTCGTTTTCCTCGTAAACCTTTTTCTAAATAGAAAGGCTTTCTCGCAACTGAGGACATTTTTTCAACACATCATTTATTTATACAGTTGGAGGAGAATCAAATTAAGTAACGACGGTAAACTTATTGATTCTACTACGTTTTTTTTTTTGTAAAGGTCCAAAGCAAATAAAATGACAATAGAACATGTGCTTGTAATTGGCTGAGGGTATATAATGTAATCTAGCTAGACATTTTATATGTTCATTTGATCAATTACAGTACAATGAATCCTTAATTTTCAGACGTACCAGTTTTAAATGAAACGAATGATGTTTATAAAACATTATGCAACTGCTAAGTTGTATTAGTTAAATGATAACAAAATTATAAGAACCTAGCTAGGCAAAGCATACCAACTCATTTTGGTTATGTACATACATGTTCAATCGCACATGATTTACCTCAAGTCAAGTTATACAATACCGAATCCTAAATTTGCAAACTAAACAGACCAACAAGAAACATATAAATTAGAGCATAAGCTGACTAACCAGATTTTCGTTACATGATGGTGTTTAGGAGGGTGATTTGAGTTAGGTGGAGTCCTGCAATATCTTGTTATAGTATTTAATAATGAGTCCACAAAAATTATTGTGGCGCCATATGGTGACCATTGAATCTGAATGCCAAAATTATCCAAAAATAGAAATCTATAATTAACTTATTCTCACTGGGAAAAAATGCGTCATCTCTTCAAGATTTTTGTTCTTTTCCATCTAAATTGTTTTCATTGATTGGACATCTTGGCATTGGTCAATTTGCATGAAAATTGGTTACTCACTTTATCATCATGGGTTTTTCTTCCATCGCTGTATTCTTCTTTATTTGGATGACTCAATTTGGTCTCATAAACTTACCTTTAACCAAAATATATACTCACTCTCTTTAAGGTAAGAAAATACGCGTTAAAAAGTGACACCGTGGAACGCGAGTCGTTAAGTACGTGCTACGTGCCCTGGACGACATATGATGTCACATCAGTCATCTGTCTCTTTCGAATCATTTTTACCTTTTCTCTTTTTTCGGTTGTTTTTTAATTGTTTCCTACCCTCGTTGGTTTGTTTATTTACGAAATTTAGGCCGCGCTAAATTATATCTGATCCCCAACCTTTTTATCAGCATCAACTCAGCCCATTCTTAAAAAATGGATGTTTCTGGTATCATGATGATATTTTGACGCAACTCCAAATGAAGGAGAAGGATTTGATCGGCCCTTTTTTTCCGTTTGTTTTCTAACTGTCGTTGGTTTATTTATTTACGAAAAGACAGCTCTAAATTAGATTTGATTTTGACCCCAACCTTTTTATCAGTATCAGTTCAGCCCTTTTTAACAAAAAAAACGGATACGTCGTCATAAGAGTAAGAGTTTCAATTAATTAACTTAGCTAGAATCGAGTGGGAAGTTAACAAAACAAATCTCATTGTGTATGTTAGTAATAAACTAGTTAAGTGCCATCAAATGACAAAAAAGTTTGTTGTGCGGAGATTATGATTGTAAGACAACAAAATACTACTGTATAAGAAAAACATTTCAGTTCCTTTCTTCCATGATTTAGTCAGCTTGTGAGCCCCTGGTGCTTCGTCCACCATATTTCTGCCACACACACACAAACCAAGAAAACTCGTCAATTGGAAAATCATATATCACCAAGAAAAAAAATACTGTTGGAATTAAGAGAATTCAATAAACTTATAAATCATAATTAAGAGCAATCGAGTCAACCTTTTTGCCGAAGTTCCAAGGGCTGTAATTGTACTTTTGCATGTGGGCGACCGGCTTATTCATCAGTATAAGAAAGCAAGCGACCCAATCGATAACTAGTAGGAATGGCCAGTTGTTGACAGGAACATTAAACACCGAGAAGAATGTTATGAGAAAGGCGATGCAGATAGCATTTGTCGTGGAGTACCTGACATCACAATGCAAGTACTGAAACTTAATAAAGTAAAAAACCAACCATCACTGGGAATATTGATGATGTAACCGTAGAATGCTGAGACGAGAAAGCTTGAATCTGAGCTTTAATATATTATTAAAAAAAAAACGAAAAAAAATTAACAAGAACATATATATGTTGTTATTACCAGAATTTGAATTCAGGGAGAAAGCGAATAAAAGGCTTAAACTCATCAGAAGCTCTAATAGGAAGAGTTGGCCCATCAGAGTCCTCATCATCATCATCATCATCATCAGGAAGGTAAAGAGGGGTCACGAAGTCGACAAACAGAATCACAAGGTAGACTCCAAGAAGACAGGTGATGTAGTAGAATCCCTTAAGATAGTAAATCCTCAAACAGTAGATAAGCACGACCACAAGAGTGCCAATCCATCTATACGTTGGATGAGGCCTAGTCTTGTCTGTATAACCTTGGCAAATCCTCCATGCCTCATGTGTTCGCTGTTTTACATGCGTGGCCACCGAACCACTACCACCTCCGCTTCCCTCCATCAGATGTTCTTGTGATTTGATATCCGACACCTACATAGATAGAGTATATATAAAGTATAAACAAAACAGTTGGTCAAATTACAATCTTGGTATTACAAACTCAGTACGTACTTCAATAGTTTGAGAATGGCTTAAAGAAGCCTAGCTTTTATATAATTTGGAAGAATTTGATTTTTAATAAGTTTTAAGATGATTTTGGGTGAATTAGGAAAATTGTTATGATTTTAAATAAAAATTTCATCTAAAACATTCATATATTTTTAATTAATAAACTCCACTATAACACTTTTAAATCTCAACAAATCTCCTAAAATCAACTAATTAAAATATTTTCAATATTGTGGATTTTTAAGTATATTTTAGAATTATAATTTCAATAACACTAGATTCTAAAACAATTTTGTAGAAATTATGTATGAATAACAAAACATAATAATTGTCATTTTAATACAATTTAATACACCCCAAAAGGAATCAAATCATATATATGAATCAAGACCAATCTTCCCCATATTTTGGACAAGTCAGCACTCCAAAACTTAGACATGTGATACATAATTTTTACTTTAAACAAAAAAATCTAAAGGTTTAATGGAACTCTAATGCAATTTTTGATCATCTTTTGTATTGATAGTTAACTCCTATAAAATTCATTACGTAAAGTGACACGTAATTTACAATATAAATCTTCTAATTTCTTTTGTTTCTTTCAACAAGCTAAGTCATCAGAAATAAGGTCATAGAGGGATTCAGGAACATATGTTAGTAGAGACATGCGACAAAATATGAACTTTGTAAATGAAACTAAGAAGAAAAACAATCCACATCTTATTTCTTTAAAATTGATTTGTTCTCTCTGTGTGAAGAGAGAATGTCAAAAGGAGGCCCACCGATCACTCTTAATTGTAAAGCTTAAACTTTATTTGGTTCCAAGTTTGTACGACTCTTATCGCTTGAAACTCTTCTAATTTACATTACAAGATCACAACTGTCTCTGTTTTCACTTCCGGCAAAAACACTTCAAACCCTCCAGCTAGATTGTTTGGTCGGATTGTTCAGTCAGATAATTCCATACTCATATGACAGTCCCGTCTTTAATGGTGGCCTTTTCGACAACCACAGTGATCCCAGATCGAATGTAGAATCCTTCCTCTGGCCTATCAGCTTCTTGAACATCCTGAAAGCAAAACAACCCATTTACCGTTAAGAATGACGAATCTCCCAAAAGTCTTGATCTATAACCAAGAATCAAGAATGGAGAAGAAAGCATACATCTTTGTTCAAGATCACCACGTTTTTCCCGATCTTTGCATTCTTGTCAATGATGCATTTCCTTCAATGTTATATAAAAGTTGACATAAGAGTTTAAGAATCAAATCAGAGAAAGAATATAAAGATTTGTCACCTGATCTTTGTATCTCGGCCAATGCCAATTGGAACATTGCCTTCCGCGAGCAGAGACGCAATCTCGGATTCGGTTTGGTAACTATCAGCTCCCATCATTAAAGTATCCTGCAAGAACAAATAAATAAAAAAACAGAGCTCAGTTTTTTGAGACCAACAATGTCTTTAAAAAGCTAGGTCTGTTTTCGACACACCTGAAGCTCAACACCATAGTCAAGACGTGACCTTTCACCGATGATGGAACGTTGGACGCTGCATTCTCCCAAGAAACATCCGTGTGAGATTATCGAATCTACTATCTGCAAAATTATCAAACCGATCATCACACCGACTACTAAAATCAAGATTTACAGGCTTAAAGAAGAAAGATATTTACGCGGCATTTTTCTGTTTTGGTGGGTGGTAGAAACCGAGGAGAAGTGTAGAAAGGCGTATTCTGATCGTAAAACTCAAACTTGGGATGCTGCAGAAGAAGAAGAGAACAAATAGTTGGGAGATTGGATCAGAGATAAAAGCAAAAGTTAGAAACTTTTTTTGAGTATTCCTTAATGAAACTAACCTCCTCGACAAGCGCGAGATTAGCTTCATAGAAGCTCTTTATAGTTCCAATATCTTCCCAATAGTCTCTGTAGATGTATCCCTAAAGAAGAAAGGTTGATCAAATAGTTTGCAATAAAACTCTCACAAATATAATTTCAGAAGAAAGAGCTTCAGGGATAATTACTTGAACATTGTGATCTCTTATAGCTGCAGGGATAATTTCAGATCCAAAGTCATTGGAAGTCGGATAACGCCACGTCAGAAGTTTCAGCAGAGCTTCGGTTTTGAAACAATAAACTCCCATTGATGCAATGTATGGAGATTCTGCTGCTTCTTGCTGAGACAGTCCAAGCATACTCGTATCGCTTTGCTGCATTTTACATTATAACAGTCAAAAACAACACAACAAAATAATTGTATCCGTTTTTCATTACATGTAAGTTTTGGAGATAAAAGGAACAGTACCATTGATTTGAGATCGACGCCAGTTGGTTTCTCAGAGAAGTGGACTACACGTCCGCTTCTATCAATATTCACTAGTCCATAATCCGATGCACGACTGAGAAAATTCACAAAAACGTTTTTTTCAAGAATCAAGTATGAAAAGGTCCAAATGTATGCAAAAGGCTCATCATAGTGCTACAGAAACTAACCTTTCACCTACTGGTGCGCATGAAAGTGTAATATCCGCGTTTGTATCGACATGATACTGTCCAATGCATAGTATTTTAGACTCAAGCGACAATAGTTTAAAGACTATTAAGAGTGATTTGTGTTATTATGTTACCTGAACAAAGTCCATGTAATTCATTCTGTAGAGATGATCTCCAGACAAGATAATAATATTCTCAATGTTCCTGTTCTTAGCATCCTATAACATAAGACAAATCAACAGACTCAGACCATTTCGAAGAATCACAAAGAAGAGACTGGTAAAACTGGTAAAGTGACTATAAGTTCTTGATACCTCAAACACCCACAGAAACTTTCTGACAGCATCTGCTGTTCCTTGAAACCACTTCTTCCCTGCTTCACCGGGAGTTTGTGTAGCAGCTAGAACCTGTGTCAAGTAAATTACTTTTGCTTTATTTCATTGAATCAAGAGAAAATCAAAAACCATATTGTTATATCTATATACCTCAACGAAACCATCTCCAAAGTTAATGCCATTCCCGAAGTAAGTACGAGCCAAATGGCGGTTGAGGGAAGCAGAGTTAAACTGTGTGAGCACGAAAATCTTGTTTATGCAACTGTTAATACAGTTACTCATCGGTATATCAATCATTCTATAGCATCCACCCACAGGAACCTGCAAACAAACCAAGAGACTTCCCTTTAACACAACATTGTTCTTCTCAGTATCGGTTTTGATCAGTAAATGATAAGTACTCACAGCTGGTGTCGCTGCTCGCATTGTAAGAGGGAAGAGTTTAGCTCCGTTGCCTCCTCCCAGAATGATTGCAGCCACATTTTTTGGATCTGCTTTTCTTCTCTCGAACATGGAAGCCTGTTTTGTCTGAAACCAAAACCATCAAACAGACAAACACCAATCAGTTTTAAGGCAAGATCTAAGACAAGTTCCTCAGACAAGTGTATTGATATCTCTGGTCATTTAACTTACCAAAGCCTCTTTAGCATTCTTTGAAGTAGCAACCGCGTAAGCAACACCGGGCCTCGACTTTCGAATTCTAGACTTGTTGGAACTCAATTCTGAATCAGAAGATATAAAGGAGCTTCCTTTGATCTTCCCACCCCAAAATTTGTTCTCTATATTCTTGAAACCGTCTTTGGGCAAGACAGTGTTTGTCCCCAAGCCTAAGTAGCTACAAGAGTCCATCTTTTTCTTTAACCTGGAAAATGAAACAGAACCGAATCGTATAGCTTGTTAGTAAACAGAAAGAAAGTATTTTCAAAAACCCAGAAGAAAAAATCTCTGATTCGAACAAAAATTTGACTCTAAGTTATTATCTCTCAGATATTCATCGTATCAAGACCAAAAATTCAAATTCTTTTAAGCACCAACAGATGCTGTATCTTCAGTTCAGAGGAATTATCTGCTTCTGCAGGGAACAAATCGTTAAAATCATAGAAGCAAGGGAGAGAACTTACCAGAATGTGAAGTCCTTATTCCTTGTTCTCTGGTTTTGATGAATGTGATTGTGATCTGTCGTTTGAAATCGAAAGAGAAAGACGAGGAGAAGTGATCAGAGAGGAGCTAAATTGCTTTTCTCTCTTCGAAAATCTCTTGTGTATTTATTCTGTCATTTTTTTACCTTCCCCTCTCTTCTACTATTCTGCCATTTACATTTTCAATAATCTTCGGGTTATACAATTTTTCTGTTTTAGAATTGATATTCACTCCCGATTCTTAATCTTTAAGCATCTACTCTTTTCGACAAATATCTATGAAGTTAATACAGTCCACTTGTGAGTAGCATATAAAATTGTAATCACTAATTTCAAGACCTCGTTACTATTTAATTACTAGAAAATTAGGAAACACACGTTCTCTGATCACATTATCAAAATACCAGTTTTGAAATATTACAATTACAAGTAAAATATAAAACTTGGAAACAATAAAATAGTACCTTTTCAAAAGATCATGTGATATGTTACCAACAAAGGCATAGGTGTCTCTGTCAGAAAATGAACGTCACTGAACCAAAATGGACGACTCTGGTTTCTCCCATGCTCTAGCCGGGGAATCATATGGGCACGTGGCGCTCAACTATATGTCAGCGTGTGTGTGGACCCAGGCCCATTTTCATCTAATTGGCCCAGCATAGAGGTGCTCTATATAGTCCGTACACGTCGTAACACATAACTACAAATTCACCTCGATGCTAGAGATTAAGATTTAAATACTTAATTAAGTAACGTTATAATTTTGTTGTGAGATCACAGGCCACAAAATCATATAATAATAATAATAATCTATAGCTATGCGAATTTTATGATGTAAAAAAACAACGGCCAAGTTTCAGAGAGAGGTGTCGGTGTGTGATAAACGTCTACGGGAGTTACAAACTTACATGTGATATGTTTTGCAAATTGTAATGTGTAACCCATTATAGGAAGATTCGATTAGACTCAGCAATGGTTTGAAAAACTGGGCCCATTTGATTGACGGGGGAGAAGACGAGATGGAAGGATGTATGACGCATGGATTAGTGCTATATGTCGGGACAATTAGTTGAATAAATCTACTCTAAAGTTTAAGTCCAAATAGCAAAATAATAAACACTAAAATTCTTTTGTTGAGAGACAAAAGTAAGAGTACATAATCAAATCCAAAGGGAGAGTGAAACTTGTCACGTGGGTTGCAGGCGTTTTCCTATCATGATATGAGTGAGTATAATAATGACTCGACACATTCATTTCCGAACGATTTCTAACTGAAGTAATAAAAGTTAAAAACTTTTTTGGGTTAAACCGAGCGATTCATTTTCCGAACGATTTTCTAAGATGATTTCTGTACCCATATGGTTTTTCATACAACTAATTTCATTTCCCAATAACGAAGAATTCGACCAAAATTGATTAGTGGAGAACCAAACGAGAACCGGATCTATTAGCGAGAACCATAAAATCTGACAAACAAAAATGTCAATGGGTCGACTCAACTTTAGTAGTCTCAATGCTTTTTAAATAACCATATATCTCAATAAACGAAATAAAAAACAAGATTCTAACAAGTTACTGGAGAAGAAACCAAAATATAGGAAAACAAAACCAAGATCAAGCCGGACCAAGAACCACACATCTTAGGTGTTGGTGGCACGGGTGTAGATCTGCTGGCTCGAGTGAGCAGCCACCATCCTGATCAAACCTTTGGCCATTAGCTCTTTGATCGCCCTCCTTGCTAGAGACCCGTTAATCTACATTTTTCAACAATGAAACGATTAAGAAATGACAATAAAAAAAAACGAACATTGGTTTCCACGACATCATACAGTTTCTCTATCTGTAAAACTGCTTGAAACTCATATCATAATACGAACACACCAACAATGTTCATTACTGCTCAAACTAATAGATTCTTATGCCACATTAAATCACAGCCAGTGGACATCAACCAGTGGAGTAATATTTAGATGTGAAATGGTGTAAATAGAAGAAACATATACCCTCATACGATCGGAGAGAATGGAAGGGGTGATGAGCTTGAACTTAGGAGCTTCGGTGAGAAGCTTGTCATAAGTAGCCTGATCAAACAACACCATGTTGTTCACCTTCTCCTTTTGCTTTCCCTTGCTCCACTTCTGTTTTCGTTTCAAAGCAACAACAACAACATTGAATTTAAGCACAATGATTACGGAAATGAGAAATAAATCCAATGCCAATTAAACAACCGCAACAACATCAGTAGCAAAGCAAATCCACATTCCTTAAAGCTTAACTAAAACGTCACTATTTCACATTAATATATAAATCAGAGTACTGGGATACGGACATTTTGAATATAACATTTCAATGAACCCTAAATTATGTTGGTAAGATAGATCGATCTCGACAGATAAGTGACAGCGTCTACATAAATGTGGGAGCATGAGTATAAATTGAGGAGACGAACCTTCTTCTTCTGCTTTCCACCTCCGGATTTCGCCGGCTTGGATGATGGAGGCGGAACCTTGTCCTTCTTCGGCGCCTGTAACCAGAAAACATAAATAACGATTCAGAACATAGAGAAAGAAGAGATGCTTAGGGTGAGAGAGATAGAGAAGAAACGTAGAGTTACCATGTTGAATTCGACGGAGACTGAGGAGAGAACGGCGAGTTGAGGTGATGAAGGATGAGTAGGAGGCTAAGGGAGAGAGTACCAAATAGGGTTTGCGCTTATTATTATAATCTTTAGGGTTTCTAAGGTTTCAGCTTAATGTATACGGGCCACTGTAATATAAAGCCCATATAATGTGCGTTTTGTTTTCGTTTTAAACTGAAGCCCATATTGAATATTGTTGGGCACGTAATATGTAATGAACGTTATTTGAAAAATGTTATTATCTATCCCTCAATATTTTTGTCACAAGATTGAAACGTACACATTTGATCTTATCCAATGATTCTTAAAAAAATTACATCATAGTTCCCAACGTAAACAAAATCCCGCATGATCCGTTGTATGCTGCTGGCGAAATCTCCAGTGATTCTTCAGATTTATTGCAACCAATTTTTTAGTTAATCACATCACATGGAGTTTTGACTTCTTAATTATCTTCTTGTAATGTAAACTTTTGACTGATAAAAAAAAACTCTTTGAGTTTTGTGGTCCTACTTCTTGGTGATCAGCAATTCAGCAGCATTAGTCTTGCTCTTAATTGGTTGATTTAAATAAGTTAATTGCTTCAATACTCATAAAGCAACGTATAATTGGGAGTTGTATTTAGCCAATAGGAATTGAGAGTTGTATTTAGCCAAAATCATATTAACATCAAATCATTTTAAACACTCAATTCCACCAATATACAAACGTACCATGCATGGTATGGATAATTCATCTTATTTTGTGACAGCAACCGCTTCTCAAGAACCACAATGCAAGCTACTCTGGAATTTCTTACTTGAAGCATCCACAGTTTCGAGAAACATTGCAATGGATGAGTCGTGCTCGTACTCATTCAACTACGCAATAATGTCAAGTGTGAAGAATTCCACGTACGATGAGACATGTGCTTAGCCATCTTGGCGATATATATAACCTTGGTTAGAGACTAAAACGAGGCTATTACTCAATTCCATTTTATTCACCGCAATAACAACAACAGAAATTCAAACAGTTACGTATATAACAACAAACCGGAAGCGAAACATCGAAATATTATTGAACTTATAAGTTATAACTTATAACGGTACAGTTACACATCACAAGAAGAAATAAACTTAAAAAAACAACAACACAAAGGATACCAAGGGAAGTAGGGACACATATGCATACTGAGTTTAAGAAAGAAAAGAAAAGAAAAACAACAACAACTTGGAATCATAACGCAAACACTTATTTGGTCTAGCAATCGAAATAACAGAAACAAGCTGAACCGTTGCTATCAGTGTGACAAGCGCCATAGTTAGCCTGTTCCCTTTCCTTGCATTGGGTATTACAGTTGCTCGACGAAAGGCAAATTCCCGTCCAAGAGCCGCTGTATCTTTGACAAACCTCAGCCTCCACCGCCTTCAAACCTGCATATGAATCAGTCTCTAGTTAGTTTGTGTATTTGATTAAATTTCTGAGATGAATATAAAGCACACTTACCAGTTGAAGCAAAAAGAAGGAAGTAGAGGCAGAGTATAGAAACTAGAGTGCATGACTTAGCCATTTTTTGTTCTACTTTGCTTTTGAGTTAATTAGTGGTTTGACATAATAGCTTAACACTAGGGTTTATATAGACTCACGGAGATGCCTGGAGACCAGTCACGTGGTGAAAACAGAAGTGAATACGTTTGCTAATAGTTTAAGCAGGGTAGAAAATGCTTGATCATGTCTAATAATTTAATCATATTTAGGTATTGATACTGGTGTTCCTGCTTGGATCATCCACAACCAAGTTGTAATAGATCAGAGTATTTACCTCTTTTGGGCTTGGCCTTTTCGGTTAATTGAGATTAGCTTGTACCCTAGTGAGTTTCAGAAAAAGTGTGTTTATATTTTGTTTGTCCAAATATATGTTTTTATATCTTTACAAACGTTATGAATATCAGCAATCCGACCTTAGCTCAGTTGGTAGAGCGGAAGACTGTAGTAGTTGCTGTAATCTTTAGGTCGCTGGTTCGATTCCGGCAGGTCGGATTTTATTGTTTTTTTAATTCATGTATTAAATTTGCGTACATTTTTGAAAAGGGAAAGGTAAATGAGCAGAGAATGTAAATATGTCTAAACTCTAAACGATATATAATGCAATATTGTGGATAATTAGGGAACTAATTATATATTTTTGTTTTGATTATCTTAACTGCGGCATTAATGCAAGGGAAGGTTACGACTACGAGAGATCCGATCCAAATATTGAGACACGTTTCGCTTGTGGTCTGGATGTTATGAACAATCAAGAAACACCAATAATGAAACTTATTTCAACTTTTGGAGAAAAGTTGAAATGGCTTTTTCAAAGTGTATCCAATAATGAAATTTTAAAATTTGAATTCATGAGACCACCTCTCTTATATGTATGCTTTTGGTTAGAAAGGGACAAGACGTTAAAGATACAACAAAGAGTTGTTGACCTACAAACCATTTCTCAATCTCTTAGCGAAGAAGTATTCCTTCAAGAATGGAATTTCGTAATTAACATGTTTTTAAGTCTTCTTCTAGAGTTATTCGTAGTGATCGTCTTAATCAATCATGATGCATGGTTTTAAATTAATCTCAGTGCTATCTTTTACTTTTTTAACCACAAAGTAACTTTAATTATATGACTAATAAAACAATCAGAGTAAATAATGATATTCGATACAAGACAAGGCTCTTTTAACTAACAAAATCTTTTGGAGTTGCATACTTTCCAATTTCCATGATCATTAGTATTTTATATCTAAAATTAATATGTTTTGTTTTCTTTTGCAACTAATAAAGTTAACATTCTACAGGTTTGTTGATTTAATACAGTAAGTTGTCTAAGATTTCTTGTAAAGAGAATTTCTACCACGTTTAACATTTAAAGATTGTAAAAATTAAAATATAGTTAAACCGCGTTAAGTTATAATGCAATAATAATATGACATTTTTTACTTTGGTTCAATTATTTTTTTCATTTAAATTTGCTCAAGAAAATGAAAGTAAACATCTCAAGCGCACTTAACGACCCTATATAAATATACTCACACTGATCAAAGCTAAGTTCTCTCAAGTAACAAAGTAAAAGAAAAAGACAAGAGAACAAAGAGAAAAACATATATTCCTCTGTTTAGATTCTCAAATTTCTTTTCATGAATCTAAACTGAGAACACAATTGGTCTCTTCTTCTCATAGAGATCTTAAGCAGATAAAAGCTCAAAACCATCCGTTTCTTCTTGAATTATCTCTAAGCCAATGGATTCGTTTAGTACTCAGAAAATCAAGTCAAGAAAGACAAAGAGGCCTGCAAAAAAGTCTCGTGTTCAGATAATCTTGGATCTGCTTTTCCGGGCGGTCGAGATAATTGTGGTTTTGGTTACCGTAGCTAAGCTTTGCTATCAGCTCGCTATCACGTTTGAAGATTCTGGTGTCGCGGCAGTTATTAACGCAAACCGCAATCTAGCGTTTCTGATAGGAAACGTGATAGTCATCGCTCTGATTGCTAAATCCGGTCTTCTACTGAATCAAGAGCAGGATCCGAAGTGCAAACGCAATGATCTTTACGAGGAGTTTGTTCGGGAGAGCTCAAGGAGAGATGGAAACTCACAAGACGAGATGAGAAACAGAGGAAAACAGAGTGAAGCAAGGAACGAGGCTAGAAAGAGCATAACCGAAACCAGAGCAAAACAGTGTGAAGAAACAGAGAAGGAGAAGCAGAGCATAACTGAGAACATGGCAAAGCAGAGGAGTTATGAGAAGACGGAGAAACTTATTGCCACTGAGAAGAAGATGAAACAGAGCATTTCTGAGAAGAGATTTGAACAGAGCAAACCTGAGAAGATGACAAAACAGAGCATTTCCGTGAAGGGAGAGGAACAGAGAAAAACTGAGAAGATGGCAAAACAGAGCATTTCCGTGAAGGGAGTGGATCAGATCATTGTTGAGCATCACGAGACAGCGGTAGAGAAGCTGGAGAAACAGAATCTGAGTGAGAGGAGACAAATTCAGAGTTACCAGAGATGCCGTTCGGAGAATCTGGAGGGTTTGGAGAAGAGTTCTTGTGTGAGATTAAGGAGATCGGAAACGGATGCGTCTTCTGAAAGATATGATTCCGACGATGAACTCCGATACAAGATCGAGTCTTTCATTGCAAGGCAGAGGAGGAATCAAAATTATGATTAGTTTTGTATAATTTTAGATGAATACAAAAAATAAGCAAAACAAAAAAGAGACTGTAGTTTATGCAAATGACATTCACGTATAGATTGTGTTTGTTATAAAAGGGTAACAAACACAATCTAATTTTACATCCTTTGGCATAAATATTTGTTTATCTTTTCTTTTGTTTGATTTCTTTGTATAATTTTTGCTTATTACATAGGAAATATATTTCACTGTTATATGCCACATTTTTGGGCTGTAATCTTCATATACTAATTTGGAAGAATATTTGATCGGGTTAATAAAACAAAAAGATCCATGATGAAAACTTATATTCACAAGATCACAAAATTACTTAATATTTTTCCATATACTGTAGATGGGATATAATTACTTTTAGATTTCAAGAAAACCATTTATAGCACCAATTGTTTCCTCAAAATAACGCCAAAAGTAAATTTATTTTCATTACCGAATTGGCATATAAGACCAGATTTAGAGGAAAAAAAAAAAAGAAAAGATTAGTTTCCTTTGGCCTACAAAAATGAAATTTCGTCACTTACAAAAATGGTTTATCCAATAATAAGACCAAAGCTAAAAATCTGCTGACAAAAAAGAAAACGCTAAATGTTATGAAAGAAGGATTCAAGCTAAACCTTGTCAATGCTCTTTCTTTCTAAGATTTTAGGCGTTGTAAATTAGGAGCGTTCTTAATTTGGGGTTAAGAGAGTTATATAGATCCCTCTTTCTTCTTCTCCTTTCAGTTTTTTTTTGTTATACAGGTAAAAAAAAATATCTTGAAGGACTGAAATTTGTTCTTGCCTAAACCCTTCGAATCTCACGCTTATTGAGTTGAATGTTTCGAGAGATAAGATTTTACAGTTCTTTTGTTTTGATTCTCTAATCACAACAAACGTGTTTATGTTAATTCTTACAAGCTTAAGAAGATTGATTGTTTCTCGTAACGTTTTCGATGGAAATGCCTAAATGAGTTTCTTCTCACTTTTTATTTCCACCGAATTGATTGATTGTTAGGCAAGGAACCACAGGAACAGAGTTTTTATAACATTGCTTTTTGATTCAACAGGAACATAAGCTATGGCGGACACATTGGTCGCTCACATGGATCGACATAACAAGCTAGACACTGAGAGCTCAGAAGATGACAAGAGATTGACAAAACTTTGCTCGCTGAAGAAGAAGGCAATAAATGCGACGAACAAGTTTAAGCACTCAATGACCAAGAAAGGTCGAAGGCATAGCCGTGTGAGGTGTGTCTCAATCGTTGATGAAATCGATACAGAAGAGTTGCAAGCCGTTGATGCTTTCCGTCAAGCTCTTATCTTAGAGGAGCTACTTCCCTCTAGACACGATGATCATCACATGATGCTTAGGTTCTTGAGGGCAAGAAAGTTTGATGTGGAAAAGGCGAAGCAAATGTGGGGTGATATGCTTAACTGGAGGAAAGAATATGGCGCAGACACAATCATGGAGGTGACATTACATTAACTTTTTTTTCTCTCGGCTCTTGTTTTGTCTCTTTCTCTCTAAATTAAGTCGGTCTCTTTCTTTGTCAAAGGACTTTGATTTCAAAGAAATAGACGAAGTGGTAAAGTATTATCCACAAGGATATCATGGTGTTGACAAGGAAGGAAGACCAATCTATATAGAGAGGCTAGGCCAAGTCGATGCCACAAAGCTGATGAAAGTGACCACAATCGATAGGTACGTCAAGTACCATGTCAAAGAGTTTGAGAAGACTTTCAACGTCAAGTTTCCAGCTTGTTCCATTGCTGCCAAGAGACACATTGATCAGAGCACAACAATCTTGGATGTTCAAGGCGTGGTATGTGCTCAGAATATATATATATATATATATATATATATATATATATATATATATTTTTTCATCTAATCATATTTCCTCTGTATCATGGAGGATTCGATTTGTTTGTGTTTTACAGGGATATAATAACTTCAACAAAGCTGCAAAAGATCTTCTTCACAGTATTCAGAAAATCGACAATGAAAACTATCCTGAGGTTGGATTATATATGCTTTTCTCTCTTTCTTCCTTGAGTTACTAATGGTTTTTGACACGGAACCATGACTTTGTGTTTCATTGTAGACGCTGAGCCGTATGTTCATAATCAATGCTGGTGTTGGGTTTAGGCTCGTATGGACTGCAGTTAAATCTTTCTTGGACCCAAAGACTACAGCCAAGATTCATGTAATGCTCTCTCTCGTTTTTCACTTAAATAAGATCCAAACTATACTTTGTTTTCTTCATCTGCCTCTTTCTGTACTCAGGTTCTTGGCAACAAATACCAAAGCAAACTGCTAGAAATTATTGACGACAAGTGAGAACTTCATAACTCTTTAGACCATGTCTTGAAACTGTTGCTTCATCTTCAAATGTGTTATCTAAAAGCGAACTCTCTCTTGTCCTTAATATTTGTGTAGCGAACTGCCTGAGTTTTTGGGTGGTAAGTGCACATGCGCAGATAAAGGCGGATGTATGCGTTCAGACAAAGGTCCATGGAACGATCCTGACATCTTCAAGGTAATTATTTATGAAAAAAACAGAGGAATGATTCGTTTCAAATTGAAGATATAGCTTCTGAATCATATATATACACAGTTGGTTCAAAACGGCGAAGGTAGATGCCTTAGGAGGAGCTTATCAGGGATAGAGGAAAAGACGATCTCAGAGTACAAGAACGAAAAGGTAAAACGCAGAAAAGGCAAATGATCTCAAAAAAATATCTCAAATTTGCTATAATCACTAATCACTTTCTCTACATTGTTATAAACAACTCAAAACGAAGTGCGAACCAGAAGAGACGTACACGCAATCTGCTGCAGTGAAGGAGAAGAAGTTCATCGACAAGTCTGTGGATGCTGCTGCTTGGCCTACACAGCTTCCCAATCCCACCAACAACAACTTTCCCGAGCCTAAAGGTTAGCTTGCATTCTCCTTAACACACACTAAAACCGGTTTTTGGTTTAAATTGGTTATACTCTGAATTCAGAAATGTACCCGAACCCGGCTGTGAATCCGTTGGAGAGGAGAGGGTACTTATATGGGAGCGTGATGGCTTTGCTCATGGGGATAGTGGGGGTGATGAGGCTGACCAAGAACATGCCAAGGAGGCTCACTGAGGCCAATGTGTACAGCCGTGAAGGCGGCGCCGTGTACCCAGACGGAGTGACGGTTATGTCGAAGCAGGAGTATATGGCCATGGTGAAGAAGATGACAGATTTGGAGGAGAAATGCAAATCCATGGATGCTCAGGCTAAGATTTCTCTCGAGAGGGACAAGATTCTCGATGCTGCTCTTCGTCGTGTTGATCAGCTCGAGCTTCAGTTGTCTGAAACCAAGAAGGTGAAGAAGCTCTCCCTTCTCTCTTGCTCTGTTTTTTTTTACTGTTCTGTTTTGACTCTGTAAAATTGTGAAAAAAATTAGGCATTGGACGAGACGATGACTAGGCAACATGAGATAATGGCTTACATTGAGAAGAAAAAGAAGAGGAGGAAGGTAAGAGATCGATCAAATACTTATATTGCTTACAGTTTACATTAGAAACTACTTGAAAATAATATCTACTTTGTTTGTATCTTTCAGTTCTTATTATTCTGAGACTGCTTCAGAGTGACTTTGGCCTCCGGCTTCTAAGAAGCGTAGAAAATAAAATGTACTTCCATTTCCCATATATTTTGTGTTCTATAAATATGGATACTGGAGAAACATAGGACGAAGTCTTGTTTTGCCTGTATTTGAGGACTCTCTGTTTCTCCTTTCTCATAAATGTTTTGTTTATATTAACTTTAAGAGACCCATTGTCATCGTCGTCATCATCATCATAAAGGAGAAAAAAACTCTCTATTTGAACTAATTTAGCTTTTAAGGGACATAAAAAGATGAGACTTGTTTTGTTTCTTGTTCTGTTCTGTCATTATAAATGTGGTTACTTGTTCTGTTCCTCTTCTTAACAAGATGTAAACCTAACAAGGGAGAGAGAATGAGAGAGATAAGGCAGAGCTGCTTCTTCTTTATTCTTCTTCTTCTAGAAACAGAACATTTGCTTCCTCTTCTTCTTCTTCTGGAAACAAAAACAATATTGATGATGAGATTCAAGAAAACAAATTTGGATTCTGGGCTTCGAAGGATACAGGAAAGGAAAAAACAGACCTGGAATTGAGCTGCCTCTTGACGGTCAATGTAAGCGAGCAATTCTTCTTGTCTCATCAGAGCTTCATAAAGCGCCTGCTCCGAGTAAGAAAAGGTTTTTAGACAAGGAAACAAGTCTCAGCTTCTAGTTTTTAGATGTTGAATTACCTTCTTAGTGGCTATGAGCTCAGCTTCAAGGGCGTCTACACGGCAGACAGCTGCGTTAAGCAGTTCCTCTTTCTCTGAAGGCATCTCAGATGGCTTTGACTGGAGAGCTCCAATTTTCTCCTCAAGTTCGGTTAATTTCTTCAGCACTGAATTAAGGAGATCAGATTCCTCTGTAGCAGCGTTTCCTTCAATTTGCAGTTGGCTTGTAGGTGGCGGAAGCTCCTTAGTCACAACACGGTCTGTTACTGTGCGGAAGAATGTGAGAATTGACATCACAAACGCCATGAAAAATACTAGGATACGAGCACTGAAGCTCTCTTGATCCTTTGGAACATTTGGAGTTATACGAGCTCCTGCTGAAAAGAGATAAGATACCCAAAGTTTCAATATTTTTTTGGTCATTCAAGTGTTTGATGCCAAAAGTGGAACGTTTCTATCACATAAGCAGAATAAAGTTACCTTTCGATGGAACCCTGTTGCTGGTGGCAGGTTTAACCTTCCAGGTGGCGTCAACAGCTTTGTCAACCATCGGAATATACTCATCATAACCTGCAAAACTACCAGCAAAGCTCGTTTCACCAGCACCTATCTTTGCCTGCACAATAATCACTAGCAAGATTCAGAACCACCCACAGATGACGTAATCATCTATACAAACGCATGAAATAGAGAGAGTGAGCTTATAACATACCTCTTCACGAACAGGAGTTAGCCGGAGATGAGAATAACTCTTTACTGCTTTTGGAGACACGACGACATCTTCAGCTTCAGAGCCTGATTCTGCGGTTGATGTGTCACTTCCCTTTATCCATGGATAAGATGGCTTTGCATAAGCAATGACTTTCCCCTCGCTGTTCAGAACTTTCACCACCTGCTTCGCACGGTGAGCTCCTCCGTGAAGTACCATCTGCACAAGTAAACCATTTGTTACCATTTCTGAAATCAGATAAACTGAATAATATGAAATCTTGGGTGTGTTTAGAGATCAATAAAGGCCAAATAAGCAACCTTCAAAATATCAGGATTTTTCCAAGGCCCTTTATCAGAAAGCATACAACCTCCCTGATCCGCGCAAGTACATGTACCACCCAAAAATTCCGGCAACTCGCTGTAGCAAATGAAATGAAAGATAGATCAGTGATGTAACCAAAACACAGAAGAATCGATACAAGGATTATGAGTTCATGCTACATACTTAGAATCGATAACCTCGAGCAGTTTAGTCTGATACTTATTTCCGAGTACCTACATTACAATACGAAACAGTCCAGATGAATCACAAGAGCCTCTTAGATAGAGCCAACGCAAGAAAAATGTATTATACTTACATGAATCTTAGAAGTTGTTTTAGGGTCTAGAAAGGTCTTCACAGTGCTCCAAAGCATACGGAATCCAGGCCCTGCATTGATGATAAACATCTGGTGCAGAGTCTCAGGATAATTGTCTCCATCAATCTTCTGCAACCGAGTAATAAGCTCGCGTGCAGACTTGGTGAAGTTCTTGAATCCCACTCCTTGGACGTCCAAAATGGTCGTGCTCGAATCAATATGCTTCTTTGCAGCAATGGTGCAGGAAGGAAACTTGATCATAAAGCTCCTCTCGAACTCCTTTACATGATATCTCAGATATCGATCAATCGTTGTGACTTGCATCAATTTGTTAGGATCAACTTTGCCTAGCCTCTCAATATACACAGGCCTGCCTTCTTTATCTACGCTGTGGTAACCGTGCGGGTAATACTTGAGCACATCATCAATCTCTTCAAACTCGAAATCGTTGATGATGGTGTCGGTGCCGAAATCTTCCCTCCACTGGATCATATCTGCCCACATTTGCTTTGCCTTCTCGATGTCGAATCTCCTCGCCTTCAAGAACCGAAGCATCATGTGGTAGTCGTCGTGTTTAGTTGGGAGCAGCTCGTCCATCACCAATGCTTGTCTAAACTCGTCAACTGCCTGAAGCTCTTCCACATCACGAACGTCTTCGATGGAGACGGAGCTCACTCGGCCTTCGCTCTTCCTTCTCTTCTTCTTGAGAGAATGCTTAAACTTGGTAGATGCATTGATGGCTTTCTTTTTCAGTGTACCGATTCTTGTTTTCCTTTCATCTTCTGAATTCTCAAAGTCTGACTTTCTTTCCCTTTTCTCATCACTGCTCAACAATCCCTCAAAACCTGTCAACAGAAGAAAAGAGAGCATTTTTTTTAGTTATATAAAAAATTTAAATTTCCTCACAGAAACACTGAAAGAATACAATTTTGCAATTGGAGAAATTGCTGAAATAACAATCAGCTAAAATTACGACCTAACTTTTACAAATTGAGACTCCTAATTAGCAAAACACGACGAAAAAAACGAAATTGCAGAGAGGTTCGCTCTCATTATTCAAAACCAACTCATCGATCCAAGCTTTATGCTTCAATGAAACCCTAGAGAAGCAAATCTCACGAAATCGCATACAAAAGAAATCGACGGATCCAACGAAAGTAGGAAATGAAGAAGATTAATATCAATCTGATTGACTTACATGGCCTTGCGAATCGATCAACAGAACCTGACATCTGAAGATTCTAATCACTAAAGAATTGAATCGACAGAAGAAGCAAAACTCTCGCTCTCCTCAAATCAAAGGTATTGGAGAAAGAAAATGGCGGATCCACCACACCAAACACGAATCCCTCTTTATTGTATTTTTTTCTTGCGAATCTACTTACTCACATTAACCAGGAAATCTCCTGAAATTTCGCAAAAATTTCAGAAGCAAAAGTGGAGTAGAATTCGGAGCCAACTATGGACTATTTCTGTTTTCTGATATTTCTTATTTTTCCACTGAATTTTATTTTTGTGTAGGAAAAAAGGGTATCTAGATTTATTTACCTGCCACGTCTATGATTTACACTCACTTCCTATTATGAACCCACACTATTTTTTCTTACAGATCTCATACTTTAAATAGGTACTATGGTATTAATTTAAAAAAAAAATCTAAATAAACCAAAAATTACAAATTATTTTTTCCCTTGTTTTTATTTGACTAGATAGTTTCCTTTTCTAATTTCTAAGTTTGGTAGTATTCTTTTTTACGGTTTTAGAAAATTATTGAATCAACAATTGATTACTTCTTTGACAAAAAAAGTTATAACTGGGTAATTTATCACTACATTTCAATATGAAATGACCAACTAACCACAGTACGATGTCAACAGCAGATTTGGTGTGCGTTAAATGTAGACATCGAGGTTAATTCTGTAAGAAAATAAATGAAATTGCCTGAAACTAAAAAGTAGCATGAGAGTGGGGCGTGACTATAAATTAATAAAAATATAAGTGAAAAGGAGTATAAGTGAAGAGATTCGCTTTTTGGCAGGACAAAGATCTGACGGTCATTAATGACCGTAGGTGAAAAATTAACAGATCTACGATGAGTAGGCTATAACAGTCAGAATCAGAGAAGTACAGAAAAAGTTAAAAAGAGAATTTAAAAAAGATCGATGAGAATTTTGCCGACAAAATGGAGCAGTATACGAGATGAGTCATCAACAGTCTTTGGCCATTTGTTGTCGGGATTAAACAATTTATTCCTTTTTTCCGTAAACATATTCCGTAATTAGTACTCCAACTTTGATCTCAAACGTGACTAATTAGCAAACAAAATAACAAAGATTATCATCTCGATCGAAAGATGACCAATTAATCATCTTTATTAATGACAAAAAAACGAATTTGCTTTCTATATATTGTACATTACATTTCACTTTTATAAGAATTCCAGAAATCATCATCATCTTCCTCATCGTCACATTCATTTCCACCGTCCGATCTCACGCCATTCTCAACATCCACACCGTCCGATTCCTTGACTCCAGCTACTCCATCACCAGCTCGCTCAGTCTCGTCAGACTTCATCGGCTCCTCCTACACACATACAAAACGGCCGCGTTTTGACACGTTTGGTTACTTTTAGAAAGAAAAAAATATTTTGGCGCCAACTTAAAAATAACGGAATACCAGAAATAATGCTTACATTATCAGGAACATCAGTAGTTGTTTGTGCCTCTTCCCCAGCTATGTCTTCTCTTTCTTCTCCTTCTTCTTCTTCTTCGCCTTCTCTTGCAGCCGCGGCTTCTTGTTGAAGCTTCTTAATCACAGTCTTGAAATGCGTAAGATCTGCAAAAACAGAACAGAGACTCTCTAATTTCCATGGCTCACTCACCCAAAAAAAACTTCAACAGAGAGAAAGAGAAAGGAAAGATCTTCTCACGTTTCGAGCGACTTGATAATGCATCGTTGATCTTCAGTGGATTCCTGCGTTCTTCCAATTTGAACTTGAGCTTGATCTGTTGACGCGTTCTATCAGGAAACAGTTGTTGTACCATCGATAGATTGCTCCCAAACTCTTGAATTCCCTAACGAAAAAAAAAAATAGGAAGCAATCTAATGAGTTGTTAATGATTTATGAGCAAAACCCCACATTTAAGAATCATGGCCTCGAGTTTATTAATACCTCATAGAAGAGTTCTGTATCTTCCTTTGACCATCGTGATCTCGGAGTCTTGTTCATGTACGTTTGATAGTTAACCGGCGAGTCCGGTTTAACTAAATTAGTTTCTTGATATTCGCTCTCCTCCATACCAAAATCATCTTCTGCGTCAAAACCTTGATGAGAATAATCCTGGTTTTCCGATGCGTTCATATCACTGCACATAACACACATTCCATCAGATTAAGAACACTCTGCATTTTTAAATTTTCTGACATGAATATAATATAATACCTTTCTTGGGTAGGCGGCACAACAGGAGCAGCTCCCTTTGCTTCCTTTTTCTGTATATCAACAAGAAATGCACAGTGAAGATCTAAAATTCCATAGAATCTGTAGAGCTCAAATGAAAGTATAAGCAATGATTCTTACCTCCAACCATTCTTTATATTCAACAAGGCGAAGCATATCTTTAATAGGCAGAAATCTGATTTCGTCATCCGGGGTTTCAAGCAATTCCTTATCCACTAGAAAAGAAGATGAAAATAGTTAGTTGATCAGAGAGTAGAAGATGTTAATGTCTGTTAAGAAAATATATAGATTGTTCAGCTAGTTACATGTTCTTTTTCTCTGTCGACGACCTGAATGCTTGAACTTCTTCTCCTTTGGTTGCTTCTCCTTAGACTTTTTTGGTTCTTCTTCACTGGTGGGGGTTTTCCGCTTTCTTCCCCTAGGGTTTCCCTTTTTACCTAGTTTTCTTTGTTTTGGTGCTTCTTCTACTGTGTTCCCTAAACCATTTTCTTCTTCTCCTAAAACTGTATTGTTTGTGCTAGGCGAGACAACCTGTTCTTCGCCAGAAGCATTTGGCGCCTCCATCTCAGGAACCTGATGAAAAAAAAACATTTGCCAACATAAAACACTGCGCTTAGAAAAGCAAACCCAACTTTGCCAAAAATTCTTACCATTTCTCTGGGGACTTGAGGATTACTGCGTTCTTCCTCTTGAAGCTCTCCATAGTTTGGAGTATTCTTATTGACATTGTTTCTTGACTCCTCATTGATTGTAAACTCAGACTCGTTAGTACCCATTGAATAAAAACCAGTATCATCAACAGAGTAATGAGACTCAGGTTCTTCAATCACAGTGTCGAGCAGTCTAGGCTTTGGTTGGAACTTTCCAGTATGTTTCTCTACACAAATACGGCAACATAACTCGGTTACTAGAAACATTTAACAGAGCTACAGCATATGATATGTCGATGTTCAGTGAGTATAAATTACCGTATGGACTACTGGTGATGCCTTCCTCCTGTACAATATCAAGACTTTCCATGTCCAAAGGAGACTCTTCTTCCTGTAACAATATCAAATGTTGCAACTCAGGTTTAAAAATAGCAGTAAATGAACGGCCTTGCAAAGACTACTCACACATACCCCTGTTTGCATCCTTTCAGTTTGAACATGTGTATCTTCATCCGTTGCAGGAGCAGCAAAATCTCTAAACACTGCAGAATCTTGTGTTATGGGATCATCACCACATCCCTTTTCTTCCAAACCCACATTAGTACAAGCACGAAGAACAGAATGTTCCATAGACATACTAACCCTTCCTGAAAACACATCTACATTCTGAAAGAAAGAAAAAGCTTTTTTTTTAGCAAAGGCTAAAAAGTAAATTCAAAAGGTACAAAGAATATCACTTTTACCTTTTCCGATAATGTTGGAATGGTAGATTGGTCAATGGTTTCACTCTCAACCACAACAGTCTCGGAAGTTGAAGCCTCTGCAAAAAAAAGAAGAAGAAGGAGCCACATGTTATAACATTTCCAACTTCAGAACAACATACTGAAAGCAAGTTGGTTGAGGGAGGAAACAAAACTGTTGGGATTAGCGGATGATCCGTCTAGAGAAACCGGATCTTCGCCTTGTGTTGAGAGTTTTTCTTTGGCAGGGAGTGTTGAAAGAGAGACTGGCTTCTTCTTTGGCTGTGGTCTACCTTTCGGTTTAAACCTTCCACCAGCTCTAGCTAGTAAATCCAAATCCATATGTTTCAGCCAAATCAATCAAATCCAAAAAAAAGTCATGAAACTAATCACAAAAACACCCCAATTACCTGCTGGTGCAGCATGATCCGAGGCTAGATCGTCGAAATCTAGATCCATAGATTTCGATTAGTGTCTCCCTCTCACCAAAGTGTCACCTCCCTCTTCAATAAAAGAAAGAAGAAGCTCTCAGTACAAGTATGTAATTCTCACAAACACACAAGCAAAAGTTAGAGATACCAGATGAATCGTGAAACGATCCGTTGAAGCTAGAGCATTGTTGCAGTGGCTACGGCTTACGCTACTCGGAAACTGGGTTCAGAGGATTGAAGGTTCGCCGGAAAAGAGAAGGTTGGCGTCTATTATCGCATTGATAAAGGAAAAGATATTTATAAATTGGTTAAAAAAGATCGTGCAGGCTAGTGGTTTATGGTGGCTACTTCTAGTAATTGGTTAGGCCTCGCGTCTAGGGTTCGATGCTCTGTGCATTAATGACTGACGTTTAAATTCCTAGTTATATATAACGGCCCTTTATGTGGGCTTGAATGATAGGCCCAAATCTCCCTTAAAGACACGTGGGTCACTCAGGAATTTTTTTATCCAACAAAGCTTTTTAAATTATTCATTCTCTTCTCTCTTCCACTGTCTTGTTAAATTTGCCAAATCTGAAATCTCTTCGCAGATCAAATCTCTCCCTCCTTTTTTGGCATCGCGAGCAGTCGTAAGTCTCTCTATCTTCGTCTGTAAATTTGTATATAGCTTCTAGATTCTGGAATCGAGATTTTGATTTATTTATATTCATTTCCATATCGCAAAGTTATCAAGTGTCCCAATTTGATTTGCAATTTCCTGAATTCCTCCAACTTTTGTAAGATCTGTAATCAGTTATAGTCATGCCCTTTTAGCTGCTCTGATTACGTTCCTTTCGCATTCCCACTAGCTTTTTTTTCTTCCTGAATCTCTGAACAATTTTGCGTTTTCGTATCGTTTAACATCGGTTTTAGAGTTTGAGCTATGGTGAAGGAGAGTGAGTATTACGATATTCTAGGCGTCAAGACTGATGCCTCAGCTGCTGAGATTAAAAAGGCTTATTATATAAAAGTAAGTCTTCTTCTTCTCTGTGGTATCAACAGATTCCAGTCGCTGTGAGTAGTAAGTAGTTTTCAGGTAGGTTTCGTCACAAAAATCTCCTTAAGAGAATCCAACTATGAGCTTAGATTTGATAATGGAAACTATGTTAAATCAGATTATGGTTTTGCTTATAAGATCAATTTCTTTGGCTTCTTTGTTTTTGGCAGGCAAGGCAAGTTCATCCAGACAAGAACCCTGGTGATCCTCAAGCTGCTAGAAATTTTCAGGTGAATCAATAGCAAAAGTTCTTTTTTTTGGTTTCCTTCACCGAAGGGGCAAACTATACAGTATATATATGTAGTCATCTCTATTTCTAAGTTGATAATTTTGCTCAACGATTGAATAATACTCTTGAATCTTTGCACTGTTCATGTGAATGAAGGTACTAGGCGAAGCTTACCAGGTTCTTAGCGATCCGGAGAAGCGAACTGCTTATGACAAATATGGAAAAGAAGGTGTTCAACAGTAAGTTTGCAGCACTCTGCCCTTTCCATATGAAGAAAAAATTTCGGTTTAGGCCACATTCCTGTCAGTTATAGACTTATAGAGATAAACCTCTAAGATGTTTATGTTTCATTTGAAAATGTGATTGGTGTAAATGCTTTGCCTAATATGTCAATTTACTTCTTCAATTGTTTCCTTTTGAAGGGATGCAATGGTTGATCCTGCAGCTGTATTTGGCATGCTCTTTGGTAGCGAGCTGTTTGAGGATTACGTTGGGCAACTTGCTCTTGCTTCAATTGCATCACTTGACGCCGAGTTAGAATCACATGACCCTGAGACTAGAAAAAAGATGCTTCAAGAAAAGATCAAAGTGAACTTGTTTGCTCTCTCTTTAACTGTTTTCTTAAGCCCTGATGTCTATGATTCATGTGTGTGTTTCATGGGAATTGTGGTGCAGGCGATGCAAAAGGCAAGGGTAGACAAACTTGTCGCTACATTGAAAAACAAACTCGAACCATTCGTGGAAGGACAAGTCGATGAATTTGTGAGTTGGGCTAACGCAGAGGCGAAACGGCTTTCTACAGCTGGTAAACAAAACAGTCCTTTCTCAAGCACCCTAAAGACAAATCAAACTTTGATTCTTTCTTCATATCCTATGGTTGTTACTGTCAGGTTTTGGTGAAGCAATGCTTCACACTGTGGGTTACATATACACTAGAAAAGCTGCGAGAGAACTCGGAAAGGACAAACGTCTCATGAAAGTGCCCTTCTTAGCTGAATGGGTGCGTGACAAAGGCCACCAGATCAAATCTCAAGTGATGGCTGCTTCTGGTAAAAAGAAAATAAACAGAGTCTTTAACTTGAATTTTTGGCTTCCATAAACCAACGAATCCTCTCTTTTCTTTTCCGTAGGTGCGGTTTCGTTACTTGTTTTGCAGGACGAAATGAGCAAGCTGAATCAGGGAGAGAACAAAGAGGAGCATATTCAGAAAGCCATTGAAGCTAAAAAAGATGCAATGCTTCAATCCCTTTGGCAAATCAATGTGCTTGACATCGAATCAACCTTATCTCGCGTCTGCCAAGCGGTAAGATGATCATTTCATTCCATTGATTACTACGTCAATCATTCCATTGCAATAGCTAAACGTTGTTGTTGTCTCTTCTGTTTGTTCCTCAGGTGCTTAAAGATCCAACTGTTTCAAAGGATGTTCTTCGAGCTAGAGGTAAAGGATTGAGGAAGCTCGGAAACATTTTCCAGGTGAGTCCTATAACAAAAACCGAATAAAAGTGTTCCTTCTCTGTCAAAACATACTGAAACTCTGCTAAACCAATCTTTCAGGGTGGTAAGAAAGCGTACTCTAGAGAGAACAGCTTGCGCCACGAAGAAGCCGCCGTGAAACTTGACGACGGAGATTCCTCAAAGCCGGCGACTTAAATCATGAATATACAAAATTCGAAGTTCGCGGTTCGAAACAAAACGATCGGTTGTTGAGAATTCTTGAATGTATTAACCATTTCTATATTGATAATTGTTGTTTTTAAATCTGAAATTAATAATGTATTATGGGAAGTGATGGTTTCGTTTGTATATTCCCTTGCTGAATCAGTTTCTTCCGTGTTGCCTTCACAAAACTCCAGGTCGCGTGTATCCTGTAAGATATTAAGACAGGGACGTGATTTTTTCGTATTTTTTATAAATTGGCCCCTCGAATATTATAAAATTTTCAGTTTGGAATCTAGTTTTAGTTCCCAAACGGCCCCATCTAACGACGTCACGACGGAAAGTTGCCGGTTAATTATTCGTTCTCCCTTCGTTTTTGTCCTTTAACCTGACGTGGGTCCGCTAAATTTGACGGCGTCACTACACCTAGGCACTTGACCGAACCGATTTATCTTTGGTTTAGTTATGGCAAAAATGTTCACAGTTCACCTCGGTTTAGTTTGATTTGATTTTGCAATTTGGTATGGTTTTGGGTCTTATACACCTACCGAATTCTAACGGCGTGAAATGAAGCGTCAGAAAAGACTTGTATTCGTCTCTTTCCCTCTCTTCTCTCTCTCTTAGAGAGAAGGAACAAAGCAAAGCCTCGCGGTGCTTTTTCCCCCTTTCTCACTCTAACAGACCCACCGGTCTCTCCCTCTCCGTGAAACTGTCATCTTCCTTTTTCTCCGGCGACGTCTCGGAACTTCCGGGAGCAGGTTCGAGGTTCGTGACTCTCTTCGCATATGTTTGATTCGTTTTATCATCCTTCCCTTTGTTTCTTCAGGAGTACTATTTTCGGATATTGATTTTAGGGATTTCATTTCTGTTTTGGGTCATCTCAACATGGCTTGCAGATTTTTCGGCCTTTAATTTGAGATCTATTTGATGAAAATTACGCCACTTATGTTCAGTTTAATTAAGCTCCACTAGTTCTTTTGTTTCCTGATTTTTTTAATTTGGGATTTTCTTAGTGGAGCTAGTCATGGCAGTTTCAGTGATTTGACAATTCGTGGGCACTAGATAGATCGACACGATTCCTTTTCTATCTTTCCTTATTGATAGAGATTTTTTCTCTTAGTGCGCAAGTAGCTTCTTCGGACTGTTGCTTTGTAATTTGATCCAATAGGCTCACAGAGATCTTATCCATGAGGCTCTGTATATTGTGCTCATAAGTTATTCCACCTGTCTTTGATTCCGTCTTCTCTGGCTCTGTCATGAATCATGATCTGATCGTTTGATTGAATTTCTGGTTTCGCAGCTGTTGATTGAATTCCCGAGTTTTCGTTTCTGAAATTGATTCTGTGTTGTATATTTTGCGGTTAAGGTTGTAGCCAGAACGAGATTGGGATTGTTGTGCTGTGTTTTACTGAGGTCCCATCCTTCAAAGAATTTAAGCACTGTCTTTGCATAGTGCTGAGTTATGGGGAACGCGTGTTGTGTTGCTGCTCGAGACAAAATGGTGGTGCCTAATTCATCAGCTGGTGAGAGTTTGCAGAGGAGCAATCTCAGGCATTCTCCAACTTGGAGTTTCCGGTGGGATAACAGAGGACGTGTAGCTGGTGAAGAAACCTCTCTCAGTTGGTTATCTGATGGGATTAGTCGTAACGATGGGTCTGAGATCAAATTTGAATCTGCATTTGTATCTTCTGAAGGGTCTCCTTTGGACAGTTTCCGGACACAGACATTCCAGAAATCTCCAGCCTCAGGTAAATAATTTCACTATGTTAGGCATTGGTTAGTGGAACTTGTAAACTTTAGGTTATGTTTATTGATAGAATCTGTCTGCTTGCTCCTTGGCTTGCTTCTGCATCTGTCTTGATAATAACTTCTTATTGTGGCAGATCTATCTTTTCCAAGAAATTCTTCCATGGATACAGTCTTTGAACAGGTAAAGCGTGTTCCCTTTGTATCTGAGTGCTCTTATGTCTTTTGTTGATATGTAACCTCTCTGTTGTATTTCTATATGCTGCACAGAAAGAAAATGGTTCAACAGAGTCTGCAGCACCATCATATCCATATCATGCACAACTGTCTCTTTCACTGGCTTCACAGCCATCATCTTTCCCAACGTCACCGCTTTCGTCCCAGAGCCACTTGCACACTGCAAGTTCATCTACACTTAAAATGACACAGCGCCCTCGTCTATCAAAGCAAGTCTCAGATGGTCAACACTATGGAGTGAACTCACTAAGTAGAAGCTCAGCAACTGAAGAGAGGCAGCAGGGAGCTCCTTTGAGATATAATTCTTCTCAGAGTGGACCATCTGAAAGTTGGTCAATGCAAGGCTTTTCTGAAAGGATGTCATCTTCTCGCAGCGACGAGCCTTTGTCGTATGATAATGATTGCTTTGGGCTTCAACGTGATAAGTTAGACTATCAGCAGCAAACCTGTGGTGCTTGCTCTAGACCCTTGTCAGAGAAATCCATGTGGAGCAGCCAAAAGATTTTTATGACCAACGAGCTCTCTGTGTCTGCAATTTTAGCTTGTGGGCATGTGTATCATGGTGAGTGTTTGGAGCAGATGACGCCGGAAATTGATAAATTTGACCCTTCATGCCCAATCTGTACATTGGGTGAGAAGAAAACGGCGAAGCTGTCAGAGAAAGCCTTGAAAGTAGAGATGGATTTGATAGCTAGGCACAACAAAAGACTCAGAGCCCGGGTTTTGGACAGTGATTTTGATTGTGATGATTTCGTAATGTTTGATCACGGCCACAGGGCAGCAGCAGCAGCAGCAGGCAAGAGCCCTAAGCTAGTCTCGAGCTCGAGTGTCAAAAACCATTCCGCAAAGCCATTCTTGGCTCGACATTTCTCTTTTGGGTCCAGAGGTCACAGTAAATCAACTAAAGAGAATCTTGCTGTCAAAAAGAAAGGCTTCTTCTGGACCAAATCCAGCAAAAATTGAACTTGTAAGCCTCTCTCTCTCTGTCGATCTTTCTCTCCCTCTCTCTATAAGTAAGACATTAATTGTGGTTGTTTCAGATTCTGCGTTGCTCTGTACTGTCTGAAGCATAGAACTCGATACACACGGACAGTACCATTCTCTATTTAAAGCAGGTTATTTGTTGTTACACACTTTCCTCATAAAAGCTCAACAAAATTTGTCTTACCCATTGGTTTTTAGTGTACTAAACATTCACACATGTAAAGTTACAAATTTAGAATACAAACAACATTGTTACATTAGTCTATTAATTATTCTGGCTGTGCACTCTGAAGGCAAGAAATTGGGTATACTTTGTATACTTTCTGTATATATTGATTCGTTTCTCCTGTATATAGAGCTTTATGATCAAGCTATTTGAGATATTGAACGGATAAAGTTTGATATATAGTTGATTGGTGGGTGTGTCCACAAGAAAATTGGGCTCGTATAAGAATACACATCAGTGCTTACGAGGCAATACCCTACGCATTTTCATTCGTAATAATGCGCCACGCGTCATGACCATGCACTTGAATACATACAGATAATGTTTTCACTCAAACACATATGTAGTAGCAACGTTTTGTTTGAAACTTGAAAGAGAAGCTTCTCCTAACCATCCACAATGGCGGATCTGATTGACGAAAGAGGAAACCCGATCTATCTCACGGACAACCACGGCAAGCCAGCTCAGCTGATGGACGAGTTTGGCAACGCCATGCACCTGACAGGTGTCGCAACCACAGTTCCTCACCTCAAGGAGAGCAGCTACACTGGTCCACACCCGATCACTGCCCCAGTCACCACCACCGATACTCCTCACCAAGCACAACCTATCTCCGTGTCTCACAACCCTCTTGAAGACCATGATCTCCGCTGGTTCGGCACTTCCTCCTCCAACTTGGTAAGATGGCGCTTGTCACACCTTGTTAAGTTAGTAGCATGTTTTAGTAGCTTCCAAGCATTATCTATATATCCATTTCATTAAAATGGTTCTTATAATCTTATTTATATATCCATGTGTAATTTTTATTATCGTCAATATTAACAATGGTACGTTACGTATGTCGGATGCGTAGACGGAGGACAATGGTGGAGGAGCACGGAGGGAAACTAATCTAACGGGTCATGAAACTAAATCGAAGCTAGGCGCCAACGAGCCATCAAGTGCGACCGTAACAGGAACGGCTCACGAGCCGCATAAGAAGAAAGGTTTCTTTAAGAAGATTAAGGAGAAACTTTCTGGCCATCACAACGATCCCTGAAGACCTCCCGCATTAAGGCATAACTAATTGCTTATTTCTTCGCATTTGTATTTTATATTTACGAGCATAGAGAAAAAACATCATGATCAAATTTCGAGTTACTTTTGTTTGTGTTAATTCCTGTAACCGGAATAAGAAAATCAAGTATGTTACCGAACCGAACCGAGTATGCGAATCCTAAGTCCGATTCCGATCCAACGGCTGATGTTGCATAATCATCATCTTTATTTAAACCTTTTCGTCGTTAGTGTCTCGCTGCTTCCGTCATTTCCCTCTCATTGCCAAATGTTAGCTCAGTCGCATTTCTTCTGCAAGTCCTTCGATCTGATTCCGCCACCGTCTCAGGTGTCGCGGTCTACGACTTTTTCTCTTAATTTGTCTTCTTCTAGAAGCAGTCGATTCTCTTTTCTACCCTCTCCTGCAAGTGCTAATCTGGTCTCCGGCGGCCGGGTCTCTTCGACCATGGTATCGAGCTCAAAACGGCCTGACTTGAGCGAAGAATTTCAATCGGAACTAAACGCCAACGATCTGGATCGATTCGCTGCCGTGGGAAATGCACTTGCTGACGCTTCAGGCGAGGTTATCAGAAAGTATTTCCGGAAGAAATTCGACATCGTCGATAAAGATGATATGAGTAAGTCTCGATTAATTCTCTAATTGATTATTGCGGTAACACGATGGAGCTCTTCTCAGCTTGGGTGGGTACCGAGTATTTGGTGATAGAGTATAAAGTGTTAGTTGAATTTATTCCAATTTCCGAGCTCGCGAAGATACGGTAGAACTGAGAGTGCATCCGAAGTTTGATTGTTGAGCAAAGATCTGTAAATTCGTCAACAAATTAAGAATCGTAGATTTGGTAAATGACGCTCGTCGGCTGAAGTATTTAAAACCGGCGACTCTTGGTGGCCAATGGCCGTTAATATACTCTAATTCCGGTTATCTGTAGGTCCTGTTACAATCGCTGATCAAATGGCTGAAGAGGCAATGGTATCCATTATATTTCACAACTTCCCTTCTCATGCTATGTGAGTTTCCCGCTTGAACTGTCTTCTGCTAGATCACATGGATAAAGACACATCGAATGCTCTCTTTTCTTGGAATTAGTAGATGAATATTTGTTCACAACATCTAGCAGTCCATGTATCCATTTTTAATTCACATTTCTGAAATCTGAAACTGTAGATATGGTGAGGAGAAGGGTTGGAAATGCAAAGAGGAATCTGCAGACTATGTTTGGGTTTTGGACCCAATCGACGGAACAAAGAGCTTTATCACTGGTGCGCTCTTTATTCCATCTTTTGTCATTTTAATTGTGTTAAGAGCTTGAGGATTTTATTGTTCTGTTAATTGCTTTGTCTCAGGGAAACCCGTTTTTGGTACATTGATAGCTCTGCTCTACAAAGGTAAACCGGTAAGATCACCAGATTCTGTTGTTGTCTATAAGCTTCCTATGTTTGTGGTATGCATTATAAGCACATTCTGAGGAATTGGAATTGAGCTTACTAACTGAACCTGGTTTCCCTTTCAGATTCTAGGAATAATTGATCAGCCTATTTTAAAAGAGAGATGGATAGGAATGAGTGGAAGAAGAACTAAATTAAACGGGGAGGAGATCTCAACGCGATCTTGCCCAATATTGTCACAAGCATATTTGTAAGTTTGCATATATTGAGCCATTATCATAGCATTGCTCCTGTATTCAGCTTTTCAAGGATATATGTGAGGCCTTTCTAATATCGTGAATACTATTTTCATGACCATACTTTTTGTCTTTTCTCGTATATCGATTGAGCAGATACACCACTAGCCCACATCTTTTTAGTGAAGAGGCAGAGAAGGCATTTGCTCGAGTTAGAGACAAGGTCCTTATCTATTTTTCAGATATGTTCTTGATTGAGTTTCTTATAGTTGATTTTTGTATCAGATCATCCGAATGCCTTTTCTTTTTTTTGTTTTTCTCATTTCATTGTCAGCAAAAGTGAATAAACATGTTTCCCTTCTGGCTTCTGAAATTTTATTGTAACAGGTCAAGATGCCATTATACGGCTGTGATTGTTATGCTTACGCCCTTCTGGCTTCAGGATATGTCGATCTTGTTATTGAATCCGGTCTAAAGGTAAAACTTCTCTTTCAGAATTACACCACTATCATTTCTTATCAAAAGATAATGCCTCATGGTACTAATCTTCGATGTTATTCTTCACCAGCCATATGATTTCCTTGCTCTGGTGCCTGTAATAGAAGGAGCTGGAGGTACTATAACCGCTTGGAACAGTAAGCCACTTCTGTGGGAAGCTTCATCCACTGCAGTTGCTACAAGTACGTTCAATGCTCCACAAAATTACTCTGTTTCTTGCTATGAATGTGGATCAATTCACCATCTCCGTCTTTCCTTTGGTCACAGGCTTTAATGTAGTTGCAGCAGGAGATTCAGACATTCATCAGCAAGCATTGGAATCACTTGAGTGGCAGTGAAAATCTTTCGCTGGTATGTTGACTTGCCTACTTAATGTTTCTTCACAGCTTTCTTGCTTTAGGACGATCATTAGGGACTAGTTCGTTCATATTTGCTTGTTTGATTTTAGTTATAGTTTTCTTTTATTTTCTTGAAATAGGGAACCAGATTTATTTTATTTTTGGCTTAGTGTCTAAATTGTTTAGAAAACAGAAATAGCAATTTGCTAAAAATAGTGCATTGAATATCACCAATGCTCAAAATACCAAATTACAGCTTACTCGAAAAACTGGCCACACATATAACAACTCACCTTTTCTCTCTTTCATGACCTTTTTTTCTCCCTCTTTTCTTCAACCACAAGCTATCCAACAAACTCCCCCTCATTCCTTCTTATCTTTGTTCTTCCTCGTCCTTCTCTCTTCTCTCTCTCCTTCCCAACCAGGAGGGATGGAGACAAGAAAGAAACCAAACATATACACGATCCCCATCTTTGATTTTTCTCCAAAGCCTTCCATGGCTCTCTTCCTGGCTCTTCTCCTCTTCCTCTCAGGCCCTGCTGCGTCTGCGGCTGCTGTGGGACCCGCTACCGCTTTTAAACCGGCAGATGATATTCTCATTGATTGTGGAAGCAAATCGTCATCCAAAACCCCTGATGGAAGAGTCTTCAAGAGTGACCAAGAGACGGTCCAATTCATAGAAGCCAAGGATGATATTCAGATCTCGGCCCCGCCTTCGGACAAGGTCGCTTCTCCTATCTACCTAACTGCAAGGATGTTCCGTGAGGAAGCCACCTACAAATTCCATTTGACCCGTCCTGGTTGGCATTGGGTCCGCCTCCATTTCTTGGCCTTCCCTAATGACAAGTTTGATCTCCAACAAGCCACTTTCTCCGTCCTTACGGAGAAATATGTGTTGCTTCATAACTTCAAAATTAGCAACAACAACAATGATAGTCAGGCTGTTCTCCAGAAGGAGTATCTCCTCAACATGACGGATGCACAGTTCGCCCTCAGGTTCAGACCTATGAAGAACTCTGCAGCGTTCATCAACGCTATCGAAGTTGTCTCAGCTCCGGACGAACTGATCTCTGACTCCGGCACCGCCCTCTTCCCGGTCAACAGTTTCTCGGGTCTGTCTGACTACGCTTACCAGTCCGTCTACAGAGTCAATGTCGGTGGTCCCTTGATCGTGCCTCAGAACGACACATTGGGAAGAACATGGATACCGGATAAGGAGTTCTTGAAAGATGCGAACTTGGCTAAGGACGTCAAGACGACCCCTTCCGCAATCAAGTACCCTCCTGGAGTTACACCTTTGATTGCTCCACAGACGGTTTATGCAACAGCTGCGGAAATGGCTGACTCTCACACCATAGCCCCTAATTTCAACGTCAGCTGGAACTTCCCCTCGAACCCGTCGTTTAACTACTTCATTCGGCTTCATTTCTGTGACATTGTTAGCAAGTCACTCAACGACCTCTACTTCAATGTGTACATCAACGGGAAAACCGCCATTTCTGGGCTGGATTTGTCCACTGCTGCAGGCCATCTCGGAGCTCCTTACTACAAAGACATTGTTGTGAACGCCACACTTATGGGCCCTGAGCTCCAAGTCCAGATTGGTCCCATGGGAGAGGATACAGGTACGAGAAACGCTATCTTGAATGGTGTTGAGGTCTTGAAGATGAGCAATGCCGTGAACAGCCTCGACGGAGAGTTTGGAGTTGATGGTAGAACCATTGGCATGGGGAAACATGGTATGGTTGCAACCGCGGGGTTTGTGATGATGTTTGGAGCCTTCATTGGCCTCGGAGCTATGGTTTACAGGTGGAAGAAGAGGCCACAAGATTGGCAGAAGAGGAACAGTTTCTCCTCCTGGTTGCTACCGATACACGCCGGTGACAGCACTTTCATGACAAGCAAAGGTGGTTCTCAGAAGTCCAACTTCTACAACTCAACTCTTGGCCTCGGCCGCTATTTCTCCCTCTCGGAGCTTCAAGAAGCCACAAAGAACTTTGAAGCATCTCAGATTATCGGTGTTGGAGGATTCGGTAATGTCTATATTGGAACCCTCGACGATGGAACCAAAGTTGCTGTCAAGCGAGGTAACCCACAGTCTGAGCAAGGTATCACCGAGTTCCAGACAGAGATTCAGATGCTTTCTAAGCTCAGACACAGACACTTGGTCTCCTTGATTGGATACTGTGACGAAAACTCCGAGATGATCCTAGTCTATGAGTTCATGTCCAATGGTCCATTCAGGGATCATTTGTACGGGAAGAACCTTGCTCCTCTAACCTGGAAACAGAGACTTGAGATCTGTATCGGATCTGCTCGTGGGCTTCACTATCTACACACGGGAACAGCTCAAGGCATCATCCATCGTGACGTCAAGTCAACAAACATTCTTCTTGACGAAGCTTTTGTTGCTAAAGTCGCTGACTTTGGTCTGTCCAAGGATGTAGAATTAGGACAGAACCATGTCAGCACGGCCGTGAAAGGAAGTTTCGGGTACCTTGACCCCGAATACTTTAGAAGACAGCAACTTACTGATAAATCCGATGTTTATTCCTTTGGTGTCGTTCTTCTAGAAGCTCTGTGCGCAAGACCAGCCATCAATCCAGCGCTACCAAGAGAACAGGTTAACTTAGCCGAATGGGCTATGCAATGGAAACGAAAAGGACTGCTCGAGAAGATCGTTGATCCTCATTTGGCTGGATCCATAAATCCTGAATCGATGAAGAAGTTTGCGGAAGCTGCAGAGAAGTGTTTGGAGGATTACGGTGTTGATAGGCCAACAATGGGAGATGTTCTGTGGAACTTGGAATATGCTCTTCAGCTTCAAGAGGCATTCACTCAGGGCAAAGCCGAGGAGACTGAGAAGCCAGTGACACCTGGCTCGGTGCCTCCGGTTGCTCCTTCTCCGATCACTCCCTCAGCCGCTACCAACGCGGCCGCTAGTGTTCCAGTTCCTGCTAAGGTGGAAGAGAACAATGGCACAGCCGAGGTTCAGGCCGTGGATGAGCACTCTGGAACTGCCATGTTTACTCAGTTTGCTAACCTTAACGGAAGATAAAACAAACAAACTGACAGATAACAACTAATTAAAAGACAAAACAAACTTGTTGTTATATACAGTAATGGAAATAGAAAGAAGAAAAAAAAAGATGAATTTAAGGTGATATGTTTGTGTTTTTAAATGTTTTTTTGTGGTGGTCCGAGAGATGTGTTTGATATTTATATATTTTTGGTGTGTATTTTTTTCATATGTTCTTGATTTTTTTGTATGAATTGTACGTTATGGGTGGATATGTATGTATGTATACTACTAAATGCTCTGATGCATTTATCTACTTATCCTCCTTTGTTGTAGTTGTTAGTTTTGGGTTACAAATGCAACTTCACATTCAAAGATAACTGTGTTGGGATCTTCCTAAAAGATATACGAAACCATTTGTACACATAGAAAACAAAACGTACTCTTTTTGTATTCTGACAAGTTACGGATTTTAGGTCTGTACATCTTTTTACAGACCGAGGACTAGAATAGTTAAGATCATTTCTTCTTCTTTTTTTGCAAATGAATCTCCTATCTAAGATGATGTTTAAAACTGGGAAATAATAATGTGTTTTCCCTCCCAAGGCTCTAAATTAATTGAATTGAGTAACTGATTCTCTTATTCAGTTGTGTAGTATAAACTCTAGTAAATTAAGAAAAGTGTCTTCAATGGTTTGTGTGAGGTTTATTTATTGGATTCAAGCTTTGATTCTTATTGAATGAAATAAGTGTTTGGTCTACGAAAATCTGTTAGTTAATGGTCATAGAAAACATTTCTTTCTTTAGATGGGTTGCTTTGGTGCTAATCATCTATTCATCGTAGGAACCCTGCAATATTTTGTATAGATAATCGTAAAATGTTTGGATGTCAAACTCTTCACAAGTGTTTGTAGGAGAGGGAGAATAGGTGAGAAAAGATTAGGGTCAGTCACAGATTCTGCAGGAAATAAGAGAACCGTGAAAGTAAAATAAAAATGAAAACCCAGAAATAGTAACAATTCCCTTCAATTAAGCAAATGAGTTCTTTTTTTCTCTTTCCTTTTCCTTCAATCAAACTATATAAATGAATAGCTCAAATTTTTCCCACGAATGCCAAAAGAGACTCAGATTTTTTTGTGTTTTTGTTATCTCTGTTATCTACAACTATGGAGAACATAAGTGGGCATCAGACTTTTGAGATGGGAGAGCTTAGAAACACCCTTCCCAAAAAGTTGATCTCATTGATTATGTTCTTATTTGAATAATGGCTTTCTGGATTACTTTTTAATTTTGGATTTTGTCAATGGTGATAAAATACAGGAGAGGATTGTCAAGGTACTATTCAGGGAAAGCAAGATCATTCGTTTGTATCTCAGATGTTAAATGCCTTGAGGATCTCAAGAAACCAACCCATCTTCTTGATGATGATGATGATGCCTACAAGATAAGGAAGAAGAAGAATAAGCAATCATCCTCATCGTCGTTTTCTGCTTCTGTTAACAGCAATGTGAATTTCCCAAACTATCCTTGTCGTAGAGTCGCTAGTAGCACCCATTGTTCTTCACCTTGTGTTAGGGAAAGAACAAAACACTTTCTCAGTTTATCACAATTCTTCATCAATGCCTCCTTTGTTGGCTTAATTACATTATTTCTATGCAAAAGAAGGATCGAAGACATTGTTAATTTTGAATTTGTTATAATTTAGCAAAGTGTAATAATATTTGGAAACAACTTAACAAATTTAGAAGCATTGGATTTTCGGTACGTTACTTTTTCAGTTTTGTTTTACATATCTCTACGTCTACGTGTGACTGTTTTTATCCTTTAACTCAAATTTCGATATTGAATTTTGAATGTTTCTTGTGGAACCGATATAACTACAAAAACATACACTTTCCAGGTTTTCAAATGTCAACAAACCAAAACTCTATAGTACCCTTACCTTTTCCTTAATTCCTTTTTCCACAAAACATGCAACATAACATACATTTGAAGACAAAGTCAAGACAAGTCATAATGATCAATTGCTTACGTAGCTAATTTTACATGATTCACGACATTGGGAGCGGGCTGGAGGCGCGTATTCCACGCGCTCTTTTCAAAGCTGACGTGGTCAATTGAGTATCTGACGTTACTTATACCCCTTATCTCCCTCACAATTCTGTATATTCACGATCGTGCCATTCCACTCTCAATCGTACGCTTCTGAGATCCAAATGACTTGCTCTCACCGTACTCCGCGAGTCACGTGATTATGTGTCTCACAGTCTTGTGATTTCCGCGTCCCCATTGAGAAAGAAAACTGAGAGCTCGCAAGAATTTTCCCTCACTTTCTCGAGAAAATATTTGTGCTTCACCTTCAGATGCCCAAGCAAAAAGCTCCAAGGAAGCAGCTCAAGTCCTATAAACTGAAGCACATCAACAGGACTGTTCAAGGTGCGTCGTTCATCGTCTTTCTCTAACTCGCCCCCTTTTTGATTTTCTTTTTCATTTCCCGTTGAACCGTTCCGAAATTCGATGAAATTCGTTTCGTAATCGTCTATCTAAAGGGAATCGTTCCATCTGGTTTTCCCTTGAAGAGGGAGATGCTGTTTTGATGCGGTCGTCGGAGCCGGGGAAGCCGTCGTACGTGGCGAGAGTGGAGGCGATCGAGACGGACGCGCGTGGATCGAACGCGAGAGTTCGAGTGAGGTGGTATTACCGCCCGGAGGAATCCATCGGAGGGAGGAGACAGTTCCATGGAGCCAAGGAGCTCTTCCTCTCGGACCACTACGATTTCCAAAGCGCCGATACTATCGAAGGCAAGTGTAAGGTCCACAGTTTCAGTAGCTACACCAAGCTCGACTCCGTCGGAAACGACGACTTCTTCTGTCGTTTCGAGTACAACTCTACCACCGGCGCGTTTATTCCCGACAGAGTCGCCGTGTATGTATCTCTAGACTCTCTGTTACCATGAAATTGTTACTGCAAGGTGAAGTAATTAGTTGATTTTGTTTTTGCAGCTTCTGCAAATGCGAGATGCCATACAATCCTGATGACTTGATGGTGCAATGCGAGGACTGTTCTGAGTGGTAAGTGTTCACTGACTAATCTGTAGACAATGCTCTTTGTGGTCTTCTTGAATCACAAGCTGGAATTGCTCATATGTTTTAGTTTGTTCCATGAATCTTACTGTATATGCTATTGAGATTTCTTGAGCTGAATGCATCCGTATCTTCCTTACTTACCTGATGTTGTGAAAACTGTGATGAAATGGGAACAAAAACTGATACTCTGATCTTAATATATATATATATATATATATATATGCAAATCTTACAAAGCAGTGATAGAGTCACTATTTTAGGAGTCTAGCTTTGGGTTTACTCGCATCTAACCTGACTTGGTTCTCTCACTCATGCTGCTTAATTGTACGAGAGAAGAAGAAAATGTGAATGAAGTCACTTGAACAAACACTGATCTCTTGATCTTGGAACTGTTAAGCTTTTTTACTCTTTTTTTTCACATGGAAAGAAATATTTTGTTGTTAAAGTCTTCGTCTGTGACACGAGTTCCTTGAAAACTAACATTGGCTCAGGTTTCATCCTTCTTGTATAGGAACGTCAATAGAGGAAGCTAAAAAGTTGGATCACTTCTACTGCGAAGAATGTTCCCCAGAAGAGCACGAGTTCCACAACTCTAAAACAACTTCGAAAAACTCAGATGCTAAGGTATCTCTCGCTGTACTTCAGAGCCTGACTTGGGCTTAAAATGCTGCAAACAATAGAATAAGCTCTTAGAGTGTGATATACTAAACCAACCTGAGACAACAAAAAGCTTCTTAACCCAAAGTATATGTTCGTTGAGCTCAAAGAGACGCCTAATTTTTTGATCTGCTGTTTCAACAACACAGGTTAATACAAAGCGCAGCCTGGAGGTAGGCAAGACGAGGAACAAACACACCAAGCGATCAGGTTAAGCTTAATATCTGGACTCTGTTGAGTATCATCATCGTGTAATATAATAAGGTGTTTGCTATCTTTCCCTTTCCCTCTCTGGTTTTTTCTTTTGAAAATGAGGGTTTAGTTGATTTGGCTTGACTGTTGTTGTTTTGATCGTATGTATAGTATAGTATATGGTTTCATCTCCGTTAGCTGTCACACATGAAATTGCGTGAAAGGGTTTGTTTATAGCACCAAAGAAAGAGAGCGTTACTTGTTTGTTTGTTTCTCGACTGTGACCAAACCGTCGGCATTCGTTGTAAATATAAAAAAACGCATGTTCAAAGAAACGGTCATAGTTTAAGTGTCTGTAGCAGTTGTTGAAACATGTGATCATCTTGTTTTACAAAATTAGGGATAATATTTCATCCAAAAACCGAAACCAAAGTCACGAGATACCAAAAATCAATTCAGTATCAGTAAACATTCTTTTTTTAAGATAAAATCAGGGAAGACAAAAATTGCAACTACCTTCTCCACCTCTGTAGCGAGGAAGTGGTAAAATAATACTTTTTTAAAAAGAAATTAATAAGATAGAATTAATTGTATACAACTAGACACGGCACTGCTACAAGTTGAACCTATCCTATCCAAGTCCCATTCAATTAATAACACGTGTTGGTTAATCATTGGTTGGCGTACTTTTCCCCTTGGATAAGTAATCATTATTTAAGAAATATCTCCCGATTTCTCCGACTTTAAGTATATAATAATAAATATATTATCTTTTAAAGAAACCGAAAGCTGATCCCCAAAGGGAAAGAGACATCTAGCGTCTATACATACGCCTATAGATTCACGTTGCGTGTGTAGAGAAACTTAGGGTTCTATATTAACCCCTCTCCCTTCCTCACTGCTCTCTTCAATCGAATCGAAATCAATGGATCCTCTTAAGCTTTCTTTCTCCATTCTCGTTCTCTTTTTCTTCGTCGCCTCCGTTTCGTCGTCTTCTGACGGCAACGACGGTGAAGATCTCGTGATCCGGCAGGTGGTTGGTGGAGCCGAGCCCAACGTTCTGTCCTCGGAGGATCACTTCTCTCTGTTCAAGAGGAAATTCGGCAAGGTTTACGGTTCCAGCGAGGAGCATGACTACAGATTCTCCGTTTTTAAGGCGAATCTCAGGCGAGCGAGGCGTCACCAGAAGATGGATCCGTCGGCGCGTCATGGCGTTACTCAGTTCTCAGATTTGACTCGGTCTGAGTTCCGGAAGAAGCATTTGGGGGTTAGAGGCGGGTTTAAGCTTCCCAAGGACGCCAACAAGGCCCCGATTCTCCCTACAGAAAATCTCCCGGAGGACTTTGACTGGAGAGACCATGGCGCTGTTACCCCCGTCAAAAATCAGGTATCGTACTCAACTGGCTTTTGATCGACTTCGATAAGAAACTAGATCCGCTTCATATTGTAAAATCTGCATCGAGAAATCGTTTATGTGGGGGTTGTATCATGGATTTTTGCTGATTGGTGTAATCTTCGTGTGCCATTAGGGATCTTGTGGCTCTTGCTGGAGTTTCAGCGCCACCGGAGCTCTGGAAGGCGCTAATTTCCTTGCAACCGGCAAACTGGTCAGCCTTAGCGAACAACAGCTCGTCGACTGTGATCACGAGGTTTGACTTTGTTTCACTTCCCAATTACCTTTAGTTTTGGATGATTAAGATAATCTCATCATTAAGGTCAGGTTGCGTGTAGTGTTGAAATATCAGAATATTGATCATTTATCTAATATGTATTACAAAGGTTCTTCCGTGTATATTTGGTTTTGATTAGATGGTTAGAAAACTCAATACGTAGTTCAGGTTGCTTGCTTACTTGAAATGATCTTGTCTCTCATCACATCATAATTTCATCTGTTACAAGCCATAGCGATTCAATGATCATGTAATTCTGAACTCGTTGCTAACAATTGTGGATATAATCTCTATATGCAGTGTGATCCAGAAGAAGCAGGTTCATGCGACTCTGGTTGCAACGGTGGGCTAATGAACAGCGCCTTTGAGTACACCCTCAAAACCGGAGGGCTCATGAGAGAAGAAGACTATCCTTACACTGGAAAAGATGGCCCGACCTGCAAGTTAGACAAGTCCAAGATCGTTGCCTCCGTCTCCAACTTCAGCGTTGTCTCCATTGACGAGGAACAGATTGCTGCAAACCTTGTCAGAAACGGACCTCTTGCGGTAGCTATCAACGCCGCCTATATGCAGACTTACATCGGAGGAGTCTCGTGCCCATACATATGCGCGAGGAGGCTCAACCACGGTGTCTTATTGGTAGGTTACGGCTCGGCAGGTTACGCTCCGGCTAGGTTCAAGGAGAAGCCTTACTGGATCATCAAGAACTCATGGGGAGAGACTTGGGGTGAGAATGGTTTCTACAAAATCTGCAAAGGCCGTAACATTTGTGGCGTTGACAGTCTTGTCTCCACCGTTGCAGCCACCGTCTCCACCACCGGCAATTGATTATATCTCGTTAATATAATTTAATAACTTTGGTGATTTCTGTGAGCGAGCTCTCTTTGCCTTGACTCTATTTCTCTCTGCTTTTTTTTTTTTAAAGAAAGATGGAAGTTTGTAAATAAAATGCTTTCCTTCAGCTAAGCACTCGTTGATTTCAGACTTGGCTCAAAAAGCCCCTCATTTTAAGAAAAAATTGCATTTCCTTGCTTGCGATTTGTTAGCTTTTAGATATCAGTCCCGAATTGTCACGGTCCGATGGACTTTTATCTCAGTCCGCTAAGAATTTTAAAGTTTTGACCCGTTGGGCTTTGATCTTGGCCCAGTGGGCTTTTATATCGGCCCACTAAGCATATTTATCTCGGCCCATTGGGCTTTTACGTCTAGGCCCAAAGGGGTTTTATATCTCCGTTTGTTGGGCTTTAATTTTATGACTTTAAGCCCGATGGGCTTTGATCTCGGCCCAGTGGGCTTTTTATCGGCCCATTAAGATTATTTATCTCGGCCCGTTGGGCTTTTACGTCTAGGCCCGATGGGGTTTTGTATCTCCGTTTGTTGGGCTTTGATTTTAAAATTTTAGGCCCAATGGGCTTTTAAATCTGCGTCCGTTAGACTTTAATATCTAGGCCCGACGGATATATGTAGATGCGATTTGCGTTTTTCTGGGACAGGCTTTACCCGTCATTGCCTAACTGTTCAAAGTTCGAACTTTCACAATCTATAAGCTTTTATTCTTTATGATTCTTGCTCACAAATAGATAATCGAGACATAATCATAGATACATACAAACCACCGAAATTTCAAAGCGAGAATAAATATTAACATATAAAACTTTATGTGACTGAATTTTAAGTTTTCACAAATATAACTTGCAAAAAATGAGTTTTATAAACTTAGTGTTTAGCAGGCAAAACAAACAAAGAAATATTGGAGAATGTCGTCCAATTCCTGACTTTATTCGTATCCACAGCTTATTATTTTAATTTCAAACAAACACAACAACAAATGGGGTTTGGCTCAAACAGATCCCATTATCCCATTCTCTTTTTTTTTTTGGCAGTAAAAAATGTATCTCCGCACAGGCAAATAAATAAACTTTAACTGACCCTTGTAAGCAGAGAAAGGGAGGAAAAAATATTCGAAAAGGTTTTTTGTACCTTATATATGCAAACTGAAATTGCAGAGGATGGGAGGAATGGAATCATGAGATCCATCACTCGTCTTCGTTTCCGGTGAGAATGAAAGTGAAAGGAGCGAACTTGTAACCGTCACCTTCGTAGAATTTGTTCTGAAACTCAACCCAGTGGAGACGCAACGCGTGAAGGAACGCGCTTAGTGTCTCCATCACCAGCAAGACTCCCACGGTGGCGAATACGAAGACGAGTATTCCAACGATCAGGATCAACACATTGTTGTAACTGTTTGGTTGTTATTGCCGAGGAGACACAAAGATCGAATGGAATAGTCAGTGATGTGCTAACACACAACACAATCATTTAATTAGAACAAAGAGAGAGTGAGAAGGATGCATACCCCCAAGCGAGGAGGAGGACCTTCTCATAGAAGACTGATGATAGCTCTGAGTGGGCAAGACTGAAACAAAAAAAGGATGAATGTTAATGATCACTAAGCCATGAGTAGTAGAGTAGTAAAAGGGATCATCATGTGTAGCGTCTACTAATGAAGACAAGAAGAGATACCTGAGAGCCCATAGACGCAGGTAAGAAGCGGTGTTGGAAACAGCTCCAAGCACAAACTCTATGGTGTGAATCAACTGATGCACAAATATCTCGCTGAATTCAAACTCCTCGTGCCCATGGGATCCTCCTCCGTTTGTCTCTACATGAAGACTCTCATCTGTCTCCTCAAGAGGTGCGTATGACTCACCTTGATGCCTCTGCACAATGAATCCGTTTATAACCATAACCCAAGACCTTTATATTGAAACTAGAAAGGCAAAAGGAAAGAATCTCACAGCTTCATGTTGTTTCTTCAAGATGAACGGCTTTGGAAGCAACATACACGGAACAGAAACAAGAGCCAGAAAGAGAAGCACAAGCTGAAAAACGGCAAGGAAAGATTATCAGTGAAACAAAACGTATGACACGCTTTTCTTGGATCTCGTAACAGCAATTACTAGGCAGAGATCCTAACCTGCACTGTTTTCTGGTGAGGAAAAAGCTGATTCTCTCCTAGCTCATCGGTTGGGCTCAGGAACATGTATATCATTACATGATACAAATCTGCTTGAGATCCAGTGCACCACTTTATGATGATGAGGGCCGAGAGATAGCCAAACAAACTGTTCAAGAATATCATCTGGGGAACGAACTGGAACCTGCAACCCCCAATATTAGACGTTGTACTGATGACAGATGTTTACTATTCAAAGAATTGGAGAGAAGATAGAGAGAGCGCGATGATCAGACAAATATTAACTCAACCTACCATATATTTACTTTCGATTTGAAGAATATTGCATTGAAGAAGCTCATAATGATTCCGAGATTCATTTGAGAAACTCCCAGAAGGATTGACATTTTCATCTTCAGCGAGTTCAGGAACGGCAGCTCGCTGCGGCTACCATGCCACACTGGATCTAGACCAAACGGATAAGTGTCCCGGACCTTTATCAAACCAATTGTTGTAGCCTCGCTGAACATAGAGCATAAGAGAAATACTCAACAAACAAAAACACAGAACCGCAAAGTATTTGCCTGCTACTAATATACTTTTGTATTTATGCAAATCTCAACTTTTAGAACTAATCTGCATACCTGCATGAGGCATCACGGCAATCATATGCCGAGGGAGCAAACAATGGCAATGCAATAGAGAAGAACTCGTTGTAGATAAAACCAGTGTATATTGAGAAGAGTGACATCATCATAATGACATAACGGCCACCAAACGCCATTTCCATGATATCCCCTAGTTTCTGTTATCCGGAAGCAACGATTTAAGAGTTAGTTAGCATCTAAAACTTGGAAGAACCAAACATCAACAATTTATCAAAACGCATATCAGAATAGATTAGTAATATGCTCTTTAGAATTGGCAAGTAAGTTTCCTATGCTTTCATATTTGCATGCAACTCCAAAGAAAAAAGAATAGCCAAACTATCGGCATGTTGTTTGCTCAGTCATAACATAAGTAACTAAATTGGGGTATCACCTGGCTGGCAAGTTTCTTTTCCCTCACTATCAAGTACATCGTTGCAAGCAGCAAACATATTCCATGCCCCCAATCACCAAACATAACAGCGAAAAGGAAGGGGAATGTGACGATTGTGAATACACCCGGATTGGCTTCCTGATACTTGGCCACACTGCAGAATGGTGACCATAGAAGATTGGTTAGTAGAAACTATGACAAGACTATATGCAGACTACGACACATTCTCTTACAGTCCCAATGCTATTTCCTATTTCCTTAACCGACAGAAGCTCCACAAAGACGCTTACCCATACGCATCAACAATATCCTGGATTGCAGAAGTAAATTTGTTTGTGCGGAAATAAGTTGGTGGCAACTCTTTGGTCCTCAGAACCTGGAATATTGATCCAACTTGGGAATTGGAGTCAACTGCAGCACGCTCTAATGCATCTTGTATCTGCACAAAAAAATCTTATTCTGCTTAAGCATTCTGAAGCGATACATAATTGTAAACTCACTACGACGCAATTTATTATTCAATATTGCAATTGACAGTGCAACAAAAGAAACAACTCACTTCTTTTGATGCAAAAACAGGACTCCAGCCCTCGGCCACAAGGCACTTCTTAGTCACGTCAAGACTAAGCATGTTCAAAGTATGATAGATAGCTTTCTCTTTGCGTACCTGCAATTGGCAAATATAAACTTGACTTCAACTTGCATAAATTCAAATAAATGGGTCAACACAAACCGGCTCAACATTGATTCATATAGGATTATACCTTGAGGTTCCATAGCTCAAACTTAGATCCAATGGTCTCCAACAAAATGTTACGTTGTCCTAAACCAGCATCTATGGTAGTTTTAAGCTCTGTTAATCGACCGGAAACCTGAAACGTTGTGGAAGAATTAAACATGGTTAGACATTTACTGGGTTTACGGTATCATCATTATAAGTGTCTCATGATGAAATTGCTAGCCTACGATAAACCGTCACATGGATGCTAACATGCAAACATTCAGTACATCAAAACATAATGTTCTCATGCATTAGTTTCTATTGGACATCTGAGTACCAACGAATACCCAGACTTTTGTTTTCATCTATGACTCATGTTCAAGGAAATCTATGCACAAAGAAAGAATATACAGGGGAGTAAATGGTTTATCACAACAACAAAAAGGAAATATGGAATATTTACCACCCCTATCAGCAGGAACATTCACAAGAAAAATAATAATACATACCTCGGTTATCATTTGAGCTTGTTTTCCAAGGTCCTCACTGAAAGGATAACGATTGGCCCCAAAAGCTTCACAAATTTTAAGAATTTTGCTTTTTGCTCTTTCCCCGGAGAAGAAGACAACAAAAACATTTTTCTCAGCCTGCAATTTTTTTAACTTAAAAGTTAATTTCGAACTGAGACAGAATAATAATTTTTTTTCTAACGAGATCAGCATTCCACAATTTGAAATCTTGGCTCTGTCGTTCAAAAAGATAAACCGCATAGGCAACTAACTTCAAATATCTAGCATGTGCATATAAGAGCAGAAATTACAAAAGGAAAGAAAGCAACTGAACTCATGTATCAGTATAAGAACTTACATCCTACATCTAAGAGAATTTAAGAGAAAAGCAGAAGGATCTAACCTTCTCCCCAGAGTTGGGATCAATGACCGGCTCCTCGATTACAGACTGACGAGTAAAGATGTTTCCCCTAGTAGCACGGAATAGAATCCTCTCAAACACCATAGACTTTTCACGAGGCACTAACCCGGTGAGAAATCCAAGTTTCACTTGCTTTGTTGAATCAATCTTCTCCTGTTTAAAATGAACTAGTGTAAATGTTGGTAACTAGACAAGAAATTGACTTTAAATAGAAGAAATAGCTGCATCTGTCGTACTTCCTGCAACAAAGGAGACTCCAGCAGATCTGCACCCGCTCGTGGTGATTCAGCCTCTGTCTGTTGAGCCGTGGCACTTCTATGAGCAGAAGAAAAGAAGTCACCAGCCTGAAAAGACCACATTCAGATCAATATAGCAATATATGCACATCCAGGGATTCAACCACAACATCAGAAGCATACTTATAACCATGAAAAGCCTTAAAATCATTAGAATCATCAAAACATACTACTCCTTGCATAATCAAACATAAAATCTTCAAAGCTGTGATTTGAAAATATGTAGAACATATACCTTCTGAAGAACTAACTTGTACTCCATAAGTTCATTATAGGATCGCTGCAACTTGTCGTTATTAGCATTGATTTCAACAAGTTCAGCTTCTAGCTCTCCAAGCCTTACCTGATCAGCCAGAATGAAGAAAAATAAAGTATCTCCGTAAGAAAACCAAAAGCATGACAATGGAAAAATGAAAAGCAGGTATCTTTATTTTACCTCTACATCATCCAAGTCGATATCATTTTCTTTCTCAACCAGATCCTTGGCTAAAACTCCTGCTTTTGACATTTGATCTTTGAAGAAACGTATCTTCCGTGCCATCTCTCCACATCTTTTTATCTTCAATCAATCAAAAACGAGAGAAAAATATCACAATTGTCAGATGTACCTTCGTATAATATATTTACATCTGAAAGAGATTGTATTACATTCCTACACAGTCACATAAGCATGAAATTACCTGAGCTGCATAAGTACGTTGAAATGGGCTCTTCTCTGAATTAAGCTGAAATCAACATTTACAAACAAAAAAGATGGTTTATAAGAACAGAGTTATTCACGATAAAATACCAAAAAATCCGTAATGAGGTAAATCTATATTTCATCATCTCTTAAGAAAAAACTAGAAATCTAAAAACCAGACGCACAAAGTCAAAATGATTAACAAGGGAAGATAAACGCAACGAGAAACAGATATCTGCCCAAGACAAGCACAACAAGATCGCGATAATCAAATAACAGCTAGATATAGATGCGTTGCGTAAAATCTTATAAATATCGAATGAGACCTAGGGTTTCTAATGTCTAGTTGTTGTGAGCAGAAAAACCCCGTCAAAATGGGGCATCGCAGGTCAAATTCCAGATAAAATCGTTCACCAAACACGGATTACAATCGAAATAAGAAAATGAGCGATCAAATACAAGCAAATTACATATATCGAGCATCGAGAGATGATAAGATAGAGAAGGATTTACGCACGTCTTTGAATTGCACGAGTCCGAGATCCCCAAGGTAAGAGACGGTAAGGTGAGCCGATTCCATGGGAACAATGAGTTGAACAAGTTGCATCGGCTCTGACCGCATCAGATCCATCGGCGGACAACAACCACCACCGCCGCCGCTTTCCCCCATTTGATTCTACTTCCTTCGCCTTCTTCGTCGATGAACGAGAAATCGAAATATATCTGATCCAACGAGATAATGTCAGAGACTCAGAGATGAGAGCTGTAATTATTTGCCCCTCCCATCGCGTTATTTATTTTGTATCCCATAATTGCCCTCTATGATTTCACGAAATTATCAATCTGCCCTTGCTTCAGTATCTTCTTATTGGGCTATCAAGATATGCGAAGGATCAACGGAAATCTATTATCTAATCTTCTTAGTATGGGCTCATGTTAATTGGGCTGAGTCAGGCACAATCGTATATTCTTTTTAAGTGGATCCAAATTAGCCCATGAGTGAGACCCAATTGAAAACGGCCACGTTGTCCCAAAGATTCTAGGTGTCTTTCTGTTTTTGACTCAAAAGACTCGTAGAAAGCGTTTAACAGTTTGGTATGTAAAGCAGGAGAAAGAATTTACATTTGCAATGAGTATAGTGTAAACCGCAAACATTTTATTACTCTTGCTGAAAAGTTAATCGCAAATAGACACACAAAAATAAAACACTTTTTTCTTTTAATGGAACAATAAAAACGAAATTTGGATCATATAGTATAAATATACGCTGAGATCTACGGGGATTTGAACGGACAGGATTGAAAGAAGCAAGAAACATGTCAGAAGATGGTCCACGGTCCCATTCTTGGAATTAAGACAAGGACAAGGGATATAATCAATACTCAGTTCACAAAAGTTGATGCACTTAAACATAAATCCACCACCGACTGAGAAGACAATAAATAAAAAATATTAATAACGTGGGAATTTAAAGATTGGTTATATTGTAAAATCAGATTAAAAAATAGAGATCAACGGAGTAGTCACAGAGGGTACGACTGATTTGCATAACACAGAGACAGTGGTATCGATGAATGATTGGATTTTGTTTCATTATATGTAAATATAAAAGAAAAAAAATAATAATTCGAGTCCATTAATGGTAGACTGGTAGTAATCAATTGGTAAAGGTCCCAAATCTACTATTTTAAAAATGGAATGTTTAAAAGTGCACGAAGAACCTTTTCAAAAAGTCCACCAGACCCAGTAGTACATCCATGTGATTCAAAGATCTACAAGCTATAAACAAAATCCATACGAAAATAATATGAAAAATAAAATACTCCAGTTGATGGAAAACTTTCGTGTGGGAAACTTCTCGCCGAACTATTTGACCAAGTGTCAATCTTATGCAAATATAATCATCAATATTACGTATAAAATGTGTGAAAGTGTGAAAGTATTTGTGGTACCGTGATTAATCTGATTAATACCGATTAAATAAATAAAAAATTGTAATGTATCTGCAATGTAATTACAAAGCAGCACCGTTTGAAACTTAAAACCCAACAAACAAATTCTTAAAAATTTGCTACAAAAAAGCAGTCAAAATAATAAGTCGAGGACAAAAAAAAGTAATGAAAGAAAAGATTCGAGAGATCATCCATATATTCTCCTCTAAAAGTGTTTTTTGTCGTATTCCATCTCATAAATGATCTATTATCTTACAATAGTATAGTATTATTCTTCAAAGGATCAGATCCACTCTTCTTATTTATATCAACGTATTCATTATTCAATGTCTATTAATAAAAATAAAAATAAATTTAGTTCCGAACAGTTTGGCCGACATGACCATATATACCCACCCTGTGTGAGTATGTTTGATTATCGATTTATAAAACAATTTAACAAATTTCATCCTATTGAAGGACACATTAACAAGAGTAGAGATCATGTCTCAGCTGTTAAGATGGTCTCAACGATGATTAACGCCACTTTATAATGATAAGCTATTAATTAGGACTACGCATTTAAATCGTTTAATGCAAACCAAAATAGATAAATCAAAAATAAACGAAATTTGAAAGATTTACTGATTTAGTTGATTTAGTGGTTCCGCTGTCTAATCGTATTAAAATTGAATATAACAAAATCCAACTACTCTCGAATACCACATTATAGTGTTTTGCTGTGTTTATGAGGATTGGATTTCGATTTTCGTCGAGTATTATATCGTTTGTTTCAACTAATACAAGTATTAAACCAAAAATAAATAAAAAAACACGAGTACGAGTCTAAAATAAGGAATAAGAGGTAAAAACCAAAAAGGAAGAAGATATATACACATGGATGATGGAAGACAAAAGCTGGCATGAAGAGCTGGCCATTTGTCAAATTCCCCCACCTTCCTCCTTTGTTTAATACTAGTACTTTTTAAAATTTTGTTTTTCGATTCCACAGTTTTAAAAATATTTCGATATTTTTGTCGTTTATATTTATTAGCATCTGACGGGGAAAGATTATTAAAGATTGTATGTAACTCCGCTTTTGCACTTTTTCTTCCATAGACAAGACCTACAAGATTCCTCACGTAGAAGAAAATAGTTACATCAACTATTTCGGTAGTGTAAAAAAGAAGAAGAAAAGGAAGCGACACTTACATTAGAAGATAAAAAATACAGTTAATGCAAAGATTTGAAGGAAAAGAAACAAACGCATGATCTCATAGGAAACATAATACTACTAGTTGCTAATTAAGCAAATATCTAGAGTGTGATTTGGTCAAAAAAAAATATCGAGAGTGTGATTAAATGGATGTAAAAATACAGCTTATAGGGCTTGTCAGAAGTATTTATTTGTAGTTAGTTATACATACGGTTGTAAAAACTCTCTGATTTCTAAGTAAGACCAAACAAAGAGTGAAAACAAAACCAAATCAAGTCAATTTGGGGGAATTTAAAGCAAAGAGAGAGCAGCTATCAATGAAGAAAGTGAGAGGAAGAATGAAAAAGGACAAAGGAAACCTAAGCTGCTTATCTATAAAGCCAACACATTATTCTTACCCTTTTGCCCACACTCATACCCCATCACCTATACATACAACCACCCACATGAATGCCTACATATAGCACTGGTCCAAGGATCCAAGTTGAGAGAGAGATAGTTATTGAGGAGCCAATCTTGTGAAATATCTAGAAAAACAAAAATCCTCTCTTATACTAAACCAAAAAAAAGGGTGAAAAAATGAAGATTTGGTGTGATGTGTGTGACAAAGAAGAAGCTTCAGTGTTTTGTTGTGCAGATGAAGCAGCTCTTTGTAACGGCTGCGATCGCCATGTTCATTTCGCCAATAAGCTCGCCGGGAAACATCTCCGATTCTCTCTCACTTCTCCTACTTTCAAAGATGCTCCTCTCTGTGATATTTGCGGGGTAAGACCAAATCTATAACTTTGCCGTTTTCGAGAGAAAAATAAAAGTGGGATTTTAGTAGATTTCATTAAACGACGTTTTGCGTGACTTGGATTACTTTTTCTTGCTTTCTGAAACTGGTTTGTTGATTGGGGACTTTTTTCAAAAACAGAACAAAGATCGAGATTACTAAAATCTTGATTAATTATGCTTAACAAAGATCGAGAATACTGAAATCTTGACTAACTATGCTCCCACTAATCAATATTACTAGGCAATTAACCAAATTAAAGTGATATTAAAAAAAGTCCAGTATTTCTTTCTTCTTTGGGAAGGTGAAGCCGTGAAGGAAAAGATATTAAAAAGTCTACTATTTCTGCCTTTATTTTTATTTTTAAAAAGCAATATTCTTGTTGAAAAAGTTCGTGGGAAAAAGAGGGTCAAATCTAATAAATAAATAAACACAATTATTTTTTTTAAATACGTGATTACAAAACAAGGGTCTTGTTTGATTATCTTGACGTGTTATTAAATGGTATCAACTCTTTATCCATACGACAGGAGAGGCGTGCATTACTATTTTGCCAAGAAGACAGAGCCATACTATGCAGAGAATGTGACATTCCAATACATCAAGCTAATGAGCACACTAAGAAACACAATAGATTCCTCCTTACCGGCGTCAAGATATCCGCTTCTCCGTCCACGTACCCGAGAGCTTCCAATCCCAACTCGGTGTGTCGGGCCAAAACCAGACCCAAATCGGTATCGGGCGAGGTCCCGAGCTCGGGCTCCAGCGAGGTCTTTGCGAGCTCTCCTTCGACGACTACAAGCAACTACTATCACGGGCTAGAGGAAAACTATCATCAAGCGAGTGATTCGGGTTCTGGGTCGGGTACGGGCAGTATATCGGAGTATTTGATGGAAACATTACCGGGTTGGAGAGTGGAGGATTTGCTTGAGCATCCTTCTTGTGTCTCTTATGAGGATAACACTATTAGTACTAATAACAACAACAGTGAGTCCTATAGGGTTTACGATGGTTCTTCACAATACCATCATCAAGGGTTTTGGGAACAAAAACCCTTTACCTAAACAACTTTCTTTGCTTATGTGTTGGAATCTAGTCTTTTTCTTTGGGTGTTGAGGTTTGAAATCATGAATCCGAACCAACTTATTGTTTACGTTTTTCTCCCGCCTTTTCTTTTATCTTTTGTTTTTTCAATAAGAATTGTCTTTTGTCAACAAAAATTCGGATTTTGATTGTCAATTGTCTGCGTAACAAGCAAATTCTATTGAGTGTTAGTATTAGAAAATCCATATTATCTTCTTAAGTTTAATGTTCCACACAAACGCCATTAACGGATTATAGCTGAGAGTGTATATCATTAAATTGGATTTTTGGAGGATAGTTGTAAGATTTTTCGTTAAAATCCTGGGAGAAGAAAAAATACACTCACTCATTTGTTCGTGAACGACGTGGGTGGAAGCGAAGACAAGACATGCCCACACGTATGCATATGTTTCGATTTTCCCTTTTTCCCCATTTTTAATGATAAATATGGTAAATATATCCATAATAGACATATTACATACAAAAGAGCCGTAAACTAACTTTAAAAAAAATCCCAACCTGTCCTTTCCCTAAAATATATAGCAACATTCACCCACAGTTCACTGACACCTGCAAAATCATGCAACTTGATCAATACTTGCATCGTTCTTCGACTTGGTTCCTACATTTTCTATAACTTAAAAAGAAACCCAAAATGGAATGTAACATAACCACATTTTTAAAGTCACTTGCAAAAGGGTACCTTTGATTGGTCAAGAGGGAAATGCAAAGAGCCGATCAGAGATTTTTGTGCGGCAAATAGGGCATTCAGAGCAAGCGAGCGAACAAGATTTACATACTGCAAAACGAAACATTTTTTTAGTTACAAATTTTTGATACCCAAAGAGAAACGAGGTTTCACGGAGATAAAAGTTGTGACTTACAGCAGAAATGACGGCAAGGGAGTAGAATTGCGGCGGTGGGAGACTCGAAACATACTTTACAAATGTGAGAGTTTGTGTCTCCATTGGCTTGCGATTTCATCTCTTTCTCCTTCATCTCTTGCATTCTAGCCTGTCTCATTGTTACAGATCTATCATCAATATACGTGAAAGAAAGACCAAAGTACTTGTAAAGAGGTTTGATATTACCTTGAGACGAGCAACGAGAGGTTCCTCCTTTGGTGTCTCTTCGGTTTTAGCTACCACTACTACTTCAGGTCGTCTCGGAGCAATCGAGACTTGCCTCTCTTTCAGAACCATGTTGTTTTCATTCTTCTCTAATTCTCTTGCAGGGTCAGTGGCAGTGGCCGTGACATTGGCTTCAGACAATGCACCGTTGTCTTTCTTCAACTTGGCAACAAGTACCCACATGTTTGCCAAATCGTTTTCTAAAGCTTCCTCTCTTCTCTTTGCCTCTTCTGCTTTTTTCCTGTATTGGTCTTCTATGAACTCTTTCTCTGCCAGAGCAGACTCAAGAGCTGCCTCCCGCTGCTTCCTTGCTTGCAACTCCATTCTCATATCTTCCGGGTCGAGATTCCATGGGTCAAACTCATCTCCGTTTGCCCTACCTGAAGAGATCCGTCCCTTTCTTCCTGACCTTGCCCCGTCGTTATACTTGCGATTATTAACTCCGTTCATGGGGTTACGCGTCTGAGCCAAGTCTCTTGCAGCTGCTAATTCTTTGTCTAGCTTTGCGTTTTGTAGTGAGAATTTTGTTACTTCGCTAGCCAGATTTTTCAGCTCAACAGCAGCAGCAGAGGCTAACTCCTTAGCATATGAAGCTTCTTCAGCTAGTTTTACGTTTTGTACTCGTAACCCACTGTTCTCTTCCACGATCTGTACGTGTTCCAGCTTCAACTTTTCGTTCTCAATTTCCTATATTCATGAACATCTAGTGTAAGAATGAGAGACCAAAGTTTATGCAAGTATAACGAGAGGATCAGATTTACAAGTAATGTATTATCTATGTTACGTGATATTTCTTGATGAGCGCAGATATTTACTGGGATGCTTATGAGAACTGTGAACGTTCGTTAGTAGATTTACCTGCGACTGTATTTTCTTTTTTAGTTCGTCTGCATGTACCGTGCTATCGGAACAAGCTGAAGAGGATTTCTCACTAGATACTGCATTCAAACGTTGCTCTAGAAGGTTCACCTTTTCATGTAGTTCTTTGTTCTCGGTGCACTACATTATTGGAGACATTGTGGTAAGAAGCTTTTTTTACCAGAACAATGCTCAAAAGATGAATGAGAGATAAAAGCAAGAATGGAACAAAAAAATTATGAGAATTATTATGCACATCTTCAAAATGAGAAAAACATGCTACTGACCTTTTTCTGTAGTTGTTCTTGGAGAATGCAATTATCTGCTGATTTAATCTGTGCAAAGAGGTAGAACCACGTTAAACATATGGTTAATTGAAACAATCTTTCAATATTGGCTGTTGTAGTAAACAAGGCAGTAATTTCAATAAAAGAATAATTTTTCACCTCAAGCTCAAAGCTCTTCTCATTGCACTGGGTCATCAAACTCATTACTTTCTGAAAATAACAAAAGAACATGACATCTTAGCTGATCGTCGTGGAGCCTTGAACAAGTGACCTTGAAAGGGTCCACAGTGAATGAGATGTGGAGGTTTAATACCTGTTGCATCTCAACCAATGATGCGTTGGCAATTGAAGCTTCACCACTCTCAATTATGAGCTGTTCAATGGCCCTCATTTGTCTTTGCTTTTCTTGAATCTCGCGTTCTAGATTCTGTATCTGCATGCATTAATTTATTACGCTAGTTACTTAAGCTAAAGGTAAATGAGCCACTTCAGGGACAGTCAAATTCTATTTGAATAAAATCACCACAAAATTTATCTCTGACAGAGTACCGCAATATCAGGAAGTATCTTTACCTGAGTTTGTGAGTTTTCCGGATCATTTACGGACTGATCCACCAAACGTTTTAGTGTGCTGCTACTGAAAGCTATCTCCCCAGCAAGCATCTTAACTTGTTCAACCAAAAGGTCAATTTCATCCGGCGACATGACACCCTACAAAAAGCCAATAGCCCACAACTATTAGATGCCATTTCTGACAATCGATACAAACTTTGTGGTAATTTACTCACTTGAGATTCTGCACCCGGTGAGTTTTCGTCATTTAACCTGCTGGAAGATCTCCGGTGGTTAAAACGTAAAGAAGCATCTGATACAAGAGCCAAGGTCGAAGATGGAGATCCCAGATTATCATTATCCAAAAGCAGAGAATCCAATTTCTGAAAAGCATAGATTAAACAGAATGACACATTGTGTTTTGAAAAAGCTTCTGAGATTAGGAAGCAAAATGCACCAGTAGATTAAAGGAACAGATGGAATGATAAATAACTTGGTCCAGAAAAAAGAAGCCTTGACCAAACAAAACCGAAACTTATTCAGGTTAATTGAACAAAACCAGCTGTCCAAAAATCCTTCTGTTGGCCCGAATTTATCCCTTAGGTCATCTCACCGGTTTGAAAAGAAAACTTACATCATCTTTGCCCTGAGAGAGACTGCGCTGATGAGTGGGTACATCACCCAAATATCCAGGAATGGAATTCTTGGTAGAGACGAGTATGAGCTTGGTAAGCTTTTGGATTCTGCTCATTAAAGCTGCTTTGGCTTCTTCTTCTTCCTCTAATCTTGATTGCATTTTCACTTGACCTTCTTCTAACTGTTGTAATAGGTAGAAAGGTAGTTCAGTCACTGCCTTTAGAACACAGTAAAATATATTAAGGATAAAGGTGGTCTTTGGGGGAAGTCAGTACCTGTTGCTTTAAGCTCATTAACTCTTCGTGACTGACACCAACAAGCATACCCCTTCTTAGCTGATCAAGTTCTAGTTTAAGAACTGATATTTCTCTTTGATATTTCTTAATTAGTGACTTCTCATCTATGATCTGCTTTTAAGACATTAAAAAGGTAATCATTAAGCAATGGTTCAAGCTTGTACACTGAGTGTAGCAAAGTACTTGATTGTAAAATATGCTATCAGATCACCTGATTGCGTGAAGCATATATTTCTATACTCTTTGCTCTGCTGGCGAATTTCAGTGTATTGTGAGTTTCCTCACTACTGCTTGACGCGGGAGTTATTGTACATATGAGCTAAAAAGAATTAGGAAAACAAAATACTGAATTAGTTTCTCTGTTGCTATAGTGAATTAGCGTCACTGCAACGGTTATTGCTTATCACACAGAAGAGGTCTTACCGAAACATGCCCATGACCACTTAATGATGATTGCAGAAGACGAGTAAGCTTAGAGTCACGATATGGAATGTGAGTTGCCTTACCCTCGCTAAGTTTTCCAATCACCTTCATACATGAAACCACAAGAAATAACTGTAAGTAAAACGCCCTACTATCTCAAAGGTTTTAAGCGATTAAAGATGTTACCATGAACAGACAGAAAATACAAAAAGGACAACATGCTACTTATCGGAAAGTCAAACATCAAGAAACACTAGCACAAATGAAAAGAAAATATGTACTGAGGATCCTAAGTACATTCCCCGAATCAAGAAATGACACCTACAGTTCCAAGAGTTAGAAGACTCTTGTTGATGTATGAACCCTCTTTCCTCCTCAATCCAGTTGTTTCAGTTTTGGAACTCTCAGATCCAGCCAAGTCAATCAAATTCTAAACAAGAAAAATAAATAATTAGAAACCCTGTTGTAAAATTAATGATTTTATACAATAGCTGAAAGAAAGAGGCACTTACGAGTTGAGAAAAAATAACTCCATCATATTCATCTCCAGTAGCACTACTTTCAATCATCTGCAACCATATACAAATTGGACTTAAAACATGTAGTAAGTATACTTATTAGAGCTAAATTTCACATGCAGAGACACTGAGAAGAGACTATAATTACACTATGACAGATTCCTGGAGCTTGAAGACATACCAGTGTAAATAAAGTGTGACTTCTGCTGCTCATCAAGTTGAAATTATTTGAACCAACGTGGCGATGTTCTGCCATTGGAAAAACAACAGCAATATTAAGGAGAGGCGGAAGGGAAAAAGTTCAGAAAAATCAATAAATATTTCAAAGGTCAAATTGTCTAATTACCTTCTCCAGCTGCAATGAAAGATAGTGCGTGACCAGGAGACAAAACAACTTCTTCCTTGATACCCTCGACATAAGTGCCCTAGAAACAAATATAACACTCTGTATCAATATCGAAGTGACTTCATATCCATATCTTGATTCGAAGCTAATTCTTTCTCATTTGTTCTATTCGGACCACAATAATACTCAGTTTCACGAGAGAGATGGAGAAAGCTCAGCATTATGTAGTAGTTAAAACACACCTGGGAATCCTCTCTAACTCGTAAGTTTTGGCCCGTTGGATCCAGTAAATCATTTATCACCTACAAGGACCGTAATCAGATAAACTTAGACAGATGAAATAGACAAACACTCAAGTAAAAGCATAAAGATGGTGAGTAGGCACCCAAATTTCTATATTATTAAGCCCAGTGATAAGGTATAAGAGCGGGAAAACAAATCCCAACCTATAAGGCTACTTTTCAGGGCTTGTGAAAGTATATATCAAGGATAGAAAGTTCCACTAACCTCATTGTATATTTCAAGATATGAAACACGGAGCAGGAACTCCCTTCCTGGAGTCTGAAATATAATGGCACAGCCAATTAGCGAAGAACATGTAATCATACCCAAAAAAAGACGTGGTAGGATGGGAGAAGACATGAAACCCATTAAGACCACTTACATCCTGAATGATACTGAAGACGTCTTTTATTGCTAGCGGTATGATCCCGGGAGATTCTTGATCACCCTATGCATATTGCAAAGGAACCAATGGCAAAACAAAAAGAATATCAGATATAAGTTCTACTTGTTTGGATGGGCGGCTACTTCACTGAAGATGAGCACAACCAATCTAGATGAAGGACATTCAAAATCTATTTACATGAGCATTTCCAATTTATTTAACCATCAGCTATAAATTCTATTCAAATGTTTAGAGTAATCCAGAATAACGAGAACCAAGTTGCAAAAGAAATCCCGGTTCATCGCAAGTGTGTTTTCAGGAAAAATCAGAGAGAAAAAGTATACAAGGGAGAGAAAAGAAGCCACTTACATGCATTGTATGGGTCTTTCCACTGCTTGTAACACCATACGCAAAAACGGTTCCTGTAAAATTTCCAACCCTGAGTCAGAAGATTTGCTGCAAGCAATACTAACTTGAAGACCAATTGGTGTAGAGGATATTTCTATGACAACACACGAAATTTGGTTTAGCTAAATTTTGCAGCTATGTTCCTTACCGTTAACACCTTCCATTGCCGCCTTGACTACTGGCCTTGCAGCTACGTCATATACGTCTATAGTAGTAGCCTGTGGTCCAAAAACTTTATCTGGCATAGACAGAATTCGGAAGAACGTTAATCAGTTAACACTACAATCAATTAAAACGAGCACTAGTAAAAATAATTGATATCATCTCCACAATAAAAATTTCATCCAAATACCGAATGCGTAAGCTGTGAGTGGATTGTACTCGTGCCTGACCATTGTATCGCCATCAGGGTACCAAGCAACTTCGTCTCCTCTTTGATACTCTCTATCACTGCAATCCCCAAAAAAAAAAAAAAAAAAATGAATTGACCGGAATCTCCACTTGATTTCCATGTATTGCAAATTGTAAACCGGAACAGTCTCGACATTATCTGCAATAGATCTAATCCACGGCGATCAGATCTACTATACCTCAATGGTCGAAAACGAACGGTGACGGAAATACTATCCCGCTCAGAGCTAATAGTCTCCTCCATTGGCTCACCGAGAAGCTCCTCTGATGGGTAGGGGACAGGCGATCCAGTTCCAAAGCTCCCGGAGCCGATGAAACCGGAGTCGGAGAAGGTGCGACTAGGCGTCATAGATCGGGAGCCGATTCCACCGCCGGAGTTAACAAATGAAGAAGCAGAGGTGGAGCAGGACCGCGGAATGAGACGGTTGCTAAGATGAGACGAAGAAGTCGAAGAAGAGGGACTTGGTGGTCTTTGGTTTCCAAAGGGAGAACTGCTCCTAGTTCTCGATGTCGATGAAGCCATCCACTAAACTCGAAACTCAGGGAGAGTCAACCCGCTATACCCAGCGAGTCGGTCGCGGATTCGGTGAGAAGAATCAACCGATAAAACTTCCGAAGAGAGGAAAAAAAAAAGAAGATGCAGAGAATGTGTCAGGGGAAGCTCACATGGCTGGAGACAGAATAAAGCATCGTAACCTCCTTCTCTCTTCTCTCTCTCCCTTCTTTCGATTGGGCTTTGCTAGGAAATGGTAGAGAAAGATGGTGAGACCATAGAAGAGAGAGAGATTGTTTCGTCTTCTCTAAGCGAAGGTGCTGTAGAGAGAGAGAAAGGAAGATCGAATGGAGAGATATCTCTCTCTCTCCTGGGTGAAGAAACGAGGAGGCTGAAAATTCAGATTTTGAATTTTGTTTTTTTCTGTGCCTTTCTAAATATGCATAATTTAATTAATTAATTGTGGTAGTTGAAAATAATTTAGGGAGGAGAACGACAAAACAAAAAAGAGAGAGAGCAAAAAGTATTTAATAATTAATTAAAGTAATTTTACTGTGTGATGACGTGGCACTGTTCAAGACCACCGTATCGCGAGGTTCGAACGTAGTGAGAAATGGTTTAAATGTTTTATGAAAAAAGCGCGCACCGGTAAAAATGGTTTTCGAATTTTTTTCAAGCAACGAGACGAGCGGGAATTACAATGGGTGACCAAATACAGTAATTTCCCCTCTTTACCCCTTTGATCAATGCATAATTTCCTACAGTTTATAAGGCTATTTCCATTTAAAGTACAGCATAAATGTCTCATATACCCCCCCCCCAGAAAATAAGTAACGCTCTATACGACTGAGATCTTGCTAAATTAAAAAAGAAAACCACTTGGGGAATCTTTGTTTTATAATGTGTTTTGATGTTTTGTCCCTCTGCGGATTGTATTATATGAAAATTTAAAATATTGAAACATTGTCTTTTGCTTACTATGCTGAAAGATGTTGAAAAGATATATGTAGCATCTAAAGGAAAACAACAGTTGTAACCGGTTCTATCAATATTTTCCTAGATAGTATATTATGCAATTTAAAAATCTAAAGACGACAATCTAGCAATGTGTATGGACTATGGTATTACAACTTATCCAACATAATTAATGTATATGGAGTTACAAGCACCACAGCACGTATATACCTGCCAAGCTTCCTTGTCATATAAAATGTCCTAGTCGACATAGTATAATATTGCAGTTCATCTTTTTTTTCCTTTTAAAATATTGTTGTTCATATATTCTTCGATTATTCTGAGTGCTCGTGAAAAGTAAATATAAATTTAAAAGGAAGATCATAAATGTAGTATGAAAAACTAACAAGAATTAAAGTTTGACTAATTTTTCAAGCATTTCTGAATGACCCTTAAAAAAAACTATCAATAGTTCGATTTTTGCTTTGATTCAAAGGGAAAAACAATTGATCCTTTCAAATGTATCACGTAAACCACAATCTTAACATTATTATTAACAGTGTTCTTGGCTTGTTAATTGAACATTGCAGATTACAGTTATGTAGAGATAATCTTGTGTGTCGTCCGATTATACTAATGTATAATATGTACATTGTTGGGTCGCATTATTATCCGTAACGTAGAAAATACAAAAACTTAAAAGTATAAAGATTGGATGCGACACAATCATACATGGAGTTTGATCAGACTTGAGTTCCGGTTCTATCTTTACCGCGAGACATTGCATTGCAAATTACGTAACGACGATTTTTCGGCATATTTTAATTTCTTGAAACACACAAAATAAATATAAACCCCAATGGAGCTTGGTCACGCGCATCAAAAGGAGAGTGAAGATACGCGCAATAATAATTGGGCGGTGTGGAACCGGAGGATTAGATTTAACCCGCATGTGATCGCTGCTCCTTTCACCTGATTCCGCTTTACACGTAGACGATAACGCTCTTAATAGGGGCACTACTGTAGTTTTACATTGTTGACGATAACGAGTTAGCAAGGGTAATTCCGTATATTCATGATTGTACACTAGGGGGTATTAAATTCGTTTAATTTTTTCAACCACGACCGATGGAATATAGAATTGTTAATTTTGATTATTGACAAAATGATTTAGTTCTTAACGCTTATTTGACTTCATTTTTGTTTATAGAACATCTAACGCTAATTGATATACCAACAACAAACATCATTAAAAATATCGATTAACGTCTAACTGATATATATGATGAATAATCGTTTTTTTCTTCTTTTGGTGCAAATCTAAAATCAAATTGTTTCGTTTCATTTGTTTTAGTTTCTTTTGGTCGAGTATTCATTTTGGGTCGACATAGTGCGTAAGCAGTATCATGTGGAATCTTCTGTTTCATTAACTAATAGTCTAATAGTAATGCTAGTAATTATAACAACAACGACAATAGTTGGAAGTTGTCTTGGCTTGGGGACACGTAAATTAAGATGATATTTCAAATTCGAACAATAATAATCGAGAGGAGTAGAGGACAACAAACCTATCAATCTCCCACTACTTCATCACATAGTAGTAAATAGTTAATTCCTCACTTCAATTAGATGCAAGAAAAAAAAATCCTTACATTCTGATGACCTCAAACATATGACATAAATTTTAAAAGCTGATTGAATGAATTGCCCTTATTATGCGATAAATATAGAGTGCCTGCTTCTCGAAGCTAAGTAGTTGTCAGCTCTCACTTTTTGAGCTCCATTGCACAGCTGGCTCACGTGCATGCTTTTCCTTTCTCACGTGCCATGTGGTGTGATCTTTAAATTCCCTTCTTAATATGTCGAAACGAAAAAACAAAATGCAATACGTGGTGTTCGTTAAAGCAAGAGAAAAAAGAAGAAGAAAATGTGGTGTTAGTTGTAAATTACTAACTCTAACATTCCTTAAGTGGAAATTACTTAGGCTTAAAAATCACACATAGTATTAAATAATTAAATTTTATTCTTTAAGATAAATAATCCATTACCAATCTCTGATTTGTGTCGGTCCGTACCGATTACAATTTGTTTTTGTAGGAAAGCGTGTGCAAAAAAAGAGAGAATGTCCTTTACTCATTACAGACTAAAAAAATGAATGAAAGAGAGAATGTCATATTTAAAATGGGTCGTCATTGGGCCTACTCTGGCCCATTTCACAACGACCCGAAAACACCGACGGTTCAATCTCAACCGTCAGATGATACTAGTTGTGCAAAATTAATCACATTTTACAGAAAGCAAATTAGAGTGTGTTCCAATGGCGAGAGTAACACCACTATCGTCTTCTTCATCGACTCATCTTATCCACAATCTTCTCCGACTTCCGGAACCACCGTCTTCGGTCTGTCTCTTCCTTAGACCCTTTTGCTTCTCTGCTTTAACCTCTCAATCCAACCACCGTAACAAGCCTCGCTTTCAATCATTATCTTCCTCAAAGCCCCTTCCTTCTCCTTCTACTTATACCTCAATCGTAGCGAAATCCTTGTCTTCCATCGATGAACCAGATATCGAAGAAGACGAAGAGAGCGAGGAAGACGATTACAGCGCAGAAGAATACCAAGACGAAGACGAAGAAGACGAAGAAGATGAGCTGGAGGGTGGAATGGTTTCCGCGGAAGCAACTGAGGAGGTTTCGGAGATGGGTTTAGGGGAGAAGGAGGAGAAAACAGAGAAGATGAAGAAGAAGGCTCGAGGCTCGGGTCTGAAGTTGTCGATAAAGGAGAAGAAGGAATTGGCTTCTTACGCGCATAGTCTGGGTGATAAATTGAAATGCCAGCTCGTAGGAAAATCTGGCGTCACTGATTCAGTGGTTTTCTCCTTCCTCGAGACTCTCGAGAAGAACGAGCTCTTAAAGGTACCACCTTTATAACGAATTAATTTCCCCATGAAATTGGCGGTTTAGGGTATATGTGTTGATCTTAAGGTGTGAAATGAGATGAAAGTGAGATAATTCTCCCCAATATTAGGCATTTGTGGTTTGGTTGATGTATGAAATTGGATTGAAAATTGTATAAACTCGTGAGGCTGAAACAACTAGTGTAGGACTTGAGCCTCTGCTTAATTCTTACAGGTGAAAATACGGAAGACATCGCCAGATGAGCTAGAGGATGCGGTTAGGCATTTGGAGGAAGCGACAGGTTCAGTAGCAGTAGGACAAATCGGACGGACCGTGATACTGTATCGGCCTAGTCCCACCAAAATGAAAGCAGAGGAGAAGAAGAAGGAAGTTGAGAGATTGTCGATTAGAAGGAGACAGAAGTTCACAAACACTAGACCCTTTGTTGTAAGTAAACCCGACATTGAAACCGCTTCTTTCAGTTTTTCTCGTCTGTCTCTAACTCTATGTTGTGTTTGATATTGATTATGATCATTCAATCTTTTTTGGTGAAATACAGAGAAGAGAGTTTTCAGAAAGACCTGATGGACGTGGACGCAGAGGCGGAAGTAGAGTTGCAACAACATGATACTTGAATCATTTTGCGGTTTTGTTTGTCATATCATCCCAAACACTAGTTCCTTGATTTGTAATGCATTCAAGAACATAATCACATTGTTTTGTTTGTTATGCTTTAAATTTTGGATTACATAGAGCCTAGAATCTAGACTTTGTTCTATTGCTGCGAGCCTCACTCCTGGTGCTTGATATACATAAAAAAATAGCTATTTATTGGCAAACCCTTATATATATAGTTCCCGCGAGTGGCAATAACGAGGAAAAAAATCATACTGAGACTTAAACTGATTTGATCTTCTCCACCGTATATGGACTCTGAGCATCCGTGTTAAGTATGCCTCCAGGTGAAAGAAGCCGCCGTATATACAGGCCAAACCGACCCTGCAATGTTTATAACCTTTTGTTAAAAGACAGATTTGGACCAAGAGAGACCGTTTTATTTTTAAAAAAGCTAATGTATACAAATCTTTACCCATTGAAATCCCACGAGAACGAACCAACAGCCGAGTAAACCAAAGCCACTTCGTGTCACCAACTGTATCATCATCAACAACAACAGAAACAACAAAGCATTTTAGGGATGCTGAGATTTAAAGTGTTTTCGAAGAATAATAAACTTAATTAAGGGTTATGGAAGGGCTCTATAAAGTACCATTAGTGTGAGACAGCCAAGAACGAAGCTTAAACTCATCACCGCGCTGACGAATTTGAGATCACGTCCCGCCTGGTAAACGATAAACAAAAGTTTAGTTAAGCTAGAAAATGGAAGTTTTCTTCAAATGCTTGCTTCTCAAGAAACCATGTAATCAATTGAAAAAGAGCTCAGAATTTACCAGCAATGTACCCTCTAGGGATACAGTCGTAGGCAATACACACAAAGCCATGAAGAAAGGAATAAGAAGTCTATGCATCTGGCAAGCAGATCAAGAATCAGATTTAGACCAAATTAGAATCGTAAACACAACACACACACACACACAAATGTTGACTTGATCATAACAAAAAAAAAAAAACAAAAAACAGACCTCGGTTACGATGACTTTATCATGTGTGTAGACACCAGGGAACAGACCTGGAACCGATGTTCCGATAACTCCCAAGACTAATCCAAGCGTGGCTCCAATAATCATAAGGGACTTCAGCAACGTTCTAGCCTTAGGAAGGTTACGGTTCGCACCATATAACATCCCAGGCATAAATGACTGAGCCGTTTGAGACAGTGGCTCACCCCATACATTGCACATCCTGTACGTCTGAGCCATCACCTATAAAAAAAACCAGAAATATAAATACACAACACCAAACATCAAATTCGCTTAGGCGTAAGTAAAGATCTCTGTTTTGGTATTGTACCTGATGAGCTGCTAAAACGTGAGTTCCCATGGAGGTAGCACAGTAGATGATGTAAGAGTAGAAAGCAATCTTGGAGAAAATTGAGATGAAGACAGGTGCGGCGAGTGCAGAGATCTTCCATAGTTCTTGCGGTGTAGGCACTTCGAAGGAGTAAGCATTGTAGCCTTCTTTGTTCAGAGAATCCATCATCATAAAAGCCGAAACAACCTAAAACCATAACACACAATCACATTAATCCATAATGAAATCTTCTGCATTTTTATTTCACATTTCACTAGGTTTTGGATTTCAGTGTATCTATATTACCTGAGAGGCGGTTGTTGCCCAAGCAGCTCCGGCGATACCTTGTCCGAGAAATAAGCATAGGATTGTATCTCCAAGACCATTAATGACCGTTGCTGCTAATAATGCCTTAAGAGGTCCCCATGAGTTCTTCATTCCAAGACTGAGACAGATTCTCATGTCAATCATTTGAATAATAGAGAGGCGAAAAAATGGACACAGAAAAATGAATGTTACAAAAAGTAAAAGAAACCTTGCGCTTTGAGCAACCAATCCAACAAGAATAAACGGCCACGCTAAGCCTCGAATCTGCAAAAACAGAGAGGATTCGGTTAAGTATTTGACTCAAAAGATGATTATGGATTAGTAAATAAAACAAGTACCTGAATATATGTATTGGCTGCAGGTACAATCTCAATGTTCTTCCCTCTTGTAAAAGCTGCCCAAACAAAACCCATAATAAAAGTAAAAATACATTTCACTCAAGTACTACTTAAAATGGAAAGTTTTTTGGTAGTGAAAATGTATACCAGTAACAGCCCAAGGCCCGAATAGTCTTGTCAACAAAAGCATCATTAGTCCACAAACCAACCCAATGAAGAGTAAGACCGAGATTTGATGTTGTGCTTCTTTCTTGTCCTGTAAGAAAAAAAAATAAAACGTTTGAGAATTTATTTTAACTTGGAACACAAGAAAAGGACAAGACATGATTGGAAGAGTAGAGAATAATAACCTGTTTGGCAAGAGCAGTGGCGACCATATTGGATGTAGCCACGGAGAGGAACATGAAGACGTAGCTCATGTGATCGCATAGTACTGTACCGGGTCCTATTAAACCGGTAATTTTTCTCAGCCATTGAACAAAATTTGACATACTATTCAGTAAAATATCGCTCCTCTATTCAGTAAAAGACCAATAAAATTATATGGAAACAGTATTTACGTAGATTAGAAACAAAAAAAAAACAAAAAATGTTGCAGTTAGGTGTTTGACATAACAATCACGTTACAAAATTAAATGATTAGAGTGCAAAGATGATCACAATAGTTTAAATAAATAAATGACAGATGGGACATTTACCTAACTTCCAATTATAATTGGTCCACATGACTACAATATATCCAAAATCTAATCAGATTAAACAAACCAGAAGGTTTACATGTTACCGCTTTTCTGTTGGGAACCAGTCTGGTTCGATTTGGTTTAGAATTGTTTTGTTTTAGCTCGATCCAATTTTTTTTTTTTTCATTCGACCAGACGGTCAACATTATTTAAAACTTTTTTCTTTTTTGGTAAAAACATTATATAAAACTTATGAACAAATCAGATCACATAATTTAAGTGTTGATAAAAAAGCTTACCAAGGGCGGCTAGTTCGACGGAGCTTCCTTGGCCGATGACCACCGTGTCTATGAGACTCATCAACGGTCCACAAATCCACATCCCCATCGCCGGACCTGTGAACTTCACGATCTCTTTCATCTGTTCCCACACACTCTGTTTCACCAGATCCTCTCTCTTCTTCTCCTCTCCTTCTTCTTCTTCATCAGTTTCGCCGATTTCCCGATCTGTTCCGATGCAGCTCCTCGTAATTCTCTCTAGTTTGATTTTTCGACGAGTCACCACCGGATTCCCCTGGAATGTCGGAGTAGTTGTGGCGACCAAACCGAGTTTTCTCCGAGTTGTCACCGAGTCAACGCCGAGACAACGGACCAGTGTTTGGTAGCGGTGAGATTTAATCGGGTTTCGTGGGAAGAAAGGAGAGATAGTGAGTGTTTGGGTTTTGAGTAGCATTTTGTTATATTAGTCGTTGATCAGAAAAGAGACGGATCTTCGCCGGATAACGGTGATCGCCGTTACTGCAGTGTTTTTGGCGCCTCGAGATTTGTATTGAGAGAAAAAAAAGAAGCGAGCCAAAGATCTAAATACTACTCTTCTTCTGTTACGCACGTGCTACTTGTTTTTTATTCTTCACCAGATAATAAAATATATTAAAATAATTAGACTCTTCTGAGAAATTTACAGAAGAGTGAGTGAGTATTGTGTTCCATGATTGATCTATACACTTATTGTTCGTAGTTGGTGCTATAACTTCATTTCCAGCTGTCAAATGTCAGCTGGGGATTTAATATAATTATTCATAGAATTATTTGAAAACATAAGTATAATTGACTGATGTGGAAGAAAAAGAGAGATATTTGACTGACGAACAGAAAAAGAAAAGTATATACGTAAAGACTACAGCAAAGACTTGTATTTTTTTTTTTAATTATATGACTATAAAAGGACTTGTATAGTTGTATTGGCATGTCAATGGTGTTGTTTATTTTTATCTTTGGTGGTAGACTTATGGTCAATGGTGTTGTTGTTACGTTATTTCTTCGACGATGTATCATGTATTTATGTTGCATATTTGCATCCAATTTTTGTTTGGTGAACTGTGTTCCTTTCTCATTAATTCATTAAAAGAAGAGAAAGAAACGTGTGTAAAAACGACAGCATTAAATTAGAAGAAAGAAGTTTCAATGATTTATGCATGTGTAAATCAACTGTTGGTTTTTACTACAAAAAATAAAAATAAACTGTTGGTTCAAATGGATACAAAACAAAATACTAGTGGCTATAAACGCAACTAAATGTGTGCGATCATACCAGCACTAATGCACCGGATCCCATCAGAACTCCGCAGCTAAGCGTGCTTGGGCGAGAGTAGTACTAGGATGGGTGACCTCCCGGGAAGTCCTCGTGTTGCACCTCTTTATTGTTGTCGACAAAAAAAAAAAAAAACGCAACTAAATACTACGAACTCGTCTTTAATTGATTTCTTCTAAGTCAAAGGCGATTGTTCCCACCAAAAAGATTGACTTATTTTGTTTTTCCTTTGCATAGGAATTTACAAAGAAAATTAAGTTTGTGACGTTTCTTAGTTTCCACGCAATTTCATGTCAACTTCTTGATGAATTTCTTAGCCATAGATAAAATAAAAGTATATAAATTTCAAGAAAAGAAAATTCAGATAATTGTCCACGCAAGTTCTAGTCAGTATCTTGGTAATTCAGGTAATTTTGAAAGGGAGTTAGATTATTATTTTTTTAAGAAAATTTCTAAAGAGAGTTTAATTGTTTAATTTAATGTAAATCTAATTTAATCATATAATTTAACAATAGTTTAGCTTATAGTATACATTGAATAATATTAAACTTCAGATCTTTTAAACATGACTTATGTGAAATGCGGCATTGTTGATTATGAAGATTTTTAAAAATGTTAGTATCCTTTTACAAAAAAAAAAAGAAGATTTTTCAATATATGTTACCAGAAAGTAATTGAGTAATTGAGAAGGGGCCTTGAAGGAAGCATGGTAATCTACTATACTGAAACTAAGCATTGGCTGTAAAATAAGCTTATTCATGTGAATCAACCATATATGTATTCAAAGTAATGGTCAAAACATTGACCAATGAGCCAACAAATAATAACATGTGAATGCAAGTGGCTAAAATGGGACACATTCAGTTGAAATGATTTTCATTAAACAATCAGGGAAACAAGTTTATTTCCTCATGATCTAATATCAAGGTTTGTAGTTGACTAGTTGTTATGTTGAAGCGCTAATCTTGAACATTCAGAATCAAAACGAAATTTATTTACTATGATATTAACGAGTCTAATGACCACATATATATATTTACTAGGGATTATCCGCACAAATTTTACATTAGTATTACTAAAGTATACTAATATATTAATATATAATAATTATTATAACATTAGGTCAACTAAAATTTGTGCCAACAGACGAAACGATATTCTTAAAGTTTACATTTTCAAAAAATTAACAAAAATAAGCAAAATATAAGCAAGATATAAGCAAAACATAAACAAAATATAAGCAAAAAGAAGCCGTAAACCACTTCAATAACTTAAGCTAAACTACTCCTAACTGCTATGATCACCCGAGTCGATTTATAGAATATGATGTACATTATGAGTAATATAAGTGACAGTACAATGCAGATCTCATTAACAATATAGAATGAGACTTTATTCATTGTTTACTCGAATATTATATTACATTTTATCCAAAATACATATTGGTGTTCTTATTGGAATATTCATAATTATTCAAACATTACACTGCAGAGATAATTTGGATATTATCCTTCTAAAATAATCGAAGGATTGTATCGGCCAATATTATCACTGCAATATAAAAAGCTCATGTTCTAATAAAACCTACTATTTATTTGGTGTAACCAAGTTTCTTTAGTACGGCAAAACAAATTTCAACTCCTCATGTAATTTTCAAAAATCTACGTAGGTGGTGGTGTAACCACGTTCTTTTCATCGTTACACTCTTTCCTAATATTTTTTTCAGTACAAAAGAAAATGTTACAAAAATTCCAAGATTTCGTTAATTTTTTTAGGATTTCGTTTTGATGTTGAAGGGTATGAGGAGCCACAAGAAGAGTTGAACTATGTTGGAGGTCAAGGATTCCAACCAAGACTCAATAGTCGATACCTTTGACGCCCAAATTTGTGAACGACAATCTGATTTTATCGAATTTTAGTCAACTGACAATGCTTGTACTTTGTCTTCATATATCCCTTTTTTTTTTAGTTTGCAAGTGTGATATCTCCATCGATAAAGAATAACTATAGAAAGAAAAAAAATCGGATAAGTACAAGTCGCCTCATTGTTATTTTATACTAATCAATTTGCAGATCAGATTGGTATTCTTATTGGAATATTGCTCTATATTGAGAATCGTGAATGTCCATTTCCGATTCAAAATACATATTCGTGTCCTCATTGGAATATTGTCTTACCATATATATTACCAAAAAGAAGAAGAAGATAGACTAACCTTATGATGTTACAAAAAGATACATATATTGACTAACATCGTTTTTGCCACACACAAACAAAAAAACCAAATATGTTGACTAACACAATTTTCTTACACGTTGAACAGATTTAACTTTAAATGCCCAAAAACGGAAACAAATCTTTCTTTTATAGTTTATGCATAGATAAACAGCCTGGATTCATTTGTATATAAATCATACAAATAAAACCTCCTCACAAATCTTTTCACTTTCTGAATAAGAAAACATAAAAAGATGGATTGTTTGCTTTGCTCACCAGTTTTATACATTTTTCTTATATTTCTTTGGTATTTAGTTAGAATTTGGTTAAATCGGGGTCTTCCATTTCCACCTGGTCCAAAGGGATATCCAATCATCGGAAACATGAACCTCAAGAATCAGTTGACTCACCGTGGTTTGGCCGAGTTAGCCAAACAATACGGCGGTCTCTTACACCTCCATATGGGTAGAATTCATATTGTAGCCGCTTCAACAGCTGAGATGGCTCGAGAAATTCTTCAGGTTAGTAAATATTCTTCTTAACCTTTTTTTCCTTTTGTTTCTTGGCGATACCATCGTGTGCATAGAGGACATTTTAAACCATGAACTGGTATAGTTTAAATTAAAAAATGAGATTGTTTGGATTGAGCGACAGTGAAATTAAAAAAAAAAAATTGTAAAGAAATTAAAATCAAACATTCGGTTGTGGTAGGTTCAATATGTGGTTTTCGCAAACCGGCCGGCTAACGTTGCGATTTCATATCTTACTTACAACCGGGCGGATATGGCGTTTGCGAACTACGGTCCACTTTGGCGTCAAATGAGGAAGGTTTGCGTGATGAAGCTCTTTAGCAGGAAACGGGCCGAATCATGGGCCTCGGTTCGAGAAGAAATCGATTCGATGGTTCAAACTCTAACCGAACAAACCGGTTCTCCGGTTAACGTTGGCGAGCTGGTATTTGCTTTGACGCGGAACATAACGTACCGAGCAGCGTTTGGATCGTTCGCTCGTGATGGCCAAGACGAATTCGTCAAAATACTGCAAGAGTTCTCGAAGCTGTTTGGAGCGTTTGATATCACAGAGTTTTTGCCGTGGATGAAATGGTTTAGTAACCGCGGTTTCAACGAGCGGTTGGAAAACGCTAGGAACTCGCTGGATGGGTTCATAGATAGAATCATCGACGCACATATCGAAAAGAAGAAATCGAGAAAACAAGACGATGATGGCTTGGACGATGACATGGTCGACGAACTAATGGCGTTTTATAGCGGTGAGAACGGTGGAAAAACTAACGATTCGCAGTCTTCACTTACACTCACAAGAGATAACATCAAAGCCCTTGTCATGGTAAGTGGTAACAAACACAATTCATTTTACAAACCATCAATCATATGTTATAACAATGTTGTATTAATCAAGAAATTGAATTGTTATTTAGGATGTGATGTTTGGTGGGACGGAAACGGTGGCGTCTGCGATTGAATGGGCAATGACGGAGCTGATGAAGAATCCTCACGAACTACAGAAACTGCAGCAAGAACTCGCTGACGTCATCGGATTGGATCGTCCATTTCACGAATCTGATCTCGAGAAACTTCCCTACTTCAGATGCGCGATGAAAGAGACGTTGAGGCTACAGCCCCCGATTCCGCTTCTCCTCCACGAGGCGGCGGCGGATTCCGTCGTCTCCGGGTACTCGATTCCCCGTGATTCTCGGGTGATGATCAATGTGTACGCAATTGGGCGAGACGGATCGGTCTGGAGTGAACCGAACGAGTTTAGACCGAGTCGGTTTATGGATAGCGAGGCTCCGGATTTCAAAGGCAGTGATTTCGAGTATCTTCCGTTCGGGTCGGGTCGAAGATCGTGCCCGGGTATGCAGTTAGGGCTCTATGCTATGGAGCTCGCAGTCGCGCACATGCTTCACTCTTTCGATTGGGAGTTGCCGGACGGAGTTAACTCCGGTGATCTGGATATGACTGACATGTTCGGTCTCACGGCTCCTAGAGCCACCAGGCTCATCGCCGTTCCGAGCTACCGGCTAAAATGTCCGATGGTGATTTGAATTTACTGTTTTCATGATCGTTATTCGTTAAAACAGTTTGTTGTTTTTGATTCCAAACGGAAAACAATGTGTCGTTTTTGTTTTTTGAAGGAATTTTTAGTTTTTGAATAATTCCCTGGTCTCGATCGGCCAACTCTAACCGGATGGGTCAGGTCCAAAAATACCGGCAAAAAAAGTCATTACACCAAAATCCAAAACCAAATCTGGTTTGCCTATGAACACAGAAACTAAGCAAAGAAGCTCCTTCTGGAGGCTTGCTTAGTACCTAAAGGGAAGCTGAGATTGTTGACAAATCTGCCAGAAGGACATTCATAGGCAATGTGACCTCTTCCACCACAGTTGCGACACATCATCAACTGAGCCATGCAGTCTCTGCTCATATGCCCCACTCGCCTGCAGTTCCTGCACACAATCTCCTCCTCGTACTGCTCTCGGTGGCCACCATGATGCACGCCTCTGCTCCCACGTGGTGGTCCGCGGTCTCCTGCAACTGCATTGGCTTTGGGGCATTTGATAGTGAGATGACCAGCCAGGTTACAGTGGTTACACACGGGGTCGTCTTTGCAATCGCGAGCCAAATGACTAGTCTTCCTGCAGTTGTTGCAGGCCTTCTCGTTGGTGCAGTCAGCTGCGAAGTGGCCTTGCTTGTAACACTTGTTGCAGAGTCTAAGGTCTCCGGGAGGGAGCTGGCGAGCGGTGCAGTCTTTGGCCTGGTGTCCGGATATGCCACATCTGTGACAAACGCCTTCGTTTGTGCAGCTACTGGCCATGTGGCCTGATTCACGGCAGTTCCAACACACTGACTCTGTCGAGCATTCTGATACTATGTGCCTGCCGAGTTTTATAAAGACTATGCTGTGTTAATTATATATCAATCTTGTCTAAAAGGTGCCACCAAGAACAACGTCACAGAACATTCTAAAACCAAAGATGGAGTAAGAGAGAGAGAGGCAGGTAAAAGAGTGAATGAAAACTTACCCAGGAAGGCCACAATTGTGGCAAATTGTGACATTGGGACAGTCTCGAGCAAAATGACCATGTCGCTTACAGTTGTTGCACGTTTTACTCTGGCTGCAAGAGAATTGATTAAGAAGCCATATTAGTAGTAGATTAGAGGCAAAAGAGTGGAAAATTAAGCTTCAATGAATTATCTAGTGAGAAATGGCATTTGATCAGACAATTGCTAGAGGGCTAAGAGGTAAATGAGAAACCTGAAACTCCGATGAGGATCGTTACGGTAAGGATCATCACGGTAAGCAAAGCGATCAGAAGGAATCTTCCTGCCCACTGGAGACCTCCTCATTATCTAAACACAAATCGCAAAAATTAGACCACGAAATCGGAAACCCTTCTCCAGGGCTTACACCAGTAAAAAAGGGTGTCATTCAAACCCACAATTGGGCACAGCAAAATTCATACGTTTGGTGCCAATTTGAGATGCCAAAAGTACTTCAGTAGAAGACAGAAAAGCCACGAAACGTCGTCCAGTTTAGAAAAGACGAAAGCACTCTTTAAGGTACGCTAAAACCATAACAACTGAGTCTAGATTCTAACAGCTAAGGAGATAGAAAACCTAATACTTAATCGAAATCAACTCACGAGTTCTTCTTCCGAACGAATAGTAACTCGATTTCACAGAGAAATTAACAGTACTAGTGTACCTCTGTCACGGCGACGAGAAAGCAGATTCTGGCGTGCGACGAACGAACCTTGTGAGTTGTGTGACTCCGAAACTCGGAAACAAAGAATGACGCCAGTTATTGCTTTGCTGTTCCAAATTGGGCTTTGAAGCGATAGCCCATTAAGAAACTAATTAAGTCTCCACGACCCAATACTAATGATATATGGGCTAATATTACATAATTCTAATATTACGATCCTTTTTTTTTTGCATCAAAAGAAAATCGATGTAAGCGTGAAGATAAGGTTTTCAGAGAAAGGAGAAGAGTAATCAATAGAAAGGATAATACAAAGATAACAGATTTCTTTTTAGAAAAGGAAGAAACAGATTTACATTGCTTGCGAAAACAGCCAAGTCCTCCCCAAAAATTGTTTTCCTAGCAGTATTTTCTTCATTCAAGAAATATTCAAAAATAACAAAATATAACGAGTGTACTTACGGTTAAGTTCGGTATGTTCCGCGCTTTTTCTGATATGGTCAAGTCTATAATGCGTACAAGCATAATATAGTAACATCATGGGAATGGGATAGCCCCTATGTATGTAGATTTGTATTGTATAAGCATAACAAGTGTTGGAACGATTTAATTATGCCCTCTCACTTTGATCTTGCTAATAACAAAGATTGTGTACTAATTGTTTTTTTTGTTAAATGGTTCTCTTTACAAAGTGTTGCTTCTTACTAATAAACACAAACAAAATGAAAAGACATTGTCCGCACTTAAATATAATATTTGAAATGTGAGTGCAGAAGTAAACGTGTGCAACTGAAATAAACAAAACTCCTAATGGCTAATGGTATGGGTCAGTGAATGTTAGATAAAAAGTACGAGGAGTTGGTTGGCTTTCAAGAACAGCGAAGATGAAATTTATCACTCATATGGAGAACAGTGAAGATGAAATTTGTCATCAGTAGCCTGTAGGCTTTCAATCAATCAATTTAATACTTTAGTTCAAACTATATATGTTACATTAGATAGAGATTGTGTTCATTAAATTATTTTCATGAGTGGACGATAACGGCTAAATCATTTGATACGAGCACTAGTAAATTAAATAAAACACAATCGGTAGGAAAAGTATCAATGTGATGGATAATATTTGTTTGCGATAATATATCTATATATCAAATTTTGGGAGTTTTGTCGCAAAAACTTAACGCTCAAGTGCAAACTGAAAAGCCTGAATATCGATCGGGTCCCACATTGTCACGAGATTCTATTTATGAGAGAGATTATGTTAATCCCGTCGTTTATACTTTTCAGTACTCTCTTTATTCATTATAAAACGTAAAGAAACCTAAAGAGACGATAAAAGAAAGAATGAGAACAAAATAAATTGGTTTATCTTCTAGCCACAAACAAAATACCATGGCCTTTCCTCGATCGCTCCAATTTTATTTGTCCGTAGTGCTAGCACACGACGAATGACGATATTCTTAGTATCAAACTAGTTGTAAATAATATAAAATCACACAAGATCACAAAAACAATTCCCTTATACAGTACAAAACAATGGATTTTAGTCGAAAATTTACTTTTGTAATAAGCTTAAATTAGACAGGTATGACGTATCGTTTATCATGTTTTAAATTTTTTAACATTGTAAGACCTATATACCAAAAAAGAATATGACCTCTTGTACGTCATAGTTTTTGCAAGGACATATTACTACACAGTTATTATTTAAACTTAAGGTCTAATCTTCTACATGTGCGCGTTCCGAGTCTTCCGATAATATTAATAACATAATCGTACAAATCAAGTGAGAGAACTTATTTATAGTACTAAATAAATAATCGCATAAAAACGCACACAATTTCTTTAACTGAAGCAGATTAAAATAAAATAAATGAACATCGCCTAACAAAAAGTATCAAATCACGTAATTAAATTAATTAATTACTCCTTCATTCTGCTGTATTAATTAATTACACATATCCCAACTTGTATATAAACACATCTCGTGTGAGACTCGCTCGTATTTAGGCTAACAGAGAGACGGGAGTCACAGACCAGTAGCAGCTCCTTCACCGTCACCACCGACTTTTCTTATTTTCTCCGGCGCCGAGACAGTATGAAATTACATTTTCATCCTCGCCTCCGTCTCTCACTCCTCTTCTTCTGTTTCCTCTTCAGTGCGACTATGTCGTCGAACCAGCACGATTACTCCGATGCACTCTCCAAATCAATCCTCTTCTTCGAAGGCCAACGCTCCGGTTTCCTCCCAAACGACCAGCGACTGAAGTGGCGACGGAATTCCGGTCTGAGTGACGGCTGGACTCACAATACCGATTTAACGGGCGGTTACTACGACGCCGGGGACAACGTAAAATTCAATTTTCCGATGGCTTTCACAACCACAATGCTCGCCTGGAGCGTAATCGAATTCGGGGAGCTCATGCCATCGTCGGAGCTTCGTAACGCACTCGTCGCTCTCCGGTGGAGCTCTAATTACCTCCTCAAATCCGTTTCGCAGCTACCTAACCGCATCTTCGTCCAGGTTTGTTAATTCTCCGGTTTACCTTCCTCAGTTAATGGTAAATGGCAATGAATTTTGTAACTGTCTTTTGCCGGTGAGTGGCATTTACATGGTGAATATGCAGTATGGGGAGGGGTAATTTGGGGAACTGAATAACTAAGATTTAGGAAACTGATTCGTTTCGGTTGCCAACAGATGAATGAAACTAACCCGTGAGTGGGTGTTTTTTTTCTTTTCTTTTGGACTCTCGAGACTCCTCTGCAATTGCATACACCTTTTTTGTCGTTGCGTCACACTTTTTTAGTTTTTTTTTTGCCCTTTACTTCTCCCTTTTCCTTTATACAAAAAAATAAGAATTTCTTTCTCAACAGAAAATATCGTAAATAAAATAGTCACGAAAACTGAGTCATTTGGTCATTCTGATTCATAACATCGATCAACTTGAGAGAGCAAAAGAATTACTAGTATGAATTTCACCCATTTTTTTATTAAGTTCAAAATGTAAATATAAATTTCTCGTAACGATACAGATGATCAACTACTAATAATAATTGCAGGGTTTTTTCGATTATTTTTATATCGGAACCCGGAACAATAATTTTTGTTGACTATAATTGTAACTAATGGATCATATGATAATTCAATAACGCAACTTTTTATAATATACTAGTGGAATGGTTATAGAATTCTCAACATTGATTCAAAGGTCGTTACATTATAATGATCATTGAGATGCGATGATAGAGACTTCTTTCTCAGAATCGTAGATATAATGTATGATCTTTTGTTACAGATAATATATGACTATCATGTTGATGTACTTGTTAGGTGTATTTCTTATTTTATTCATTAATAACTTCCCTCAATTCATATATTTGTTTGTTAGAGAGCTTGAACATTATGATACGGAAACTAATTAAAGTAGAAAAAAATAAACAAACTTGTGTGATAGGTAGGTGATCCCATTGCGGATCATAATTGCTGGGAAAGGCCTGAAGATATGGATACACCACGTACTGCTTACGTCGTAAATGCTCCCAATCCGGCTTCTGAAGTGGCCGGAGAAATCACGGCGGCCCTCTCAGCCGCTTCTATTTCTTTCCGGTCATCCGATCCAGGCTACTCTCAAACATTGCTCCAAAACGCCGTGAAAACGTTTCAGTTCGCTGACATGTACCGTGGTGCTTATAGTAGCAATGACGATATCAAAAACGATGTTTGTCCTTTTTACTGCGATTTCAATGGATTTCAGGTAAAAACATGTTATTTAAAACACTATTAATTTGTTTTAGTGGATTTTCTGAATTTATTTTGTGTTTGGATGGGTAGGATGAGTTGTTGTGGGGAGCAGCTTGGCTAAGGAAAGCGACTGGTGATGAAACTTACCTAAACTATATTGAGAGTAACCGTGAACCCTTTGGTGCTAGCGAGAACGTCGACGAATTTGGTTGGGACAACAAAGTCGGTGGACTTAATGTTCTCGTTTCAAAGGTTAGTTCCTATGTTATAATAACCTCAAAGTTATGTCATCAAATCGAAATTAACATTAGTTAACTGTTGAAACTTGAAAGTAAATAGAACCACGAGCCTTGCACGTGCATGTAAAGGTTCCGTGTACGTGAATCCAAAAGTGATCCGGTATGGTAACTGATGAAATTGGGGTTTGATTTAATTTTTGTACAGGAAGTTGTAGAAGGGAACATGTACAACTTAGAGGCGTACAAGTCATCGGCGGAGAGCTTCATGTGTAGTCTGGTGCCGGAGTCTCCGGGAACACACGTTGAGTATACTCCCGGCGGTCTACTATACAAGCCCGGAGGTAGCCAGCTCCAGCATGCAACCACCATATCATTCCTCCTCCTTGTGTACGCTCAGTATCTCTCTAGAAGCTCTCTCTCCCTCAATTGCGGCACCCTCGTCGTCCCTCCTGATTATCTCCGCCGTCTCGCCAAGAAACAGGTTAGCCTCAATACTACATTATACAGCTTTTGTCTAATATTGTTTGGTTTATGAGTCAGTTAAACCGGACTTTACAGCATGCTTGAGAGCCAAGAAATCCAAATTTATTTTCATGTTACTATATGCTCCGATTATATATTTGTTTCATTTATTGGAAAATGAAGGTGGACTATATTTTGGGGGAGAATCCGATGGGATTATCGTACATGGTCGGGTACGGGGAGAGGTATCCAAAGAGGATCCACCACCGTGGCTCATCACTTCCGTCGATTGTGGATCATCCAGGAACCATCGGGTGCAAAGACGGGTCGGTTTATTTCAATTCGACCGAACCAAACCCGAACGTTTTGATAGGAGCCGTGGTGGGTGGGCCCGGAGAGGATGATAAGTACGATGATGACCGGGCCGATTTCCGCAAGTCCGAGCCAACTACTTACATTAATGCTCCTTTCGTTGGGGTATTGGCTTACTTTGCAGCCAATCCTGGTTTTCGCTAACGTCACGAGGGTAAAACTTGGAATACAAGTTCCATTAGAATGGGAGTACATTTTTTTAGAAGTCTCTCATCTTGCTGAAGCGAGGCAAAGAAAGAAACACTTTATATAGTCAAGAATTTTTTTTAGTAGAAGGTTTAAATCCGAATATCTCATTCGGATTACTTTACTTGGTTACCATTTGTATATATCATACATACATATATAATGGTTGCTACTAAAAAAGGATACACTTGTTTGTTTTTGTTAACCAAGAGATTTAACAGCCAAACTAAATTTAAAGACTACTACAAAAGTTATTTGTGTTAATGTTCCTGGTTTAAAATGTTTCAAAATATCAAATTATTACCAGTACCTTGAAATCATGCAAATGGAATTGGGATTGCGTTGACTTTAAAGTTTAAACCATATGAATTCACTTTTACACTTTAAATTAAAACTTATATCAAAAGATGCAAATAGTGAGAAAAATATGATTGAATAGAAAGATATAACAATAATGTGTGATTAGTGAGTAGTATAGTAGTCCAACAAAATTTAATTTTCTCTTTGGGTTCAATACCATAATTTTTTAATGTATTCAGTCCATGTCATTTTTTTTTGGTTATTTAAATGTTTTGATATCTTACTATAAAAAGTAATATATATTTTTCCGATTCTGTGATTCATTAGACTATTGCGCTTTGTTTAATTTAGATGACAAATTTGGCCCAACAATCTTTTAATTAATGTAAGATTATGATTACTTAAATTAAATAATTTGTCTTTTAGTTCGCTCGTTGACTAACACATTGATATTTTTTACATTTATATATTTTTTTTTCTGTTTTCTAAACTAATAAGATTATGGGTACATGAGTTTAGAGTGACGAAGAAGAACGTATAGGTCATATATTAATGATCGTTATGATGTGAACCAACCTGACAATTGGTTCTCAGTTTAAAAATTACAGTATATATATTTTACATGAGATGTTTCTCTAGAAGAGAATGAATTATTTCAGTTTTCATGAATTATATTTCATTAAAATTGTTGTTCATACTTGCATCTCAAGAATATATACGTGTTCACATTTAATACTTAACCTGAGCATGACAAAACATAAAATATTACATAATTTGAGCATTGATAATTCAGTTTTGTTTTGTTGTGTGTCCGTACTTGTTTTGTAATGATCAAAATCATTCCGTAATATATAATAAGATTATATTATTTATATGTCTATATGATTGTACAAACCATTATTCATTGATACAACTATTGTCAACACATTACAATTGGATTCCGTAAAATAGCAGGAAAATAAACGAAAACCCTACAAGTACGTAGAACAAATAATAGCGGTTGGTCGTAGATACTAATAAATGTAATGTACATTTAAGACTAATCTGAGTATTTTAACAAAAGAAAAATACTAATTTGAGTACCATTTCAAAAGAAATTGCTTCAGTTTGGATATGCTCTAAATTAAATATTTTAAATTATATGTATAACGCGACAAATACGCAAACTACAACGAAGGATGATGTGATAGAAACGATCAAATATGTGCTTTATAGAAAAAAATGTAATCATTCAACAAAACTAACAGAACAAGGTAGACATTGTGTAGAGAAATAAAAGAGCATGGTCTTACGAAACAGAACAATATACTGTAAATGTCTAAATGAATAGTTTTTCTTTTCTTATAGTAAATAACTTGACTCGTTATGTTTCTAGCATGCAATGTAATATTTAGAAACAGTAATCTAATTTAACTCGTTTTTAAAAACATAACCTAGTTATTTTGTTGTCTGAAGCCTAGTAAGTTGTAACTTGTAAACCCTAGTAAAACTAAAATCTATCCCGCTAAGTTAACGTTTTGTTGTCCAAAGCACCAAAACAAAAATGTCTGCAATTTGGTTAGACATACAACGTCTCTCTTTCAGGATTTCGAGTTGTCGCACAAAAGAGAGACGTTGTATTTTTAATCAAATTGCAGACTTTAATAGCTAACGATGAGTCCTCTAATTCAAAAATATAATTTTTATTTTTATTTTTTTATTATTATTACACCTCTTTTGCAGATTTTTAACATATATATGGAGAAATTCAGATATATAAACACAGAAAAAATAAATGCGGATAAGAAATTTACTACAAGTGGCACTATGATGATGAGAAACAAATGATCAAATCTATTAACAAAATATATTTATTGTTTAACTTAGAAAGAAATTAAAATCTAATAAAAATGAATAAACTCAAAGATATTTAACTAAAACTAATAAAAGTTGGGATATTAGTTTAGAATGTTATCTGGTTTACTATAGAGAATTAGAGGTACAAGTAGAAGAATATTGGGCATATTTTTTAATACATGCATGGATGATACCTCACCAACCCAATACGTATATTGGTTACTTACCGTATTATCCAAATACTACGTAAACCAGAATTCTTAGCCACAGTTGTGTATCTATAAATATGTACCCTAAAGCGCCAAAGCTAAATGTCAAGAAAGCAAAATCTCACCAAGTACATAGTTATTTAGAAAAAGTTCTTATTTTTTTCATAAAGATGAAACCATCGATTTACTTTTTAACTGTTTTCATACTTCTCCTTCTCATATTACCAACGGCGGTCCCTAGTCACGACTACTCCGATGCTCTTAGAAAGTCAATCCTCTTCTTCGAAGGTCAACGTTCCGGTCGTCTTCCTATACAACAAAGGATGGCGTGGCGTCGTAACTCTGCCCTCAACGACGGCAAAAACCTCAATACCGACCTCGTTGGTGGTTACTACGACGCTGGAGACAACGTTAAGTTTCATTTTCCGATGGCTTTCACGGCCACGATGCTTGCTTGGAGCTCTGTCGACTTCGGCAGTTACATGTCTCCGAATGATTTTGGACACAATCTTGTAGCTCTCAAGTGGGCCACCGATTACCTCCTTAAGGCCGTGTCACAACTCCCTAATCGCATCTTCGTCCAAGTAAGTTTTTTATAAGCCCAAAACGCGTCGTCGTTTTTTATTTACCGTAATATTTGGTTTTCACCATCTATGGACTGTAGTAAAAATCTTTTATATTATTTTCATGTAAAATACCAATACCAAATCGCTATCAACAATTTGATTTTCACCATTTTTGTCGCGCGTTGTCGTTTCACACACACACACACACGTATTCAAATTTTATAAAGTTATTATAATCTTAAGGAAAAACTCATATCTTGAAAAACTGGACATACCTTTTCTATTTATATGCAAGGTTGGAAAAAAATGAAAAGTAAATTTATTTAGAAAAAAAAAATGAAAAGTATATGACATACAATGGCACAGGTAGGTGAAGCACAAGCGGACCATGATTGTTGGGAAAGACCGGAAGACATGGACACGCCACGAACCGCTTTCGCCTTAGATGCACCACATCCAGCCTCCGATTTGGCAGGAGAAATCGCGGCAGCTTTAGCAGCTGCTTCAATCGCATTCAAACAAGCAAATCCAAATTATTCTAGAATATTGCTCGATAAAGCCGTAAAAACTTTTCAGTACGCAGATTCACATCGTGGATCTTATACTGATAATCCGAACGTAAACCAAGCTGTTTGCCCTTTTTACTGCAGTGTTAATGGATATAAGGTAAATTTTCATTTTTTTAATTTAACAGGTCTACGTACTATCGGATTTTATTTCATATATTAATATTGCCTCATGTAGGATGAGTTGCTATGGGGAGCTGCGTGGCTACGGAGAGCGACCGGTAGTGAATTTTACCTAAACTACTTGTTGCAAAATCGTCAAGCTTTCGGTGCAGATTTCAATTACTTTGAGTTTGGATGGGACAACAAAGTTGGTGGTGTCAATGTTCTCATTGCTAAGGTTTGATCCAATTCTCTAGTATCTCTACCATATTAACATTGACAATTCTACTAATATATATATATATTTTTTTTTGCATGCCGTTTAAAAAAAACATATATAAACTCTAAATGAAAAGTTGCATAACTTAACAGGAAATATTTGAGAACAATGTGACGGCGTTAACAGCATATAAAGATACCGCAGAGAAAATGATGTGTGCATTTTTTCGGGAAACAAGCGGTCCACACATGAGTTACACTCCCGGCGGCCTCCTTTACAAATCCGGAAGCAGCCAGCTTCAGAACACGGCTGCACTGTCTTTCCTCCTCCTTACCTACGCGGACTACCTCTCCAAATCCTCTCAACAGCTCCATTGCGGTAACCTCATGTTTCCACCGGATTCTCTTCGCCGCATAGTCAAACGACAGGTATTTAGCACATGGTCACCAAAATCTGTAAATTCGTAATTAGTTATTTTTTTCATTGTTACCAACCAGGCCTATATCTCGGTCCAATTTTTTTTTTTTTTTTTTTTTTTTTTTTTTTTTTTTTTTTTTTTAAGGTGGACTACGTTTTGGGAGATAATCCAATGAAAATATCATACATGGTTGGATACGGGGAGCAGTACCCGAGGCAGATACACCACCGTGGCTCGTCTATACCATCTGTTAGTGTTCATCCGAATGCGTTCGGGTGCTTACAAGGATGGAGTATTTTCTCGTCACCGAATCCTGACCCGAACGTTCTCGTAGGAGCGGTGCTTGGAGGGCCTGACGTTGATGATAAATTCATCGGAAAACGGACCAATGCTAGCGATACGGAGCCCACGACGTACATCAATGCTCCCTTTGTTGGTGTCTTTGCCTACTTTAAAAGCCATCCCAACTTCTCTTGATTTCAAATTTCTTTCCTTTTTTCTTTCTTAAGTTACTTTGTAAAATAAAAATGTACATATACTGGTTGAATCGAAAATAAGTACCATATTGATTTATGGGGACATGCAACAAATACCTTTTCTCTTAATTAAATTTGTGGAATTTTTTTATGAAATAGCTTTGAGTAATATATCTCCAAAGTCGAAAATATTTCACTGAGCTAAAATTGACATATTTCTTTTCTCAGCGCCTTTCTTTTTACTCATATAAGTAATTAAGTGAATATTGTTTTACCAATTAACATAATTTATCATTATCTAGAGATCAACTTCTCGAAATATCGATGGATTATTAAAAAAGGGAAAATTAACGAATAACAAACATTTATCATGGATATAAGCCATCGGTTAGGAATATTTCCATATACAAAGTAAAGGAAAACTACTATCAACAAGCAAGAAAATTCAACAGAAGACCGAAGATAGTATATATAAATGCATCGTCTTCGTCTTATTCAGTCATCATCTCTAATAAACCCTAAAAGAAAAAAAAAAAACTAATGATGCCACCGATTTGCGCTTCCATATTTCTTTTCCTCATCCTTTTACCAACGGCGATCTCTCACGACTACTCCGATGCTCTCACAAAGTCAATCCTGTTCTTCGAAGGTCAACGCTCTGGATATCTTCCAAAAGAGCAGAGAATGACGTGGCGCCGTAACTCTGCACGCGACGATGGCAAGAACCTCAATGTGGACCTCACTGGCGGTTACTACGACGCCGGAGACAACATTAAGTTCCACTTTCCGATGGCTTTTACGGCTACGATGCTTGCGTGGAGCGCTGTCGATTTCGGAAGTTACATGTCCCCGGAAGATCTCCGGGAAAACCTCGTCGCTCTCCGTTGGGGCACTGATTATCTCCTTAAGACTGTTTCGCAACTCCCTAATCGCATCTTCGTGCAAGTATGTGACGGTAACATATTGTCTTCTGTTTAACAAAAAAAAAAAGATAATATATTATCTGTCTTTAACTTTACATATTCATCAACTTCAACTTAAACCAGTTAATATATATTGATGCATTTATTGAGAATTTGTGTGTTGTGATGATCTATTAGGTAGGTGAGGCAACTCCGGATCATCAGTGTTGGGAGAGACCAGAGGATATGGACACACCACGAACCGCTTACGCTGTGGAAGCGCCGCAGCCAGCCTCTGATTTAGCCGGAGAAATTGCAGCTGCGCTTGCGGCTGCTTCAATCGCATTCCAACAATCTGATCCTAGTTATGCTAAACTATTGCTCGTCAATGCTGTAAAAACTTTCGAGTACGCGGATTCACACCGAGGTTCTTACACCAGTAATCAAGGGGCTAAGCTTGCTGTTTGCCCATTTTACTGTAGTGTGAACGGATACGAGGTAATATATTGCATGCTCGAAATCTTACGTAAAATTAAATCGATTTTATAAACTAATCACCATGTTGTTTGTTTTATATAGGATGAATTATTATGGGGAGCTGCATGGCTGAGAAGAGCGACCGGTGGAGATTCTTACATAAATTACTTAGTGGACAATCGTCAATCTTTTAATGCAGATTTCAATTGCTTCGAGTTTGGATGGGATAACAAAGTTGGGGGTCTCAATGTTCTCGTTGCCAAGGTTTGATCCAATTAAAATGCATCACATTCTTATAAATAATACGTTTAAAATCATAGTCGTACTAAACGGTTGAAACAAATTGTTGTTGATATATATATAGGAAGTATTTGAGAAGAATGTGGCCGCGATTGCACCGTATAAGGAAACGGCGGAAAGAATGATGTGTTCATATTTCTCGGGAAGCCCCGGTTCACATATGACTTACTCTCCCGGTGGACTTCTATACAAACCCGGCAGCAGCCAGCTCCAAAACACGGTCGCATTGTCTTTTCTCCTCCTCACTTACGCCGATTACCTCTCCAAATCCTCTCAACAACTCCAATGCGGCAGCCTCAAGATTCATCCAGATTCTTTCCGTCGCTTGGCCAAACGACAGGTACGTTACTTAACATATATAGTGAAAATACATAATTAGTACACATGAATACATAATGCATTACTAAATAGTTAGTTAACATAATGTGATGGGAATTTAGTATAGGTGGATTACATTTTGGGAGATAATCCAATGAAAATGTCGTACATGGTCGGATACGGTGATCGGTATCCGCGACAGATCCACCACCGTGGCGCATCCTCGCCGTCGATCGTGACTCATCCCACTCCCATAAAATGCTCAGAAGGGTGGAATATTTTTGCATCACCCAATCCGGACCCTAACGTTTTAGTAGGTGCCGTGATCGGTGGGCCCGGTTTAGACGATAAATTTGTTGGAGGTCGGACCAATGCTAGTCAGACGGAGCCGACGACTTACATCAATGCACCTTTTGTTGGTCTTTTGGCTTATTTTAAAGCCAACCCAAATTTCATGTGATTCGTTCTTCTTAAGATTTGTCAAACAAAATTAGAATGCAAATTTTATCACTAATTTTTTTTTTTTGACATATTTTATCACTTAATTATGCCGAAATAAGAGGTGTTTTCAGTAAATATCAAAACTATCTGGTGGTATTACTTTATTTCATCAATGCACCTTTTACTTTTCACTGTAAAATTGAAAGAATCCACCCGAATTTAATTTTCAGAAACTGTTACGAGGAATTGAAATTTGAATTGTCTGTGAAATGCCCAAAAAAAGAGAGTCACATGTACAAATAAAAAAGTATGAGGCTTTTTCTGCTAATTTAAAAAACATTTGGGATATTAATGAAAGAAAGAACATGTTTCCAGACTCTCGCCCAAGAACTAAACACATCGTCGTTTCGGAGATTTCAAAATTCGAACAGCGACTTTCTTCTTCCAAAATTAGGGTTTTCTGGGATTCTCCTCTCGATAAAGGTTAGCCATTTTTCCTTAATTTCTTCCCTGAACTGTATATTTTAGTAGTTATTTGACTTATATTCACTGAATTAGGTGTACCCAGTAGAGTCTCCGTGTTACTGCTTGCGTTTTTGACGTCTATACAACTTGATTCGATTCGATTAGTTAGATGTGTTTTCTGAGATCTTCTATGCTTGTGCTTTCGAATTTGAGCAATTAGTTGTTTTATTGGTGGTGAAGAATACGCAGAATTTGACATTTGATCCTTGTAAAATCAGTCACTGGTTCGATTAAACTGTCTCTTATTCTAGTTAGTGATGGGAGTAGGTGTCTTGTGCTCCTGTTTTAGCTTCAATTTGGGATTTTTAAACATCTCGATTTGGTTGCAAGTCTTTGGAAAATTATCTATCAAATGTGTCCGTAACATGAAAGTTCTGGATGTGCTTTGTAGCCATGGGTGAAGGAGAAGACGCAGCAGAGGTTTCTCTTTGTGTGGAAAACAAGGAAGATGTTTCTCCTGAATGCTTAGCTTGGGCTGATTCCTGCATCGTCAGTTTTCCGGATGACTCAGAGAGCAATAATTGGGGCACTTTTAGAGACGCTTTAACAGATATCATCGATATCCATCCAGAGATATTTATTGCTTCGTCAACAGGAACATCGACTGTCCTGTCTCCAGACGAGGACATGGCTGAAACCGACTCAAGTGATCTTCACAGCAGTACAGATTCACCCAAGGAAGAAGTCAGCGAGATTGTCTCTTTGCTAACGTTTGAATCAGACCCGTCAAAGAATTCTCTACAAGACGATTACTTTCCAGACAACGGAACAAGCCGTGAACAAGTACTGGACAATCGTACTAGAGATCTTCAAGGTGTGGAGAGTGTAGAAGGAGATGGTTCTCTGAGCAATGGAAAGGCGGTGGAAGAAGAAGAAGCAGAGGCATTATCGTCTCAAGTCTTCAAGGATGATTTCATGAGCAGTTACATTCAAGACGGTGTTGACGAGTTTAATGTTCCAGAGGATGTGGTTAAAGCAACTCCACAAGAGATATTCAAGGTGTGGGATCTGGAGATCGAGGAGGAGGATGGTGAGGAAGATGGGTTGGTGCTGCAGCTGAAGAAAGCACTCGACGAGTCATCCAGAGTCCAGCCACTGAATGATGATCAAGTTGTTGCGAGGAAGAGCAGTGTCGATGATCTGATTGCTGGGATCTCCGATATGTCTCTCGCAGAAACATATCCAAGTGAAAGATGAAGTTTAAGCATGTCTTCAGAAACTCACTTTTGCTCTACTGCTACTTAACCGGCACCAACCGGTTTGAGATTTGGAAACCTGCAAGGCCAGGGAGAAGGTTTTAATGGTCAATTTGTGCTTCCACGACCCACTTGGCCACCTGTTGTATAATGGTATGTGACGATGAGATTGTAGTATCTCTCGGCCGTTAATAAAATAATGAAATTGAATCAATTGATACTAACCTCATGATTTTTCCTTCTCTTATCTCATAACCCCGTTTTTGTAGATTAGGCCACTATGCATTTTGTCTCCCAGCTCAACATCATGACAACATGTCTAGTGATACAAAGGACGTACAATTCATGAAAAAATAAGTTATAAATCAAATAAAATATTCTGGTCCGCGTTGCTACATATTAATTTCAATGGTTTTTATACATCTTTTTACATAACATGGTAATATGCTATTCATATAGTTAATTATTGTCTTTTCTTTAAAGAAACCATGTCTTCAAGTTGAACGAATCTTTACCTTTCTGGTACTTATTCGATTTTTCCCGTATATGCGAGCAAAAAAACAAGCAAACATGTAACGACGGGAATAAAAAGAGTATCGATTCCGCTCTTGAAGAAAAAGAAAACAAAAATACGAGCGTGTTTTCTTGAATTGTGAGTACTACAAGATTACGGTCCACGTGGCAGGGTATAATTGGCAAGGTCACAAGAACCTCAAATAACTGATCTGCTGAGAAGTATAAATCCAAAAGAGGGAGAGTGAGGTGCTCAGAGTCAGAGATAAGGTGGGTGTCATAAGCTAATTTACTGTGAGTCTCTCAAACAAACCAAAGGCAGAGAAAGAGAGTTAGAGAAGATAACACAGATAATGGCATCAACCTCACTCCTCAAGGCATCTCCGGTGTTGGACAAATCCGAGTGGGTCAAGGGACAAAGCGTTCTCTTCCGTCAGCCTTCTTCCGCCTCCGTCGTCCTCCGCAACCGCTCCACCTCCCTCACCGTCCGTGCCGCTTCCTCCTACGCCGATGAGCTTGTTAAGACAGCGGTTAGTCAACCACACATACCCTCTTCTTTGCCACGTATCTTATCTGCATGATTCATAAAGGTTCTTTTTTTAAATAAATATTTTGACCTTTTGAATTGGTGGAATGTCTTATTGACTACTAATTATGTTCTGTTTTCCTCCATTTTCTATTTAGTTTCATTTCTTCTTTGGAGAACCAAATTAAACCAAATCTTGTCTAGTTCGATTTTGTTTTACCCTATAGATTACTGATTGTTCTTGTATATGAAAATTAGTACAAAGAACTCCAGTTACAATAAAAGGCTTGATATTACAGTTGACTTAAACTAAAAAACATGCAATTTGATTATTTGTATATTGGACCGGAGCAGAAAACAATTGCGTCTCCGGGACGCGGAATCTTGGCGATGGACGAGTCGAACGCGACTTGCGGGAAGCGTTTGGACTCGATAGGGCTAGAGAACACTGAGGCAAACCGTCAAGCTTACCGGACATTGCTGGTCTCTGCACCAGGACTCGGACAGTACATCTCCGGCGCAATCTTGTTCGAGGAGACTCTCTACCAATCCACCGTTGAAGGCAAGAAAATGGTCGACGTCCTCGTCGAGCAGAACATCGTCCCCGGCATCAAAGTCGACAAGGTATAACTAAATGCATACTAATAGAGTAATAGACTATATTTTATATCACATCCACATGGTGCTTGATATACGAGTTGTATGGAATTAGGGTTTGGTGCCACTTGTTGGCTCTAACAATGAATCATGGTGCCAAGGACTCGACGGTCTATCCTCTCGAACTGCTGCTTACTACCAACAGGGTGCTCGTTTCGCCAAATGGTATATATAGATTCATTTTTCGTAAATATTCTTCTCGGGCCGGATTTTACAGTGATATTTTGTCTTGATGATTGATTAGGCGTACTGTCGTGAGCATTCCCAACGGTCCGTCTGCTCTCGCTGTAAAAGAAGCTGCTTGGGGTCTTGCCCGATACGCTGCCATTTCGCAGGTAAAACACATAGCTTGTCCTTCAAGAAACAGGTCAAGTCGGATCCTTTTAAGTTATCTGACATGCGGATTCCATTTTTTCAGGACAGTGGATTGGTTCCAATTGTGGAGCCAGAGATCATGTTGGACGGAGAACATGACATTGACAGGACTTACGAAGTAGCAGAGAAGGTTTGGGCTGAGGTCTTCTTTTACCTTGCTCAGAACAATGTCATGTTTGAAGGTAGCTTTGTTACATGGACTTCTCTTTCACTTGTGTGTCTTAAAAACCAACGTCTTACCGGATACTTACGATATCTTGTACACAGGTATCCTCCTGAAACCGAGCATGGTGACTCCCGGAGCTGAGGCTAAAGACAGAGCTACTCCTGAACAAGTTGCCTCCTACACACTCAAGCTCCTCCGCAACAGAATCCCTCCTGCCGTCCCCGGAATCATGGTAAGCTCTCTCTCTCCCTCTCTTCTCCGTAAATCAACAGTTAGTGTAAAAAAAAAGGCTAAAAGTTTCTATTTGTCATGAGGAAAACCCTATTCTTGGTTGCTTGAGCTAAAAGTAATGTTGTTTGTATTTTTATTTTCTCAGTTCTTGTCCGGAGGACAGTCTGAGTTGGAGGCAACGTTGAACCTGAACGCGATGAACCAGGCACCAAACCCGTGGCACGTGTCCTTCTCCTACGCCCGCGCTCTGCAGAACACTTGTTTGAAAACATGGGGAGGCAGAGCCGAGAACGTGAACGCGGCTCAGACCACTCTCTTGGCCCGGGCCAAGGCCAATTCGTTGGCTCAGCTCGGAAAATACACCGGAGAAGGTGAGTCCGAAGAGGCTAAGGAGGGTATGTTCGTCAAAGGCTACACCTATTGAAGACAACAATGTGTCGACGAGGTCATGATGCTGTGAAAGGAGACGAAGCAAATGTGTTGATTACATTTGTTTTTGAGTTTGGTTGTTATTATCATGTCAAATCATTTATTTTCTCTGCTTAATTTGCATTTAGCTACTCCTTTTAATAAGTTTTAATATATTGAAGTTATCTATCTCTTCATCTATTTAAACTTGAAAATTATATTCTAGAAATAGTCCACGCTAACAAAGAAGTGTGACAATAAACTTTGGGTATTAAACTTTGGGAAAGCGAAAACGAAGCTCCCATGTCTACTACTTGTTCTTCTTCTTTTAGTGTTAGAGATGACTGATATGATATCTCCCATTCCCAATACACTAATTCATATGCTAACAATAGACCTTTTCAAAGCCAATAGGCTTCTTTACTGGCCCAATTCTTTGCTCTTTTATTGAGAGAGACTAAAAAATATATTCCAAGAAGACTTCAAAATTATTGAAAAAAAGAAACAGAGAGGAATATATTCAGAATTTGGGATATTAGCTTATACATTCATCACTCATGTGAGGCCTTAAGATAGGTAATGCACAAACAGCACAAGCCTTCTTTACTTGCAGCAAACTCTGCAACAGCAATAAAAAAAAAGAACGCAAAAAGAAAACATGAAATTTCAATTTCTAGAATGTTTTTTACAATCCATCTTGTAAAGAGTTGTTTCTCACTCTCACCTGATCACTTGTCAGATTCTCGTTTAAAAGGTCCAACTGGTACAACACCTGCAGGCTCGTGATTGTTGGCGTTATTTACATCGATACCCTGCTCATTTGACAAGCATAACAAAACAAATTGAGAGAAGACACAAACAAACAGACAAAATATTGAGAATAATCTAATAATCTGTGTAGAGAATAGAGATATGGATAGAGAGATTTGAAGTACATGGTGATTTGAAGCAGGCTCATGTACTCTCTGAGGGTTAGCGTTTAGATCAATCATTTCGTCATCAGTCTTGCCATTAGCTTCACCATTTGCAGATATTCTTTGGTTTTGCAAGTTGTCTCTCGTTTTAGGCTTATCGCCTGGAAACTAGAAGAAAAACACAAGATGGCGGTTAAATAAAGATATTGACTCAGAATGTTTGCGTGAGAGAAACAAAAAGTGTTAATTCAAACAAACCTCGATTCTCTGTCTGAGCAAAAGAAAGCGGCCGTGAGTTCTCTTGCCACCAACATGGACAACCATGTCACATTGCAGACAAAGCGAACTACCGTCTATCTCACAGTAAAAGAAGGCTGCGAGGAGAGGAGATTGAAAACAAGAATGAGACTGAAACATGAGCAAAGACATTGAAACATGAGTCTTGTAGTAAAAGAGAACAAACCAGGTGCATTTTCGCAAATATCGCAGCAAGGGGCGTTGCTTGGTTCGGCTAAACCAACACGTACGTGCCGACTTGCTAGCTTGTTGCACATATGTACCTGAATCACAAAAAAAGAAACACATTACAATACAAAGTTTTGAATCAAATTTAAACAAAAGTTTCCGAAAACAACTCAGAGCTATTGGAGTAGAAAAAGGATTGACTAAGGACTCGAGGAAGGACTGTAAAGTGTTACCCTTAAGAGTCATCTAACAGGATTATTCGCAAAGATGTGATAAATTTGACTAATTTTATATGCAAACTCTGGAGACACAACCTTCCCTGCAATGTACAACATCACACACTCGAATCACTGAAACGGCAGCAGCAAAATACATGAATCTCATCTAATTCACCAAATAACAAGTAATGCAAAATATTATATCTTCAGCTATCATATCAAAAGCAATTTGTTAATCTAATGACCAAATCTCACAATCTATTTTTCAGCTCAAAGTCCTCCCCTTTTTTTTATACAAGATCTTGAGAGATAAACCAAGGTCCGAATCAATTGAGATTAAGGATTATCCCAGACACAGGTAACAAAGACTCAATTTTTCAGTAACCCGTCAGAGCTTTGAGCTGAAGAGCTTTACAAAAATAAATAAAAATTACTTTTTCATCGCAGGGGCGGCAAAGGGCAGCTTCATCGGCGGCACAAAAGACGATAGCGGCTGCGTTCTCGCACGCATCGCACAAAATTCGCATCTTTCGTCTTCAATCTCAAAGTCTGTCTTCTCACTCTATTCGGAAAAATGAATCCCCAGCAGGTTTTTTTAGACAGCACCCAGATTGTGATTGAAAGAGAGGAAGTGGAGTAATTAAGAACGAAGTAGATTAACACGTTGGTGGTATCAACTAGCAAGGAAGATGAAGAAGAAGAAAGGAGGAAAAAGAGAGAAATTTTTTATAAACATTTTATCTCTGCCTTTTAAATCCTTTCACGAAGGAGAAGAGAAGCTTGCGAGACCAGAAGAGACGAACCAAATCTCACGCGCCGGGAGTATCAAATATGCCTACTCGCTTTTTACATGGCAAAACTGTTAATTACTACTTTGAGTAATCCTCTTAGATTATTTCATATGCTTTTTTCTTCTTCTAATATATTAGTTGACGATAAAAAAAATTAGTAAGCGCCTAACAGGCTAACAAGAAATGTAGATTAATTAGTATAAAATATTATAAAGATAATCTCTCTAGTGGATATGATTAATAAGATTAATTTATTAAAAGACAAAAAAGAAAATTATCTAGAGTAGATTGGGGGACCCTAATGGTGAAGACAAAAGACTCTATGCCATCTGGAAGGTCATTCATGTGTCTCCCTGAAGCAGACTCCTCCTTCTGTTTCCTTCGTTTAGGTGTGACTCTGAATCACTCTTTGTTAAGTTTTGTTTTTCATTCCATAAGTATATGATATGGTTTCTAGCAATTAAAAGAATATAGTATATATGATGTATGTTTTATCTGTTTTTTGTGTGTGTTTGGGTGCAAATCTGAAATTGTTTGAAAGATAATAGTGGTAGGTTTAACTGGAAATAAAACAAAATATACTCTCGAGTTATAAAAAGAAAACAAAATAAGAGCCACAAGAGGAAATAAAAGACAAAAAGGTGGGTGGGCCAAATGCCACCAGCCATTTAAAATTGGTGGTCGAGAAGCAGTTGAAAGCAACTCTCGAAACTCTCTGTTTGTGGCCTTGGTTTAAAGTTGTTTTTAACTAAAGATCTGATTAAATTTATGTTAGATTTTTTATATTTTCCCCGCATTTTATTGTTATGAGTTGACAAACTTACTGGCTGAAATGTTTAAGATTATCGGGCTCTGAGCTTACGGGCCGAATAGAATATCTCTGTGTAATGGGCTCTGAGATCGCCAACCAACAGGGGCAAAAAGGTCATTAACTATGCCAAGCTCTCGGACAAATGGAGAGAGAGAAAGAGAAACCGGCGAATAGAAGAGAGAGAGAGAAGAGAGAATCTGCGGCTCTGCGGGACCAAATCAATGCCGATCGGTCCAGTGGTCCTTCCAGAGATATTGAAAGACAAAATGCAATAAAAGAAGAAGAAGAAGAAGAGAGAATGTGATTTCTCTCTATCTACCTTTTCGTTTATCCTTTTGTTAAACATCTCTGGTTTTCTCTTTATCCGTTTCTTTCCATTTCTCCTCTCATTGTTCTTAGGGTCCGTTTCCTTCCTTCACATTGTTGTTTCTTCCTCGTTTCTCCCAAGCGCTGTCTGATTTTCCTCCCCTCTTATGTTTTTCTTTTTCAACTTTATAAAAAAAATGTTTTCTTTTTCAAAAACAGTTTTTGTTTCTGTATGTGTCATTTTATAAACTCTAATTAAGTAGACATTTATATAACTGCAAAGGCTCTGGTGTTGTTGCAGAACAGAGCTTCGGAGCGGGAGTGAGAGAAGGCTTCAGGAACCAACCACATTGCCTTGAGGAAGAAGACAACTCACAAAGGTGAAGAGCTCTTTTTGCATGTTTTCTTTATGTAACCGAACCATATATGAGAATCTGGAACCACATTGCCTTGAGTTGCATTCTGTAATGTTGTTTAAATGTTCCTTAAACGCGCATTTGTGACTGACCTTGTCTCTCTCCATTGATGCATAAATTATGATTACGGAACTAAAAATTTGGTTTTTTTTTTATGTTTGATCTTGCGTGTACTATATTATAATCCAAGTCACTTTTCAAAACTTAAAATATGATAGCTTCCTTTTTTTGCTCTCCACAGTTACTTTCAGAGAGAGAAAGAGAGAGATGTGTGGGTTTTGTGGGACCATGAGTTACTAACTTATTCGATTAAAGAATGTTTAGAGTGGTAAAACGTGACTTAGTCTTCAAGGATAGTGGGTGACCATTACAGATAAAGTCGGTAATCTCTTGTCTCTCTTTTCTTGTGTTCTTCAGTTGAGGTTGATCACCTTCTAACTAAACTGTGTTTATATTATAATAACAACAAGTCTTCTCTTATTTTGTGTGTTTGATTCATTGAATGTGTCAAGTGTTCTGTTTCCGCATAACAAAGAAGCTTTTCTCTTTACTTTTCTAGGCATGTTTCATGATTTAGTCTCAAAAGTAGTCTGCTTTTCAACTTCTTTCAGCAGTCTTAGGGGTCTAAAGCTTGAACTGTTTTCCAGGGAAACGAGTTCCCTCCGGTTACACTGAAATCAAACCAATTTTGGGAGCGTAATATATGGTAGCACTTGCTGAAGAAGAGCAGAAGAAGAAGATGGAGAAGACACAGATTCCTGTAGCCCGAGAAGAGAAGATACTGGTTCTGGTGAGACTGAGACCCTTAAACGAGAAAGAGATTGCAGCTAACGAAGCTGCGGATTGGGAATGTATCAACGATACCACCGTTTTGTACAGAAACACGTTGCGCGAAGGCTCAAACTTTCCTTCTGCATACTCTTTTGGTAAGAAGAGCAACACAAATAGTGCTTTAACTTGACAGATAGATAATATTCAGCAGCATCACAACCTCTGTATATATGTTGACACACTCAGATTCTCATTTCCTGTTTGGTGTACAGATAGAGTTTACAGAGGTGATTGTCCGACCAGACAAGTTTACGAGGATGGAACCAAGGAGATTGCACTCTCTGTTGTCAAAGGAATCAATTGTAAGCTTCCTTTGCCCATTTATTTTGCTAAGATATGCTTAGTAACTAACGTTGTTGAATGACAGGTAGTATATTCGCATACGGCCAGACGAGTAGCGGAAAGACATACACCATGACTGGTATCACTGAGTTTGCCGTGGCTGACATCTTTGACTATATCTTTCAGGTACAAACAGATTTTGTTTCTCAAGTTATTTGTTCTTCTTATGTTACTACTAAATGCTGATTGGCTATCGATCATGGATGGTGCAGCATGAGGAAAGGGCATTTTCCGTGAAATTCTCAGCTATAGAGATCTACAATGAGGCCATACGAGATCTGCTTAGCTCGGATGGTACATCGCTGAGGCTACGAGACGATCCTGAGGTAAATTTACAATAATCATTTTCCTTGCTAGTTTTTAAAAAAAACTTTCTGACTCTTTTTTTCTCAATAGAAAGGGACTGTTGTTGAAAAAGCCACAGAGGAGACTCTGAGAGACTGGAACCATCTCAAGGAGCTTCTCTCTGTTTGTGAAGGTAAAACTTACATTTCAGAAATATCAGATTGTTCTTCAGAAAATGTTCGTCTGAAAAAGTGAGCTTACAATCTTTGCAGCACAGCGTAAGATTGGTGAAACCTCATTGAATGAGAGAAGTTCCAGATCTCATCAAATTATCAGACTGGTAATTACATTCTTATCTATCACTCCCTCACTGGATATAAGACACCAAAGAAAGATTCTCTCTTGCTTAACTTGTATCTTTAATTGTTTAGACAGTTGAAAGCTCTGCTCGTGAGTTCTTAGGAAAAGAAAACTCCACCACCCTCATGGCCTCTGTGGTATATATACGATCTCTCATCTGCAAAGCTAAATAAAAAAAAAAAAAAAAAAAAAAAGTTACATTCTGTTATGTTGTTGGATCCTGATAACCTTTGATGTGCAGAATTTGATAGATCTGGCGGGAAGTGAGCGAGCATCACAGGCCATGTCAGCTGGTGCTAGACTCAAGGAAGGCTGCCATATCAATCGAAGTTTGCTCACTCTTGGAACTGTCATCCGTAAACTTAGGTAACGTGTAATGTGTGTAAACATTACATTTCTGTCTTTTTCGCATGCTTTGTTGATTAATAATAAATGGAAGCTGCACGAATTATAGTAAGGGAAGACAAGGGCACATCAACTTTAGAGACTCGAAGCTGACACGAATTCTACAGCCATGCTTGGGTGGTAATGCAAGAACCGCCATCATCTGCACTCTCAGCCCAGCGAGGAGTCATGTTGAGCTAACCAGGAACACTCTCTTGTTTGCCTGCTGTGCTAAGGAAGTCACCACTAAGGCCCGGATCAATGTTGTTATGTCAGACAAGGCTCTCCTCAAGCAACTACAGCGTGAGCTTGCCAGGCTTGAGACCGAGCTCAGAAACCCTGTCTCAACTGCCTCAAACTGTGATTGTGCCATGACTGTGAGGAAGAAAGATCTCCAGATTCAAAAGGTTTGTGCTTTTGAGAAACAATCAGAAATCGCTTTCAATACATTTCCTTTTGCTGATTAGTTAAGGTTTAATGTTATATGCAGATGGAAAAGCAGATGAAAGAGTTGAGAGAACAGAGGGATCTTGCTCAATCCAGGCTTGAAGATTTCATGAGAATGGTTGAACACGATGGAGCCTCAAAGGTATCACTGGCTCTTCACACTTTATGCAAACCGATGATTCAGTTGTTAACTTAGATTTCTATGGCATTTCTGCTTCTTGTTTCAGTCTGGCACTCCGCATTTCGGGAACCACACAGACAAGTGGGAGGATGGTTCAGTCTCAGAGACATCAGGGGTGGTCGATTTAGATGGAATGTCGACACCGCTGTCAACAGCAAGAGCTTATGTTCGGTCTCACTCTGAAGAAGATGATGTCGATGAAGAGCTCCCTAGGCGTTCAGGAGATCCATCAGAGGAATATTGCAGAGAAGTTCAATGCATTGAGACTGAGGAGGAATCAGGCAGAGTCTTTAATAATAACCACAAAGACGAGAGAGCAGAAACTGGAAACGTTTTAGGCCAACCAAACGTGAGGTTGAGAAGCTGGAACCGCACGGAGACCGTGCCAGGCACGTGCACTCCTCCTGAAAACTTAGGGACAGACTTCCTGGGAAGACCAGAGAGTCACAAGATTGTGTTTCCTGATTTGGAGTTTGGTTCTAGTATGTCGAGGAATGATTCCATGTCTTCTTGCGGAAGCGATTCCACTGAAGCTCACAGCATCAGAACGCCTCTGGGGGAAGAAGGAGGCATCACTAGCATCAGGACTTTCGTTGAAGGGCTTAAGGAGATGGCTAAGCGTCAAGGCGAGGTAAGTTCAACAACGTACTAATCGATTCTGTCTTCGTATAGTTTACGGACCTATTTACAAGTTTTGTTAGTATCAGGAGGATGCTGGAAAAATGGGGAGGGGCATTAGTGTGGACTTCATGGACAGGGAATTTGAGAGACAGCGGCAAGAGATTCTTGAGCTATGGCACAGCTGTAATATTTCTTTGGTGCATAGAACATACTTTTACTTGCTCTTCAAAGGAGATGAGGCGGATTCAATCTACATCGGAGTTGAGCTAAGAAGACTTTTGTTTATGAAAGATAGCTTCTCTCGGGGGAACCAAGCTTTAGAAGGAGGAGAAACCTTAACACTGGCTTCAAGGTTAGATATTTTTTTTTGGCGTTTGGCATTTTGTGGTTGCAGTTTTGTTCTTAAGACCTACTCTTTTTGGATTCTTGGTGTAAAGCCGAAAGGCGCTTCACAGGGAGAGGAAGATGCTGAGCAAGCTTTTGGGGAAAAGGTTTTCAGGAGAAGAGAGGAAGAGAATCTATCACAAGTTTGGGATTGCGATTAACTCCAAACGCAGGCGGTTACAGCTTGTGAACGAGCTCTGGAGCAATCCCAAGGACATGACTCAGGTTGTGGAAAGCGCAGATGTTGTAGCCAAGCTTGTGAGGTTCGCTGAGCAAGGCAGAGCCATGAAGGAGATGTTTGGTCTCACCTTCACGCCTCCTTCCTTCTTCACAACTCGGAGATCGCATAGTTGGAGAAAAAACATGCCTACACTTTTCTAACCATCTCTTTCCTTCTACTTTTGGGTTTCTTGTAGCAGAAGCCATGTTTTGTATATCTTCTTGGTGTCTTTTCTTGTTTCCTTTCTTGTCTTTTTATTTTGAATCGGACAACGTTGTAATATACAGAATACATAATGAAATCCGTTGACCAAATTTTCAGTCAAATTTCTGCTATGGAAAACTCATTAAATAAGTAGATTTCTTTAAATTATATAAATGTGTGTGGATTATAAACAAACACACACAAGAGAAACACAATCATTTCTCAACAAATAACAAAATACAGGTATATCATGTTACAATTCTAAAAGTTTCTTACCGAAGTAAACACCATTTTATTTTTGTCAAATAGTGAAACATAAATCTTTTTGAAATTATAGGTCTTATCATACAAATATTTATAATAATATTGATTTTGAGTTGGGTTTTTGTTTTCTTCGAAGATTATCAAGAGCAAAATTGTTCCATCAGTAATGGCGACAAAGAAGATTTCATCTTGTATATTACCTTTGTTAATGGTGTTTGCTCTCATCCTTCTGCCCATAAGTTCAGGTAACACATTTTGTCTAGCGATAGATTGTCTCAAATACAAAAAATATTTTTTTCTTTATCCGAAATTCCTTTTTCAAAAAAGTGAAAATTTTGAACTCATTAAGTCAAAGGTATGAAACACAAGAAAGTAATAATACTAATTTGTATATGCAATATTTTAAAATCTCAAATTCCAGATTTTGTACTTGTCATATTGTTAATGTGTGTTTGTTGAATCAATTAGCACAATATTACCATTGTATGAGGGACGGATGTGTTAGCACACCGGCATGCGAAGCAAAATGCGATTCTCTGGGGTACCACAACGGAGGGTCTTGTCGAATCTATGCTTATGGAGGTGTTTGTTGCTGCCTATGCGACTCTAAATGCCAATAGTCTCCCCTATCAATTCCTCCTTGATGATTACCTTCTTCATTTAATATGTAACCTTAATAATATATGAAAAAAATCAAATGTTTCATGTTCAGTAATAGGCTGCATCGTCTCATCTTAGTACTGTTGGCAACTAAAAACTTCCATCCTCTTTTGTTAGTTTGATGTTTGCTCTAACTTTGTTACCTATGATTTTATATAATACATAGACAATATGATGCGAAAAATTACATGTCTATGATATGATTTCATGTAACTTTCGGGTTATATTTGACTAAACCGCCAAAAAATAGTTTTTTAGGATGTAGTTACTAGTAATACACCACAATGCGATGTAAATTACACTGATATATGGGACACTTGGATGGTGGACGGAGATCGCATTGTTGGAGTCTTGGAGAAAAAGCATGCCGACACTTTTTTTAACCATCTGACTCTGTGTCATTGAACTTTTGGGTTTCTTGTAGCAGAAGCCATGTTTTGTATATATTTTTTACTTTTCTCTTGTTTGTCTTTTTATTTTGAATCAGACAACGTTGTAATTGATTCAAACGTCAAAACATATAATAACTTAACATTTATAATACGTTTGACCCAAAAAAACATGTATATTAATACAAATTATACAATCTTAAATAGGAACATAATGATAAGTAATGAAATATGTTGAATTCAATTGAACAAAAAAAAAAGAAATATGTTGACTAAATTTTCAGTCAAATTTCTGTTATGGAAAACTCTTATGGTAGATTTGTTTAAATAATATATGTGTGTGTGGATTATAAACAAACACACAGAAGAGCAACACAATCATTTCTCAGCAAATAACAGAATAAAGGTATATTGTTGATTTACATCTTAGCAATACTTTTTGCGATTTCCAAAATACTTCGTAATTTTTTTTTGGGTGCAGTTTTCGTCTTCTTACTGCATATGTCCTTATCATACAAGAATTTCTTCGCACATTGACTTTGAATCTTATTTAACTATGGTTTTTTGTTTTCTTTGCAGAATATCAAGATAAAAATTGTCCAATATTCTTAAGAAACATAAGGAATGGCAACAAAGAAGCAGTTTTCATCTCTTCTATTAACTTTGTTAATGGTGTTTGCTCTCACCCTTTTACCCATAAGTTCAGGTAACACATTTCCTTAATTGTTTCTAGGGATAGATTGTCTCAAACACAACATATACTTTTCTTTATCCAAAATTCTTTTTTTTTTTTAAATTGAAAGTTTTAAACCCAAAGTTGTAAAAGAACCAAAAACTTAAAATATAATTTCCTTGATTTATTATTTGTTAATGTGTGTTTATGAACCAATTAGGACAATATTACCATTGTGTGAAGGACGGATGTACAAGCACACCGAGATGCGATACAAAATGCATGCGTATGGGTTACCCCAAAGGAGGGGTTTGTCGAATATACGCTGAAGGCGGTTCTTGTTGCTGCGAATGCAATTCTAAATGCCAATAGTCTCTCTCCCCTATCAATTCCTCCTTCCTATTACTTCCTCATTTTCTATGTACTCTTTAATTATATATGAATAAAAAAACATATACTCAAACAAGTTTCATGTTAGTATACATTGTCTCATCTTGTTACTATATTATTTGTTGCTGCAAATCCGGTCTTGAATTTCAAGATGGTTCTCATAGTTCTTATTTGAATCTCTACAAGAGAATATTCAGTAAGCTCAAAACCAAAGGAAGAATCAGCGGGTGGAACCAAGTCAAGTCAATTCACAAATGTAAGATTTACCCACCAAACACAACACTAGAGCAATTCAACAACCTAAACCACAAATCTCCTCAAACATTCAAGCCCTAGAAGAGATTCAGAGAGGTTCTCAAACACATTTACTAGCTAACAAACACAATAACCAGTAGGAGACAACAACCTATCTACTTATCATATCATATCATAAGATCAGAGCGTGACAGCTACACAATCCATAATGTGAAAATTCCCACCAAGCACGACATCACACCACTCGACTCTACCCCAAATCTCTCCTCCTTGGCGCCTCTCGACCGCAATCTCCGCACACCATATCTCCGTCCTCTGCAAGAACAGAGCCAGTTTCCCGCCGTTGTAACTCGCCGTCGTTGACCACTTACAAGCCTCAGGCAACAACCCATCCAAACCTTTCACAACTCCCCAAGACCTCTGCTTGGGATCATAAGCTCTCAGACATTTCCCACGAAAATCATAGTAATACATGACATCCTCTACCACACACGAATTCGACCACTCCTTGGAATGCAGAACCTCGTCTCTCTCGCAGTTATCTTCATCCAGATCGTAGACGAAGCTATTGTAGTAACTCCTCATGTAAATCTTACCTCCCATTGCCACACTGCTAAGCCACTTCTTCCCTTGCTCCCAATCCGGCCTCGCCCGAAGATCCCACGTCTCTGTTTGCGTATCAAACACCATCATACTCCTCGACGGAGATTTCATCGGAGAAAGCGTATCCGATCCTCCGATTACGTAAATCTTCCCGTCGATGACCTCTGTGACCGAACCAGCGACCGCCTTGGGCATGTCAGCGAGAGGCTGAGCCGTGTGAGATCGACAATCGATGAGCGAAACACTCGATTGGATCTGCCAATTTTGGTATCCTCCCATCACGAAGATGCTCGAGCCAACGGCGACGTAGCTTCCTTGCAGAGGCATCGGAGGGAGCGACGAGATATGGACCAGGCGATTGTCAGTCGCGCCGGGGGAGGGTTGTTCTCTGCTAGGTTTGCGACAGAGAGTAAACCAGTGGATATCGGAGGTCTGATCTTTGGAGATTGCGACGTAGATACATTGCTCTGTGACTCCGAGGAAGGATCGTCTCTCGTAAAGCTCCGGCGACGCGACGAGTGACCGGAAACGCCTGGAGACTTGGGAGAGAGTTGGGTAATAGCATCTCGGGACACGCGCTACGATGTCGACGAAGATTTCTTCGGGGAGTGACGAAATCGGAGACGACGGCTCTGGCGGTTGCTTCTTCTGTACCCTAATTGGGGAAGACATGTCCGGATTTATGCACAATCGACGAAAGCTTAGAGAGAACCCTAAATCTGTGATCGTTTTGAGGAAGGGGAACATACGATCGAATGGACTTTCTTTTTTTGTTGTATTTAAAGCAGAAGAGAGGAAATGGCGTTTCAGATCAGATCTTCTCGTGTTTTCATTTCGATCGAAAAGAGACGGTTGGAACATTTCGGAGAGATTATTTTTTAATTTTTAATCAAACCCCAAAAGACGGTTCGGTTCTTGTCTTGATAAAAACAGCACGCATTTGGTTTCTGCGTTAGGTAAACAGCGCAGCGTCTTTTTATAATTCGCAGAAACAAGAACAAAAAGTATTGATATCCAATTAGCATACATCTCCTTTGGCCATAACTTTATATAGCTTTGCCCCCAAGTTTGTGAGTGGCGGCTTTGCCTCCACATTTTTGAGTGGATTTTTCCCCAAACTTGTGAAGCTTTGTCCCCAAGCTTGTGAAGCTAATAGGTTTCCAACGACTATAAATAGTGTTACTTAGTTCTTGTAAGTGTACAGTATAAGTTGTGAGAAAGATAATAAGAACATGTTGGGTGATTATGGCTTTCCCTAACTCTCAATCTCGCTTCTTCTACATTTATCTTCCTCTACTCTCTTTGTCACACCCACATATAGAGTTTATAAGTAAAAAGAGTTGATATTTAAAATACTCCAACGTCACTCTTATGGGAGAGCTTGAAAAATATTCTTCATGTTCATAATCATAAGAGATTGATGATGATTTGTGTAGTTAGTAACATACAAAAAACAACAAAATTAGAGGTATCCAATTGAAAAGAGCAAAAGAAGTCTCACAAGCAAAATCAAATCGAGTTTTTTTTGGGATTTATTGGACTGAAAAGAAACATAAATAACGGTGGTGTCTCTCACAGTTATCTTACTGGGAATCCGTTCACGGTCAATATTACAAACATAACACAAGGGTGAAAACGAACAACACTTTTTGACGATGTGAGGTTTTTTGTTTCATGCAGAAACATGCTACATGGAGCGAAACCACAGTGTGTCTCTACTAACCTGATAAATAATATAAGAAGATCCCGGCTCGACCGGGCGAAAAAAACAAAGAAAGAATCCAAGAAGCCACGTTCTCTTCTCATTCGGCTCTGGACTGACCAGCTCGGGAGGACAAAATGATCCCGACGATGAGTCCGTATAGAGCCAGAGCTTCAGCGAAAATGAGGATAAGAATCATACCAACGAAAAGCTTTGGCTGTTGAGCATTGGCCCTGCGATCAAACCACAAATTTTTGCTTATCAAACAAGGAATATACACTCTCACATAAGCACAGAAAGCATATGTAATGGATTGACATTTCATGGGGCTTCAATGCAAAGAAAGGGAGTGTGATGTATGATGTTCATACCTGACACCAGCATCACCAACAATACCAATGGCCATTCCAGCGGAAAGACCAGCAAGCCCACAGGCAAGACCGGAAGAGAGATGGGCATATCCGTCGAAGAGGTAGTAAGATTTAGCCTTTGGGTTGATCCCGGTACTGATGATGACCGCAATGATCAAACCGTAGATACCCAACACACCAGCCATGACAACTGGGACGATAGACTTCATCACCAGCTCCGGCCTCATCACACCCATCGATGCCACACCCACACCACTCTTTGCTGTCCCGTATGCAGCTCCCATGCCTAGTTCCACAGTAAACTCCACCACGTCAGGCAAATAACACAAATATTATCTACTCTGTTTTAGATCACACCATGTAACTATGCTTTACAACATGCCTCGGATCTGAATAATTTTTTTTTGTAAATGACAAGGATGAAACAGATCTACCTAAAAAATCTCAGTTTCTAGACTAGAAAACCAATCGAAAAAAGAGATTCCAAGTTCCAATATGTCAAACACAAAACCAGCATATCCCTTAAGAATCTTGAATCTTAAAAGACAAACAAATAGTTCAGTGAATATGGATAAGCTAAATCAAATCCAAGGAACAAACAGAAAAAAGGTCGTGGTATCTCGAATTCAGAGCATTTCTAAGGATAAATCTTCAGAATCATCAGCAAATATTAAAAAAAAAAAAAAAAAAAATAGCAGATCGGTGACCGATCCAAAGCTTTTAATTGAGAAACAAAAAAATGGATTAGTTAAGAGAATGGATTTACAGGAGAAGACGAGCGCAGCCGCAGCGCCAAGGAAACCAAAGAAGGGAGCGGTCTCATCGCCACTGAAGGTAGACATCTCGGCCGATTCTGGATCTTACGATAACGCCGGAATCTGATCAACCTGTTTCTCTCAGATCTCTCGTTGAATTGCGTTACGCGTATAATAAGGCCAAGGATTGAGTTCCGAGCTTGATATGTATATTACAAACAACAGCGAAGCGCACACGTCGCGAACTGAATCTGGGTTTACCCGTATTCGACCCGGTTTACGGCCTTCATATTGGGCCAAAACTCGGCCCACATTTAAGTAAACTTTACTTAACTTCGACTGGACGGACTTTACGGTCTTCATTTTATTTTATTGTTGGAATAATGTTACAGTTTCCGACGTTGATGAGGCAGTTTCCGTCATCGACGAAGACGATTCCGGCATCTTACCTGCTGCCGTTGCAGTGGCCTCAGCCGCAGAACGAGGAGATTCTTCTCGCCATGGAAGAAGCTGAGTTCGAAGAAAAGGTTGATTTTCTATTCTTCTCTGTATTTTTTCTCTCTCTTTCGGAATCTAATGACAGCAAAATTTCAGCTATAGAGTGTCACTGAAGCATAATTGGCCAATAATAACTCTTTCATACCATGTATTTCGAGCTGATTGGTAACTTCTGGGTTTTAAAATAGAGGTTCTAAAGAATTTGGACTGAATATGTATCGTTTCCAGTGATGGCTTTTCATTGAGTGAGATTTACTGTTCAGTTTAAAGGTTATAGTTGCTTTCTACTTAATTTGATGATAATCGGAAGATTTAATCTTTGTTTTTTTATTTCAAATTTGGTGAAATAAGATTTTGAGTTGAGTTAATGGATGCAAATGTTGAGTTGTGATTCTTCAGTAGTAGCTGTTTTTGGGTGTAGACTCCGTGGATATAGACCTAAGATCATTTGAGAATCATCTCATCTCTTTAAACCCTGGAAAATGTAAAGAAGATGACAAGAGAGGAAAATTATATGTTTCAGTTTTGGAATCTGAAAAGTGAACTTATGTTTCAGTTTTAGAAGATGAACCTGTGTTTCCTTGGTAGGTAAGGTTTTGGTGTTTCCTTTAGTTGTGTGTTTATATATTATATATTATATTGTCTGGTTATTGGATTGGTAGATGAAAAGGGAGAGGTATCAAATGAGACTAGTTGTCAATTTCCATGTTGTTCTTGTGAATGCTAAGACAAGTTTGAGGAAATTCTTCTTGTCTCGGTTTGGTGCAGTGCAGCGAGATTAGAAAGATGAGTCCTAGCTTACCGGTAATTGGAAAACCAGTCGTTGACAGCCATCAAGAAGAAGACGATAATGAAGCAGAGGATGATGATGCAGAGGAATCGGATGGTGAAGAGTTTGAGCAAGAAACCGGGTAAAGAATCTCGACAAGAAGAATAAGTCTCTTGATTTTGAGGACACTTGCTTGTCTAAAACTTCTTGTGCCAAAACGATTGTGATTCTGAGTTTGTAAGCTAGTCACGGCACAAACCGCTGAATCACTATGAGGTAGCCAAAATTGTTAAGTCATTACTACATATCAAGTATGTTTCTCTCTTCGTCCCTTTTGCTTCTTTTAAACGTTTGAGTTTTAACAGTTGGGATCTTTATGGTTTTTGTTCATGTAGTTCCGTTAACCTTTGTAGTGCTAAAGTCAATAATAACAAAAATGTTTTTTTTTTTTAATAACCAACCTAAATGTAACAGTAGTCAGAAGTCAATTTCGATCCAATGATATGACTCATTCCTAGATTTGGCCACGTAGTGAGTCCAATAATGAGGGTTATATAACTGGGTCCCATAAGTAAGTCAATTGTCATCCAACGGTTGTTCAAGATACCACGTGGGACGATCGGCGGAATTGTCGCACAGTTTAGTTTGGTCTGAAATTGAAGATAAGCGAGACATGTAGGGTCCGCTTCCAATAATATATCTTATGCAAATAAATATATTTAAAGTTACAGATTTACTTACTTTGTGCTCTTTTCTTAACCAGAGATTTGCTTGGTTCACATTTTACTAATTCATAATAAAAACGAATTAATCAAATATTTATTCTCTCTGAATTAGGCCAAATTTGCTGTTGGAGTTTTCTTCTTTCTTGACAATTTTTTTTTCTCTTTGTCAAGGTTCTTGAGCTTGTTCAGAGAGAAGTAAAGACTAAAGAGTGCATTCGTATTATAAAGTAACGAAAAGCAGTATTCCAAACTTTGAATGTGCCACCAATGGTTATGGATGTTGTAGCATTTGCATTTGCCTAGTATTATAAAGAAACACGTACCATTATTATTGAGGGAAGAAGTAAACAACATGTACGAAATAAGTCTTCGATTAGTGTCAACAAAAAACAAATTAGTTCCTTCATGTAAGCAAAAAAAATATAATAATTCTTCACGTTCAAGAATCAAGACCAATGTCCCACTTCATGTTAATCAGATAAATATGTTTGGCACACATTTAGCCAGTGGATCATTTCCCTTTTGTTTATTAATCGTTGTTTGGTTTCTTAAAACGTGCAACCTAGATTCGGTTAATATACAGTATCAAGCGCTGTAGTTTCTGTTTTCTGTTAATTAATGATATCGTTCATGACCATTTCTGATACGACTAACACTGAATCCACATGATTTACGCTTTAATACGACTTTCCATTAATCCAATCGAACAGATTAATTAGTTCATTTGTCTTTCCACGTTAGTTCATGTTTTATTTTCCAAGACTCTTACTTATACAAGAATGAATAAAATACTAAAATCTTGGAATCAAATAATGTTTCGTAGATTTTTGTGAGAAACATGGAGGGAGGTGGTTATAAATTATAAGAGTCAATTATATTTGTTGTGTGGTGGGGCTCGTGCAAGTAAAGACAAATGGATTTTATATTGATAGGCAAAATTTAGATCTCAGAAATGTTTTTTTTTCAAATGGATAAAAGTGTCTTAAGAAACTTAGGATATGTAACGTGCCTCACGCGAACTTGCATCACTGATTCACTGTGATTGGTTATTAAGATTATAGATTTGTAGAACCTGGTTAAAACAAGACGATCTCTAAAATTTATAAACCATAATCTGCTTTTTTGGAAATTGGATAATAGATTTGGAGTAGACACAGAAATCCGGAACAAAATCTTTCGTGATGGCAGTCCATTACATAATATTTTAACAAAATATAGGTAAGAGGCAGGAAAAGAAATACAAATAATGGCTTTTACATTATGCGGAGACACATGACATAACGAGGACAGAATCTTTCGTCTAGCAAAAAAATGTCAAATGTGGTCGGAAATCGGAATACAATCGATACTCATTCCATATTCAAATCATAAAAATCTACTCCATCACCGGAATCATAAGTAATCCTATCTTCCATTTATCACCGGAATTACACTATGATTCCTACAAATGACATTAACTGTTTTACCGGAAAAAAATGTCATTACTGAAACACCCATCATTACGGGAATTCCTTTTTTCTTAAGGTATAATGTTTATTTTCCATATATATGTTATATACTACATATTTTTTACTTATTGTGCTCAGATTTGTTTTCCTTTCGAGTGAAAGCATTTGAAAAAATGGCAACAAAATAACATATCGAACAAAGTCAAATCAAATTTGCAAAGTTTTGGATAGAATTGCATTTAATAGAAAATATTGGGGATGTGGTAAATTCACGCGTCTTGTTAGGTGCCTCGTTATATTTTTTATCTCTTCCTTACCATGAAACTCGTGTTCCCTTTTTGTTTAGTTTAGTCTCTTCTTTAGACTCTCTTGCTCGTGCCAAAAAGAAAAAAGTCGTTGTATCTTTCGAGTTTCTACTATTTTCTCGAGGACAAGAAATTAAGTGGAGAGAAAATCGCGGAGCGGAATAAAAAAAAAAAATCACAAAATGGCCCTGTGATTTTGCAATTTCTAGAGAGAGAGAGAAAGAGAAGAAGATTAGATAAGTTATTTTTTTTTAATATAATTTATTTCAACGGTGTAAGAGAGAGAAAAGAGTTGTCTTTTTTTTCTTCTACGTTCTCGCCATCTGCGCCATTGATTGATTCAAGCTTAAGTGCGTTGAAGTTGAGGTAAACGACTTGCATTCTCCTCTTCAAAGCTCTGTTTTTCCGATGAAACTTGGATAAGATATTAATTGTTTTCCATTTACCAATTAATCTAGTATTAACAACTTTTTCTCTATCATTCTTCTCTCTGATGGTAGGTTTTATCTCCTAAAGCCTGATCCTTTAGGTTTCTGGTTCTTCGACTGGTGAATTTCACTGCATTATCCTTTGAATTTCCATCTGATCTAAAAAGAGAGAGAAAACAAAATGGGTGATACAGAGAAGTGTAGCACAGATATGATCCAGAGACTCCATTCATCTTTCGGGACGACATCATCGTCTTCTTCGATTCCGAAACATACCATTTCCATGAATCAGCAGCTCGACATCCCTCAATTAAACCCCAATTTCATCCGCTCCCCTCAATTTCCCCAATTCTCGCAGCCCTTCACTGACACTGGCAAACGAATCGGCGTCCCTCCGTCGCACCCCAACTTGATCCCACCGACTTCCCCCTACTCTCAGATCCCGACGACCCGACCCGGCTCGCAGAGTCACTCACGCTCAATGTCACAGCCTTCCTCTTTCTTCTCCTTCGACTCCTTACCTCCCTTAAGCCCTTCTCCGTTTCGCGATCACGATGTCTCCATGGAGGACAGAGACTCCGGCGGGTTCAACAGCAATCCGTCGCCGTTCACGAGGTGCAATTCGACCACTTCTAGCTCATTAAGAGCCGTCGGTGAGAGTCTGCCTCCGAGGAAGTCCCATAGACGATCCAACAGTGATATCCCGAGCGGGTTTAATTCGATGCCTCCGAGACCGTTGGAGAGGTCCATCTCCGGCGGGGATCGTTCGAGCAATCCTTTCGTGAAGAAGGAATCGTCGAGCAGCAGCGAGAGAGAAGGCGTTGGGGAGAGAGAATCCGCCATGGATGATCTCTTCTCAGCGTATATGAATCTCGAAAACATTGATGTGTTGAACTCCTCGGAAGCTGACGATAGCAAGAACGGTAACGGTAACGAGAACCGGGACGACATGGAGAGCAGCAGAGCAAGCGGCACCAAGACGAACGGAAGTGACACGGAAGGAGAGAGCAGCAGCGTGAACGAGAGTGGCAATAATAATAGCTTCAATTCTTCTGGGGAGAAGAAGAGAAGAGCCGGCGGAGGAGACATTGCTCCTACGAGCAGACATTTCAGGAGTGTTTCGGTGGACAGTTGTTTCATGGAGAAGCTGTCTTTCGGCGACGAGTCGATATCGCTAAAGCCGCCTCCTTCTCCGGGAACTCTGTCGAGGAAAGTTTCGCCTAGCAATTCGGTTGATGGGAACTCGGGAGCTGCTTTTAGCATCGAGTTTAAGAACGGAGAGTTTAGTGCAGCGGAGATGAAGAAGATCATGGCTAATGATAAACTTGCAGAGATGGCCATGTCTGACCCTAAGCGTGTTAAAAGGTATTTTGGAGGAGATTGTGACTTAAGTCTTCAATCGTTCATGTGTGTTCCGATGTATATGCGATTGATCTTCTTTTTGTCAGAATCTTGGCGAACCGTCAATCGGCAGCGCGGTCAAAGGAGAGGAAGATGAGGTACATAGTTGAATTGGAACACAAAGTGCAGACTCTTCAGACAGAAGCTACTACATTGTCTGCTCAGCTCACGCTTTTGCAGGTGCGCTAGTTCCACGATGCTATAACAGATTGGTCTCTCTTTTTTGTTTGTTTGTCTTTTTTAACTATTTTAGTAAATGAATTGAATCCAGAGAGATATGATGGGGTTGACAAACCAGAACAATGAGCTCAAGTTTCGTCTTCAAGCAATGGAGCAGCAAGCACGACTTCGTGATGGTATCCATTTTTCTCTCGCTCATATCATATATTATGTATCCGAGTCTGTTTAATGGAACAGCTAGTAAATCAAATCTTTCATTTTGTTTTGGCAAATATTTATGCGAAAATGATGGGCTTTGCAGCTCTGAACGAAGCACTGAATGGGGAAGTCCAGCGACTGAAAGTGGCAATCGGCGAGGTCAGCCACAACGAATCCGACAGATCAAAGATGCAATCACTCAACGCCGACATGTTCCAGCAACTCAACATCAGCCAGTTAAGACAGCAGCCACACTCTCAGTGTCAGCATAACCAGAATGGAACCATGACAACAAAACCTGAATCAAATGAATAGAGCCAAGACCTTATTGCCGTGGTGGCTGGATCAAAGTTTTATATCAGTTCGAATATTTCATTTTATTTATGTGCAGAGTCGGTTGAATTTACATATCTATCAAATTCTATTATTATGATATATGGCCTAAGTCCACGAAATTTAATTTGCTGTATGTTATCTTTAGAAACAACAAAATATAATTTATGGGATAAATAGTTTATCATGAATGAATATGGTTGTAATGGATGTTCAAGAGATTGTGAGCATCAAACGGAGATTCTCTCTTTTATTTCATTTAGTTTTGGATATCTTGTCTCTTTGTTATTGCTTTCCCTCCTATCTTTTTATTTGGATATTGTTGTTAACTGACTAAGCCACTCTAGCTGAATCACCGTTGATATTAATCTTTCTACAATTCCTCCAACTCTTTTAGCTGATTCTTCAAATCTTTTCTGATTTGTATTTGCTCCTATTTTGTACAATAACAAAATATGCGACTATTTTGAAGAGAGCCTTTGATGACACCGAGGCCTTGGCAATGAAAAAGGAAAAGAAGGTATCAACTCATAAGATTTTTAATATGTTTGGAAAATTATCGTTTTTATTTTCCGCTTTCATTTCTTCTCATCTATTTTATCTTATTCTTTAATTTTTTTATGACTCGCATTTGTTTCTGTTTTGTATTTTTTTAAGGATGAAAACGTTCATCAGTTGGATAATGACCTTGATTCAAACAAGAATAAGAAGTTTCAGGCTCTTATGATTTTTCCTAATAATATACCAAGATTAGAAAAAATCATTTACTCCTAATTACAATGTATATATACATTAACCTTGAATCTTATTTTATGTTTCTGAATGTATTTTTTATGATGATACAATCACTTCCGCCTATTCATCAGCTGACTGGTCTTCTGGCAGCTCCGATTCGGGTTGTGATATAATCAATGATCCAAAGAGTGTTGTCACATCCAATTTTCCTGAAGTAACAAAAAAAGGATGACGTCTAAGTTGCATCATAACTTGGTTTTATATTTTACAATTGAATCACTGTTACATATTCCTTCCGTTTCAAATTAGTTATCATTTTTGGAAAATATATCTGCAATTATTTGGATATATTAAATTCAAAACACATCCATCAAATATTATATCATATATGGCCTAAGTTCAAGAAATCTAATTTTATAGTTGCATGTTGTTATCCTTAGAAAGAAAGAAAAATTCAATTTATGGTAGAAAGGTATGAATGAATATCGTTGTTATGGAGGAGGCTCAAGAGATTGTAAGTTTCAGACAAAGAGATTCTCTATTTGTTGTGTTGTGTACTTGTGTTTCATTATTATAGTTTGGGATCTTAGTCTGTTTGTTGTTTCTTTCCCTCATGTTTTTTTTTTCTTTGGATATCGTAGCTATAGGGGGCTGGGCCTTTTAGGCCCATTAGAAAACCATTCCGGTGAAGAAGATTCACTTGCTTAGAAAACGACGTTTGTCTCGTCGTTGTCGTGGCTGCCTCCGTCTCCGTACAAAATATCTAAAACCCTAACTGCATTATCACTCACCTCATCTTTCCCGCGACGACGGGAGCTTGTCCGCTATGTCTGATATAACAGCGGAGCTCGCGGTGGATACGAATGTTGAAGGAGATGCAAAGCCTGCGTTGCTGTCTGTTCAATCGCCGGCGAAGCAGTTCTCTGTGTATGAAGCGACTTCGGAAGAGCTTATAGAACGATCAATGGCTCCAATTAAGAAGGAGTTCCTGTGTCCTCCTCCTCCAAGCCGTGCCGGGAAGCCAAATGACGACGCCGACATTAAGGCGCCTCAGACGGGATTGGTCCAGGAGAAGAAATCAAAACGGCAACAAAAACGGGAGCGCCGTGAGGTATGTGATTCATCCAATTAAAGCTATTGGTTAGGCTTTGTATATTGGTGCTAGTATAGCTTCGAATCTAGTTGTAGTTAAAAGCTGATATTTGGCAATATCATGGAATTATGATCTCTCTGCTCTGTGCCTTTGTTCTATTGATTGCGATGGGGTTTTTGATAATGCGTTCTGGCTCCTTGCAGAAATCCACCATCAATCTCTGTCCACAGATTGCAAGAACAGAAGACGTCAATTCGTGTCAGTATAAAGAGAAATGCCGGTTTAATCATGACATTGAAGCCTTCAAGGCTCAGGTACTCTCACTTTTGCAGATTCCTGATTACTGATTTCGTTTGTGATTACTATAATAGATAGCTTGGCTGACGATATTTCTCTGTTGTTTGTAAGTGCAGAAACCAGAGGATATAGAAGGGCAATGCCCATTTGTGGCCTCCGAAATGAAGTGCCCGTATGGTTTGTCATGCAGATTCTATGGCACCCACAGAGATATCGCTGATGGGGAGGGAAACTCAGAGATGAACTTTTTTAACAAAGAGACACAGAGGCTTTTGTGGAAAAATAAGATGACTTATATCAAAGCAGATGCTAAACTCAAGTCCCTCGGACTCTTGGTAAGTCGTAACGAGAGTATTTATTCCGTTGACTTACAGGATTTGTCTAGTTTCTCTCATATCTCACATTCTGCAGTTTCACTTCCATAGCATGATTATTCTTCTGTGGTTTTTCTCTTTATCTTTATACAATTACTAGGGGAATGCCAGAAAAATCAATGTTGCTGAAGAAAATAACGCTGAAAACACTCAAAATGGTGCAAGCGGCACTCAAGCAACTGAAGTAGCGGTTGACTCGGCTGTCGGTTCTGAGCAATTGGCATCAGATATGACAGAAGATGTTGATATTCCTGCACCATTGGAAGCTGATGAAGTTCGTCCCATGAAAAAGGCAAAATCTGAGAGTGAGCAGAACTCTAACCCTGGAGATGTTGGTGGAGTTGATGATGGTTAGGCTTTACTTCTCTACATTTCCAAAATGCCTATAAACTTTTGTTTTTGTAGATTTTCCCAGGTGGTTGCATAGTTTCCCTGCTTATAATTTATATTTCTATGTATGAAATAGAAAGAGTTGGCATAAGAGTGGGTCTGGGACAAGCAAATATCCTAACATTCCATTTAACTTCCGTATTGATACAGGCATGAAAGTGGAAGAGGAAACGGAAAAGAACGGGTTTTCTACTTTAAAAGCCCAAGTTGAAGATGAGGATAGCATTAAAACTGCTGAAACTGATGGGAGTCTAAAGTTGCACCCTCGTGAAAAGATAAAGCTTATAGATTTTAGGGATAAGTTGTACCTTGCACCCCTAACAACTGTGGGCAATCTTCCCTTCAGAAGACTTTGCAAAGTGTTGGGAGCAGATGTGACCTGTGGTGAGATGGCCATGTGCACAAATCTTTTGCAGGTTAGCCCCAATAAGGTTACGCAGACAGATACATAGTAAAGCTTTTTTGTTGCTTGTAAGAAATGTGAAATGGTTTAACTATAGGGACAAGCTTCGGAATGGGCTCTGCTTAGACGGCATTCATCGGAAGATCTGTTTGGTGTACAGATATGCGGTTCTTTTCCTGACACGGTGTCGCGTGTGGTTGAGCTTATAGATCGAGAATGCACGGTTGATTTCATTGACATCAACATGGGCTGCCCTATAGATATGGTTGTTAACAGAAGTGCTGGCTCAGCTCTCCTCAACAAACCGTCACGAATGAAGAACATCGTTGAAGTCTCTTCTTCCATTGTTGAAACGCCTATCACTATCAAGGTAACCACTTGCCTGAACATATATCATAACCAGTTCAATGAAAATCAGAAACTAAATCGTCTCACTCCCATATGAAGTTGTCTTAACCACTCTTTACTTGCTCTGTCCTTTTGGGTGGTGGCAGGTTCGTACGGCGTTCTTTGAGGGTAAGAACCGGATAGATTCGTTGATTTCGGATATTGGGAAGTGGGGAGCCAGTGCAGTGACGATCCATGGGCGGTCGAGGCAGCAACGTTATAGCAAGTCTGCGGATTGGGACTATATATACAAATGTACCAAAAACGCTTCCCCTGACCTACAAGTTATAGGAAATGGAGATGTCTACTCTTATTTAGACTGGAACAAACACAAGTCTGACTCTCCTGAGTTGTCTAGCTGCATGATTGCTCGTGGAGCGCTCATCAAGGTGTGTGTCTATAACCAAAGTCCTCCCTAGTAAGAAATCATTCTATGTAGTATCCTAGTCTCAATGGGGGGTTTTTGTATTTGTGCAGCCTTGGATATTTACTGAAATTAAAGAGCAACGGCACTGGGACATAACCTCCGGAGAAAGACTTAACATCTTCAAGGACTTCGTTCGTTTCGGTCTTCAGCATTGGGGATCCGACACAAAAGGTAATATCAACACACACAGCATGGCATTGAAACTATGTGTTTGCTGCTTTGTCTGCTCTTTCCCTTGTGTCTAAACCTGTGCCTGTTATTGTAACCTTTGAAACAGGTGTTGAGACGACAAGGCATTTCTTGCTGGAATGGCTAAGCTACACGTTTAGGTACATACCCGTAGGGTTGCTTGATGTGATCCCGCAGCAAATCAACTGGCGTCCTCCTTCTTACTTTGGTCGTGATGATCTCGAGACACTCATGATGTCTGAATCTGCTGGTGACTGGGTGCGTAATAAGTTTTATCTTTCTTTATCTCGCCTTCTTATTTTGGACTAAAATAACGATTAATGAACTCAAATTTAATTTAATGTCGCAATGTGCAGGTGCGTATATCGGAATTGCTGCTTGGAAAGGTCCCTGAAGGCTTCATGTTTGCTCCCAAGCACAAATCCAACGCTTATGACCGAGCTGAAAATGGCTGATCAATAGACTTGTTTCAATAAATGATATTCAGTAGTTTATTTTTGATTTAAAAATAAATGAACTCTCAATCATATGTTTTGTGGAGATTTTTTATGGGTTATTAAAAGTGATTTAATATTTTTCATAATTTATTTCAAAATTTTCAAAAAAAAACTGCCGTGGACCTAATTTAGTTACATAAATTATGAGAATGAATTATATTGAACAATCAGTTATTAAACTAATATAAAAAATGAAGATTATGTGATAGAAACATACTACAAATTTACTAGATTGTTTTTTAAGTGTAATTAATGTTAAAAAATTCAATCTTTGTGTGTTTTAGCAATGGAACGTTTGTCGTTTTTAGCAATGGAACGTGTGTTTTAGCAAGGGTAAGTTACTGCATATTTAACTTTTTTAAATTTTAATTTTTATTTGAATGAATGTAAAATTGTATTCAATCAAAATCTTCGTTATATCAAGTGCTTCAATGCATATTTAGTGCATATTTAGTTTTTTTTCAGGTTACAAATATATTCAGAAAATTAGTGGAAAATCAACCATTGTTCACAAATCACATTTTTTTTTTCATGTAGCAGAATGTTGGACGATTCCATTGGTCAATTTCTATCGTGCTTTGATGAAGTTCAATGGAAAAAAGGTCGACAAATCTCTCACCTCGGAATATGGATCTAGCTGTCTATTGAGATTGTCCCATACCACAACCTCTTCGTGACTGGTCACAGCTTCAACGATGGCATTGACCATTTGGAGATGCAGGAGTTGGGAGCCCACACATGGCGATGAATATGATTGCCCGCCAACTCTATCTCATCAAATACATAATAGAGCTACAAGTCTCATCTTTGGCTTATGTTGGTTTAAAACTTTGTCAGTTTTTAATTGTTTTGTCAAACGTAAGGATTTGTTATAATGGTCTTGTTATACACGAGATAAGGTAAAAGTCTTAGTTTTGATACTATCATCATTTTTTATTGTTCTTAGTTTTAAACTATACTCTCCCTCCATTCTTTAAAAATGAATTTTCTAGATATTATTTGTCGTTACATAAAAAAAATTTACTTTTTGATGCACTTTTTCGGTTTTCAATAAACATTAAGTGTACTAGATTTTTAACAAAAATTATATTAATGATTGAAACTTATATAAAATTGTTTTATTCCAAAAATTTATATATATATATTAATGATTGAAAATCAACTTTTTCTTAATATGTGTGAAAAAATTAGTTTCCGTATGGAAACAAAATGATAGGACATAAGCTAAAAAGCCTTGATAATTCATGTTTCCGGGTTATTGTAGTAATTCAGAAAGCGTTGACTTCTCCCTCGGCTTTATTCTCCTCCTCAGTCTCTGCCACAACAGGATACTTCCCGGTAAAGCAGGCGTAGCAGTAGCTGTGTGACTCGACTGGTCCATAGACTTGTTTCAAGCTATCTAATGGTAGAAACGCCAGAGAATCGCAATCGATATGCTTCCGGATCTCCTCAACGCTCATTTTACTAGAGATCAACTCTTGGCTCCTCGGGGTATCCACTCCGTAATAACACGATGCAATCATCGGCGGCAATGCGATTCTCATGTGAACCTCCTTTGCTCCGGCGTCTCTAAGCATTCGAACTATCTTCAGACTCGTGGTTTCTCTGACAATCGAGTCGTCCACTACTACAACCCGCTTCCCTTCGAGGACTGCTCGGACAGGAGATAGCTTGGCTTTCACGGCAAAATCTCGGATTTTCTGAGTCGGCTCTATAAACGTGCGTTTAGCATAGTGTGACCTCAGGAGACCAATCTGGAACGGCACTCCAGCTTTGGCTGCATATCCAAGAGCGGCCACTGTTCCCGAGTCTGGCACTGCGATGACGACATCACATTCGACAGGTGCCACCGTGGCTAGGATCTCACCGTACATGCGTCGGGTTTCATACACAGAGCGGCCAAAGACAACTGAGTTGGGCTGCGAGAAGTAACCGTGCTCGAAAACGCACTGTTTCGGTTGAGGGTGAGAGATCATGAAGATAGAGCTGTCTCCATGATCTTTATCCACGACCACAATCTCGCCGGGACACACTTCACGTTCATATCTCGCATCGATCAGGTCCAATGCGCAAGTCTCGGAGGCGAAAACAACTGCTCCGTTGCTTCTTCTTCCCATCACAAGTGGTCTAAACCCTAACGGGTCACGGACAGCGACAAGCTTGTCTTCAAAGACGAAAACCATCGAGTAGGCACCTCGAAGCTGCTCGCAAGCGTCGATGATCCTATGAAGGAACGTCTTGCCCTTAGATTTGGCGATCAGGTGAAGAACGAGCTCGGTGTCAGAGCTTGTGTTGAAGATTGAGCCCTTCTCCTCGAGCTTTGTCTTCAGTTGCTTGTAGTTCACGAAATTACCATTGTGCGCAACTGCGAGTGATCCTAGTTTGCAGCTAGCGATGAAAGGCTGAACGTTCTTGAGCATCGAGGCTCCGGAAGTTGAGTACCGGACGTGGCCTATCGCTACATCGCCAGGAAGAGTGTTTAGTTTCGACTCGGTGAACACATCCGAGACTAATCCGACGCCTGTGATTGATTCGAGACCGTTCTGATTAACGGTTACGATTCCTGCTCCTTCTTGGCCACGGTGCTGCAGCGCGTGAAGAGCCAAGTAAGAGAGACGGGAAGCTTCAGGGTCACCGTAGATTCCAACAACTCCACATTCTTCGTGAAGCTTGTCGTCTTTGTCTTCGTCAACCACTTGTGTTATCGACGATAAAACAGGGGAAAGTGTTCTGCTTCTGCCTGAAACGGAGAGACTTAGGGTTTTGGAAACGTAGGGTTGAAGGCACGGTTTGACAAAGGACGGGAAGAGGGTTGTAACCTTCTTAGGTTTTGCGGAAAGAGTGTAAGGGAAGAGAGACGAGGTTTCAACGGAGAACACCATGAATGATGACCTCCGAGCAATAGCGTAGGTTTGATACGAGAAATTCTGTGGAATGTTGGAATTTGTTGGAAACAATTTTATAAAGTTGTGGAATGTTGTCGGTCAAGTTGAGAATATCTAATTTGACGCTAATAAGGATTAGGAGGTGAAGAGGATTATGATTAAAAAATTATTTCATAAAATGGTTGAAAAAAATTGGATAAATATTTATTTTGTAATTTATCTATAATTTCCTTTTGTCAATCCTAAATACAGTAGTAAGATCGTATTGGTTTTGAGTGTATTTTCAAAAAAAACAAAAATTGAACGAAGGGCAATATTATTGTTATGGGTAAATAAGTGAATGCCCATTAGGCCCATCTTATTCCCTAACACAAACTCTACATAAACTCTACTTGTAATCATATATATAGGATCATCACCTTCAATGAATGAATAAGCTCATTTCTCTTCTCCTTTTCTCACAACACGTTATCAGCACGAAAGTTCTACCTCTTAGCTTTTCTAGGTAATCACAAAAAGTTCTTATAGTTTGAATTCACAAAATTCAATGAGTAATCTCTATTACTTTGTAAATTTGTGTTTATCATACTAAAATCCATTTCTATCAATATTTAACCTATATTACTTATTGATAATATTTTGGATTCAGAAAATACATGCTTTATATATATTTATTTTATTTTCGTAATTATATATTCAACTAGATTAAGGCCCGCGTATACGCGGGTATATTTTAAGATTTTATAATAAAAACATGGAAAATATTAAACAAAATTTGATCATTTTTAAACGTAAACAAAATAATATTGAAAACCCGATAAAAAATATTTAAATAAAATAAAATTGGTAATACTTTTACATTTTTATTATAATTGATTTTTCTTTTGAATTTATGATATGACAAAATGAATTAATTTGTTTTAATATTATTTTTATCCAATACATAAACACTTACTCATGTCTAAATCTGATCAACTGATTAATTAATTAAACTTTTATTATTCCATTCAAGAGATTTTAATTGATGAAATCTTTATTTCAATTTTTTTTACCTAACAAAATTTGAAAATCAAACTATTTAAAATTAGAATATCGATTATAATTTTTTAATTTTAGTTAATTGCTTGATATTATTTTGTTAGTTTTCTATTTATATTTTTTCTTTCTCAATTTTGTTTTTGCCTCAAACCATTATAAATAAGGGAAATTGCAAGGAATATACATCAATAATCCTATAATTAAATGGGTGACACGGACAATTTTATTATTATATTGTTCACTCACTATTCATTGGCCAAAGACTCACAACACCTTGACTCTACAAAATATTTTTAATGTGTTAGCAAATTCCAAATAATATGCTAACATGCCTGTTAACAATTAAGTTAAATAGTTATCATAATACGATTTTAGTTAGCACGATAATTAAATAAGTTATCACAAGATATTGGTGATATTATGATAACAATATTGATTATCATGCTAAACTGTATAATATTATGATAACTATTTGATTATCATGCTAACTAATGTAATATCGTGATAACTTTCCTTTAGAAAGTAATTTAACACATAACTTTCGTATTATCATGTTAACTTAATGTAACATACTGTGATAACAATATTTATTATCATGTTAACTTATATGATATTATGATAACTATTTTATTATTATGTTAACTAATGATATTATAATAATTAAATATGTTAATGGTATAGATAATTCAATGACAACTTATGTAATATCTTAGGATTAAAAGGATAGTTTTGGTTTACAGAATATATTCTCTCTGCTAAAAAACTAATTATCATGTTATTTTGCAAAATACTTAATTGTCAGATTATTTGTGTATATTAGTTAAATTTACCCTATAAATAATATATATTGATATTTTTCCTTTTCGAAATGCATTTTTTCCTTTTCTTAATAGATGTAACAAAAGAATTTAAATTATTTGTTTTCTGTTTTTTATTACTTTTAATGGATTTATTATTTTTTCATTTTAATTATTTATTATCTGATTTTCTAATTTTTATTTAGTCTTATACATATTAATTTTTTTTTTTATTCTATGACACATGTTACAATCTTCATACTTTCATAAATTTTTTTTTCTAAAACAAATGTCACAATTTTGTGAGTTATAAAAATCATATGTATCGCAAAACTGTCAAAAACATGATTTTTAAATTGGAGAAATAGAATCAAAGGGATATGATGAATTTGCTTTGATGAATTTATGATTGAGAAACTTTGACTCTCTTTTATAGGGATTCAAGTAACCTATTCAGTTATATGAAATTTAGTTTACATAACATTATTTATTTCATTATACAAATATGATTTTATTTATTACATTATTTTGATTTTATTATTTGTTTGAATAATATTAATTTGATTACATAACATTATACAAATAGGATTTTATTTATTACATTATTTTGATTTTATTATTTGTTTGGATAATATTAATTTGATGAATGGAAAACCTTTCTCTATTAGGATATGACAAATATATTTTTATTTCTTTTAACTGTAATAGATTAATTTTTTTTTTAAAATTCTTTTATCTAAAAGCATCCAACTTTATATAATAAAAAAATTTGATGAATGGGAAACCTTTTTCTGTTTGAATATGGCAAATATTATTTTTTCTTTTTGATATAATAGATTAAATTAAATTTCGTTTTTTTTCTTAATTAACATTTATCTGGAATTCTTTTTTTTTAAGTTCTCTTTTTTTCTAAGACACGTGTCACGATCTTAACGGACATAAACTTAAAAGTGACACATGTCGCGATCCTGAATTTTATAAAAATCCTATGTGTCGCAACCAGGTTGTGCGCATCCAGCTTTATATAATAAGATTGCTATATTTTTTTTTCTCTGGTTAAATTATATCCCTGAAGGACTAATATTATTAAAAATATATATATATATAGATTTATATATCTGAAGGATCTATATATTATTTTTCCTTGAAGGAATTACATATTTCAATTATATACATCCCTGAAGGATTTGTATTTTATTTATTTTATTTATATCCCTGAAGGATTTATATTTTATTTCTATCCCTGAAGGAATTTCTATATTATTTATTTTAATTATATCCATGAAGGATTCATATTTATTTATATTTTATGTTTATTTTATTTAGTTTATTTATATCCCTGAAGGATTTATATTTTATTTCTATCCCTGAAGGAATTTCTATATTATTTATTTTATTATATCCATGAAGGATTCATATTTATTTATATTTTATGTTTATTTTTATTTAGTTTATTTCTATCCCCGAAGGATTTATATTTTATTTCTATCCTTGAAGAAATTTCTATTTTTTTTATTTCTATCCGTGAAGGATCTATATTTTATTTATATCCCTGAAGGATTTATATTTTGTTTCTATTTTTATTTATATCCCAGAAGGATTTTATATTGTTTATTGTTATTTATTTGCTTTTCACATTTATTTATTTATTTTCGTAATATATTTAATTAATTGATGAAATGAATAATTACTTGAATTGGCATAATTTTGACATTTGAAATATTATTGCATTAATTTGAAATATATTGCATTCTTGACCATATTAATTTCTAAGTTGACATGTTGACTATATGAATTCATAATTAAATATAAGTGCTAAAATCACTCTAAATATATATCATTAATATTATTATTTAATGATTGTTGACTGTTTTGTTAAAATGAATCTTGATCAGCTTTATTAAAATAATATTGTTTGATTTTGCATCATAACTTCGTATATTGCTATTGAGATTGCTTATTATTGCTAAATTATCATTTGATCATTGCTAATAATAATATATATATATATATTATTGCATATCCTGATTTAATATTATAAATAAATGTATAATTATTCCCTTGATTAGTTTTATTTATTGGTTTGATTTGGTTTAACAAATCAATTATTATTATTATATACTAATAAGTGTATTATCTATTATTACATGATTTTAAAATGTAATAATTTTACCATTGAGTAAAAAGAAAGCATGATCACTAGAAGTGATCTAATATAGCAATCTAAAGAAAATGAACAATCACCTGAAGTGATATGATCTGATAGAGCATCTCAGACCATATAAACTTGAAGTTTATAAGTGAAAATATATACTAATAAAAATGTATAAGAAGAAATTATGAAAATATTGTTGTCCTGCAGACACAATAGCATAAATATATTTAAGGAATATTTTAAAAATATTGTTGTCCAGTAGACACAATAGCAAATAAATTCTTAAAATTAAATTTGTCACTTGAAGTGATAATAAAAAGGTAATGTTATTTATATTAATTATTTATTTTATTATATTATTATATTTTGTTTATATATATGTTTGATAATATTTATTTATTTTTCAATTATCCTCTATATGAATATTTTGTATTTGCATTTAAGATTACAAGACTTGAAGTCTATAAATGATTTTTATTTATCTGGAAGATAATGTAAATCAATGATGATAAAAGGCATATATTGTCCAGCTGACAAAATATTATTGAAGAAAGTTTAAGAAATTATTTTGATAAAATAATGAGTTACTAATGAAAATCTTGAATCTTGTCTAATTGGTTTTGATCCATTCCCTGAAGTGAATGTGATATGAATGATTAAAGATATGATCATAGACATGAATATGAATCTTTTATAGTTCATGTTAAGGTCAAAACTAAAGAGTTTTATTTCAAGAACTCAAATTCTCATAAGAAGTGAGAAAATAAAGATGGCAGCAAATAAAAGATACACATCTCCAGAAGAGTATATAAATTTATATTTGCTTATAGTAAATAATTTTTGATGCATTATATCTTTGAAATCCCAGAAGTGAAAAGAATCAAACACATAATAGAAATATAAAAAGTTTAAAGAATCAAAGATATAAAACATGATTCAAGTTGGATATATTATTGATTTTATACTAGGATTCCATTCGAGATTGATGAACATGAAGTGACATCATCTCGAGGGGGAGAATGGATGAATCCCTCAATCACTAGAAAGTGGAACATCTAGAAGATTATGTTCACACTAAAAATAATCCTGATGAATCATATATAATGTAACTCAATAGTGTAAAATTATTTTGAAAAATAACATACATTATCTAATGCCTCATCATAGACAAAGATTAAATAGGAGATGTAAATGTTATGTAGTAAACTAGAAGTTTACCGAATATAACATAGTTTGGCATGAGCTGGTTAGACCATTTCGGTTCAAGAATTATGCGAAATAAAATACATCATGTAAAGATTTATTGAAGAACTTGAAGATTCTTCTTAATTATCTATAATGTGATGTTTAATCATAAGACATTATGATTATACAATTACCAACTAGCCAAAATAGATTTGGAATGTATCCAATTTCTAGAAAGAATATAAGAAACTTTTGTGGTCTAATAAACCATTATATGGACTGATCATCCAGTAAGAGAAATGTTATGGTGTTTCTTAAATATATCAACAAGTTGGTTGTATGTATCAATGTTACATATCTGCAACCTGAAGTTTGCGAGATTACTTGGTAGTGCTAGTGAAATCACATCTTAAATCTTTGTTGAGAAAAACATGATTTGTAAGAATAAATGTTGAACATCCAGTAGCAAATGTTCATAATTACATATAATGCAAAAGCATTAATTCGCATAAAGCCAATGAATAACTAAAATTTCTCCCCATCGTAATTGGTTTAGGTCAGGAACCAAAGTTTTCCATCTAAAAATCTATGGATGTGCAGAATACATCCATAATGCTCCACCACAGAACACATAATAAAGATGGACCCTCGAAAGAGATAGTAAATGTATGTTGGATGTTAATCTCCTATGATAATATTTAGAGCTATCCATGAAGGATTTAAATATGGCTCAATTTGTAGACTGTCTTTTTAGTGAATTCAGTCTTTCCAACATCAGGGGGAGAAAATAAAACAGCTGGAGAAAGATTAAAGTTAGAATGAATTATCATTGATCCTCAGACGAATAGTAAGTGAAATAAAAGTCCAAAAGATAATTCATTCACAAAACTTATTGTATCAATTGCCAGATACAATTACTGACCCAAATATAGTGTTGAGTCACTTACCAGCTGTAAATGCTCTAAAAATAATTGATTTCCCAGAAGGACAATATCAAGCTGCTAGTAAGTCTAAAGAACGCATGGAGTGTGATAGACTTGTTGGTTCCAAATATTAGTTACCTCGGTAAAGTGAAATGAGCATAAATTTATAATGGTTAAACCGAGGAAACAAAGGTTTTTGATCTCAAGGTTTATGAATTATAAATTTTTTATAAGTGTTTTAGCAATGGAACGTTTGGCGTTTTGACAAAACAAAACGGCAGCACGTTTACTCAAATAAATAGAGAGACACTAATTGTTAGGGCTTAGACATAAAAAGATTTTTTTTTGTGTAAGAAGGCAAAACGCACATGGGCAGCTGCTAGGGCGCGAGCGAGAGCGTTCCGCCATGGAAACACAGAGAAAGAAGCTTACAAAGGGAAGCGTAAACTCAAACTCGCTTCCGGTTGATCTGATGATGGAGATACTCAAACGATTGCCACTTAAACTCATAGTCAAGTTCCTCTGCGTGTCTAAACTCTGGGCTTCCATGTTCCGTAGTCCATATTTCATGAAGCTGTTCCTGAAGGAGTCGTTGACTAGACCGAAAAGTCTCATCTTCGTATTCAGAAAAAAGTATAAGTGTCCTTCATCCTTCACATCCGTTTACCTCAAAAATACAATCGAAGCATCTTCTTCTTCTTCTTCTTCTTCTTGTTCAGTCACTTACCATGTGATTTGCCACACCCGACAGCGCTCGATAATCACTCCTTGTGTCCATGGTTTGATTTGCTATGGACCAGCCTCTAGAATCGTGATATACAACCCTTGCACTAGACGATCCGTTACCTTGCCTGCGATCAATGCAGCAGGGAAGAGACCCATAGACAAGTACTTGGGTTTTGATCCCATTGACAGTGACTACAAAGTGTTGTGCATCGTGAGATCAGAAACGGATAAGAAGAGAAGCAGACGCGGTTTAGCTGAAGAGATATGGGTTTTGACATTGGGAACTCGGAATTCATGGAGGAGGATGATTGAGCAAGACGTTATTCCTCCTCACTCTCCTGTAAGAGAGCAACTATGCATCAACGGTGTTTTGTATTACCGAGCTTTCACTGGCGCAAAACTAAACGATTCTGCAATCATGAGTTTTGATGTTAGGTCAGAAAAACTTGATCTTATCAAAGGACCTTGCACCTTTCCCGAGTTCTCAAAGTTGACAAGCTACGAGGGAAAACTAGCTGTACGAGGGCATCTTCGCAACTTTCAGAGGTTTAGCGCCACTGACGCTGACACGGGTGAGATTATCTTTACACAAACATGGCAGCATGCATCACTACCTAGTGCCGTCTATTATGATCTGAAGAATAACAGTGTGAGAAATTTTGAAATACAAGGAACCAAAAAGGAGAATATGTCTCTTCATGCGGACTCTGCCTCCTATAGTCAGGTTGATAATATGCCTTTTCATGAAGACTCTGTCTCCTCTAGTCTGGTTGACAATCTCATGTTTCTATAAGAGTTGATAGATCAGAGGAGAGGATCATATCATGTCCTTTTTCTAGACTACTATATATGTTTTAAGTTGTATCTTGTTTACTTGACAAGTTTTCATGATCTAGTTTTTTAATTTCATGTTCATCAATCATATATCGTCTATGTTTTATCTCTAGTTTTCAGTTGCTTGTACTTCATTTACAAAAATTCCACTGTGCTCCAATGCCAGTGTTCCTAACTTGCAGGTTGTAACTATAGATGTAATGAGTGCCTGAACATTCTTGATGACAAAGGGAAGTAAAGTATATATGGCTTTCGGAAATGTAAGCTTATTCTCTTAAGCAAGGGTTTGGCAAAGAGGAGGAGAGAAGGGTAATTTCGTAGGCTCAGCAAACAATTTCCTCATAGGAATCGAGAGGATAGTTATTAAAGCGAATAATATGAGAATGCACCTTCCAAGAGTTTTCCTACAAAGAGTTAATTCGTACGGAAAGGGACAGAATTCAGAGATTCTTCTTTTTGTAATTTACTCATCGAATTCAGATCCATACAGCTTCGCTTTTCTTCTCTTCTCTTCATTCATACTTTGGACCTATATACATTTCATGTATGATCTTTGGATCTGTTACTTCTACAGAAAACTATACATTTATTTTGCTTTTCAATCCACAAAAATCATAGATCCGAACATAAAATTGGTACGAATCAAAAGACATTCTCTTGTGTGTGTGTGTGTGTGTGAGAGAGAGTGAGAGAGAGTAGATTAAATGTATGTTGGCAGAAAAAAGGTATGTGCATTAAGAAGAGTTGTTGCTATCATATACGATTTGTGGCTCGTAGGAAAAGCAAAAGAGAGAAGAGCAAGTGCATTCAATTTATCAAAAAATAAATGCACTAAGTTGATGATTCCAATGCATATTAATTATTACATGCATAGGACCAACTTATAATTACTAGAGACAAATATGCTTTTGCTTCACCTAAAGAAGTCATCCACTCAAAACTGTCTGCTTACAATACTTTTATAGTCAAACTCGGATTAAAAACCCTAATGCATGTAATACTGTATAAGAATTATTTAGTGTTTTTTACCAAAAAAAAAGAATTATTTAGTGTTTCAACTCTAACAAATGTATTTTTTTTTTTGCAACAACTAATTTACCTCTTCTCGGAAGCAACAACGATTTATTTTTCTGTTTGTCGTGGATAATATATATCGTCATTTGTAATATGTTCGATAATTTTTAATAGTAAATATAGTTACAGAAAGAAAAAAATAGGATGGAATTTGAAGTTTACACATCACTCGCATATAATTCAAACGTACCTACATCCGAAAGGAAAACTCAATAAAGATTCATACAAAAATCAAACATTTCTTAGTTTCATAGAACTCGAACGATCATAGATATCAACCTTAAAAAAACTAGCCAATATTCAACTTGCACTAATCATCTTTTAGCGCAAGCCACCACTTATCAGCTCATAAAAAAAATAAAATAAAAATCCATATTCCATCGAATACTAATCCCACTTAGGGCGAATTAACGAACTAAAAACCCGAGATTTACATGATCCATGTAGAGAGTGATCTTTCAGGTGGATCTTACAGGTTTTTAGTCCGGAAAAAGCCATTTGGATAAAAAGATTTTTATCCAAAGGCAAAAAGAAAGAATCTTAGGCGTCATCATAATGTAAACTCTTTCCGTTTCATCTGATCATGGATATTAGAGAGAGAAAAACGACTTCTTCACAAGGGATAGTGAGTCCTCCCATGTCGTGGTGGAAACCAAACTCTTCCTCTGCTTGTTGAAGAAGGATCAGAAATTCGGGATGGGACAAGAAGGAGATTGGTACGATGTACCTCGTACGCTTTTCGCCTACGTAAACCGGGAAATGTCCCTTTGGCACGTCAAGAGGGAGACCTTCCTCGTCGTAGCATTGTTTCTTGCCTAAGCTCGAGCATCTCTTGAGGATTTGCTTTAGCATTGCTGTTTGTGTTAGCTTAGAAGATCTCTTCACCGCCATTGCTTTAATTTTAGTGTTTAATTTCTTGATATGAGAGTGAGAGAGTGAGGAGACGATCTGAAGGAGAAAGGAGGAGTGTTTGATGAGAGAAGGTGGCGAAAGTCGTTTATTTATGGAGGAGGATGAGGATAGGATGCTAAAGCAACAGTAGTACTTTAAATTTCTTGATTATCCAGATATGATTTATTAATAATATATGAGCAAATGATTATCAGTTATCAATAATCTAAAATTTTGGTTTGTGCCGTCTTGTAAGACTCTTCTAAAAGGATTATTATTATTATCATACATTTCGATGAAAAATTCAGTAAACCGATTGTTTAGGGAATTATATATAAAATTAATATACAGGTGTTTAGTGAATTGCTATAAGAAGGAAGGTCAGGGTAATTTAGATGTTTTAAATATCAGTAAATCTATTCCAGTGTTTTCACATGCATATTATGGGGAATTAAGTAATATTGTAATGATATAAATAATTATGGATATATAGAGTTTTATTTTTAAGGAGCAGAAGAAAAGCAGGAGGAGGGATATAGAGGCGCATGTGACAGTGTGGGATCCAATCCCATTGGGATTTAATTTCATTGTTGGTCCTCCCCAAGACACCATGGTCCCTCTTCTCTCTCTTTCATTAGTTACTATCATCAATACGGAAAAATATCAATGTGGTAACTATATATTTTATAATTACGTACGAAGAGGTATATAAACATGTACAATAAGTACAAATTTTATGTACTCCTTAATCTCTGTGGTTAAATATAAAATATGTATTGTCGAAAGCATGCATGAGCTTAACTAACTACCTCTAGTTTATGATAAGTTTTGCTGTTAATTCAGTTCAAACACGATCATAGCATAGGTACTAAGATTCTGACTAATCACAAACTAGCAGCCACAAATGTATTTAACAAAAAAAGCAGCCACAAATGTCAACTCTCGAGTGAACAAAGTTTTATACAATGAGAGAATCAATCCAATATTCTACACCAACGAAACGATGTCACCAGACTAGCTAAAATCAAGATTTATTAAAACATTATATTTTTCATGTAACTAGATCTTTTGAACCAACAATAGACCAATCACGCGATTTACAACTACCATAGCTAGCCTGATTTTATAGGACCTAAAGCCAGACATATTGCCAGTTTCACAATTGTCATGTGACGAACTCCAAAATAACAAAAATGTAACCAAATGAAATCAATCTAATGGTCTTGAGCAACAAACAAAACTATTAATTACAACCATTTGGTTAAAAAATATCTATTTGAGAGAACACATTGTGACAAATGCATACAAAAAAAATCCAAAAAACTGAGTAAGATTCGCCTTGACTCTTGTCTGCAAGTGGCCGTATTTGATTACAATACTTTTGAAAATGTTCGATAGTTATATATGCTTATAGACAATGGCATTTATTAGATCTTTGTTTCTGGTCGTAAGAGGTTAGGGACAGAGAACATGTAAAAAGTCTCACGATCTCGAGCTTCCCATCTTTGTTAACTTGTGATGTTCCTAATCCATGGTGCCGGCGAAATAATGCAGAGATCGATTAGAAAGATAAGCAAACTGTAAATTTTTAGGGTAAATTAGAAAGATAATGCAGAGTTTAGGGTAAATTTTTTTATATGGCAAATAAGGGTTTAGGGAAAATCAGGTTTAGTGCAATCAGGGTTTAGGGCATATAAGGTAAATCAGGTTTAGGGCAAATCAGGTTTTAGGGTAAATTAGGTTTAGGGCAAATAAGGTTTTAGGGCAAATCAGGTTTTAGGGCAAATCAGGTTTAGGGCAAATAAGATTTTAGGGGAAATCAGGTTTTAGGGTAAATAAGGGTTTAGGGCAAATAAACCCTAAACCTGATTTGCCCTAAAACCTGATTTGCCCTAAACCCTTACAAAAACCCTAAACCTGATTTGCCCTAAAACCTTATTTGAGGAATAACAAATAGAGAACCATGGTATATTTACTATATAGAGCAATTCATGGTATTGTTTAATATAAAATGGTTTAACATGTAGAAATTAATACATATTTTTTTTGGTTTTCCTAAAGTTTTAAAATTGAAGTCATTTACCTAACTTAATATTCTTGGTCATTTAATTACCGTATATAATACTTTATTTCGCTTAAGCAATGGATATTCTGAAAACCCTAAAAATCCTATAATCAACACTTGTTATTTGTAGCACACGTAACTCTGCAAAGGTTGATCTCGAGGTTATTCTTGTGAGTTGCATCCAAAATCTATCACATCGACCAACAAGTGAATGAGAATAATGTTTTTTTCTCTTATCAACCACAAAAATGGAGAGAGAGAGAGTTTGGGGTCGTTGTCAGGGAGAGAGGCTAGCATGTTCTGCGAAGGAGAATTGTTGTGGAAATTTCAGTGAAAACGAGAAGAGGATTAGGGAGAAACGTTACGAATCTTTTATTGAAGGGACAATTTCGCCTTACGGAATGAAAAGGACATGTCTCTCGTCTCGACCAAGCACATGAAAGCCCCATGTTACTCTTGCCTCCTTCCTCCCTAAATCTGTCCTCTTTTGTACAACTTTCCGTTTTTACTGAGCAGTCCACTTTTCTTTATTACAGATTTTTATTAGACTTGAATTTGTCTGCTTACTTTTGGAAATTCTTGAATCTCTATTTTCTACTTTCACGGCCACAAATCACAAACCCTTGAAAACTGTCCTGTTTGTTCAACTCTGCTTCTTTCTTCTTTTCTTTTTTTTTTTCTTTTTTCTCTTCCAAAAATTAGAACACAGTGTAGCTTGTTCAAACACACTCCTCAGGTCCAAAATTTCATCATCATTTTTTCTAAATATAAAAACTCTAAGTACCTGGAAATATATTCGATAAACCCTTTGAAGTTTGAAGTGAAAACCTATACTACAAAGCTTTTAAAAAAAAAAGACAATTCTGGTCAAACAACAGTTTTAGTTCATATTTACTCAAAAATCGTGTCAAATCAAGTATATATAAACTCTCAGAAAGTTCGATGAATGTTTCGTATAGGAAGTGACTGAATCTGATTCCCATATTCACGTGAAAAAGATGCCACATGAGCTCTGTTTCTTTAGTCAAGAAAAATATAGGTGGCAAGATCTGAAGTGAAATGTATGGTCTTTTCCATCACATGGGCTGCAGAAACTCTGGACCCTTGGAAAAGACAACAACTTTAGAGGTCAGATTGGCTAATTTTTCTTGTACGATGATCAACAGTTGAGTTTGAAAAGGGCAACATCAGGAAAGTTAAGAATAAAAAGCAAACACAGAGTGGCGCCTAGAGAAACCGATTGAGACGGCAGAAGATAGGACTAAGCTTTCGTTAGACAACCGATTAATTAAAATTATCAGCTAAATGGGAATTGAGGTAGGGTTTCGAGGTCGTATTCCTACTTAATTTGGCATGTGAGGAACCATTTCTCAATTCTTTAATATGGCTTAGTTGTTTCTTCCAGGGACCCCCATTTGCAAAGTTTGAATCTTTTTCTGTTTAGGGGAGGACAACTGGACAACAACAACAAAAAACGATATTATTGGACGTTAAAAGTTTGACATGGAACGTATAAACTGCAAGAGAATGGACTATTCAATAATAAGTAAAATCGATCTATGTAAGCTTCAAACCAAAAAGCTAAGATTAGTAACATAATTTGGGAATGTTCAAAAAGTAAAAAAAGAACCGGATTAACCGCCAGGTTTAAATTACAACTAACGGTCGGTGTCTAGACAAAAACAAGCGACTGACTAACAAAAAGAGCAAAAAAACAAGGATCCGAAATTAAATAAACGTTACAAGGCGAAGGCGTATAAGCAAATAAAAAACGGTGTTACACGCGCATTCGGTAACTAATTAATCCAAGAGCGCGTGGCACGGCTTTATTAGAGTTTAATTTATGGGCTTTAGGCTTGGGCTTCTATTTAAATTGTGTCTGGGCCAATACAGTGTTGTTTATTATTAATGATCAAGTAAATCTAAAATGGTTAATACTTGTTTTGTAGATGGAATGGAAGATTACAAAATCCAAGTTTTCTCACAACTCACAAGGAACGAATTAGTCTTCTCTTGAGAAGTAACTGAAGATAACTACCAAAAAAGGTAAAATATACGTACAAATTATGCCGTTTCACTTAAATGTGGACGAAATGTTTGCTGTTTAGTGATAATTATTTTGTTTGCAGGACACAAATGTGTTACATGCAATGAACAGAGATATAATCATGGAAGCCGAATGTATATTCCTCTCACTGAAACAATTTACAATTATTTCCAGGGGAACTTAGCTAAACAATATTTACGTTGTAACTTTATCCGAAAACAATTTGTAAAAAGTAATGGAATATTCTTGTAATTCATCGAATCTGAGATGTGACGGTGAAGAACAAAGATTCATGACATGGTATGGTTAAGCCTCCCATAGGATGATCAAACCCAAACTCTTCCTCAGATTTACTCAGCAGTTCTTGAAACAAAGGCTGGTTTAAGTAGGAAACCGGCACCACATATCTCTTCTTCTTCTGATCATTCTCTCCAACATATACCGCCATGAATCCTCTTGGTGTCGAAGATGATTCCCTTCGCATGATTTGCTTATTAGCACCCAAGAAACTTCTCAAAAATGTCATTTTTTGCTATGTTTTCGTGAAGCTTGAATTGATGACCTTACACTGGAAGGGTGGAGAAAGCTTTGAGATGTAATTAGTCTTGGATCGTTTTTAGTTTGTGAATCAAAAGAGCTTGTTATATAAACACGAATATATGAAAGAAATTATCGAAAACTTACTAATTTTCATTTTCTTTTTTGTTCAATACAAAGCACATGGGTTTGGATTGGAGATACTAAACCAAGAACAAATCAATAAATGGTGTCTGAGAAGTTAGCGTCTAATCGTGTCCTACATGATGACTTCATTGGGGGGTTATTGTCTCAAAGACTTCACATGCCAAATCTCTCTATAGATTATGTAGGGACTTGAAGTTGTGTACCTAAAGAACCACAAGTCTCTATCACTGATTAAGTCATAACTTCACCTCAATGATATCAAAAAGACAGGACCACATGAGTTGATTATATACAGACAAATTCAGAAAAGCCTTCAAAATTTCTGTGGCAAGAAATGAAGATTCTGACTGGGTTATAATGTCTATCTAACTAACAAGTGGTCAGGTTGATTTGTGTCTTCACGTCAGAAATCATCAAGACTGATTAAATCACTAGAGGGCCCTTAATTATCATGCCGTGGTCCGGCAAAGCCATGTGCTTGTTGCTTGTTGGTGTTAAATTGATTTATGAGCTGAAACTTGTCTAAACCAATCAAAGGTTATCTTCAAGTAATGCTCTTATCTATATATACTCATCATTGAGAGCTCTGCAAGCTCTCACATTTTCCAGTAAAGCATTAGACTTTCTTTCACTTCAAGAAACACACAAAAGATTAATTATCAATGGCAATCAGGGTTCCTCGAGTTCTGCAATCATCAAAGCAGATTCTCCGTCAAGCGAAACTCTTCTCATCCTCTTCCTCTCTTGACGTCCCAAAGGGCTACTTAGCGGTCTACGTAGGAGAAAGAACGATGAAGAGATTTGTAGTTCCGGTTTCTTACTTGAACCAGCCTTCATTTCAAGACTTACTAAAAAAGGCAGAGGAAGAATTTGGATTTGACCATCCAATGGGTGGCCTCACAATCCCTTGCAGTGAAGAAATCTTCATCGATCTTGCTTCTCGCCTCAACTGATCATGACTCGCTCAAATAACTTCTTTTTTTCCCCATTGATTTTAATTTGTACATTTTTTTCCCAATTAGTTTTCTTCAAGAAGAGATGAGATGACTTAGAAACATCTCTTCTTGAAAGTGAAACAGAGACTTGTAACACTCTTTTTCCTCACTTACATACAGTGAGTTGGACTCAAATCTAATCAGAACCTCATGATTTTTCAATCAATCATCATTCACAAAAAAAAAAATGTTAATTTCAGCTTTTCAGACAAACTCACCGAAGATACAACTCAGTGTTGGAATTATAGTTTGAAGTTTTTGCATTATTAAGTCCTAAAGAAGAAGAAGTATCAGATACCATGTCGCTGTGTGAGAAAAAACCAGGCTTTGAAGGTTCTGAAAGAGCAAGAGTATGTTCATCTAACATGAGAAGAACCGAAGCCATGCTTGGCCTCTCTTTAACTTTCTCTTGGACACAGAGAAGACCAATGTTTATGCATCTCAGGATCATATTCGATGAATAGCTTGACATTGTCATCAAAACCTTGTCCACAAGATTCAAAGCAACGCCTTCCTTCCAATTTCTCCATGCCTTCACCAAATCATTAGAACTCAACTCAGTGATGCAAATTTTAGTTAATCAAGAGTGTCATTTGATCAAAGCGCGTGATAAAACGTTACTTACGAAGCTAAGGAGATCTTCCATGCTGTCCTCATTGCTGAAACAGCTGTTCTTCTTACCACTGATGATCTCAAGAACCAAAACTCCGAAACTGTAAACATCTGTCTTAAACGAGAACTGTCCGTGCATTACATACTCTGGAGCCATGTATCCACTGTTTTACACCAAATGACTGTGAGCACAACTGAGATTTTGATGAGTTTTTTAAAATAAAAAATGATACTTACAAAGTGCCGACGATCCTATTGGTGTAGCGTTGAGTTGTGTGGTCGATATCGAAAAGCCTAGCCATTCCAAAATCTGCGATCTTCGGGGTCATTTCTTCGTCAAGCAAGATGTTACTAGCTTTAAGATCACGGTGAATAATCCGCAGTCGAGAATCTTGATGAAGATAAACAAGTCCTCTCGCTACACCTCCTATGATCTTGTATCTTATTTCCCACTCCATTTCCTTACCCTCTATCGGATCTATAAAATAATACTCAAAACACATGAGAACATCATAAACCAAACAAGAAAACCAACAAACACAAAAGTGAAGAAATAAGTTTATACCGAAGATGAACTTGTCGAGACTGGTGTGTGGGAGGAACTCATAGACGAGAAGCCTTTCGGATCCTTCTATTGAGTAACCTAAGAGCTTGACGAGATTACGATGTTGAAGTTTTGCCACCAACAAGAACTCGTTCTTGAATTCGGTTTCACCTTGTTGTGCATTTTTCGACAACCTTTTCACTGCTATTTCTTGTCCGTCAATAAGTACTCCCTAATAGATACAAAAGTTTTAGTGAAAATGCATTTGATAATAGTTGCTTGTGTAGTGAAATACCTTATAAACTGCTCCAAATCCACCTTCTCCAAGTTTGTTTTCGAGTGAGAATTGACTTGTTGCATCTTGTAACATAGTGAAATCGAATCTCATTGAATCTGTGCTTATGTCTTCTTATTTATGTCAAGAAAAAACTCCAGGTCAGAACTTAAAAACAAACCACAACAAACACGGAAGAAACAGAGAAAACAGGGGAAAAACAGAGCCCATACATAAAACCCTAACTGTTCAAGTTTAATAGCTTACCTTCAAGTTTTCGTTCTTCATTATTTGTCTTCCTCTTATTCTTCGTTCTGCATCTTATGAAAATGACTAATAATACTACAACTAAGACAACAAGTGCAGCTGAGACAACCGCAAAGATCAAAGCTTTAGGTACACCTCTGTTTTTCTCCCCTGAACCAGAAAGAAAAAAATACCTAAAATGGATTAAACTCGCCTTACTATAACAAACTCAACTCTTCTCATTGGGATATTACAGTATACTCTACAGTCTTTTGTAAATCCTGGAGTTTAAAAACTTTCAAATCCCCAAGAAGTAGCAATACCTTGTGCGACACTTCTCGTCTCATTCTTAGTAGGCCGTGACGGCGTCGAAGGCACTGAGCTTGGCTCATCAGTGTCCACTGGATCATAGAATCTCCATGGAGCATAAGCCAATAAACAGCTCGGAGACAACACATAACTACCCGTTTTCATATCACAACAGCTCGGAATCTTTGCAACACCCTGAGACAGACAATACGAGCAGTCCTCTTCCGAAATATCAGGCGTGCACTGAGCCAGGCCGTACAATGTCTGAAACGACGGCCCGCTCGTTTCTCCGACGACAAAATTCTTCTTTCTCCGACCAATCACGGAGACTCTGCCTCTAAGCCCTTCAAGTAAATCCCTTAATGATTTCTCCCAAGCATCACGATCTCCGGTGAAGTTTCTTGTTCCGGTTATGCTTGTTTGAGGGTAAATCTCCAATAAGTTGAAGATTGTCCGGTTTGAGTACCTAACCGTACATTTGTCGTACCATATGATCGCTTCTTTCTGAACCGGACACAATGTGACTAGTCTTTTTCCAGCCATTGCGACACAGTTGATGCAGTCTTCGGGTTTGACATCGCCCCTACACTGTAAGACTGAGTTGACTTTTCCATCGGAGTCTCCGATTGAGATGTTGTAAAATCCGTTACCGTTCTGCCGGAGAGATGATAGAGAGGAGATGAGACGGTCGAGGTTGACGGCGTAAGGGGTGTTCACGGTGAAGTTGCCTGTGACGTTTGAGCAGATTTGCTTTAGCGGAACCGGTTGCGACTCAACGGTGAGGCATTGGATATGGATTAGTAATGAGATCAGAGGAAGAAGAAGAGACAACATTTTGCTACTTCTGTTAAATCATTGTCTAGATTGTTAGAACGAGAGTTTGCACGCCATGAGGCGTTGACCTTTGACTTTGTTCATTTTTAAAAAAATTGTTGCAGTTGCTAGGCTGTTATGAAATGAGACAATAATTTTGGGATTGTTTATCGCTTTTATTTTGCCTGTGTCAATGTCATGGAGCTGATGACCTAAAAGATGTTTCATGTAAATTTTACTCCTTGTAGCATCTCTTCTTATCAGATTGGGCCGTATCCAAATTTTATCATAAATGAAGCCCAAGATCTCATTTGAACCTAGATTTGTAGCATTTTGCTCTCCGTATCTATGAATTTTTAAGTTGCAACATTATTAAACTTTACCGGGAAAAATTACGAACTGGGAACAAACTATTAGAAACTGCATACAAGTCCCTCAGGTAATATAATTACAGATACAAAACAAGACTTCTCCTTTTTCTTGATTTCTTTCTTTTTTCAAAGAAAACATAGGAAAAGCGTAAATGAAGAATTTATCCTTAGAATCAAATTATTCGTACTTTTTATAAAATTATTACTTGAAAAAACGTATCTAGTGAAAGCTACTTGGAGTAGTACGACGTTCTAGAGTCTGCTATAGTTCGTAAGCCTTCCAGTTACCTTTCTATCGAATAAACAAAAAGATCTCCTTTTCCTCTGCTTTTGTAAAGATGGTATAGTCACTTTTGCAGTTCGTACCGAAAAAAGGAAGATGTTAGGGTTTATAACTTTATATCCTTTTGCATCTGTTTTCTTGTTAAGATTATTGTGAATCTATCCTAGAGTAAAGAAAGCAAGTGTATTGTGTGACAACTCCGATCCACTTTTAGAGGTGTATTTCTCTTTGTTGTAATGGAGCTTGTGTTTTTTATTTTGTTGTAATAAGTTGTTTAACAACAACATTGTAAGTTCAGAAAATGGTATAAATCTTAACATTCATACCAAAAAAAAAAAAACTCCGATCCACTTGTAACTATTAGGTATATGTATATCTACGTCTACTCGCCACAATAAGAACAAGAACGCAAGGAAAAATAATTCAAGATTTAATCTGCTTTACCAAATGTTTTAGTTTTGTGAAATCAAAAAAAAATACTCCGGTCGGTTTAGGTTCAAAAAAATATATGTTTAGGTTCGAATAATTAATTCTGTAATTTATACCTAATGGACCGTCTAATTTATTGATATCCGGTCGGTCGGCTTTGACATTGTGGTGGCCAAACGGCACCGTCTTGAAGTTGTACGACAGCAGTGAGACGCCGCCCAATGACGGAAGCACACACAAGGATAGCTTATCAACAAGTGTCCCCACGACTTTTCATGGACGACTGCCACGTCATCGCAGATCTAAAGAGTAAAGTGGCTCTTGTCAGACTATTCAGATCCGTCAGATATGTGTCATCTCATGTGTTAATTTACCAAAATCAAATTCATGGACAACATTTAAGTATTAATCTTAATTTTATACCACGGCTTAGTCCCTAATTTTATTTTACTTTTATTTATCCGAATTGATTTAGTCACTAAGATATTCCTTATCGACTTAGTCACGACTTTAGGGTTTAACTAATAGGGCGGCATGTTAAAATCTAATACGTTCACACTTTTTTTTGTTTGTTAAAGAGTTTTCTTTTTTTTTGTTCACACGAATGTTATTGCCCCTGTGATACGGACCACATAGTAGATTAAGTGGTCGATATTGTTCGATGTTCCACTTCTGGTTTATGGGGCTTGCTTAGTTCGTCGGTCTCTATTTGTAATACGTCACGATCGTTTATTTCCATAATTTTTGGACCTGTTTCGGTCTTTTGGAGAAAAAAATGTATCAACTATTAATTTGAAGATATCTCTTCACAAGTTCCCGAAAAACAAATTCAAAGAAAATCATGTAGCCAACTAAAAATATTAGTTTGAAGTTTGAACAAGCTATCATAAAGGAACCAACTATTGATTAAAAAAGACACAGGCAGCATTATCGACTAAACACTGTATTATGTATGATACTCCTGCGGTTACTGAAGTGAAATAGCGAACCTACCCATGGGTATTTAGTTTTCTCATCCAAATCGTGAGCTATACAACGTTTGAATGAGGCCGACCAAAACCAAATATTTGAATTATATTTCTTGTCCAGGGAATATGGTTTATACGATAAAATTAAAAGATATCGCAGAATATATATGTCCATTAGTATCGACTCGACCAACACAATATTTACATCTTTGAAATTTCTCTAGAAAACATACACTTTATATCTCATTACAAGAAGCTGTGGTTAGACTTGTTATTTTCGATCCTCTTCTATTATCAATCTGTAATATTCAACAGAAAAAAAATACGACCATGTTACGAAAATAGACAAATGCGAGCGGAAGTTAATTCAACGAGTATAACTAATCTAGCTAGCTATGGGAAAGAAGAAGACAAAGTGCTTCCAAAGTTATAAGTCTATCTAGGGGATATATGGTCAACATATGTTTGGTGGTGATGAATCCACAAATATATAAAATAAATTTGATGTAATATAAAGTGAATCGAGAAAAATAAAAAACTTATGTTTTTAATTTTTTAATTAACAACTAATCTTTTCGGATTTTCCTCATCGTTACACGCATGTATAAATAACAAGCGAAGTCCGAACCGAACCAGGACACAAGACACACTTCGAGTTAAGAAAAAAGAAAAAAGAGTTTTTCTTTGTTGAGTCAATTTTCTGTTCTTCCTTTCTCGTGCTCCCATCACGAGATCTTTCACAAGACTCTTGTGACTTGAGAAAAAGAAAATAAAGTAAAGTTGGAAGCGTAGATTCCATAAATGGACATGAGAAGCAACAACCACCAGCAACAGCAACAACAAGTACTTGATGGGTCGGACATAGTTGAGCTGGTCGAAAACGAGAAAGTGTTCGACAAATTTGTGGAACAGAAGTTTCAACTGTTAGACCAAGACGAAGATGGTAATCTCTCCGTGACTGAGTTACAACCCGCCGTTGCTGATATCGGCGCCGCTCTTGGTTTGCCTGCTCAAGGCACTTCCCCTGATTCCGATCACATCTATTCCGAGGTAACTTTATTTTCTTCTTTTTCTTATTTACTTTTTATATTCGTCGTATATGGTCCGACTAATTTGCATTTACTCTACCGAGAACAAAATTTACGCTTTAAAAAGAGAAATATCTATGATGAATGTTATGTTTTATCCGTATAGTTACTTTATTATATGATCTTGAAATGGTCATACCTAGAGACTATTGTATAGTTTTTAAAAAAAAATGCAAAATGATACGGAGTACTGACAAAGTAAAAAGAAAAAGTATTATATTAAAAAATATCTGTATAAATTTATTTTATATATATTTGTATGATCTTGGAATGTGTCATCAAGACTTCTGTAATCTTAAGCTATAAAATAAAAAATTAAATACTAAAATACCTTATTAAAATACTGACAAAGTAGAATCTCAACATTTTACTACATTGTTTAAGTTATCATCTTGATACTTGCGTAGGGTGTGTTGGATACATTTTATTTCTTTGTTACTGTAATAGTAAAATAGGTCAAATAACAAAAGCAGTTGTTTTAAATAAATGATAATAGCTTGGTCGGTGACCTTATCTTCAATTAACCCCTCCTGTCGCTTTTCTGCTGTCGTTTCAAGCTTCAAACATCGCGCGCTTTATGTATGAATCCTCTCACCTACTTAACTTTAATTAATTTACTGTATACATAATTAAGTACTAGCCAATTGACTGTTATAATATGAGTAGTGTGTTTATAAGTCATGTAAGCCAAATTTTTGTTAACCAAATTAAATAATGTGGCTTATAGCCTGATCTCATACGATAATTAAGTTGAAGTATTAGCCAAATGTTTTGTCCTTCGATTTTTGATGAAGCCATCCTTGAAAAGTCTCTGGTCGGCGTCACCGTCTTTTTTTCGTCCGAGACTTTTCTTCACCTTTTACATTTTTCTAAATGGCTTATTTTATGACGCCCTCCCCTATTTTTCAAAACATCCGACAAAAGACATACAAATATAACAAAGGCTATTTACTTGGTGTGAACAAAAACAAGCAGTAATTGTTTTTAACCGACATGGGCACCCGAAACGACGTCCTATTTCGCATGTATCACGTAATGATTAATTAGACCAAGAGGATATCGTAGTTTTTAAGATTCGTTTGTTAGAAAAAAATCTTCCTCTGATTGGATACAGAACCAAGATCCAGCATCTTATCGCTAAGTTTTGTTTTTGGTATATTGATTTAAAGAAGAGACAAGATTAAACCAAGAACACGTGCATTATATTCGTCATTGGTAACGTACGTTGTAAATTTATAATCAACTATTTTCATCATATCAGGTCTTGAACGAATTCACTCATGGAAGTGAAGGGAAAGTGAGCAAGACAGAGTTCAAAGAAGTGTTGTCGGATATTTTGTTGGGTATGGCTGCTGGTCTGAAACGCGATCCCATCGTTATCCTCAGGATGGACGGTGAGGATCTCTCGGAGTTTATACAGAGCCCTGGATACGAAGCTGAGATGGTATCCGTCTACTTCTCGGAGCTCTCCAGTTGCGAGGAAGCCTTGCTCCGTGATTGTATCGTCAAAGCTCTCCAGTCTCTTTCTGTTGATCATGGGATGCCTCCTTCCAACGATCCATGGGTACTTACGATTTTCAAATGTTTATGTATTTAATCAATAAAAAATAAAAATTCACAGTCATATATAACAAAATACAAAAAAAAAAACAATCGATTTCTATATATGTCCATGCTCGTGTTGGATGTTAAATGTTGTTAGGCCAGTGACCTTGTTTAATAAAGCTAAGTTCTTGTTTCAGGTAATGAGCAACATCGTAGAGCCAATTGTTGACTCTTGTCTTGATGAAGAAGGTAAGCGTGAGAAGAGCGCATCTCAGGAGAGATTCTTGGAAGCATTCAAGAGAGTGGTGGAGAGAGTGGCTCAACATCTCAATGAACAGCCCGTGATCGTTGCTCACAGCGAAAACACCTTCGATGGGAGCGGCATCAGGAGGCTCTTGTCCAATAAATTTGAATTCGATAAGGTAAATAATTCTCATACGTATACATATATGCAACAAGAGAAGACAAGCGCACAAAATGATGATAACGAGTCGCAAGTCACGGTCCGTTTTGGTTGCAGGCATTGAACGTTGCGATGGAGACAATTCCAAAAGACCGTCACGGTAAGGTGTCTAAAGAGTATATAAGAGCTGTGCTCGACACTGTTGCACCATCTGCGACTTTACCACCAATAGGGGCAGTATCTCAGGTAACACTATATAGCCGGTCAATCATATATTTATGGCATTTCGATTCTTTTCATGCTGTTGGTTAAAATAACATTTTGGTTTATTTTTCAAATGAATGCACAAGAAAGAAAAGTTTATTTTATTAAAAATTTGTAAACGCCAAAAAATGACTTAGAAATGCTAAACTATTGAGATTTAGATTGATAAATTGTGATATTGGTTTCTATATAAGGAGATTTGATGAGTTAAAGTTGTTTGAATAAAGATGGATAGTATGATAATGGAAGCGTTGAAGATGGTGAATGGAGATGATGGAAAGATGGTGAAGGAAGAAGAGTTTAAGAAAATAATGGCGGAGATATTGGGAAGTATAATGTTGCAGCTTGAGGGTAGTCCGATCTCGGTTTCCTCCAACTCGGTGGTTCACGAGCCTCTCACCTCCGCCACCTTTCTGCCTCCGCCTCCGTCTCAAGCAGATGAGCCTTCTACTTAACTCTAGCCGTTTGAAAATGGGGAGACAACAAAATAAAAAACTGTTATGCTTTTGAGTTTTTACCCCCCCCCCCCCCCGAAGTTTTAGATCATTGAGGAAAGCCTTCTTACTTTTGGCTGCAAACGGAAAAAGAGCTCTTCGTTATTGTTCTTGACACCAGTGAACAAAAATGCATGAGGTCTTATCTCCGAACAGATTCAAAGTTTGTGGTTTCTTCATGTGGGTGTGGTGATTGTGCTCATGCCTCTTTTCTTTTAATCAAGGGTTGCAACATTTATTATGCTTTTATTTCGTTTCAAATTATGTGTGATTTTAATTATCTATACTTTTGCGAGTCTACGAAATGCACACCATAACCTACTTCTCACGAATTTAATATTTGATCACTTAATCTAAAGATTCAGGGTTCATGATATTTGGATAGTACATTGTTTTACATGCAAATCTCATCTAAAGTTGTCTCGTCTAGTACAAGATTGGAGTTATGCATAAAATCTACAAATGTGGGGAATATGGTAAAGTTAACTAAAGAAATTGATTACTATAGACATGTGTAACCATTTGTTTAACAAATGGATTGAGATAATATACAAATCTAAATTATCTAATAGAGGATTATGAATTTCTAGTTGTGTGTGTGAAAAGAATTTTATTTAATATACATCACTACATAAATTATGTTCATCAGCACAAAATTTACATTTACTGTAACTTTAGTTTATTTTAACCACAAAAGAGGACCAAAAAGGTCCGAAACGAATAACAATCGAATTCCGAATTCGCCGGACTTTCCTGCCGCTTCTTCTCGATTCTCGGATTTTCCTGGGAATCAAATAGCCAACGAGAACCGGAAGAGCTATGGCTCCTCGCGGAGATGGATCAGATGACAGGGAGAAATCTGAGGTTGCTCAATCGGAGAGTCGTCGACCCATCTCCACAGTCGTCTTCGTCATCGGTACTTTACCCTTTCTGCATCTCTCGATATTTGTTGTTATTCGTCTCCGCGTTTTCGGATTCGACCGATTGGTGAATTTCTTCTTTTTCTTCGTCTTACGCTGCAGCTATGCAAGCGGAGGCTCTACCTTTGGTCAACAAGTTCGGGCTCTCAGAAACTACTGATTCGCCGTTAAGAGCTCCAAATTTCTCTCTTTGTTTCTCCGATTTCTGATCTTGATCCATTTGTGAAAATCTGCTACTCAAAGTCCTAAAATTTGAGCTTGTTGTGTATGATTCTATCAGGCTTGGTAAAGGATTGCCCTGGGTTCTGTATTATGGAGTGCATAAAGAGCTTCAAATCAATGTAGTTTGCCCCGGAAGAGATGCTGCTTTAGGCAAGTAAATTTGATGAAATTGAGCTCTATAGAAGAAATGAATGCACTTTATCTATCGTGTGAAACTCACTGACACTTTTTCTATCTCTCCAGGGATCGATAGTGTTGGAACTGTTCCAGCTTCTCTCATTACCTTTGCTTCTATCCAAGCTCTTAAACCTGACATTATTATCAATGCCGGAACCTGCGGTGGCTTTAAGGTACCTCTCATGCGTTTTGCATCCTCGAAGGCCATAGTTGATCATATTCGAACCTTGATGTTTGTTACTCGATTACTGAGCTTGAATAGCATCTGTCTCTCTCTTTCTCTCTTTACTGTGTTGTCATGTTAGGGAAGTTTGTTTATTTTCATGTGAGTAAAAGTGCTGATTGACTGAACATATTCAGGTTAAAGGAGCCAACATAGGCGATGTGTTCCTTGTCTCTGATGTTGTGTTCCATGATAGAAGAATACCAATCCCGGTAGGGCTCTTCTTCCTTTTCCCCGTTTCATCTTGTTATAAGTTCCTGAGCTGAGCCATGTTTGTGTATTTCTTTAGATGTTTGATCTGTATGGAGTTGGTCTTCGTGAGGCATTCTCAACACCCAATCTCCTCAAGGAACTCAATTTGAAGGTATTATTTAATAGACGACTCAATATGCAACTTGGTTTTCCACCATATCGAAAAGCATTTTCGTTAGATTGGGTGTTTTCTCAGATTGGCAGGTTATCTACTGGCGACTCGTTGGATATGTCCACGCAAGATGAATCATTGATCATTGCCAATGATGCTACGCTAAAGGACATGGAGGTAATGTAAACTTAAAAACACCTGACTGAGTGTAGCAAGAAGCCAGTTATCTTGAGACTCATTTGGCTCTGGAATGATATTTCAGGGTGCTGCTGTGGCGTACGTTGCTGATCTAATGAAAGTACCAGTCATGTTCCTGAAAGCCGTGACCGATCTGGTTGACGGAGATAAACCGACTGCAGAGGAGTTCTTGCAGAATTTGGCAGTTGTGACCTCTGCACTTGAGGAAACTGCCACCAAAGTGATCAACTTCATCAATGCCAAAAACCTCTCAGACCTTTGACTTATGTTTCCTTTTTTCGTTTACCAATCTCGTGATTCTTTGAAATGAGTTTCAACATCATTTACAGTTTCACTCGCTCATTTCCGGTGATTATTTATATATTCGTCGGCAATAAACTTCGATTTTGGAGACGTTTTTTCTCACTTCATTGTCATGAAGATTTTTAGTTTGTTTTACTATATTCCGCATACTTACTTCTCAATCAGTAGCGTGAGAATGTCAATAAGAAAACAGCAGCCGTGAAGAAGAAAAAAGGTCCATTCAATAGTCAAAAATATACAACACAGTAAAGTTAATGCGTTACGATATTGAGCTGTCTCTCTCGATTTGAAATTTCGGGAAAGCTCATTCTGATATTACATGAATGATGAAGTGATTCTATCATAAAACATTATAACTTATACTACTCCAGACGGAAGCCGAAGAACAAGCTGCCCTCCGAAAACGCTGCAGAGGATAAAGATTGAAACAAACTTCTTGAGTTGTCTAAATAAAGGATGTAGATGTAGGCTGTAATGTAGTGAATAGCTAGCTAAAGAGTGGCAATCAAAAGACTCAACGGTACCTTTTCACGTAGTAGTAACAGAAATCTGCCAAGATGAAAGTCTGAACAATCTCTGAGATGAGAACCATTGATGGCCACAGTCCATAACCCAATGCCACAAGCAACCGTCCCCGCGTGTCCACAACCTGTTTCGAACACACAACAAAACATAGTATATGATTACATTCGACTTTCAATGTATTGATAGTATAAGGTTTCGATCGAAAGCTAACCTGTAGAACCCAGTGGGCACAGCTAAGGAACCTTGCTACTCCAAGTGCAAATACATAATGAGCCGTGAACGGTTCAACTATCTGAAACAACAAAATAGAATACATGTGGGTAATAAGATAGTTAAAGATAAAACGCAAAACTTGCCATTATGAAATGGAGTCGTTACCTTTGTGTTCTGCATCACTCGTAACTGAGGCAGCACCGAGACAGCTTCAAGGTATACACAGAATGCCCAGAAAATCCTGTTTAATATGTTGTGTGAGGTCGATGGATGGATCAACACAGCTAACACAACACAGGGCACAAGCTACACCAAAATCAAAATCAGGAGATTGTTGTTACTGAGCTCAACTAAAAGAAATGAAAAGACTTTTAGCTGCCAAACATGAGGATCAAAAGCAGATGACCTACCACATAGTAGAGAGCAAAGTTGTCTTTGTCCTCCATGTAACTAGCCCTTAACTTAAATCGGATCATATATATAACCCACAGAGTTGTTCCCAAAGTAGCCAAATCCAGAATGGTGTGTATGTCATACTCCATTACAAAGCTGCAATACAGCCTAACAGCCAGAAATATCGCCGTGAGCTCCTGAGATTTCAGTGACAATCCTGCAAAATCATTCACAAAATAGTATGAACACTCCCAAGAGGAAAAAGCACACTTTTGGAGGTGGTTTGCATCTAAAAACCGTAAATTGCTAACTGAGCCCGTGATTATGAAGATGATGATGATGATTCTACAAAGTATGACTAAAAGTTACTCCCGGGAGCAAACTATAGTGATAAACCGATGGAATTCTGATCAAAGCCCAAAATTTTCGAGGCGATTTTGAGGGATAAACAAAGGGATTGTGGAGTTGACAAGTATTTTTTCTAAGAGCTTACGATCAGAAGCTACTTCAAAAACCCTAAAATTGGATGTGATAAAACACAACTAAACAAGAAATTATTGAAATTTACCGGCACAGGTCTTTTCCTTCATGATTTTGTAGATGAGAACACAGATCCCGATGGAATGAACAGCTTCAGCGGCAACGAAGAGGTTGTCGTGATCGTGAACGATGAATCTGAGCAGAACCAAAGCCGACATGCCAGTGACCACCGCGAGAAAAGCCTTCACCTTCGGAGGTTGCCTCCTTACCCATGACCACACGGCGTGGATCGGAGTCTTCGTCCCTTTCATGCTCGATATTTCCCTTTTCCTTTCTCTTCTTCTTCGGTCCTGATTTTCTCGGCAAAGTATCTGATCGGGAAATCGAAAAAAGTCTAGATTTTGGTTCACTCGTGTCAAATTACTAAGTTACCCATTGGTGAAGTCTCAATTAGTCTTAAAATTGGACCATCGTTGAAGGCCCAAAGTCGTAAATTGTGAAAAATTGATTCACTCTTATGAAATCAATCAACAAAAATTGAATCTCAGAATTTAATTTCACTTTCTTTCTCGCGCTTAACACTTCGTCTTCCTCGCGCCTAAACACTTCGTCTTCCTCGCTCAAATCTCGAGAACCTGGGCAAATCGCCGTCGCGATACATCGTCTTTCTTGGTACGTATCTCAAGTACTTTATCGTCTTTCACTTTCTCGCAGTTCGCCTGAATAGGACCCGATTCTTTCTCGTCTCTTATTTGGCTTTCTCGCTCCTCAAACCTAGATTTTCCCTCTCGCACTTACCTCTATTGATTTGTATTTTCTGCAATTCAATTGAAAACTGTTCTGTTTTCTTTTTGTAGACATGGCTTCCGTGACAAGGAATCTCAAAAAACTTGAAAAGAACATCGCGGGAATCAGAAAAAAAATCTACACCAACCACCGTCTCGTGGCTCTGGTTTCTGTCATCTCGCTTGCCATTACTTTTCTCTGCTTTGGTGCTCTGTTCTTGAAGAAGACTACGCCACCTCTCTCCTATGCTTGTCTACTACTTATCTTCATAATTTGGTGTGGCTACGAAACCCTAAGGAGACCTAGAGGTGTGGAGATAACTAAAGAACCACCTACCAACCTCAACACCTACATGCTATGGAAGACAGTAGGGCAAGTGGCTTCCCTCACATTCTTCAGCTACCTTGAAAGCCACTTGAAAGCCAAGTGTTGGCGATCTGTTTATGCTCCACATTCTTCCTCCACCTAGTTCTATTGATGGTGATCTTCGGCTGCAAGGAAGACTACGACGTAACCGCTGGTTTTCTAGCTGCGACATATGAGCTGTTCTATGAGTCCTTCCGGAATATTTTGATCGAAGGGACAAGTCGGGCGGAGAAGAAGCGCTTGGGTTCTGCCTTGCGAGGAGCAGTTCGCGAGATGCAAACTTTTCCATCTAAACTAAGCGACCTTGAGAAGAGTTTACAGACTGGGAGATCCTACTTTTACAGTCACAATGATATGCTCGGATTTAGTACACCAGCAACGTTTATGATCGGATGGCTCATCTTCCCACAAGTGACTGGTGAGGAGAACGCCCTTCGCTATCTCTCTTTACACTGATTATTGCTCTGATTGTGTATTGCGGCATCATTGCTATCTACTGTTCGCATAGAACCATCTATGTAAGAGAAGAAGAGGTTGAAGAGAGGGTTTACCAGAATCTGTACCTTTTTTTGAAGAGTGTACTGCAAGTGTGCTCTTTGGCCCTCTTCACCGTTATTGATGGTCTTCTCCAAGGTAGACCATTCGCAATTGGGTTTTGCATCTGCGTTTATGTACATGTCCTACTGCTGATGGTAGTCTTCAGAATCAAGGAAGACTTCGATGCTCTAAATGGGTTTTTAGCATCGGCCTTTGCGATACTGTACAAGTCGGCGAAAGAATGTGAATCATGGGATCAGCTGATCTATCTAGTTTTGGGTTTTGTGGTCATGGCTTATTTGAAAAATTATCTTGTTGGTGGGAAAGGAGCCGAGCTTCTGGATGACCGGGACTTGCCTCAGGGATCTGATAGAAGAAGAAGAAGGATTTGAGGAGGTTGAAGCCAGATAATATGTCATATAGTTTTTTTTTTCTATCTTTTGTAATCATTCCTTTTTCTTTGATTTGACATTAAAGGTTTTATATACCTTTGGAGTATATTTACTACAGATTCTTTTTCTCTTTTGTAAAACAACTACCATACGTTTTTCTTTGATTTGACATTAAAGGTTTTATACTAACTTTGGAGTAGATTTACTATATATATTTAAATCATCTATAAATTACCACTCATCCTCCATCTCTTTAAAATAAATAACTCTAAACTCTTCCTACGCACTGATTTTCTAAAAAAAAGGTATGATTTCCATTTTGTTGTAGTTCTTGATCATTTCCTTGGTTTTGCTGGTTTTTTTATTTGAAACGTATGGATGGTTATTTGTTTTGGGTTTAGACGAATTTAGGTGCACACAACTTCTTGTGATGATATATATATATATATATATATATATATATATATGTAGAGAAATTGCCAAGATGTAAATATATACTGTATTGTTTTGGTCGAGACTAATAGACTAATTTCGAATGTAAAATGCACATAGTTATGTATTCTCTGTTTATCTTTAAAATTTGTCATGTAAACCAAATTATCTTAACAAGAAATATAATTCAATCAATTTTCTTGGTTGGCCTAATTCAAACTTCTTCTAGCTCACAATTTGGATGAGAAATTACTTACCCACAGAGCGTGCTAATTAGGTTCGATGTCTCACTTACAGTAACCGACAATAACATCATAAAACAACACAGTGTTTAGTCATAATAGCCACGACTTTTCATGTACAACACAGTGTTTAGCCAGCACAGAGGCACCGACCAATGACCGAACAACACAATAATTTATCAACAAGTCTCTACTGATTATTATAAACATTGACATTATCTTTGATTTTCCATTTTTAATAAAATTATCTTTGGTTTCACTAAAAAAAAGTATAAGATGTTCTCCTTCTATAAAATATGTCGAATACTTTTTTTTTGGTCAACAATTTAAAAATATGTCGAATCTAATCGAGTAAAAGGCTCATATAGTTCGTCATGTTCGTCAATGTAAAAAAGTACTTTTTATACATTTTACTGTTTAACTCGGCCACTCATAATTTTAGATTAAAAAAATATTTGGATTCTGATTTAGAGTGATCATGATATAAGAAACAAATGACATATCGAATCAAGTGTCTTTACATTTCTTTTGCAGATGTAAATGTATGCCTTAAAATTAGAAGTTCCATAGTTGCATGTTACAAACTTATACAGTGTCTTGGATAGATCATAGATTCATAATAACTACATAACAATCCGTCTTTTGCACGGAGAGAAATTTATAAGTTATTTTATCAAATATTAATAGTAAAAGTTATCTAAAATAAATGTTATAAGTTTTTATGTGTATGTGATTAATATTTATAATAACAGACTTTTTGTTAGTAATGCAATTTTAGTTTTATGGTTTTATTAAAAACTATATTAAACAAAGGCAAACTTATAAATTTATATGCTTAAATCAATCAAACATCATGGTTTCAGATCATTTTATTTCTTACTAGGTTGAAGGTGGTATTGTTAATTTTTGTTATTTATTTATTTTTTGTTTGTAAAGTTTGTTTTTGAAAAAAAAAAAATTTATGATAGTCTTTTCAATTCTAACATCATACGTAGATTTGGTAAAACTGTATAAATGATATAAAGTCTCGGATAAGTGAAACTAAGAGGGCTAAGTCTTAGATCATACATAGAGCTGGTGACAGTATATGGCGTTATGTTGATAATATATATTCAACTTTGCCTCTGTTTATTTTCATTGTCATGTTAGTGCATTTCTTGAAATTCTAACATGTGTGTTTTTACATATCAGTTATCCTACCGGTGATAATATAGTACGAAGTTATATACGCATTGAATAAATTGTCTATCATGTTAGTTTTGGTTACTCAAACTCTAAACTCGAAAAACTATTTTCTCAGGTCGTGTGTATGGAGTTATTAGCCGGGTTATTTATTTACTTCACATTTGAGTGGTTCTTGTTTTATTTGAAAATAGAAATCGAAATATTAGGCCTTCTTACATGGCTGTATTTATTTGGCCACAATATGTTGGTTTGCCAAAAAAAGGTCCTTGAAAGAGAGACTATATGAAGTAAAATAAAATTATAATACGGGCTATGCGCAGGACTTTTTTTTTTTTTCACTGAAACGTACTTTGTATTAATGAAGACCTCACAAGGAGGAAAAAGTATCAAGGACAAAAATTCCAAGGGAAGAAAAACATTTAAAAAGAGAGAAAAAACGTGAAAAGCAGAGCATAAACAAGCTCTGTTTCTACCTTAAACCAACAGCATAGAGTGAGAAGATCTCTCTGATGTGGCCAGACAAAACCATCAGATGGACTTTTATATAAAGTATTATGATAAAATTATTAGAATCTTGGTCTAAAATATAAAGTTTAACACTTTCACGAGTTCCTTACTTTCTTCTATTTATTGCTCCTTTTTATTTCTTCATCTTCTGTATGCCTTCATTTCTTGCAGTTATATCTCCTGTCTACGGCTATCTTTGTGATATATACCTACCATTCAATAGTATAAATTAGTACAAATTAGCTTTTGGTCAAGTTATTCATATTTAGAATTGAACGATCCGCAAATTGACATTATTTTGTTTTGTTATTCAATGTTTTTTTCTTTTGGTCACGTTATTCATTTTTCCATTTTTGAATGTGCTTTTTGTTTTTGTTTTTGTTTATGCCTTAATCAGCCAAAATGACACTGACAATAGCAATAATGGAGATACAAAATGTAGCAATGAGCATTGCATATACAGTAAATAGACAATTTTAGTGGTGATGAGGATTCGCAAGGGTTGTTTGCTCGTCTTCAATGGCCTCTCAGTCTTCATCTTCTTTCGAAGGGTTTCTTGAATGCAAGCTCTTCACTCCATCTAACTGCAACATTAAACCATAAACAGAGTATGCCAATCACATTTAAACACTTCAGTTTATAAAGGAAGAGTCATATTGTTGAAGATTATGCATAGTGAAGAAAGCTTATTGTAAAGCCAATGTTAAGGAGCTACACGGAAGCATGGACTCATGTGCTAATCAAACTATAAATGGATCAATATGATACGATTTTCAATTCATGATAGTACAAATCTTAATTTAATCATGATAAAGTCGGTATATTGGATACTCAGTAGATAACCATTTTCTACTAATTCTGCACTAAGCAAACATACGATTGAAAGGAGAGAAAGACGAACCTTGAGCCTCCGTCTGCAAAGTTCCAACGATGCAGACTCCAAGAGAAAAGTAAGACTTCACACTGATAAATCTCAATATATGCAGAAAGGAACCATTTGATATCACCTCATAAATGAAATTAGATGTTTGTAAAAGGTAGCTCAAAAAATCAAGAGGAAGAGTCTTGCTCAATACATAAGAGACTCTGATCCAAAGGATGCGACGTAGAGGTTAAGAAAGAATCTTGGTTTAGGCCAAAATGTATGAAACTTTGTTTGTGTATTTCTGCAATGTTAAAAAATTAGAGTACATAAGAAGAGTCTATGTACCATGTTTCGAATCATCTTTCTTCTTTTTTTTGTCTAAGACTTTCTATGCATCTAAATAAGATTTTGAATTTAGCCTTTAAGTGTGCTCGCTTTCTTGTTTGTAGAATAATTTACTAAAAAACTGGTTCAAGATTTGCTTACATGAACATGATTAAGAAGGTGAAAGAGACAGAAGATAGATCTGATGTTAGTCAAAACCGTTATTCATGTTCATCTGTTCTCACCAGACACAAACCAATAGACCATCATAACAAACAAACCTACAGCTTAACTTAAACCCCACGGAAATGTCTATACAACTGACTCTTCACCATAAATTTTGTCTTCATCATCTCTCCCATATCTCTCCTTTTTCACATTTCTCTTAGTTTTGGAACGCACCATACAGACATCATCACAACCACGACCACAAAGACAAGGACAAAGACAAAATCCTAAACTTAAAATCCGCACCAAAGAGCTTCCAAGTTATAACTTACCATCCCTTGTGGCTTTTACCCATGAGAATATCCTGTGATTATCTTTTTCTGCGCTTCGTTTGCATCTGAAGACAACAATGCCATTGTTAACATCAGCCACAAGCTTTTGAACACAAAACAGGAAGAGAGAAGAAACAAAAAAAGTTCTCCTTTGAGTGCCAGACATTTCAGAAGCTAATAATTGCAGAGCAAAACATTTTTGAAATCATATTCTAACTCTGCTATATATAGTATGCTTAAGTGTGTTGAAGTATAATCATTACAAAATGTATCTTTGATATTGTTAACAGGCTGATTGTTTTGCAGCAAGACCTGGAGCAACGTTAAGCAAAGATTCCCAACAGGATCAAAAATGTACCGAATCACAGATTGCATCATTGTGGCCATTTCAAACTTTTTTATTTTGTAACGATCTCAAATTGAAATCAATGAGGACATGGATGCACACAGAGCGGCATAGAAGATCTATACAGGAGATGACTAAAAAGAGGGAAACAAACCTTGGCATCATCAGCTGTAAACCCGTTCTGCGATTTCTTGACATCGTCATCAGAACTGCATTCGGCGCATACAAAGTGATCAAGCTTCTTTGCTTCTTCTATCGTCATGCCAACACACGCAGGATGATACCTACAACACCAGATAGCAACTCTTACCATCAATATTTCACTCGAAAGGATACCAGTTTAAACTGAAACTATATATCTACTTACACGGCAACACGGTCAGGGGTAAACGCGCCAGTAGCAGCCTTGTACTCGAATCGGCAATAATAGTCCTCTGCACCAACGTTCTCAAGCCTCGTGTAGTTTTTGAAGGTGTGAACAATGCATTTTCCCTCAATGGTGTGTGCGCTTTGGAAGTCAAAATGGTCAGACAAAGAAGAGTTCTTTAGCTCCATGGAAAAAGGTTGCATTACTAAAACCAACCGTAAATAAAAAGAATTGGACCAACTTTTATAGTATAGAATACACATAAATAAATATTTCTTCATCATTTCATTATTAACTAATATCTTCGTTCCACATAAATAAATATGTATACTAAACCAAACATACTTATAATTTATGATGTTTGCTAAATCAATCTTTCTATTTTTATGGTTTCTTATTTATTTGGTTTTTTTATAATAATTTTTTGAACCACCATACTTCTTCAGTTCCAATGTGAGATTTTCAAGATATTTATTTATCAGTTTTTATATTTATAAAAATTTAAATTTGAGATCAACTAAAAAAGTCTTTAATATTAAAATTTTGATCAAATTAGAATATAATACTTTATGATAATGTTAATGGCACATTTTGTAATATTTTCATAGAATAAACGTTATCTTATAAGTATCATGGGTAATCTTTTGTTGATGACAAGTCAAACATAGTATTCTTGTTAACAATATATGAAATAAAGGTTATTCTTTAATATATATATAGTAGATTTTAAGAATAATCTGATCATACACAAAATATCACATTAAAATAATATCGAATCTAAATTCGTTCGGTATGGGCTGTGACTTACTGTTGCTATAAACTTTATAATCTTTTGGTTGTTAAGATTTTAGCAGTTTTATTATTTTTCATATTTAAAAATATGATTGATAATAACTTTGAAGCATTTTCCGTATTTCTTTTTGGTTAGGGGTTTTTTTATCGTCTGAAAACTTAGGTTTTGTTAGGGTTCTGTATATTCTTTCTTCCTCCGCAGATTATTAAAATGCATTTTGTGCTAAGCTATATATATATAGTCTACGCATAGATCTCAGCCGACCCTCCTCTGTCTCACTCTCTTCTCCTTAATCTTCCTCCTCAGATATTTGGAAAGAGGTACAATCATTGTCTCTCTCCCGTTTCTGATTTCTTAACATTTCCATTCTTTTGAACATCTTCTGTGTTCTTGTCGTTAGAATTGTTGTGTTTTATACTGTTCGGTGAGGAAGGGATCTGTTCTTTTGATCCGATTAAGAAAACGAATTACGTATATTCACATTTTCGCTGATATTAACTCATACTGTATGAGAGATTATTCTATGATATTTTTGGGTCTAATTTGCTGCTTTTGGGTTATTGAGATTCCCGCTGCTTTGGCATTAGGGACCTAAATACCAAGAGATTGTCAAATGTTTCAAAACTGACCACTTGTGTCCGTTTAAATGTTCTAGGTTGGGATAATGAGGACAATCATTTGTGGGCGTTTGGCAGTTTGCATTTTGGTTATGGCCATGCTCTCCGTAGGAGGAGCTTCTGCCTCTAATGGGGATAATAAGAATCCTAGTGATCTAGTCCGGATCACGTTGAACAGGAAACCTATGATTTTACTCCAGTTGACTCCTCATGTTTCTCAGGAGATTAAGCTAAATGTGAGAGGAGGAGGTATATATGTATATTAACTGATCTGAGTACATCTTTTGAGATAATGAGAGATCTCTTAATTATTTAATCAATATATACTGTATCTGTATGTTCAATATCTATAACACATAGGTTGTGGAAACACAACAAAATGGCGTAGCTCAAGTAGGAGGATTGTGGATGTGTCGTCTGATGGGGTTATCCAGGGAAAGAGTCCTGGAATAGCCACTGTGAAGGCTGTTTCGACTTGTGATCCTCAGAGTTTTGATGAGGTACGTACGTGTGATATGTACAAATTAATCAAATCTCTCTTTTTTTTTGCATCCTGTAGTGTAAATAATCTATTACTGCGTAGATTTATGTCAAAGTTTTCGCAAGTGACGAGGAGGATGTGTGCTATGACATGGATGACATGGAGCCACCAATCTATAGATCGGTGGCATGCATGAACAGGATGATCGTATTCAACGGTTTCTTTACTTATATCCTTGTCCAAGGAATCCTTTGTTCTTGTAGACGTCTTGGCTATATAAAGACTCATGTATATACTCAGTGTTCTAGAAGGCATAGAAGGCATCGATCCATGCGCCCGTTTATCATAAACGTAGAGGCGCTAGACCGTGATAGATTACTAGTACGTATGCAGAGTTAGTAAGCACAGTTCGTTTCCCTCAAGCTGTCTCATGGAGTTTTGATTTCATAAATACACCATGGTTATCAAACACAATCGTCGAGGCCAAACGGCAAAATATTTTTACGCATTGACGTTTTAATGGGCTTTTAGGATATTATTTATTATACTGTATGTTATAGAGTTCAAATCGGGAGACAAAAGAAAATGTTATTTTTGAGTCACAAATTAAAAACTCCATAATATATCATTAAAGAAACCCCAATGTTTTTCTTCCTATATACGATTTCCTCATTGATAAAAAAAAATCATAACTCTCTTTGCTCCCATACAAGAATAATATGTTTGTCAAGTCTCATCGTCTTTAATTAAGGTTTAGCTTGGATTTGTGTTGTACGCATGGAGACATTGTCAGAAACCAATTCAGAAGTTATCAGATGGGATATTGGGATGTCTCCGCATTGTTTTACTTGTGTTAGACCTAGCTACTTACCATTGTATATTTGGTTTATTCCGAACTAAACCGAGTTGTGTTCTTAATTGGTTTATTCGGTTCAACTAGATTTTTAATTGATGAGCCTGACATTTTCGCAAAGAAAAACAACAAACAAAAAAACAAACATTACATGAAGCTGCGGCGTCTTCGAGTTTTGACATTGAATGACAAAATATCTTATATTGTGGAACATAAGAGCATCTCCATTGGTAGAACCAAATTTTGGTTATTACAATTTTTTATTAACAGAATATGTTTACGCATTTCACGTTTTTATAGGCTTTGACTCATTAGGGTTAAATAGGCTCTGGGCTATTATTTTTGTAAGCTATAGAGTTCAAATCCTTAACCAAAGAATCTACAGCTTGATTACTAGATCGATTCACCCATAAAATCTCCACTTGTTCAAATTTGGCCTTGCACCATCTGATTCCCGAGCCAATTTATAAAGTCTGAAATCTACCTCATCACCATTAATCAAACGACAAATTAAACTGTTCTATTATCTCGAAAATAAGAAATCGATGACCTTTAAACCAAGTCTGTTGCATGGAAATCTCTTATACGAAGTTATCCGCATTGGTATGATAACACTCGTCATCTACACAATTATGCTATTTATTAATTACATGTTCTCACATATAAGAAATGGGCCTTATTGGTTATAATACAGTATATACAAATATTCCGAAAAATATTCGGAAGTTGGATTATTCAATTTTGTTGCAACCGTAAGTCCAGCCCTAGGTTTGCTACTCGACCACCATAACTTGAGAAGAAGACCCTCTTTATTTCACTAAGTTTCAGATACTCTGTCGACGACGCATAGATCTCCGCCGACTCTCCTCTGTATCGCTCTCTTCTCCTTTATCTCAGATCTTTGGAAAGAGGTACAAATAATGTCTCTCTCCCGTTTCTGATTTCTCAACATTCCCATTCTTCGACAACATGTTCTGTTAGAATTGTTGTGTGTTTATACTGTTCGGTGAGTAAGGGATCTGTTCTTTTGATCCGATTAAGAAAACGAATTACGTATATTCACATTTTCGCTGATATTAATGAGAGATTATGCTATGATATTTTTGGGTCTAATTTGCTGCTTTTGGGTTATTGAGTTTCCCGCTGCTTTGGCATTAGGGACCTAAATACCAAGAGATTGTCAAATGTTTCAAAACTGACCACTTGTGTCCTTTTTTTTTTTTTTACAACGACCACTTGTGTCCGTTTAAATGTTCTAGGTTGGGATAATGAGGAGAATCATTTGTGGGCGTTTGGCAGTTTGCATTTTGGTTATGGCCATGCTTTCCGTAGGAGGAGCTTCTGCCTCTAATGGGGATAATAAGAATCCTAGTGATCTAGTCCGGATCACGTTGAACAGGAAACCTATGATTTTACTCCAGTTGACTCCTCATGTTTCTCAGGAGATTAAGCTAAATGTGAGAGGAGGAAGTATATATGTATATTAACTGATTTGAGTACATCTTTTGAGATAATGAGAGATCTCTTAATTATTTAATCAATGTATACTGTATCTGTATGTTCAATATCTATAAAACATAGGTTGTGGAAACACAACAAAATGGCGTAGCTCAAGTAGGAGGATTGTGGATGTGTCGTCTGATGGGGTTATCCAGGGAAAGAGTCCTGGAATAGCCACTGTGAAGGCTGTTTCGACTTGTGATCCTCAGAGTTTTGATGAGGTACGTACGTGTGATATATACAAATTAATCAAATCTCTCTTTTTTTTTTTTTTTTTTTTTTGCATCCTGTAGTGTAAATAATCTATTACTGCGTAGATTTATGTCAAAGTTTTCGCAAGTGACGAGGAGGATGTGAGCTATGACATGGATGACATGGAGCCACCAATCTATAAATCGGCGGTATGCATTGACAGGACCATCGTAATCCACGGTGTCTTTACTTATATCCTTCTCACAGGAATCCTTTGTTCATGTAGCCGTCTTGGCTATATAAAGACTCGTGTATATAGTCAGTGTTCTAGAAGGCATCGATCCATGCGCCCATTTATCATAAACGTAGAGGCGCTAGACCGCGATAGATTCTTAGAAGTTATCAGATGAGATATTGAGATGTCTTTGCATTGTTTTATATTTGTTCGATACCATTTTATATTTGGTCGCCACGTTTTCACCTCATATCAAATCATCCGTACAGTTAATTTGGACATCAACCTTTGTGCTTGCTTCTACTAGTAATAGTCGCTTGCTTGGTCCATTGCTCCTTTATATTTAACAATATGTACAGTAGTTGTATACTCAGAGAATATGTCAACATCCAGATCTGAACTCCTCGGGATATTTTCGTATGTACGTCTCCGATTTATAAAACATTTCTTTATATTATATACATCAAACCATTTTTCGATTCAATCAATGTGGAACCATATACAGTTCGCATATTAATCGCATTTCACCTAACAAAAATAATATCACAAAACTCACACCAAGTGGGACTATGTCCTCGTTGGTTGCCCCAAAACTAGATCATTTTTCTTGTTTGCTACTTTTTTTTTGTCAACCCACATTTATTGTTGCTACTTAAGTTAGGCTTTGCCTTCCTTATAATGTACGATTGTTACTGTAGACAACTATTTTCACCGTCGCTTTATGTGCGTTGAATTATAATTCTATATACATACATATTTAACCTGGTTATTCTCTTAGATTTTGTATGACACTGATTGTTTTGGATCTGGTTATGACCTCTTTATATAGTCTGGTTATCATCTTAGATTGTGTATGACATTGATTGTTTTTAACGATTGTGTGAAGTTTGTATATACCTAGCTATATAAAAGAATACTACATTTTAATTCGTTTATCAATCAATTTTATAACGTAACTGACTTTTTGACATTTACAATTATAAAAATGTGGAATCATAGTAGCTAGCCATAGGTTATACCACGCATATTGTACGAAGTTATCCGCATTGGTATACGGGTGTATCAGTGTATATACCTCCCTGATGAAACTCATCATCTGCACAATTATGCTATTTATTACATGTTCTCACATTTAAGAAATGGGCCTTATTGGTGATAATACAGTATACAAGTATTCAATCTGTGGACATTATTACCAGAAGATTGATATTATATATTTCCTGAATCATATTCTCCAACTGTCCAAAGCCATCGCATTAATGGGCGAGGATGAGTAGGTGCAGCTTTAATATGGCAATGAACACAATGATATCTCTCGTTGTAACTTGACTAACCATATAGTTCTCATTGTAAGTTTGTAGCTCCTAAAATAACATTCCTGACAAAAATGAATCTTATTCATTTATAATTAGGTCTCTGAAACCGAGACTCGGAATATTTTCTCAGGGCATGCACTCATGACTAGCCGTATACTTTTTTTTTTATTCAGCCATGACTAGCCATATACTTCTATCTCCCATCTAACTAAATGCCAACAAATCAAGCCTCTTCTCGTTCCAATTTCGTTTGTATTTTTATTTTATTTATAACGGTATGTCGTTGGTTTAATTACATAGGTAGATCATGGGTCATGGCTGCATGCCCAACATAAATACATACTACAGTTTATATTTAGAGAAGAAAAAAAAACAGTATAATTAAGGAGGGGGCCGGACAAGAAGCACAAGTAGTGTGACTACTTTCTTTCCATAAATATTTAGGTTTCTCTTCCACTACAAGTATTGTGACTATCTTTTTCCATAAATATTAAAGTTTATCTTCTAACCACAGTGTGATCCGCTTCAATTTGGGGTTGGTTGCACGTATATATACACACTCGTTTATTCGTGCTTTTTTATTGTTTTACATCAATTATACCGTGTGTGCATGAAACGAAAAACAAAAGTTACAATATATGCATCATGCATGCATGAATCATCCATCCTGCAGTCTCCCCATTGTGAAATTATAGGCTGTATCACACACACACAAAAAACAAAACAACATATATTTGTTGATGAAAAGGTTCCTTGTGGAAAAAGTTGCACAATGTGTCTCGTGCAATAACGTTGATTCGGGAAACAAAAAGTATATGTCGTATAAATAAATTTTTAAAAAGTCAAAAAAAATTCAACCACCCTGCATGAAAAGTATGATAAACTATGGCCGTATAGACGAAAGTTACAACGCTAAGATGGACCATTGCATTAATTACAAAAATAATAAATACTACAAAATAAAAGAAACCGCCGAATCCAATTATTGTTGGTAAAAAAAGGTTAGGAAGTAATAATTAAGATCTATCTTCAAAAGAAAAAACCCTTTGATAAAACCATTATATAAACGATAGCGAGACTCGCTGTAAACATATCATCTTCTCCGCTAATAATCTATGTATCATATAGTTTCTTTCTTCTTATAAACATTACATTTTCAGCAAAGGGAAAGAGTTGGTAAGTGTGTCAGAAATCTCAGAGGGTGAGAATCCCAATGAGGATCTTACCCGAACCTCGAGGTTCGGTTCCATGCCTCCTCCTCCTCCTCCTCGTCTCTGTTCTCTTTTCAGCGACTCTCTCTCGCGCTCGTGTCGTCGAAGTTGTCGGTTACGCCGAGAGCAAGATCAAAAACCCCCATGCATTCTCAGGTAACAACATTTTAGAATACAAAATAATTTAGTTTAATTCATATATGATCACTGTGCGATATAATTAATTTTTGTATAGGACTCCGAGTGACGATTGAGTGCAAGGTGAATAAAGGCCATTTTGTTACAAAAGGTTCCGGAAACATTGACGATAAAGGCAAGTTCGGTCTTAATATTCCTCGTGACATTGTCTCCGACGACGGAGCTTTAAAGGAGGAGTGTTACGCTCAGCTTCACAGCGCGGCCGGAACACCTTGTCCGGCTCACGACGGGATCGAATCCAGCAAGATAGTATTTTTGTCCAAATCAGGAGATAAACATGTTTTGGGTCTCAAACAAAATCTGAAGTTTTCACCGGAACTTTGCGTTTCGAAATTCTTTTGGCACATGCCTAAGTTCCCGCCTTTTAAGGGCTTTGATCATCATTTCCCTTTGCCTCCACCTTTCCAACTTCCACCTTTTCCTAAACCTTGCCCTCCGAAACTAAGTCCCCCCGAGGAGGTTCCTCCTCCGGTTCCGGTTTACGACCCTCCCCCAAAGGTCGAACATCCTCCACCTGTCCCGGTTTACAAGCCACCTCCAAAGGTCGAGCATCCTCCACCTGTCCCGGTATACGAGCCCCCACCAAAGGTCGAGCATCCTCCACCTGTTCCGGTATACAAGCCGCCACCAAAGGTCGAGCATCCTCCACCCGTCCCTGTTTACAAGCCGCCACCAAAGGTGGAGCTTCCACCCCCGGTTCCTAAGAAGCCTTGTCCGCCTAAATCCCCGAAAATAGACCCACCGGTTTACAAGCCACCGCCAAAGATAGAGCACCCACCCCCGGTTCCGGTTTACAAGCCACCTCCAAAGATAGAGCACCCACCCCCGGTTCCGGTTTACAAGCCACCTCCAAAGATAGAGCATCCACCTCCGGTTCCGGTATACAAGCCACCGCTTAAAAAGCCATGTCCGCCTAAGCCCCCAAAGAAAGTTGATCCACCTCCGGTGCCAGTCCACAAGCCGCCGCCTAAGGTAGTCCTTCCACCGCCGGTACCAATCCACAAGCCCCCAAAGAAGCCTTGCCCGCCGAAGATCGAGCTTCCACCTCCGGTTCCGATCTACAAGCCGCCGCCGAAGATAGAACTTCCCCCACCGGTTCCAATATACAAGCCACCGCCGAAGATAGAACACCCACCAATCTACATACCACCGGTTGTGATCCCGAAGAAGCCGTGTCCTCCACCGGTACCAGTATACAAACCACCGGTGGTGATTCCGAAGAAGCCATGTCCGCCACTTCCACCACTTCCAAAGTTCCCGCCTCTTCCTCCTAAATACATTCACCACCCCAAGTTCGGGAAATGGCCTCCGTTGCCGACACACCCTTGAGAAATTAATATACGTATATACATACGTATGCTCATATATAAACAACGTGTTGCTTTTTAAGATACTTTTATCTTTGCATGCTTAATATTTTGTTTGTTTTTATTTCTTTGTTGTCTCTGAGTTATATATATGTGTAGACTCTTTGTTAATTATCTCTTCCATCAATAATATGGCAATGATTACTTTCTACCTTCGTTATAAAACCAGCTTATGCGATCGGTGTAGTAATTTGAAACCACGAAACTTAATAATTCAAAATTGATTTTGTATCAGTATGAAAAAGCTAAGTTTGGTAGTGAGTATTTTCAAAACATAATCAATTATTGAATGATTTGTAAATATGGCGCGTGGGCCTTTATATTTCACGTATTAACCAAAAAAATAAAAAAATGAAGGGGAAAAAATGCCAATTGGCACTGTAACGTTTTGAGTAAAACGATTTAAACGACGGTGTACTTGGGCAATCTAGGAGGAAAGTGAAGCCTATTGTCACATTACATACTCTGTTTTTGATTTGTTACCATGAATACTAAATTTCTGTATTTGCATCGATTTTCCTAAACAGATATATTAATTTGTTTGTAATACCTTTTTAGATATTGAGATATATAACGTACAACGATAGTATAGAGAAAAATCCATTTTGAAAAAACAAATCAAATATTAAACATTCAGTGGGTTTTAGGCCTTTGTGGGTGCTATAATTCAGGGCCCAAAGTGAATTATTTGATTTTATTTCTGAAAAATAATTGCTGAAAAGCGCGAAATTAAAATCCAAAAACTCTCCAATTGATTTCATCTCATCCCTCTCTCTCTAGGGTTTAAGCGCTTTTGAACTGGGTCTTTCACTGAGCTCTTACAATGGCGAACCCTATTACCGTCGATCCGTCCCTCTGGTGGGATCCGTTTGGCTCTCTTCTTACCGAGCTCGAGAGCGCTTCTCTCACTGATGACCTCCCTCAATCCACCGTAAAAATCTCCCTTCCCCTTCATTTTAAGTATTCGATAGGTGTTTCTTCGTTATGCGCTATACTGGTGCTAAATTGGTTTGCTATCTCAATTTCAGTCGAAGAAGTTGGAGGAACACCACGCGTGGTTCGTTGGCTCTCTGTCGATGTTCAAGCCTCCGAGTGCGAAATCAAAAGAGGCGTTGAATTCGGATGTAGTCAAAATCAAGGAGCACCAGTTGGTGGTAAAGCCCGAACTCAAAGAAAAAGCGCTTCGAATCAGCTCATATCTGGTTAGTTTCTTCGCGACTCGTAAATTTCAACTCTATGTACCTCAAGCACACGTAGGTTCGAGAATTATCACAATCTCTTTAATATGGAAGTATTGCGTAGCTGATTAAGGCTCTGATAAGTGGTATGAGTGAAAATGATTATATAAGTTATGCGGGTTACTCGATGTGGAGGATGAAGAAGATCATTTGTTTTCAATTTCTGAAATCATTGCCAGAATCTGGATGAAATTCAATCATACATCCTCGTGGAAAGGTCTATGGAGCAGGAATGTGGAGAACCTGACTCGGTAGCTCAAGACTACGTTGACGTGGTTAGTAGCTTACTTTGAAAATCCACACTCTTCATTTTTGCATATGAATTTATGTTTTGTTGAATGAAGAGAATCCTTTAAATCGATCCATGAGTTAGAACTTAGAACTCAGAAGTTTTCTAAAATAACTGCTTTCTTTGTTTCCCGTTTCTGATATATATTACTCACAAAAGAATCCATTATGCTAGCATTTTTCTATTTACTTTGTTACTTATGTATTATGAAGCTTGTCGCTTTCATGGCCATATAGATAGCATGAAATGACCAGCTTTATTAGTGGTGACATGGCTACTTCTTTTCGTAGTTAGTTCTGTAGTAACTCACGATAATGCAATTGTTCCTAGCTTATATTTTCGCCAAAGAATTTCAATCTGTACGCTGTTAGGAATTCAATCCTTAATTTTCCAGATTTCTTGCTAACACTTGTGCTGTCCCTCTGATCCATTGTTGTTTTTTGAAGATACTGCTTCAGTATTACATAGAGCGCCAGTGCCTACTAAAGTGTACGAAGCGTATTCTCACTCATGCATGTAAGTTGTGATTGTGTTGTTTCTTTTCTGATAGTGGTGTTTCACGTCTATAACTCTACCCACAGTTTTGTGAATTTCTGTCTCGCTTTACAACTATGTGACAGTATATGCAGCAAGTGAGGAAAGTTCTATTAGGGAGGAAGCTGTAAAGCTGATCTCAGATGGGCTTGACAGACGACAATCATCAATTCTTGAGGACCTTTTGTCCTCTGGTTTTCCACAGCAGATGGTACGTGTTCTGAGTTTTTGCCCTTCTTAACATAATTCAGTCTTATTACTATGTAGGACCTTGGTGTCTAACGATTTTAGGGCTCTGTTTCTATCATTCCAATTAACATTTCCGGTCCAAATTTGATATTCTCTAGATTTTTCTTTGTAGGATGTCAATCTATTTACTTTCTGGGCAGAGGAGACACTAATTGAGGACAATTTGGTTTTGGATATCATTTTCTCTCTTTACCATGAATCATTTTGCACTTGTAATGGAGAAAGATGGAGGAAACTGTGTTCCGTCTACAAGGTATCTCGAGTCACTCGCCACATGCCTGAGACTGGTTCCAGTTTCTCTAACCATCTTTATTTACTTATAAGTGCTATGTCGCAGGGAATTCTTTCAGGTTCCTATAATCTAAGGAAGCTGGCAGTGTCAGCTGAAGCACAACATTCTGCGTGTCGTGTAAAAAATCAGTTGTTGATAATTCTTATAGAAACGTTGGATATGAAGAATCTGTTACAAATGGTTCACGACGGAGTACCTTTCAGGTTTTTTAACTAACTCGCAAGAAACACTACACAAATAAAGTGACAATTTCTTCAAATAGGATACAAAAGCAACAATTTGCATTCTCATACTTTCTCCTGAATATCTGTCGATGTTTCCTAAGGTTTTATGTTTCTTATCAGTTCTGGCCCTTGTGCCTTTTCCATTAATGATGTTCAAGAGATGGATGCAACATTCTCTAGCCTCAACACTTTGGAAGTAAAAGAAGCAGGACCTCTTGTCCTTGCATGGGCCGTGTTTCTGTGTCTTATTTCATCACTTCCTGGGAAGGAGGCAAGTCCTTTCCTGATGGTATGAATGTGAGAATACTTCCGTTAGCTAGTCAGAGGACACACATAATTCATGTAGATGTATCTAATCTTACATCCTTATTTGATGATCAGGAGATTGATCACGCCAGCTATGTTCATCAAGCTTTTGAGGCAGCATCCTTGAGTTATTTCCTTGAAATCCTTCAAAGTAATGTGTTGAATGATTTCGATGTAAGTTACGAGATTAAAATTCCAGTTACCAAGCTTAACTTAGTGTATTTTCTTGAGTTTGGCACCTGTTTATCTATTAAATAATGGTGTGAGTTCTATTTCACCAATCCTCTGCAAGTTTTGATGTTACCCTTCGCTATGTTGATTCTGTCATTATCTTTCACTTTTCCCAGGGACCCGTCTCTGGTTATCGTAGTGTCATAAGGACTTTTATTTCAGCATTTATTGCATCTTACGAGATCAATTTTCAGGTAAAACTCCAATAACTGTCAATAACAAATTGTATAATTGCGAAGTGTTTCAAAATCATACTCATCTCTACTTATTTGTCAGCGGGAAGATGCCAGCCTCGGGTTGATACTAGACATCCTCTGTAAGGTTTATCAAGGAGAGGTAAATTATATATACATATATATATATATATTTTGCCCCTAACTTTTCCCTCTATGTGATACATTCATAATTGCTCACGGTGTGCCTTTATTTTTCAGGAGTCCCTCTGTAGTCAGTTTTGGGATCGAAAAAGTTTTGTTGATGGCCCTATCCGGTGTCTTCTCTTTGATTTGGAGAGTGAATTCCCATTCAGGACTACTGAATTCATTCGTCTCTTGTCATCCCTGAGTGAAGGAAGCTGGCCTGCTGAATGTGTGTAAGTAGTATTTGGAAAATATACTATGTGCATTTAAGTACTTTATCTTGAACATTTCTATTTAGACGAGAGAAATGTTCTGCATAAAGGCAGGATGCTCTGCACGCATGAAATTACAACCATCATCCCGCTGCAATCTCCTGTCTTTCTTTGTGCAGATACAACTTTCTGGATAAATCAGTCGGGATATCAACCTTATTTGATATTACACGTGACTCGCTAGTCGAAGGTGCCTCCCAAATTGTTGAAACTTCCCGGCCGTTGCATATTCCAGGTCTTGAAGGTTTAGTGATTCCCAACAATACTCGTGGGCGAATTCTGAGGATGACAAGTGAAAACACTGCCCTTGTACGGTGGGAGGTAAGTGATATCATCATTAGATTCTTGGTTTGAAAACCCTATTTACAGAGATGAGTCCTCCAGTGCTATCTTATTGTGGTCTTATTGCTTCTAACTTGTTTGAGATATACTGATACATGAAATACATTTTCTTTTCCAAGTATTCACTATCCGGAGCAACAGTGTTGATCATCCGTTTGGCCAATGGACTCTACTCTGGTAACAATCTTGAAGCTTTTGTGACTCTAGAGCTGCTTCGTCGGATGGTGAAATTTAGCAAGGTAACTGCATTTCTCCATCCTCATTTTTATCCAGGTTTATAAAGTAGGGATTGCTTTAGTAGTTGTACACCATGAGATAGACTATGGACTTGAAATGGCTTATGTATGGACGTCTCTGATGTAATAAAATATGTATTCTTATTTTTTTCGTCTCTGACCCTGGTTCTGGAAATTGATTTCAGGCTGTATGTTTCTCCTTGCTGAATATCAGCCACTTCTTTTATGCTCATGAATCTTACGTGAATGGGAAGATGGAAAGTGATGTGAGGTGAAGTATTTGCATTTTATTTCTTTCTTAGATGCTATCTTCCCAGGTGCTTGAAAAGAGATATTATCGTTTTTTTTTTATCAGGGTGGTTGATATAATTTGCAATTCAGTCAGAAGCT